GGGGGGGGGGGGCCATCCATCACACGAGCAAGCAGCTCGCAACAAGCAATACTTGTAGGCATAGCCGTATCGTACGATCACCAGGTCCATTCTAGTTCTCTTCCCACTCCAGACCTCCCGTCCCCTTTCCAGAGTGCGGTAAGGCTTCGCACAGATTCGACTCTGCATTTAACAAGAATATTCGTCTCAGAAAGCTTGGGCATTATTAAAAGTATCGCTTCCTCTAAGCGGCGAAGTCGATCGACCCACTGGTGGCGACCAACGGCTGTGGCTCTGGTGAGCTGAACCAGCCACCAATAAGATGGGGCCTTCTAACCGGCAAATTCACCATATCCCAATTCAATCTTCATCCTCGTCGTCCTCATCTTCCTCCTCTTCAGAGTCGTCTTCGTCCTCATCGTCATCCTCTTCATCATCATCATCATCCGCTTCAAGCGGATACTCGAGACAGATCCCTTGACACCACCTTTCCCACTCCGATCGCCACTCTCGAAGCAATTTGGCTTTAGTTCCTTTGCCCAGATAACCTTCGGTGATAGTTTTTGTCCAGTCGGCAGACTTTTGGTCTTCGACGGCACACCATTTGAGGGAGTTTTCGGCCATGGTCCCGAGACCCTCAAGACCCAGATTCTCAAACGCCATGTAAGCCTGCCAAAAATCGTGACTCAAGCCGTTCTTCCCATGACCCAAGATGGCGGGATCGTCATTGTTCAATGACACAGGTACTCCTCTTGATAAAAGTGCGGGCAGGGAGTGCGAAAGGATCGAGCTTGACAGCCGCAAGATTTCGTTGGATATTGGGCAACTTTCGACCAGAATCTTCTTATCTTTGACCATATCAATCAGGAGCGGGTGCTTGTACAATGAGTATCCGTGGCCAATTCGTCGAGTCCCCAGCAGGATAGCATCAAACAAATTGTTGTCCGTGCTATCGCCGTCGCCCAAGCACTCACCAGCATGGAAGAAGAACGGGAGATCCACGCCACCTTCTGCGCATTTCTTCCTAAACCAGAATATCAATGGAGTGAGGTCCTTCAGGGTTCTGCCCTGATCCTCCTGTGCCACAAAATCGAAACCGCAAATCAGGTGAGGGAATTTCTTTTTCATTCTGATACACTCTTTCATGGAGTCTGCAAGGGTGCGGTTGTCCATCTTCCTGATGACGGTCCAGATCATGCGTGCTCCCGTGAAATTCTTTCCCGCTGGCGACTGCTTGAACTTCTCGATCTCCTCGCCTAACACGGTAAAGAAGTTGTCAAATTTGCCGACTTGTCCATTTGTTTGGCCTTTCTGGCGAAATTCGAATTTGAAGGCCACTCTGAAATCAACATAGCTGATTCCATCGTTTGCCAGCTGCCCAAGTAGTCGTTGGACGGCACGTCGGAAGATAGGTTCGTAAAAGAGCATCCAGCTAATGACCATGAAGGTACTCTGGAACTTTCTCCAAATGGCATCCAGACCATGGTGATGGCACAGCGACTCTTCAGCAGTAATAGTGCATCTGCCGGTTAGCCATTTCTTAAATGTCAGGTCGTCATCCGGGAATGTCCGCTGCGCTTCTCTGATAGGCACCGGCGTGTTGGGCGTGTAACTGCTGGTCCAAATATTGCCGGGGCTCTTTTGCCTCTTGATCTCCTCATCCGGATAGTATCTGAACTGCAAAAGGCCCGTCGTTCTCTTCTCCTTGTCACTGAGAGCTTCCGGTGCCAGGATGCAAAATGCCCGCTCGGCGAGGGCCTGGTCAATCAACCAATCAATATCGATCATCGCGTCCATATGAGCATGAAGCAAAGCGCCCTTTGGCATTCTCTCTATGATTTTCCAAAGTTCCGTACCTTCTATGCGGTCTCTTGCCAGCGTGAACATCATGCCAGGATACAAGTTGCCGCCATTCTTCTCGGCCAGGCTTTCCTCAAAGTCAGACGTCCACACGGATTTCAACTCCCGACGACGGATAGATGCCATGATCTTTGCGGCCTGCTTGGCCATAGGAGACATTGATTGCTTGAAGGCACGATCATGACGCTGCTTCTTTTCTTGCTCAATCAACGCCTGTCGGCCAGCCATGTACTTCTCAATGAATGGGTCATCGACTTGCGGAATTCCCTCCTCCAATTCCCACTCCAGTTGGGAGTCAATGGAACCATCGTCGGAGAGTGCTTGCTTTGCAGGCATGACGGGCGACGGATTGAGGAGGTCTTGTCGGAATGGGACTAGGAGGAAGGGTACAAGGTGAATTAGTCGACTCACGAGGCCAAAGGTTTCGCGTGAATCTGAGATATCGGCCTCCCAGAAAGATAAAGACCGATCCTTGGCAGTGAAACAAGCAAATTGCGGCAATGTAATTGGCTGAAATAACCTCTTTCTAAACGAAGATCCATATAATTACAATGCTTTACACATCCATTGCAGGGGGAGCTTGTCCATGTTCGGTGACAGGAATGCTAGAAATGGAGTATAGAGATGAGAAGTCGAGGTTAACCAAGTGGATCTTTAGACCAGACATTCGATCAACTGTCCGCCTCTTCCGTCACCGTTCGACCCATGGGCCCATTCTCTTCCCAGGCTTCAAGCTCACTCAAAATACTTGCCACTTCCTGTTTCAACTCAAGATGTTTGACATGAACCAAATAAGCCTAGTTTGCTGTAATCATTGCCGAAAGCAAGGAGAGTGACCACGAGGACAACTTTTTATATCCGACCCAGTACTCCACAGTCCAATGGTGGCGGTGTTGTGGTCAGCTTGCGACTACCAGGTCGCAAAGGTACTCCACGTGCCGGGACCTGGACCTCGGGATCACAAAGTTCTCGAACAGCGGATCCCGAAGGAAATTGCTGGCATCCTTTTGCGTCCCCTAATATTTCAAACACGAGCGATTCGATTCCAAAGAGAGTACTTGCGCTAGGTGCTGGTAAAGCCTTTGCTGGAATGTTTTATATCTCTTCGTCAAAATCATCAATAGTCCCTGGTGAATTCTCACTCCATTTGTTGCTTCGGGTGCGGTGAACGTAACTAGGCCCCAAACTCCAACATAGCCCCCCGGATGCCGACAATCAACCTGGATAGATCGACTTCCATAACGTTAAGCATTTCCAGCCTCACAAATTAGGTCATCTAGATTCGGGTTAGCAGAATGATAGATGATGAGCTTGTCACGTAGTGTTGCGTACGGTGTCCGATCAATATTGGCTGGATGTGACACGGCCATCTGGAGTTTGGTGGGCCGAAAAGCCGGATCGATGGACGCGTATAGTTCTGGAGTGGGATTCAGTCGTCATGCTATCAGGCTTCCGACGAGTTATGTGCCCCTAGTATAAGTGTGCCATGCAGCCATTGTTGGCCATGATAAGCAGATAAGTGACGGCGATGTGTCCATATGGACCATAGGCCATTACTGACCCACAACTCGCCATAAATCCTCCGAAATCTCGTCGTAATCTGTCTAATTGAGTGTGATCGCTAACTCTTGGTCTGGTTGATGGCTGCTTTCGAATGTCCCATTGGGGATAACGATGCTTCCCATGCCAACAGAGTCGACCGTCGAGGTTGAAGTAAAAGGCTCAGGGTCCTCGTCATGCGAGGCTTCAGAGGCAGACGAGGGTGCACTAATCAGTCCAGGGACCTCTATGCCTTCATTTTCGTTCGAATCTTTGTTCTTAATTTTGTTCACCTTTCAATTCCGCTATCAGTTAACTTGGTCTTGCCGTCAAGACTGTCTCCTCCCGGAATTCAAAATCCTGACTTAGCACCATCTCGAAAGTCTCTGCGGTGGAGTCGGATAGGGCCTTTATGATAACCTAGGGGCTCTCGAACTTCTTCTGGCATTCAAACAATCGGCTGGCAAGGGATGCATCGCGATCCTCTTACTTGGAAATTCGTTCCGTTTCTGATGTTGGCCTGGAGTCAGGTCTTTGCTCTAATTCTTTGATGCGCATCGCCCGCCCGTTCGAAAAGCCATTTGTGACAGGCGGTTTCGCCACTTTCTGTCCTCCGAGGTTATTCGGGCCCATCGTCCTCGACGAGTGCCTTTTGTCGCTCAGCTTCGTCTTTTATGGTTGCTGATGATATTATTAATGGAACCTGTTACGACGTTGAGATGTTTGGTGACGACATGTACGAGGCTGAGATAGTATGACATGATCAGGGTCCTTCCTTATTCCCGAAGATGTGAGCTGGAAAATTAAAAGATCGAATGTACTAGAGACACCAACCAAGTCAGGATTGAGACTCTTGAAGGCGAAAGCATTGTCATCATGGAAAAGCTGAGAGTACAGTACAGGGACGCCTTCCACCGCAATCTTTATTTTGGGTATTTGTTGGAGGGAGGGAAGAGGAGTGAGAAACTCAGACCCCAGATTCACCGATCCGGGCTTATAATTGTCCTTGTTATGTCCTGGAGACGGCCTTGGTGGCCAACAAACTCCGACCCTAGAGCACGGTGCCGAGTCAAATTCATGTTGTAGCGAAGTCAGGGTGTCACTGGAGACGTCATTTCGTATCGGCTTCTCGAGTGCCACGAGTCTCGGAGTTTTGGGAGGATATTTGGGTGTTAGTTCGCTGACAGATGGATTGAGTTCTGGATCCCTCAATAGAGCGACCCCGGGGGGGCTTGCCCTACCGAGGCAAATGACATTCGTATCAGGAAGGCAAAGGAGACTGCTCGGCCACGGCCTCTGCAGACATGGAATTTTGTAATGGTCCGCGAGCTAAAGCAACCGAGAGAATCTCTAGGTCGTGCTTCACTCTGTTCGTCAAAGAGCTTCTTCGGAAGGAACAATGATCATAGGAAAATCGTCAGAAGATATCTGATACAGTCGAAGTGCCATCGTTTACGGACTGCTGGGTAGCGAAAAGAATCGCACAAAGAACTACACCGCCATTCCCCCCAAGGCTGCGTCTAGGTTATCTTGGAACTCATCTCGCATGTCTTCGAAGCCACAGGGAACGGGAGATGTCCAACGGGAGCCACGTTACCTTAAATTCCACGGTTGAACTCGACCAGACCACCCTCTCCACCTTTGTCCCAGAACTCTCTCTCGAGGCTTCTCGCACCGACAGCCTGCCGTTGTGGAAACGCTGCCAATGCCAGTGGTAGTGCGAAAATACTCGTTGTGAGAATTAGACCGAGATTGACGGGCAGGACCATCTTAGGCCGTTGCTTCATCCACTCCGTTTTTTGCAGTCGGACGAGGGCGAGTGGCGGAATGACCATGATGGGCGTCGCATTCAGAACTCGCGAGATGGCAGTTTCGCCCACAGCCAAAACAGCGGCTTTGCGCGATTTTCCTAAGCTGGGGACTTCCTTTCCGGTTTTTTCGCGCTCGGATTTTTCAGCTTCGGATTGAACGGGGAAGATATCGATGCCCCGACGGATCTCTTCGCCTCGCATTAGGAAGACGTTCAGAGCACCCGCAGAAGCGACCGCAGCGAACGGGACCAAGCGGCTCAAGATTAGTTTGATGTTGGGCGAGACACGCTTGAGCCGGGGCACAATAGAATTTAGCCCTACAGCGACGGAGCAGGATGCTGATACGGCGAGAACGTAGCTCTGGATTAGAGTCTTTGTGGATAATGGGGAGGATTTGTTGGCGTTCGCGCTGTTAATTGCCACGTTGAGGGATTGGTTGATGATTTGCCATGCCACTGTGCCCGTTGTCTGACAACATCAGTAAGCATCTTTGTCAACGGGGGCTTGATTGGACAACCATACAGTCATGTTTGGTGTGAGCATGCCTGCCGTCACGACAAGATTTGAGATGACGAAGCATGACATGCGGAAAGGGAGGAAAACTGGCTCTCCAGTATCTAGATTTTGTCAGTTACCCACAGCCCGGTACATGCGAGTCCGTAGTCCAAAGCCGCATTCATACCAGGATGAAGGGTAGAGTCTACAATTTTCTTTGCCTCCCATATCTCTGGTGTCATCACTCTTGCTTCCCCCGTCTTGTACGATGTTACCAGTTTCTTCGCATTTTCAAGGCCGGAGGTGGAAACGAATAATGTTCTATAAGTCAGGAGGTTAGCCTATGCTGTGCTTTCCGATGTTGCTAGGCGTGTGTTGGCTGCGGTATATCGCTGTACCTTCAGCACTAGTCTACCGCGTAATCGATCGCCAGCCATATCGAAAATTGTCATGTCATTGTCTGCTCTTCCTCACCTCGGGTCTGCTATCTGTGCCGATTGCTTGACACGGCCCCAATAAGTAGAGAGGTCATACTGAGATGCCGGTAAGTCGCGACTGCCTGGCAGTGACGCAGACATGGCAGGCCACGGCGGCCGATGGGATGCGAGAGGGTCACGAACAAGTCTGCTGCAAGACGGTGAGGTTCTGTTGAGTGGAAAACATTGTAGTGAATCAGAACCATTGCGACTTCGGCGGTCAATGCCAGAGAACAAGGCAGGTATGGCGAGCGTGCAGCCTTGTTACATACCGATGCTAACCGAAACAATCTCCCCTCCCATCTCACAGCCTTACAAAGGGCTCCAGAGAGGTCCTCCTGTCAATACTACATACCCTTGCTGGTCATTGACGTTGCATTCCAGCTTATCTTGGAATTCTCTGCCTCCGGCCTTCTCCATCTATGCTACGGTCCTGTCTTTACGAGGTGCGCAAATTTGCCGGCAAGGGCTTGCGCCCACAATCCATCCATCTTGTTCGCGTCCTCGATCAGGAACTTTTCACTCTCGTCCGGGTACTGTGTCGATTCCCGATACCACAAATTGTCCAATGCGCATTCCACGACCTCACCAGCCTTGATCTGCCCATCCGTGCCATCACTCTTCCCGTCCTGCACCACTCGGCCTTTCTCGTCGCTGAGCTCGTCGACAGCTCGACAAACAATGTCGACTTTCGTGATCCAATGCTGCGGCCACACCTCTTTTAACCCCTTCGGGGATAGAGGAGTGGGAATGAATGACGGACAGGTCATATTGAGTGCTATATTATCTGTTCGCAACAGTTGAGGCCCTATCGACCTGACGAGCCCGACCAGACCATGTTTTGAGGCCGCATATTGGACACAGGGAGCGAACGCGTAAATTGATGCAAGAGACCCTGTGATAATCATCTTAGGATTGAAGCGACTTTCATCGGTGCCGGTATCCCGTTGCGTTTTCCGCGAGTAATGGATGAAAAGCTTCAACTGCCACATCACACTGGTGAGATTGACATCTGTTGGCCGCATGTTGGGTTGCTCTGGATCCTTGTCGAGGTCCGTCTGTCCCATCAAGGAATCTAGATCCGAGATTCCGGCGTTTGCAACAAACAGGTCAATCCGTCCTCCTGACCATTTGTGGGCGCTTCGAAAAAGCTCGAGATTGGAGTCCCAGGAGGTCACATCAGTTTGGAAGAACGTGGTTCGTGAAGCATCTAATGTCGATGATGTATTTTCCCAATTCTTGTACTGACTGCTTGCGATGATTACACGCCAGTCTTTCTTGAGCAGATGTCGCACAATCCCCAACCCTATCCCTGTCGCACCACCAGTGACAATTGCCGTTTTTACCATTCTGACATGAAGAATCAGTTGATAGGAATCGATCTACTCGGACTAATCACTTGGAGCAGAAATCTTCATGCGGACCAGATATTACTCCAGTCTACCCACCAGCGATCTTTTACAAGCTCATGTTCCTGACTCGTTCTGGACGTAGTCAGGTCTCTGCAACTTTGGGCGAGTAGTGGGGTCCCCGCGAGATCACTTCAATAATCGACCACACCCCGCGGAGAGTTCCAACTGGGCCGTGGGTCAGGATTTCAACTCCTCGGGCCGATCTGAATTCATCTGCTTCCCAGTGTACGTGTCAGAAAGCCTCGATTCACATCAATATTACCATTTCCGGGATATATTATTCAAATACCCAAGCCGGCCAAACCTGACTACACAAGGAGGATGATCTAGAGCCCATCCAAAATCGCGAGATTGATGATGATGCAAAGATTTACTCCTGCTGCACCCTTGAACCAAGGTCATCTCAAAGAGACCTGGAGGAGATGAAGTATGAAAGCCCACCATTTTCGCTCTTATTTGGGAGAGTGCAAACGGCAGTCCACTTTTCAAAGATGGGTTTTTGACGAGAACACTCTTCCTAACGGAGACATCAAGGTTGCCGTCAGATATGCTGATTCCCTATGTCCTGTCGACCCTGTCCATCCAGTCACCTCAATCTGGTTCCGGACTGCCGGTACCTATAGAAGATATTGATCAAGTCAGGCGAGACATGAGAGGGTCTGGATATGGCCTCGTCAAGGACGCTCTCAGCAAAGAACAGGTTGAGATTCTTGGGGGCCCTACCGCACCAACCAACGAATTGGGACTTTGATCAACAAAGGGCAAGAGTTTCTCAACCTCCCGGAACATCCGTTGATCGATGAAATCGTCCCTGAAAGTCTGGGCCAAAACCTGTCGCTCCACAGCTACAGCGCCAACATCGCCCGCCCAGGAAACGCTCCAATGATCCTTCACACAGACCGCGTTGGCATATAGCCTCCTGCCCGTAGTGTTTTCTTCCGGACTCGACATCATGTGGTTCCTGACAGATATCACGGCAGACAATGGAGACACTCGTGTCTTCCCTAGCAGTCGCATCGGCGCCATCGCTCCTTTCAACATTGACGGCACCGTCGCCGCTGAGGGACCTGCGTGAACCACACTCGTGTTTGAAAACCGGCTCTAGCATGCGACCGGACCAAACAAAATCATCCGTAGTGGACGACCTGTTCCTTCATGCGCTCATTCATCTGGCAGCAGGGAAATAACGTCTTGTCCATTCATCCAGAAGTCGAAGCCCACAATGTCCGATCGCGTCCGGGAGATATTGGGCTTTTGGCGGGGTGGAAGGCGAGGTGAGAGAAGGGAGACATGTCAAGAGACTGACAAGTCCTATCGGGCCGTTCAGAGACACACATAAGCACACGCCATATCGGTAGGAAATGAGAGCTCAAGGTGTCACGAGCGGGGCGCACTGCGGGATTTACTGGGAATATGTAAATGTATTCTGAGCATGTTCGGACTGATCTTCACGCTGCAAGTTAGAAGGTCTGGCCAATATATGAAGCTCTAAGGCTCTCTCTCAATTTAATTTTACCACAAAACAGAATGACGACCGACAGAATCCTGATTGCGGAGCCGATTTGTCGGCAAGGGACATTTAGATCAGTCACGTGAATAGCAAGGCTGAGTCAGGCTAAACTGATTGGCTCTTTTTACCACCCCTGGATATTTCATCAGATCTCTCACTCTCAACCTGTGTGTCGACGGACATTGTTTCCAACTCCGATTTCGATGGATCACTATGGTCTCATCCCTACTGATGCCCTGTTTATATTCTTCCGATCGACATGACGGGAGAGAGTTCGACCATTGTGGGTCCCCGTGTTACGTGGCACGAATGCAGTCTACTCTGCAAACAGCGAAGCTAGAAATCTTGTTCCTACAGGTGAAGGTAAATGCTATTGTAGGTGATGACTTTACTATACGTCTTATCGATGGACCTGCGTTAGTTTGTTTCCATCGTGGCTGTCACCAATGACATCGAGTGTGCGTTGGCATTGTCACCGGCATCACTATGTGTTTCGACCGACTCTCGGTCGCCAGTCACCAACTGCCTCCACTTGATATCACTTCTGGAACAGCTAAATACCTATGTATTGAGCCTGGGGTCGATTAAGATACCCTTATCTGCTACGATCCAGCACAACCTATTTGTACATCTTCGTTCCTGAGAATAGCAGCCCTCTGAACCAACGACTGAAAAATATGCCAGGCCCAAGGTTCGAGAACAAAATCATCCTCGTCACAGGCGGAGCATCCGGCCTAGGCGCCGCCGCGTGCGACCTCTTCGTCTCAGAAGGCGGCACTGTCTTCATCATGGACCTCGATGAGAAATCTGTCTTGTCACAACTTCCCGGAGACAAAGCGCACTTCTTCCGCGGCGACGTCTCGAAGCCCGAAGACTGCGAAGCTGCAATCAACACATGCGTCGAGAAACTGGGACGCCTAGACGTCTTGTTCCACAACGCAGCACGACCGGCACCCATGACGACAGTGCCGTATCACGACCTCGCGCTCTTCCAGCAGATCATCAACACGAACCTATGCTCGCTATTTTACCTCGCGCGCATCGCAATCCCTCAAATGCAGAAGCAAGGCAAAGGCGTCATTGTCGCCACAGCCAGCTCCAGCGCCCTGGCTGGCGAGTATGGGCTGGCGTCGTACTCGGCGAGTAAGGCTGGAATGCTCAATCTTATGCGCACTATGGCGCTCGATCATGCAAAGGATAATATTCGCATTAACGCGATTTGCCCGGGCTATATGCCGACCCCGATGACGGAGGGATTGGGCGAACTTGTTAAGGTCGTTGAGGACAGTATTCCGCAGGGCCGCGGTGGGGATCCCAAAGAAGTCGCGCAAACAGCGTTGTTTCTTGCCTCAGAGGACGCGTCGTATATGACGGGTCAAGGTAAGCCCACGACCCCTTCCTGAATGGGAGCTTCAGTCTTGAGAGAAAATACCATGCGTTCAGTGAGTCTTCACGAGGGAACAGACACTGATGTCGTTCGCGCATATAGCTCTCGTCGTTGATGGTGGGTGGTCCGCGCATTCCGGCGCTCCGAATCTCCTGAAATATGTCCCACAGCAGGTACCAACAGTTTATCTTCCACAAGGGGATGATTTTGTTTTACTGAAGCATTTTGGCAGTTCCGATACGACGAGAAATAAGCCAGCCGGGCTGCGAGTGTATACGTTCATTCTCCTTGCAATATTGGCGAGACGAAGATCTGGTTACAGAGGAGAGAAGAGATTGAGTGCCTACAGAAAGACATCATGATCAGATATCGAGGATTTGTCGACTTAGTCAAAGAGACGTTGCTAGCCCTGGTAACCAGAGATATTTAGACCATCATCGAATGAAGACCGATTGGTTGAGCTAGCGCTCCCTCATTATTTCGGCTCTCGGTTGCCAATGATATCTAGGACATGTTCCTATCCCATTACCTTCAACCAAAGTGCTTTTGGTCTTCCAATTCCCATCCATCCCTTAGTATTACTAGGAGAGGACAACGCATCCCCAGCCACCCAACCAACACCTAGCCCCATTCAAATCCCGTACAATGGAGTATTAGAAACGCAGAAAGCTAAAGCCTCCTCCCACGACCGGGTGACGAGCAGACACTCTGGTTGCGCTGCAGGAAAGCGGGGAATATATATAGAATTAGTATATCCTCTCTGATCGCATGTCGGTCCCTTGTAGGACCAATGAAATTTGATTTCAATGCCCGATTTGGTTTGCTCGGCTTCGACTCGATTCAATTCGACTCGCTAGGTCCGACAACTCTCGAGCGGATAGGGTATATACAATGTTTCGTTCGGTTGAGTGGTTCTTGTCTTAGATCCGGGGGACGGATAGATGCAATGGTGATCCGAGCACATCGTATTTTAAAGCGACGTCTCACTCTTTCGCAGCGTTAGTAGAATTTGCCCTCTTCGTGTCCACACTTGTCTTGTCATCCTCTTCTTTCTTATTCTCTTCGTCTGTTTTGCCCTCATCAACTTTGATATCCTCGTCTCTCACATCCTGATTCTCACCAACGATCTTATCTTCCTCCTGCTCCTGCTGTTCCTGCTGTTCCTGCTGTTCCTCCTGTTCCTCCTGCTTCTCCTGTCTCTCCTGCCCCTCCTGTTCCTCCTGTTCCTGCTGTTCCTCCTCCTGTTTCTCCTGCTTCTCCTGTTTCTCCTGCTCCTCCTGTCTCTCCTGTTCCTCCTGTTCCTCCTGTGCCTCCTCCTGTTTCTCCTCCTGTTTCTCCTCTTGCTCCTCCTGTTCCTCCTCCTGTTCCTCCTCTTGCTCCTCCTGCTCCTCCTGCTCCTGCTCCTCCTGTTTCTCCTGTTTCTCCTGTTCCTCTTGCCCCTCCTGCCCCTCTTGCCCCTCCTGTTTCTTCTCTTTATTCTCCTCGCTGTCCGTCACTGTCTCTACCTCTGGCTGACCGGTCACCTCTTCGGCGCCGGTGCCATTTTCGTTTGGGGACTTTTCGTCTTTAACTGCTTCAGTTGTTGATTCCTCTTCTTTTTCCTTCACATCCTCGACTGTACCATTTACTGACTCGGTTGCAGCTGCTGCAGGTTCGTCGGGTTCGTCGGGTTCGTCGGCTGTTTTCTCGGCTGTCTCGATCACTTCATCTTTCACTTCTGCAGCACTCGATGTGGTGTTGTCAGCCGCAGACTCGACCTTTTCCGTAGTCTCCTCGCTAGGAATACTTGTTATTTCCTCTTTGGCCGTCTCAGCCGCAGACTTGACGTTCCGCATAGCCATTTCAACAGCTTTGGCAGTGCTCTCCTTTGCCGATTGCACCTCAGATTTTATCTCCTCTTTGGTCTCGTCATCAGCTTTTCCAGTTGCCGCAACTTTCGCTTTATCGACGGTCTCTTGTAAATTCTTCCTGACCTTCTCCACATCTCGCTGAACCTCCTCTTTAACCTTTTGGGGGTCAACCCTTGACAGAGTCTGCTGCATCTTTTCCAACCCTCGCTTGGTGTTGATTTTTGCTTGTTCTGCAGCCTCTTTCAATTCTTTCTTGACTTCTTCTCCATCGACGGTCACAGCATCTTCTCCAATGTCCTCGGATGTTCGGTGCATTTGTTCCACGACATCCGTCAGGCTCTGGGCGAGTTCCTTGGACGCATCTTGGAGACTTTTCCGGGCCAGAATAGCTCTCTCGCTGGCAGTGCTGCTCCGCCTCCTCTCCATTCGCTTCAGGTAAGAAGTGATGAAGAATTGTACGAACAACCAGGTCAGAGGTGCAAGGTACATGCAGTTGAGCAGGATAGCAAACACTTGACCACTTGTATCCAGGCAGTTCACCCATCGCAATTCATCCTTGTATCTTGTTTCTTCCCTAGCAATCAGCTGTTCAACAATGCGAACGGCATCATTTCCGAACGGGCGACCTTCCTCGTTGACAACGTTTGCGGCAAGACCCTCATGGCCGGCGGCACGCAGAGCAGCCTTCTTCAACCAGGCGCCTATACCTGCGGATGCTATGGACATTGCTGTGGACGCGACGGAGGAGATATCGGTTGGCGCACTTGGCACGGCCTTCGAAGCCACTCCTCCAAGGTCGTAAAGGTAAGGCACACTAACCGGGATTTGATAGGCGACGAAGAGATGTGAAAAGGCATAAGTAGCTCCGACCACAAACTGGGCGATCTGAAGAGTCGTCAAGGATTGCTTGAACCATTTCGGCACTCGAATGCCCAGCGCAGAGAAGAGGTAAAAGGTGTACTATGTCTATTTTAGCAGTGTATCATGACGGGAGTGCTTTTCGACTTACCATGATGGCGTGGATGCCGGAGTTCACAAGGACAAACATCCAAATAGGAGGGGACATATATCTGATTCCTGCCCACATGCATAACATGGCTCCCGCATGGTGGTATGTTTGCAACAAGCTGCTCTTCTTCCCTTTCGCCAGGATGATACATGTATCTATCACCTCATAGAATTTGGATAGGTAAAAGAGCCAGCCATAGAATGCCAATCCTTCATTCCAGATCCTGCCCACATCTGTGCTCTCAGGCGTAAGACCGTCTGCGGCAAGGTGAAATAGACGATTCGTCATGGTCCAGGCACTCGTAGTCGTGTTGTAAGTCGCAGCATTTCCAGGTCCTCGAGGTCCATGCATCTTGCACAGCGCATCCACTGTTGCCGCGATGCTCGTCTCTTCGTTCCATTCTGGTAGACACAAGTTTAAGGCGTTTATCATCCCGACACATGTCCATGCAGAGTACGTCGCCAGAAAGACATTATGGAGTATGACCAGGAGTTTGAAGACTCGTGTTCTGCTAAATGCCCAGGGCTTGTATTTGCGGTTCGCATTCACCGAGTTCATGAAAGTGACAAACGTCATGTAAACCAAGGCAATTGTGATGGGTACATTGGGCGAGAGGAGGCCATTGTAGAGGCTGGAAGGGATCGTAAATGGGTGCGCGAGCGTTGGATGGTCTGATGGAGGAGGCAGAGTTGTCGGTTCGGATGAGGGAGGGAACTTGAAGAACGACGCAGGCAGCGTAGTGACCTTGACTCTCGGGACAGTCTTGCTCAAACCGAGCCAGTCGAGAGTCTCGGACACTGACATGGTGCTGATTCAGAAGAGAGTACGCGGTCGTCCAAAATCAACGGTGGGTAGGTGGTCGCGTGAGGGAAGCAGATCGCGCAGGCCCTGGTATTGTGGCAGAAGGAGTGTGTTAACCAAATAAACAAAGGACTGGAAGTGCTAGAATAAAGTCATCGCATGTACACGTCCTGGCAGACCAGGTTTTGAGGCGGATGGTGACCAGTGAAAAAGCTCAAAGTGGTGCGAAATGATTTGAAGGCGAAATGTATGTATGCCTCAGGGCACCCCCCAAAAAAAAAGATCGAGCCCCAACGGTAGCACCAACGTCATGATCGATCAGCCGTTTTAACATCCGAGGCACGTAAAAAGGCCAGGGGAATTGGAATCAGACTTTTGTGGACTGATTCCACACCATCGGCGGTTTTATCCGCCACCAATCACAGTGATGCTCTCTACTAACTAGGACGGCATGCACCTTGCGAGACCAAGCTCCGTCCCTCCCAAATCAACCAGAGATCATAAATGAAGACCATTGAGTCGTCCAACAGGCTCTTGAGACTTCACGTGAAGCCCGTGGAACCCAAAGCCGATGACACCGTCAACATGTGCCCGTCCAACCTCCTCCATCGTCTTCGCATCCAGAATCAGAAGAAAACTTTTGCCGCCTGGACCATCGAGTACGACGGACAGAAGAACGCCACCATCTTCGTCGTCAGACTGAGGATCTGCCACAAAAATCGGCTCGCCCGCCGTCTGACCATGCTGGCTCCAACGCAACGTCGAATGAGTTTCCGCGTCATACTTGACCAGTCCGTCCACAAAGGAAGACTTTCCCGTGTCGCTAATGCCGTACATATACCGGTGCTTCTTTGTGACCACTTTGGGGTTGATGATCGGAAGCTCAAATGCATCTGCTTTGCTGCTGGTGTGCTCCAAGACAGCCTTGAAAGCGTCCGACTTCGCAATCGAGGGTATACATGGCAGGCGGTATCGCCGATAATCCGGGCGTGCGCTCGGAGTCAAAGCTTCCGCATATGCATGTGCTTTAGGTAAATTGCTGATCAGATTGTCCAGATAGAAGTGGTCCAGGACATCCATATTCTCGTAGGCGGCTAAATCAGCCACGATATCCACAGAGCCTTCATTGGTGCTCGACGGTTCCTCATAGGCGTTGATTGTATGGAAGGAGTAGAAGGCATCGGATGTATATTTGGCGATCAGTCCTCTGCCACCTTCTTCTGCTGGACGTTTGTCAACCACAAACCACGTCGTTGGTTGTTTGTCATCCCACATCATAGCGTCCAGGAGATTCCGATTCCACAGGATCGAGGCACCTCCAGCTTTGTAGAAGGAATTCCAAACACACAGCACCACATAATTCTCGGTGAGGAAAAGCGAATGTAGATACGCGGCCGAGTGATGGAATTTCGCCAAGATAGAGGTCTTCCCGGTGGATGCAGAAGCCCGAAAGACTCTATATGTGCCAGCCCGGCCAAAATCAAGATTGTAGTTGAAAACGTCGCCGGTCATTGGATCCGATTTGGCATGAGCACCACTGCCGGCCCCCTTGAGATCAGGATGGAGCGTGCTTTGCGAGGCGACGCCAACAGGCTCGAGCGTTTCCGGGTCAAGCATTTGGAAGACATTGGCGTCAGTCTTGGTGCACAAAGTCATTCCTTGATCGTGATTACCCAGTTTCTCTCCAGTGCTGGATAGACCCGGAAAGTTTACAGACATTGTCACTCCAACATTGACCTCGTTCGGTGCTGGGCGCGGTGCTGGTTGGAAAACGGATTGGATTTTCTGGAAGAAAGATTTGCACGGATCATACTTGGCAGCGAATGTAAAGCCATCGAGTTTTCCGGTCTTTTTAATCTTCTCAATCAGTCCATCACTGGTTAAGCGTGAATTGTAAGTGACTCGAACTGGTGAACCAGATTGGGGGGCATGGATTTGGAAGCGATGAACTTGTGAGAAGTTGTCGAACCAATGATTGACACAGAACTCATTATCTTTTGATGTCGAAAAGGTCCTCGGTCCTAGACCCGTTCGGAACAGGGTGCCAGCGGCGTACGCTGGAATGGTACCTTCAATTCGTAACTCGACTGGGGTTCTCTCCTCGTAATGAGTATCAAACTATGATTCCAAAGCGTTAGACACACTCAATAATAGAAAGGCTATTTCATACGCCCCAAGTATTTGGCCAGTCCTTGTAGTGTGAAGGAGGGGTGGGTTTCACAGTAGTTGTTGCGCCCATCGTGGACCGAGATGTATCTGGACCGAAGGAGGGATGGCCTTCTGATAGCGCGGAAGCCAATGTAAGAGATGCAGCGATTCAATGAACTGAGTTCCCCAATTACCATGGCATGTTCTCACATCATTATCCAATCCCACAACTATACCTTTGTGTTTATATGCCGGCTAACGTATAGAAGCCACATCGGCGTCGCGATTTGAATCTGTCCGTGCTCTCCCTCCTAAGGACGTAAGCATTGTACCCATCGGCGACCTTGTCACGAGCAAAATACATGAACAGTCAAAGCGAATAACCGAAATAAGCATCAAAGTGCGAGTCCGGTTTGAGGGAGCCTTGTTGGTGCACTTACGGCCGAGAGTGACCCAACTCTAATCCAAGAAGAATGACTTTCGCGAACTCCAAAAATTCCCACGACTGGGAGCCGCTTCCTTTAATCCCGTGTAAGAACCATCCTCCACACGTTCGCCTTCGTGACGAGGTCGTCTAACGCAAAGGAATGAGGGAAGGAAGAGCGTGGGCCAGGGATTTCCTAGAAAAGAATGCCATGTAATATAAAGCCGGCCCATGACTTCGCTTATTCCTTGCATTCCAAGGCACGCTATTCGACATCCTATAGCGAGTGGTGGAGCTCTGGGCAAGTTAATTGGCACTTGAGACATGTTCGAGAAGCTCTTGGGATGGGGTCATGACGTTCATGAGGCAGCGCAGTAAGTCGTCCCAAGCCGGAAAGCCGCATTACAGCGCTCATGGTTCCAGCGTGGCGCGCAATGTGAGCAGCCGTCCGCTGAGCAACAAGGCAATGTCGATCTCACTCAAAGTGAGCAATTTCCATCATAGGGATTGGACTGACCCCAGGCATGGAGCATCTGTCGATGTCCTCTGGGCTTGCTGGGCACAAGAAAAAAAAGGACCAGAATTACGGCAGTGAGAAAGGCGAGCCAAGACCGATGGTTTCGCCTAAATTACTCCTTCGGGAAGACCTCTCGCTTGTTCAGACATCGTTTAGCGAGGCATTGCATTCGAAGTCTTTGTCTGTTGACATTGGTAATACTACCGTTCTCCTCTGCACATTCGGCGGGTGCGACTGACTGACACACCTCCTAACTGCCGCATACTCTTCCTCCCTCCCCCTCCTTTGCTCGGCAAGCGTCAAACCCGTACTAGTAGCCATGGTTAGTGTTCAGGATCCGGACGTGGAAATGGAAGACGACTATGACGAAGAGGCCGACAGTGATTTTCAAGAAGATGACTCTGGTGCCGAAGATGCCACTTCCTCATCCGACGAAGAGGACCAAAAGGGTGAAAATGTCTCTCATCGCCCTCTAAAGAGACGGAAAGTCGAGAAAGCGCAAGAAGAGAAAATCGTTGAACTAGATTCTGGGGACGAGGCCACGATAAATGAGCAGAAAAAGACACACCGGAAACAAAAGAAGCCGGGATTTGAAGAACTAGATGACAGCGGGAATGAATCGGAGAGATGGCGAGCACGCACCCGTGCTATGCGTGTCAGAGAAAAGGATGAACGAAGGCGGAGTAAATTGGCATCGATTAAGGGCAGCACAGTTGACGTGGACAAAATATGGGAAGAGATGAATCGACCAGGCCCGCTGCCTCCGCCACGTTTAGAAGGCGATACTATCGACCAAAAGGGACCGCCAAAAGGGACGCCAGGTTCCACGTTGATCAGTGGCGATGTGAGTAAAGAGAATGTTCCGGCGACCGATGCCGAAGAAACAATCACAATCAAACGAACATACAAGTTCGCGGGTGAGGTTCACGTCGAGGAGAAAACGGTCCTCAAGTCTTCCGCCGAAGCTCAGCTTTGGCTATCCCAGCAACAGTCTAAATCTGAGACTTCCGCACCGGGAGGCAAGGTAGTGCACAGACCTTTACGCAAAATCTCACGCTTTGATCCTAACTTCAGCAACCTGGACGCGTTCAAAGCATCTTGGGCACTTAAAAATGTACGCGGGGCTAGCTTCAAAGGGCCCAAACTTAATGTCGTTGAGAAGAGCAAGATGGACTGGGCTGTTCATGTTGATACTGAAGGCCTGAAGGAAGAGCTGGATACACACGCAAAGGCCAAGGAGGGCTATCTCAACAGGATGGACTTCCTGAAAGGTGTGGAAGAGCGAAAAGAAGCTGAGGCTCGAGCGGCAAGGCTGAATGGACGTTGATGGAGTTCTGGTCATGAGCGGCCTTCCGATCATCCATACCAAAGCAGTCATAGTTGGATGCTCTTTGCGTTCCATGATGTCTTCTGGATCCAGGTCCTTATAGCTGCTCCGTGTTTGCCTCGGCTTGTCCAGTGTTCCCCAAGTGCATGCTGAAACTCATGATCAACTTTGCACTCCAATCTCAGCATCAACACAATACCCTGCAGGCCAAGCCAAGATTCTTTCAACTTTGTCTGCCTTTGTCCATGTCATTCATGCTCATGATCTGACTGGTTTCCCATGTTCGCAAGAATGCACGAGTCCCAAACGCGATTGGCTTGTTTGCTATCAAGCTCCATTCGTTGCCGGTCGCCGGCTGGCCACTCTCCTCAGGGCAAGATTTTCCCGGCGAAACGAATGTTATCAGCATCACCTGTGAGAAGGTCAGATGCAAGTCGAGGTTCACCGACGTTACGTCGACCGACCTGCTCTGCATGAGCTACGATTGCATCCAGGACCAACAGCTTACCTGCTTCTCCCCTCGATAACACACCCGAAAAGCTGTGGCTCCGGATGCTTCGAGCAGCTAGTGCTCCTGAGACAAAGGCGGGAGAGTCACGTAAATTTGTCACAAGAAAGGTTATCAGTGGAATGTGCGGAGAAAGCAGTGATCGACTGAGCAAAATGATAAAAAAGCTCGAGAACTTGAAAAGGCGAGCACAAGGCCGTCATCGGTGTGTATCCAGCATCTTCTCATCTTTCTCCGCTGACTCATGTGCAAATAGATGGACTGCGATTGCAAGCCAAAGGGGACCGAATCGCGCGGAGAAGAGATTCCAAAGTAGGCATAAAACACGACCAATCTACTTTGCACATAAAAAGATCTCGAGATATCTGCCCTGATTCGAAGAGACCTTCATGAGACGGCAAACAGAACTCGAAGCTTGCGAGCTTCGTCTTTCGAGGTTCATGTGTACTTCTGACTATGGTCTCCATCTCTAACTTAAACGGCGGGTACATCGTCTCCACTTTACGACTCCTTCCACCTATGCACACGCAGCTTCATCATCGACAGTCATTTCATTCCATATTGCAGATGATCGACCACGTTCGTTGAGGGGGGAAACGGCCGACGAGGATTTCTTCCATGGGAAATGTTGAAGATATCTGGAGCCATACTTTGGAAATGCAAGGCCTCGCCGACCAATCTGTCGAATATTTCGATAAGACATAGTTCTGCAACCGGTATGCACTTGGTCGCTGTTTTCCCGACAGAAATCTGACAGGATTTTTAGCCCGTACAACCGAGCTCTTATTTCCAAGCAAATATTGGCGGATCTCAGTCTTTTGCCGAATCATTCTTCCGATTCATCTGCTCTTTTGTCCATATACGCTTTGTTTGCAACATCAATCCCACTCCGAACCTTGAAGGACATCTCTTCCATGTGTGGCCTTGTCCCGGAACCTTCGTCCGAAGATCTATCAACGCAAGAGCGAATCCATATGGAAGAAACATCCAATTGACGTTCATGAGAAAGACTCTTATAACCTAGGGGGTATCTCGAATCGAGTTCTTCATTGCAATTGTGTTTCTCTTTCTACTGATATCTCTGTCTCTACGTTGCACGGACTTGCTACCAAGACCATCTTTGCCGGTGATTACAATCCTCGATCCGGAATTTTCTTTGCGCACAAAGGTGAGGAGCAGTGGGTTTTTAAGGACATCGTCGCCCCTACCTCTTTCCAAGGCTCGAAACCGCATCCGGGCTTTTTTCCCACCAGCAACTACTATTTCGGAGGGGGTGATATGGGGGCTGTCAAACCAGCATCTCTCTCGACTCGAACCAACAACTGACACACCACACAACAGGTCGAAGTAAGAGCGTGTGTCTAAGGATCACTTCAAAGGTAGATAAGTAGACTCTTCCATACGAAGTAGGTAGGTAAAAACGTCGAGATACACCAAAGGTGGGCTGGGAACACTCATGCCCAGTTGTCAATTGCTGTTGTTGCTAACTGTCTCCTTCCTATTCTCCATGTGCTCCCCCCTTCTTTTTCCCATATACACTCGACCAGGGTAACTTTCGTAAGCAGGAAGCTGTATCACGTGGCTATCGGCAGCCTATCGTTATAGGGTCAATAGGCTTTACCTTTAACTAATTTCTAGGGAACAATTAGCTATAACCTTGCCTATCGTCCTCTTACTCAAGCAGCGCTAATAGTTAAGATTTCGGGGCCCCACTTGGCTAGGCTTCCGCTACCGGCGCCTGGAACTGCAGGCTTCAGATCACGTGCCACTTGTTCAGAGCTAACGACCGCTACTTGGGAAGTTCTTTGGTCCGAATGGTATCGACCCTTCTAATCATCTAGTAAATAAATCTCGTGCTTTCTGCTAACCGAATGGAAAATAGATCACCCTCTCACCGGCCCATCCATCCTCCGTCAACTGTCAACACCTCTCCACTGACGTAGGCGCTCGCTTTGCTTGCGAGATACACGACTGCGCCCTTGAAATCTTCTGGCTTGCCCCATCGGCCTGCGGGAATTCTCTCTAGAATTTGCCTCGCCCTCGTCTCATTCGCGATCAACGCCTCATTCATGTCCGTATCGATGTAGCCAGGCGCAATTGCGTTGACCTGAATACCCTTGCTGGACCACTCGTTACTTAGTGCCTTGGTCAATTGTGCCACACCACCCTTTGACGCCGCATATGCTGGAACCGTGATTCCGCCCTGGAACGTGAGAAGAGAAGCAACGTTGATAATACTTCCTCGTGATCCTGAGGCTGGCGGAGGTTTTGATAAGAGATAGGCACCAAAGTCGCGACATAGCGTGAATACCGTGGTTAGGTTGACTTGTAATACCGAGTTCCAGTCTTCCAGTGGGAATTGGTGTGCTGGATGTCTCTTCTGAATGCCTGCGCTAGTCAACAGAATATGCATGTCGTGGCCGGCTTTGACGAGCTTCGGAATGACATTCTCAACCGACGATTGATCTGAAAGATCTGCTGTGACAATTGTGGCTTTCCGTCCCAATTCTTGGATCTGGGTGTATGTCTTCTTGTTGCTTTCGTCTCTCTGTTAACTTTGGTGATCAGCACAGTAGTCTTCGCGTTGATTCATGGATATCCTTCGCAGAGGTTTGTTTGACGGTTCCCTACCTGAATGAGGATGATATCTGCACCAGCTTCTGCCAGCGCAATAGCCATGGCGGCACCAATACCCCTTGTGCCCCCAGTGACCACGGCTGTTTTGCCGGCCAGAGAGAACATCTTGACCAGGGCCTCCATCTTAGATAACTGCGAAACAGTGGGCTGGTTGGGATTTTTAGAGATGACTTTGTTCCCAAAACCGAACGACGAAGAAAGAGCTGTGGCAGAACAGTGGTTCTAGTTCTCATTTGAATCGGTCGATAGTCACCCTCTCATATCAAAATTCCTCTGATACTGAATCACCAAACCAGTAATTCACGGCGAAGACGCCGGCGCCATGTGAACCACAGGACAAGACACCCAGAGCCTGAGCGGTCGGCTATTGAAGTTCGGGAGAATCAAAAGCCGACAATGAAGAGTATGGGGGTCGATAATCTCCGCTCAAATGCCCCTGAAAGTCAGACAGCCTCGTCAGGGCTCGGAGAGAACGGCGTCACTAGTCAAGCGATAATTGAGCCTGGTCGTGTACTTACTGTCATGTTTGATTCAACAGAGTGCCGGAATGACATTTGATCAACCGTCAAGCGCGACATCTCGGACATCCACAACAGGCTCTCAGGCTTGCCAATATAGGCCAGGTCATCCCTCGTTCTCGGATTCAATGAGAGAACGTTGATTGCCGACATGGATTCGCCAATATACGTTCATCTGTCGAGACAACCATGACAATGGATGCGAGGAAAGAGGGCGTTTACGCCTGGAGATTGTCGAAAATCTTGTTATAAAAGGACTAGGCCACCACCTCTGGTATATCCATCCCCCAGTCTTTCACCAATAGTCAATCGCTGCCTTTGTCGCGGATTTCTTGTCAGTCGTTTTGCAGTGTTTAATTTTCCAATACCAAGACAGAATGTGGTCGGTCATCAGCTGGCCGGGCCACACCCCTTCCTTATTTGCGTGTATGAACGCCGCTCCACTCAAAGGAAAGGGGTCTGCCCACTTTCAACACCTAAGATCTGCTCGACTGATGAGAGGCAGCGGTTCTACAGGCGCTCGTTGACGAATTCACCTTCTGCTCGCGGTATGCAGTGGTAACATTTTGCTTAAAGAACACACAAGCAACGTATACTGGTACAATTCCCTGTTCCGTCCCGGAGCTTGCCCCTTGTTGAAACAGCCGGTGTAGAACTTGTTCGGACATTTCAAAGGTAATTTTTACCGGTTGTTCTTCCGCCGTAAGACGATTAATATGATACCACAGGCTTCGTTGCTGTCGATCACACGAACGAGGTGATCGTGGTAGCTTTCCGTGGAACTATTTCGACGGGAAATAAACATGCCGACCAGAAGATTATTTCAAATGGCCATTCTCTGTGCGGTTCTCTGCGCGCCAAACTCAATGATTATTACTGGAGCCTTTTGAACAATGATCAATGACGCCTCCATCAGCTGTCCAAAAGAGAACCTAGTACAAACAGCCACACGAGGCTGGCCTTTGGAGGAAGGCATTTGACCTTGATCTTGTTATGTCTTACCTTCACTTCCTCGGCTGTTGTAACACCTTTGGGTCATCTCCTGTTATTGGGAATCTCGATGATGGGCAGCAAGAGACCCAATAATCAGGTCCGAGACCACCCCTTATCAATCACCGTGGTGTATCAACTTCGCCCAGCAGCCACGAACCAAAACGAAGACGTACTCCGGCTCTATGCGGACAGAGAGAACAAACCAAGTTAGCCTAGTGGAATGGAATCTCGACGGAGGGAGATGGGCCGAAACGGGTAAAATGTCGATGGTAAGGGAATGGGCGGAGAGATAATCCGTTAAGTCAGCGATGGCAGTCCGAAAGAGGGAATCTCGCGGCGGTCACTGAAAATTGCCGAAGAAAACGCCCCACAGCAAGGGTAAATAGTGGGGTAACAGGCATGTCTTCTCAATATATACCGAATAATGCAGGAACATACGTCTATAGAGTACCAGAGATACATTACCTGCGGATTCCTATTTCATACCCGGCATCACCCATCGCCTATCTTCCGAGTTAATCATCTTCCATCTTTCGTGTCCGTTTCAGTCGTATATATCTCTTTCGTTCCGTCTGCTCCCCCCACCGGAGAAAATACATCGCCAGGAAAGCAATATATCCGCGCCGGTATTTTCTTCGCCTCCGTCAATTCTTCGGTCATGTCTACTTCCACCATGACCACCACGGCCACCATTGGCACCATTCCTACCACCGGTGAATCCGATCTCACCAAGTCCAATATCGGCGTATTCACCAACCCCAAACATGACCTTTGGATCGCCGAAACGTCGCCGTCCCTCTCCGATGTGCAGGCAGGAAAAGGTCTGAAAGAGGGAGAAGTCTATGTGGGCGTAAAGTCCACTGGCATATGTGGCTCCGATGTTCATTTCTGGCACGCAGGATGTATAGGTCCCATGATTGTCACCGGCGACCATATCCTCGGTCATGAATCTGCAGGCGTTGTTCTCTCCGTCCATCCCTCGGTCGCCTCATTAAAACCGGGAGATCGAGTAGCCATCGAGCCCCATATTCCCTGCTTTAAATGCGAACCCTGCTTGACTGGAAGATACAATGGATGTGAAAGTGTCGAATTCCTCAGTACTCCCCCGATCGATGGGCTGTTAAGACGATACGTCAAACACCCTGCAGTATGGTGCCACAAGATTGGGGACATGAGTTATGAAAATGGGAGTCTGCTGGAGCCACTCTCGGTAGCACTTGCCGGTATGGATCGCTCCGGTATCAGACTCGGTGATCCGGTCCTGATATGCGGCGCCGGGCCCATCGGTTTAGTCACACTCTTATGCTGTGAAGCAGCTGGTGCTTGTCCTCTCCTCATCGTCGACATCGACGCCGGCCGATTGAAATTCGCCCAGTCTCTTGTCCCTGGTGTCTCAACATATCAAGTACCCATGGACAAATCCGCCGAAGAATGCGCAGATGGATTCATTGCGGCAATGGGAGGCATTCGACCCCGCGTCGCCATGGAATGCACCGGCGTGGAATCCAGCGTGGCGAGCGCCATCTGGAGTGTCAAGTTTGGCGGCAAAGTGTTCGTCATCGGAGTGGGCAAGAATGAGATGAAAGTACCCTTCATGAGACTCAGCACACAGGAGATCGATCTCCAATATCAATATCGATACAGCAATACCTGGCCCAAGGCCATCCGGCTGGTGGAAAACGGTGTGATCAAGCTGGATAAGTTGGTCACCCACCGATTCAACATTAGCGACGCGATCGAGGCGTTTAAGACCGCAAGTGATCCCAAGAGCGGAGCCATCAAGGTTCAGATCAAGAATGATGATAGCTTATAATCTGATTTCTGTTCTGGCCACAATAGCCATAGACCGGCGGGCGGGACGGATGTTTGAAGTCAAGATGATTTCAAATAGAGAAGCATACGGGGACCCCTGTTGGTGTTTGTTGCATCTGAGCGTGGGACACTTGGGATCCTGGGATCAGTTCAATCATACACTATAGCATACAGTTGAAATAGAATGCTCATGGCTTCTGCCTCCGAACAGAACGGAATAGAGAATTCAATCCTGATTCCACCATGGTCTTCATCCGGCTCACTCACTCGCTCATTCGCCGAACTCACCGAATCACACCCGGGATCTCCCTCCCGTCCAACCACGCCCGTACCGCTTCTACCTGCTGCTCGTACCACGCGTGCATCGTCTCGTCCTCGGCATAGCCCATGTGCGGGCTCAACAGGACTCTTCCCCGGCCCTCGACGCCCCAGTACCCATCCCTCCGCCACGGACTCTCTGCAGGCAAGGGCTCAGTGTCAAACACATCCAGCCCCACCCCGCGGATCGCGCCCGTTTCCAACGCACTCAACAATGCCGCCTCATCAATCAGCGGTCCACGTGACGTGTTGACTAGAAACGCAGACGGCTTCATGCCCGCCAGATCCGGCGCGCCGACAATCCCCCTCGACCGGTCCGAAAGCACGTAATGTACGGAGAGCACGTCGGCTTGTGCAAACAGTTCTGCCTTCGACGACGTCACCTGGAACGAGCCAGCGGGTAGTCCGCGCGACGCAGCCGCAACATCGGCTTTTTCCTGCGTCAGGCTGCTCGACCACGCGAGCACGCGCATGCCGAAGCCCAGGATCCCCGTGACGGCGCATTGGGTGCCTAGCCGTCCAAGACCCAAAAGGCCCAGCGTCTTCCCCGCCAACGACGAGGCGAGTGTCGTCTGCCATACGTCCGGTCTCGTCTTGAGCAAATGGTCACCGGTTGCGAGGTCCTTGGCTAACCCCAGGATCAGGGACCAAGCCACTTCGTTAGTGGCGTCGTAACCCTTGACGGCGTTGGGTTTGGGGCCCGTCCCGACCACGGTGATGGCCTGGTCTTTACACGCGGCCACGTCAATGGCCGCATTCCTGTTTCCCGTCGTCAATAGGACCTTTAAGTGGGGAAGCTGAGAGAGAAGTGAACGGGGGAATTGTGTCCGCTCCCGCATCGACGAGATGATGGTGAATGGTTTTAGACGTGCCACCAGCGCATCGTGATCCGAGGGGATGCGTGCGTTGAGGGTCTCAGGGAATGTGTGGATTTCGATTTTAGAAAAGGTCGTTAGAGGTTGGAAGTGAGGCAGGGCGATGCCGGCGTAGTCGTCAAGGATGGCGAGTTTGATGGGTTCAGACATGGTGGGTCTTGATATAGATTTTGGTTGATGGTTGGGATTTGGAACGTAGGGAGGTACAGGAGCAGGACGTGATATGATGTTGATTGTGGCAGAGAGTCTCTGGCTGGCCTTGTGCGTAATTCTCATGAATTAGATGGAGCGATGGATGCCATTGAAGGGAGTCTGTTATACCGTGTTTGACATAATCCTCCATGAGCAACGTGAACTGGGACTGGAGATGAATGTCGTGCTCGTTCGGCGATTCTCCGCTGTGGAGAAAGAGAGATGCCGGTTGCTGGGGTGGTCCGCTTACCCTCGACCGGATGACAAATGGTCTTCCTATATATTGGAGAACCTCGTTGGGATTCCACTTGAGATGATGGGCAAAGAGGCGAGATGTATCGGGAATAAGAGGCGGGTATGGAAGAGGGAAATTACGGCTGGTTACTTTTCTCCATTGCTCTCACTTCCCCAAATACGTCAACGCAGCTACAACCAACGCATCCACCCCGGTCGTCAACGTCGGCTGCAGAACCGGCGCAAAGTACGGACTATGGTTCACAGGGATATTTTGCTCCTCGCCCTTCTTCATCATCTCGTCAAATTGAGTCTTCTCATGCCCTCCAAAGAACCAGAAGCAATAAGGGCGCTCGACCGCTGATCCAAGCATGCCAAAGTCCTCACTCCCCAGCACGTTCTTGATATTTGGATCATGCTCGTCGCCAAAGTACTCCGAGAAGGATTGATTGATTGTGGCCGTGACCTGGTCGTCATTGACAGTGATGGGGAAGGAAGATGTGGGCTCAATGGTGGCTTCTCTGGGGCAGTTCCCGGCGAGACATTCGGCCTTGACGATGCGCTTCACGGACGCAAGGATTCGTTCGCGCCATTCCACGCTCACAGAACGGATATTGATCTTCAGCACTGCTTCGTCGGAAATGACATTCTCAGTGCTCCCCGCTTGTAATGCTCCCACGGTGACCACGGCGGTCTCATCCGGCGGCACCTCCCGCGAAACAATCGTCTGTAATCTGACGACGATGTGACTTGCAATCACCACGGGATCAATAGTCCGATGCGGCATCGATCCATGCCCGCCACTTCCGTAAATGGTAATCTTGAAACTGTCCGCCGCAGACATGACCGGCCCGGCCCTCGTAGCGGTCTTTCCCGCCTGGAGAGGGAAGACATGTTGTCCTAGCACAACGTCCGGAATGGGACATGCGTGTTTCGACTCGTCGTACAACCCATCGTTCACCATTGCGCATGCGCCACATCCTCGTTCCTCTGCTGGTTGGAAGAGAAATACAATCGTACCAGACCAGGTGGATCGCGCCGCCAGGAGCGTCTCGACGGCTGCGAGTAGTGATGTGATATGGAAATCGTGTCCACACGCGTGCATGACCGGTTTGATAATTCCGTCCGTGTCGCGCATGGTCTTGGTGCTTGCGTACGGCAATCCGGTTTTCTCCTGCACTGGAAGAGCGTCGATATCGGCCCGGAGGAGGATCGTCCTCCCCGGTCCATTGTTCAGGATGGCGATCTGTCCATGTCCCCCGATGCCTGTTCGAATATCTAATTCGCTAGACAGTTTCTTCAAATGTGAGGTGATTAAGGCAGCAGTGTCTTTTTCTTGGGTTGGGAGTTCGCCATGGGCGTGGCAATGTTTGTACAGCTCCTCATATGGCTCCAACTTGGGTCTGTATTTGTCTATGATGGACGAGAAATAGGAGAACTTATTAGAGGCCGTCATGCTTCCCATGATGGGCGCGAAAGTGTCGAAGCTGTCGATAGAAGAAGCTTCGTTCTCACGATAGAATCGAGGATTGTAAAACAGAATATAACGCGACCCGATGGCTCTAGCGGCCGCCGGGGGACATAAACCGTCGCAATCAAAAGCTACGGTCTGACAAGGAAGGCATATAGCAGTTCTCCAAGACTGGAATGAGAGCGTTGTCGTCAGACTGTATCATGTTCTTCTCGACTTTCCTCTGCAAAGTCGATCCCAAGGAGAAGTCCGCTCAACAGCATCAATGCAACGTTTCTCTCAGCCAGAATCCATTCCACCTCGGTAAGTCGGAATGAATCCCTGAAGGAAACATCATTTCGTGAGCCCGCCCCCCGTCCACACGTCAACATTCGAACTCCAAGCGCCATAAAGCATTCCCGTCTCTCATGTCGTTTAAGAGTCCTCTTCATTTGTTCACCGGGCGGATACTTCTGCCCTTCTCACTTTGACCCCGTCTGACCGTTCTCACAAGTCGACTCTTGACACTCGATGCCTTCTCCCGCAAGCTAGATGATCGGCTGAGTGGCTTGCCAGACTCCTTCGGGGAGTCTTTCATAATCAATGCCGTTGTCGATGATGCTGAAACAACCCGACGCTTGACAGTCTTACTCTTAGCACCAGCGACAAACTGTTTGAGCTTCGGTGGTCTTCTTACAAGGCCTCCCAATGGGGTAACGCTGGTCTTTCGAGACATCGCTTTCTCCACAAGTTTAATTTTTCGAACCTTTACCGGGATGCCGGTTCCAGATTTGTAGGCCTTTCCCTTCGCTGGAGCGACCTTGGCCTTCTTGGTGATCCGGCTGGCCCCTTCCTCTATGGCATCGGCGATCTTTCTTTTTGCGCCAGCCAATTTGCCCTGCGCCTTTTTCGTATCTCCTTCTGGGCTTTTTTGTTTTCGCTCCTCTTTTGGTCTCGGTCCCAAGATTCCACGACACTTCTCCGCACCACATCTGCATTCCTGTACATTTTTCTGAGAATATGGGTCAAAGTTGTAGTCATACGTGAGTTCCTCTCCTGTCATGATGCCACGATCGCCGGCGAAGAGAGCCATTCGAGGCTTGTCATTGACGGTCCACTTCTCCATTCGGCAATTAGGATCGCATGAATGGTTGACAAACCGTGCGATTGATCCGCGAGTAGCGTCGATAATCATATTCTGATCAAAGAGCATAAGATAATAGCACTGAATGCAGGGTTAGTCAAGACATTGACCGCTCATGGAATCACTGACCTCATTATTTTTATACATTGTCTTCATTCTGCGCTCGCACTCTTCCTGAGTAATGATTTCTCCAGTGTACTCGACAATGATCTGATTGGGCTCAAAGGAGCGATTGCTTCGGACGCCGTAACCTCGATCGACCGTTTTGATCACTTCAACACCGACGTTGTATTTCCCACCCTTTTTGACTCGTTGGCGGAGGCCTTCGAATGCTCGGTTGCCGCACTGCTCGGGCGTGAGATTGCAATTTCGCTCGTCACATTCATAGTACATGTAGCGGTTCATGCAGTTCTGATCACAGCCAGTTTCAGGCTTGCACATGCAGCTTGAATGTTCTTCGAATTTCGACACCCGCCATGACTGCGCGGCGTCGCCGACAAAGACATTTTTGTTGACCTTTCTCCATTCGTCCGGCTTGGGCTGGCCAGCTGGAAGGGGAGAAAAGACGTCGAATGGAAGTTTGAAGTCTCGGCCCGTCTTCAAGAGACGTTCTCCAGCATACATGGGAAGGGGGAGCACCTTGTTCTCTTTGAGCGGCTCCGAAATTTCTCCCGTCTGGTGTCTCTTCTTCCCCTCAGTCGGACGGCCATCAAACGCTCTTGGCTGACCAGCATAAAGCCCTGTCGACAGCCATTTCTTCTCCCGTCGTCGAGAGACAGGCTTCGGTTGAGCCGGCTCTCCATGGGGGGCCGCACCGCCCTGACTGACCCGTCGCTTCTTTGGATTGGGCAGGCGGAGAGATTGGGACGTAGATTCAATACCACCCAAACTTTTGGATCGGGAGCTGCTTCTCGGCTCCGACGGTCTTTCTTTCCTCTTTCCAAGGACACTGCTAGCAATGCTGGACACAATCTCACTGGCCTTATCAATGACTGGAACGCGAGAGGATCTTCTTGTAGCTTGCTTCTCTGCTGCTTTGCGTCTTTCTTCCCAGGCCCGACTATTTTCCGCCATTTTAGCCTTTTTGGCAGCGACCTTTTCTTCCCGCTGCCGCTGCTCCTCTTCGTCTCGAAGATTGTCCGAAACCTCTCTACTCTTCTTTGTATGCAACAAATCGTCTTTGCTTTCCTTTGCCAACACTTGGCTCACATTCCACGGCAGATCCAAATCAGCAATACTTTCTTTGACCAACATTGATTGGCCTGCGTTGTCCAAATTGACTAAAGTCTCGCCGCTAACTGTTCTGTTCTTTGAATGTTCATCCTCCCCGTTTTCCACCGGGCCATCTGGACTTTCGTTCTTTGTGAGGCGACGGCTGACGCGTCTGGCTCGGCCCTTGGACACTTCTTTCATGCTAACTACGTGCCCATCTAGAGCTGACACGTCGAAGGAACTCTCCGAGGGGGTCGGTAGTTGTCTACGCGGCTGCGTAGATACCACAATGGTGTCAGGGTCATTGTCTGAGGATGTGGAGCTGGCGGTTCGCGACAGTGTCGGCCATGTCTCTGACGACTGTGTAGTGTTGGGGTTGGAATTGGCACCTCGGAACCGGTAAAAGTTCAAAAGGGTCTGCCGGAGAGGCATGTTGACGATCCTGGGCCGTGCTCTATGGGGGGAATATTTCGGGAGAATCGACGCGTCAAATAACTGGAAGCAAGGTGTATAAATTCCAACAAGAAGGAGTGTGTTGTACCCAATGGATACAGAGCTGAAGAGACGCGTGTTTCGAAATTGCAAATGTGAACGTGGTAAGTCAAGAGGCTGGGAAGCAAATGGATGATGGGTCGAGATTGGGAAACTAGCCCGCAAGCCTTAAATAGAGCCTTACGTATCAACAGTCCTGAATCGAAGGTCCTCTCAGTAACAAGGGTTCAGCCAATCGCAGCCCACAGGGCCACAACCTTCTCCATGTGAACGAAAGCATTCACACCGGGCAACTCGTGCCACACTGACGTCCGGCTGATCAAAGTTCCTTGATCATGAAACGAGTGACGATGATGGAGGCTTCTTGAAACCGCTGTGAAAAGGGTGTGTAATTTCTCTCGATTGATACACACTCAGCTTCCAGGAAGCCACAACTATTGTAAACATTTATTCACCTAGCCTCTTTCTTTGGCAACGTCTTTCCAGCAGTTGGGCCTTCAAAAGGCTTCGCCGCACCCTGTACAGGCTTCATCTCCATTCCTCCATTTTGTGTGTCGGCTGCCAATTGGGCCTGCCGCTCCCCCCTCCTCGTTCCAAATCGCTGATCGCCCTCTTCGTACTGCTTCTTGAAGCGAAGATAGGTCGGAGGCTTCGGTCGAGCCAGAACTGAAATCCAATTCTTAATGAAATTTCCCTGAGTGAAGGGCCGATGTCTTTCTGCCTTTGGAAACCTTCGAGACGCAAGGTACTCTCGTGTGGTCTCTCCCTTGCCGACCAGCAACAAGTGATAAACCCACAACGACAAGGGATATGGAAAAGCCAATAATCCATAGATGAACATGGCGAAAGGCACACGATTCCTGTTTATGGAGGTCGATAATGAAACATGTCTCTGGTCACGGTAGGCGAGCACTTGACCCAACGAAGCAAACGCCAAAAAAAGGCCCAAAATTGTCCCTGTGCTGACAAAGGCAAAGAAATACCGGTAGTTGCGTCTCCCCACACAATTATTAATCCACACACAGTGGTGGTCAAGAGTTTCAACACAATTGTCGCAGACCCGGCAATGGTAGCACCGAGGCGGCCGCCAAATGTTGCAAGTCTTGCAGTACTTGACTGGTACGTCCATTGCGGCTGTTCGTGAAGTAGCCAGTCGTACCATGACCCAGTCGTTGGTGGGCGGTCCCAGGGCCAAGGGGTCATTATTATCTTCTGGGGGGAATGGATGAATATTTCGGGGGAAAATCTAAAAATGTGTCAGTACCATTCTAATTTAAAGGTGGACGCAAGCCTTACCCCTGGGTCAACAACGGAAGCATGGACAAAAGAAGAAAGACAGACAAAAAAGAGATAGGCGAAAACGATTGGAATGGCTGGTGACACGTGATGCCACAGCCATGGGGCCCTGCAACTTGATTAGCCCGATGGGAAGGGGGGAAAATAATCCCGACGTGGAGAACTCACGAATAAACAAAAAAGAGTACCGCTGGAAGAATCAAGAATATACCAGTGGCCACATTGATCGGCCGATCCCGAGCATTCTGTAGACGGCCGCCCCACCAGAAGACTGTATTCCCCTCAAAATATTCATAGTTTTTGCCCAAAGCGCTCTTTATGGCGACTTCCGCATTGGAATTGGGGGGATACCGTGGCGAAGTGGCATTCGAGGAGAGTTGTTGATGGCCTGGTTCCAGACGATGCTTACTCGCTAGACTCAGGCCTGAACGAAATGAGAGCGGCGATTTCTGAGGCGGATCGCCAGCCTTGTGGGTGCTCGTAATGTTAAGCCGGGAAGGCCGATGTGACTTCTGCCCATTGGATCCGACTAATTGAGTTTCTCCCTCATTTTGAGAAGCATAATCTTGAAATGGAGCATCGACAGTCTCGGGCGCTTCTGATTGTGTGTATTCAGTCGTAATTGAGGGTGCTGGACGATGACTTCTGGGCATCGCATGAAATGGGCCTTGTCTGCTAGACGCCATACTTCGTGCGTCGTCATCTGCATCTCCATCTGGAATTGGTGCCGGAGGCTGCATGGTCCTCGCACCCAGAGGCCTCCTCAATCTTTGCGCTTGCAGTCTCTGAGAGCTCATCGGCTTAAAAAAGCCCTGTGCAGTCAACGAGGGTACATGTGTGCGACTGGTCTGACTGACGGGACTTTGTGGTCGACTTGAGCTGGCTGTACTTGAAGGAGGTGCAGGATTGCTTTTTACAGAGCGGTTGGTAGGTTGTGCGATGCCTCTTAAATGAGCATATCCATGCTGCGAAGCTGGAGGGTTTGGCAAAGTAGGAAGCGGTGTGACGCCGGATTGTGGCCTGGAATTATATCCATCTTCAGATATGGCCGAGGAGATCTCGCTTCGAGCGGTCGAAGGTCTGGCTGCCATTTGTCTTTGTTTTCGGTTTTTTTTTTTTTTCTCCTTTCTCTTTTTCTCTTTTTGGGAGGTGCTTTTCCAAGTAAACAAGTCGTGTTACGAGTGCGACGTGAGTCGCATATCGTATGTGAAGGACAAGCGACGATGGTGAATCTGGGGAACGTGATATTAGGTTTTACAAACGTCAGGTAGAAGCGGATTTGCGCAGAGGGTATTTCAATGGTGTCTTTAAAATATAAGGCGCGTCTATTTTGTTCAAACGAGGGGATCGGCCATAACGAAGGGTTGAAGGTGAAGCGGGAGATGGACAGTGGGAAGTGAGGGCTGCAAGGAAACAGAAAAGATGGGTTCGATTTCAAGGTTTTAGGGGTCAAGCCATTTTGCCTCGATCCAGACAAAAGGTTCAGACTTGCGGAGAGACTAAAGCATGATTTCCGAGCCTAGGGCCCACTGCAAAGCATGCTGGTCACGTGTTAGCCAAGCCCTCTTGAGCTCCGAGGAGGCGGATTCGACCTATTGCACCTCTCACACCACTCCTCTACGTCCGACAACTTCCCTCTTTCACCACATCGACAACATCGAATTCCATTTTACAATGGCTTTCTTCCCAACATTAGCGCGTCGAGCTGCTGCAAAGGCTGTCCCAGCAGAGAAGGATACAGTGCTGAAGAAGGGAGCTCGACGGGATCCCGAGCTATATGTACGCCCTTGCCCCGAGCTTTTGCCCGTCTGAGCAGGTAATTGACTGTGAGCAGATTCTGTTGGGTATTATGTCTGGCGCTTTTGGCCTTGCAGGATTCTACTTCGGCCGCAAACCTACCTCTGCCACCTCAGAAGCCGAAGTTTCAGTTGCGAACAGTTCAATGCCTTGGGAGGTTGATCATGACCATGAGGATCAGACGAAACATTTCAAATATCAATATCATCCCAAGGGAGACCGAAGTCAGACTCCTAGGAATGCTCCTAGTGCGTTGAATACAGTCATTGTTCCAAACGTTACGCTACCAAAGGTTGGCCGGTCTTACCCAAGTAACTGATGTAATGACTAATTGGTCTCTAGGATGTCCATGACAAGCTCAACAAATGGGGTAAGGAAGGATATTGAGCGGCGTGCGAGTTTCTGAGCCTCACAAAGAGTCCTCACCAAGTGAAATAGAAGAGACGGCGACAAAGTCGGGCGTGATGCAACACCGAATTGTACATATTTGCAAGGAAAGAAGTAGCCATTCTCCCATGGGCCATACTCGCCGACAATCATTTCCTTCTTGTCCGTGGGCCAGTTCTCTTCCGTTGAATCAATATCATGGCGAGAGCATATTCAGTTGAAGTACTGGTCCGAAAGCATTTTCATACACTCGTGGCCGAATGGACAGAGTGTGCCAGGGTCTTGATTCAGACATAGCTTTTTGCCATGCGCCTTGGAATGACATTACCAGTACTGATCTTCCAACAGGGACTGCCTATGCAATAACAAACGTCCGTGACAAGTATTTAACCTCCGTCAAGGTTAGCAAACGTAATATACATTCTTATCCTATAGTCTAAAAAGAGCCCCAAGACTGATTCCACTGTCGAGTGTCATAAATACATTCCAAAAAGTAATGTAGGTCATGTCTCATCCCGCGACTCGAAACACATGAACAAACCCTACGCCAGAGAAAATCGTCAACCTTTGCGTAATGCGAGGTCGAGCCACGACGACTTCCATCCATTTTTGTCGCGCAATCCCCAAAGGTCTTCCAGCAATCTGCATGCCCAAAGATTGGGGGGACATCTGTTTCGAGAGTATATTGACTCTAGCCGAATTATAACCTCTTTTCGCTCCTCATGGTCGTCTTTACCGAGCTCTGCGCCCGCCGATAGCAGGGGGAGGGCTTGTATGTTCATTGTAGAGACCATAATACGAACCATTGCGGATCTGCACTGTTGGGTTTTTGGCCGGCGCAACGGCGCCCCAAGATGCTTGAGGAAGCAACGACGCCGCTGCGACGAGTGGTGCGAGTAATGCTGTCGAAAGCATCATTCTGCCGGAGAATATCAGGATGTAGAACTATTGAGTTTGGAATGTAGCAATGAAGAGGTTCGCTCGGGCTTTTATAGGCCTTGAACAGCATTGAGTCCTGGACAAGCTTCATTAATGTGCCTATCTCTTGTTTTCCATTGCGCTAACGGCAACTTCTCGTTGATAGTCGACATGGAAGCTTGTATAGAGTTCGAGAATATGGAGTACCGCTGTAGATACGCAAACCATGCGGTTAGTGGAACCCATAGTTCCAGTATAGACTGAGACAAGTGGATTCACGGACCTGGGCCTGAAAGCTTTGCGTACTGTGGTGTCAGGGCATTTTTTTCGTGACCCCCTCTACGGACCGCCTATCTAAGTCCATTGACAGCAGTAAGGTTACAGAGGATTACCAGTGATCACGTATTTATAGGTTTAGGAGACTAAACGCAATGGAGTAATGATACCACAGTAGAATACAGAGATCCCACCTCAACAATGATTGGTCGAGACTGTTAGTCTTAGCCGTCTAGTGCTTTCAACATGGCAAAGAGTTTCGGTGGAGCTGTGAAGCTCTCGCTGTTGCGCCGAAAACAGCAAGTGACTGGCTTGCCTTCCACGAGATTCGAACTGGGGAACCGAGTTTCGGGAGGATAATCCCAGCTGCCAAGACTACTTCAGCGGAAGTTGACGAACGACGTTGAAGTCATCCACGAGCGACGAGTTCTATTACCTTTGCGTGAGAGGTCATCCAGCTCACTGAAGTTGATCACCGAACGAACATTCCCGGACTTACAAACGGAATGTAAATCATTTCATTGAGAGATCATTACCTAGGGCTTTGTACCCTTCCAGTCCAAGCTCCAGCATGAAGTTGTCTCCGTCGAACAGATCGAGAGGTCAGGCCCTTCTGTCTTCCATTCTCCGAATTTCCCAGCCGCTATGCGCAAACCGCGCCCGTTCCCCAAATCGAAATCATGGCGCTTCGCCACCGCCATCCCACCGATCTTTCTCAATCCTCAACCGCCCTCCGCCCAATTACCCAGGTCATGTTCCGCTCACTAGAGTCGAGCGTGTGGGTTTAGCTGTCGGCAGCGCGATCACGTCGCTAATCAATCCATATCGGCATGACATGGTCGCTGCATTGGGAGAGGCGACGGCGCAGCCGTTCTTCATTTCCTGGCTGCGAAATCGAATGATTTCAGACCCCACCGGTAGACGAATACTGCGGGATCGACCTAGGATCACCTCGCAGACGATGCCACTAGAGAAATTACGACAGCTACCGGAGAATAGCGTGGGAAGAACATATGCGGCATGGCTAGATCGAGAAGGTGTCACACCAGACACGAGAGATGCAGTACGGTATATTGATGATGAAGAGGAGGCATATGTGATGCAAAGATATCGGGAATGTCATGATTTCTATCATGCCGTCACCGGACTGCCGATCTGGGTGGAGGGAGAAATCGGACTAAAAGCCTTTGAATTTGCCAACACGGGATTGCCAATGACTGGCCTTAGTCTGGCTGCCATTGTCAGACTGAAGCCTTTAGAACGGCAAAGGATGTTCGAAATCTTTTTGCCCTGGGCGTTCTCGAACGGTTGGCGGTGCAAAGACTTGATCAACGTGTACTGGGAAGAAGACCTCGAGACAGATGTTGCAGAACTGCAAAGCCGACTGGGCATTGAGCAACCCCCAGATCTGCGGGCCATCAGACGGAAATTGAGGGACGAGCGTAGGGCAGCGAAAGCTGCCAAAGAGACGGCCGTGATGAATAATGCCTCCGCTCCTCGGCCCAAGGTATAATACTGAATGTAAAGCATCATCATCAGGGTATCACATACAAGTTTCAAGAGCTTTTCCTCCGGGTGCGTGGAAAGAATATCAGGACTCTTTCAGCAAGTCATCAAGGTCATCATCGTCCCAACCGCCTCTGCGCACGACTTTGACGCTCTCCATCGTCTGTCCTGTTTGTTTCTCGTGTTCTGACAAGCTGGCCAACATTTCCTTGAGTTGATCTTCTGTGACTTTTTGCCGGAGCTGGCCTGATCTTGCCAGCATGATCAGTCTGTTCTCGACGTCGGTTGCTCGTGATTCTTTGACCATTCGTATTCTGCCCAAACGGTCCGCGGCTTCAGGTTCGAGGATTTGTGAAAGCATGGAAGACCGAGCCTCGGACTCCTGTTTTCTACAGGCTTTGGTTAGTTCCGTAGTGCGACGACCATTTCCTAGTTTACTTGCCTTCTTTGTTCGTCTTCGTCCCCAGTGTCGCCTGACCCTGGCCTATTGGCTTGTTGCTGCTTGAGCTGTGCAAGCCGTGCCGCTCTGATCTACCCTCATTAGCGATCTTGATTTAGGGACAGAAGCAAGCACCATACCTGAGCCAAATCGTCGTCTGCCATGTTTGGAATTATTTTGTTGTCTGAACAGATTACTGTACGACTGTATTCAAGACCTGAAAGTTGCTGCGCGCGGGGCAAAGATCAGTTTCGGCGTTCGCCAGAAGACTCCAAGTGTGGCGCAGTTTGGCCGGGGAGGCACTCAGGAGGAGGGTGTAGGCTGGCTGGATCTCCGGGTGTGCTACGAACCCTGTACATTACTCACCTGTTTAACTAGCGTCCGGTCTTTGCATCCGATACTTGATCGACATTCACCCTTTCCAACCGTTAACCACGTATCGCCACTGCAGGGCACAAGATTCATCCGCAAAGCCGCGTTCGCCTTCGCGGAAGGACGCTCTTCATCGTATTCACGACTCGACGCTTTACAAGTCGATGCTTTACAAGTCGATTTCGACAAAGGACAAACTGTTACAAGCATGCATTACACGACAACTGCATGAAATAATTCGCCATTCCTAGAAAACAACGGGTGAATTTGAGTCTTTTCTTGGGACGTTGTCTCACCAGATGAATTCTTGGGTATATCATGGCGGTTTCTTAGGAGCAGGGGGGCCATCCCACTCGCGCTCAATATCACTTGGACCAGCGGTGGCCGAGTGGCCTCGCGATCGTCTCTCCAAAGCGAAATCAACCTCACATTTACACACGATGGCGATCGTCGAATCATCTCCTCCCAACCCGCCTCAACTTCAAGACACATCTCCGGAAACTTCCTTCAGAACTATTGCCGATCCTAGGAACGCGAGCACATCCGACCTCTCCAGATCCGATTCCGCCTCTTCAAAACATCATCCTGACCTGAATAGTGAGGTTGCTGCACTAAGCGACAAACTCATCCGTGCCATCAACCATCAAACCACTCTCGATGATACACTCGCACAAACGAGACAAGAATTGGAAGCATCAAAGGCTAGAATTGCCATGCTAGAAGCAGAAGCAAAGGAACACGAAGAGAAACTCATGCGGGGAGACCTGGTGGAAAGAGAGAGCGTCGATGAACGGAACAATAAGCTCAGCGCCGAGCTGGCGGAGGAGAAACGGCAAAGGGCTGTTGTCCTACAAGAGAAGCGCGGTATTGAATCTGAGTTGGAGAATCTTACGGCATCACTATTTGACGAGGCAAATAAAATGGTAGCTTCTGCCAATCGGGACCGTGACGCGACGGAAAAGAAAAATCAACAGCTTCGAGATCAAATCAAGGACGGAGAGGCGGTTATTGCATCCCAGAGTGAACAGTTGGCGGAACTGAAATCGCTCATGCAACAATTTGGCCCAAGCCCTGATTACCGGAAGGACGTTGACTCTCCCCGGGTATCACTAGCACCATCAAGTCCAGGCGTAATGAGAGAAGATGGTAATCTCGCCCGCCTTCTCGAAGCAATGAACCTCTCTCCAGTCACTCTCGAACACGGCGAACTCGCTCCTAGCCCTTCCACTCAACTCACCCATCTCGTCAAACCACTTTGCCGAACCGATATACCCGCCTATGAGGATTTCAAGAACCTCGTCCAAACTTCGCATTTCCGTTCCCACAATCCCTCTCATGCGCCTTCCAGAGCGGGATCTGGCTCCTACGGAGGCCTGAATGTTATGGGTCTTGGCTCGTTAAGCAACAACTCGACGCCGAATCTTTCTCAAATATCTCAGCCGGCCACATCCAAACTTGCCAATTCTCCTAACCTTCCTGGCTCCTTCAGTCCCAACCCGGATACCAAAGGACCGGTTCCTCTCAAAGAAACTCGCTTTTACAAGCGGATCCTGGTAGAGGATATTGAGCCCACCCTCCGACTCGACCTCTCTCCGACACTCTCGTGGCTGAATCGGCGGAGTATCCTCTCTGCTCTGGGCGATTCGACGTTGATCGTTGAGCCCATTCCAGAAGCCTCGCTGAGATTGTATGGAAAATACACCCCATGCGCTCTATGCGGGGAGAATCGGAAACAAGGTGAAAACCCACGAACACACCACATGCGTGTACGTGAAGGCGAAGGTGCCACCAAATGGTCGATCTGCACTTTGTGTCTGGAAAAGGTACGGGGAGTAGGAGACCTTGTGGCATATGTAAGGATGGTCCGCGAGGGGGTGGTGAAGGTTGGGGATAAGAAGGATGAAGAAGACACTTGGGAAGAATTGGTGCGCCTGAGGGAGCGCCTTTTCTGGGCTAGAATGGCTGGCGGCGTGGTGCCGGCGTTCATCCCAACTCCCAAGGAGACGCCAGTGGATGATGAGAAGATGAACACTGTTCTGGGTGCAGGAGGTGAAGATGGCCATGGAAAGGAGAACAGGACACCCAACCTTGACGCCAGTCCCCCTCCGCAAAATCCCACGACAGCGGCGGAGAATTCTCAGCAGTCGACGCCGGCGGATGAAGATCTAGAATCCGAAACAGCGTCCGAAAAGGCTGCGCGGCTCCAACTCCAGCAGGGATTGGATGAAAGCCTAACCACCTTTGACAACATCAAGGAGAGACGGAGGAGCCTCAATCATCGGGATTCTACCACACCACCGACTACGCCCTCTCCGCAGCGGACCCCCAAGCGGGGATCCGGAGGTGGAGTCGGGATTGGCTTTCCCAAGATTAATATCCCCAGGCTCCCGCCGGGGTTCTGGGAGAGTCAGGTGAATACGCTGCGATAAGGTGAGATAAGATCAGGGAGGAATGTTTCTGCCAGAGGATCGAGCAGGAGGCGACAAAGAAGAGCCTGGTTCTAGAGGGGAAAGATGAACCGGCATTGTATTATATTCGACCGAAATTAAAAGAGAACAATCGATGCGCAGAAGCGAAAGGGGGAAAAGAAAAACACTCCAAGCATTTCGACGCTTAATTCCTGTTGTCGAGGTAAGAGGCATGGTGCGAACACGAGGAAAATGGGCCAGGGAGACAGAGCACCGGTCAATGCGCTATGGCGAAGCAGAGACCTTTTGTATATTAGCTATATTTTACGGGACGGAAATACGACAAGTGGATGGACATATTCACGGATTCACGGATTCATGGATGCATGGGTGCATGGGAACTACATGGGGCTTACCGGCTACAGGTTACAGTTAGCTTTAGAAGACGTCCCTTACTGAAGAATTAATATATACTGATACCTAGTACACAACTCATTTTATACCCCGGACAGTGCATTGGTATAACATCGTACTATCTGCTATCGAGCCAAAGACTTCAGAACGCTGACAGCAAAGTTATCACACGGCATGCATTGTCACAGATTCGGTCGACGATCTGTCGATCTACCCCGGCAATTACAAATACCCCCGTTGGCAACGTCGCTCTCCAGACATTTGACCAAGGGGTACCAGGAATGCAATACTTACTCGGCCCACGCCTCAGGAAAACCCGCGCTCCTAACTCATATATCTCCCCATTCTCTGGCTGCACCGAGTCCATCACGAGCATTCGACAATCGTCCCCCTTAGTCCTAAATTGATCTCTTTCGTTGCCTGTCTCGAAAGCCGGACACGCTCTCTACCCATTCGCTAGCGCGCGGATATGAACGTCGTGGCGGAGCACGCGAGGGAGCTGGCTTGGGGCTACAAGAGACAATCTAGTCACATGTATGCCAGCAACGTCAACTGCCGAAATAAAAAGGGATGCCGTATCCTGTTTCGGGGTATCGAATGTTGGGAACAACTCTCAACGAAAACACTCACATTACAAATAAACTATATCTCCTGTCATGCCAGACCCGAAAATTGCGGTAGCCCCATCAAGTCTTCCGACACAAAATCTGTCCACTGGGAATGGCAAAGAAAGCGCTCTCTTCCAATCCCCATTTCTTCCATGCCTCTGAGATAGCCCTGACCTCGTCTTCTGTGGCGAAAGTTTCTCTCACGGCTGTCCCCAAAAATCCTGGTTGCAAGATTCTTCCAGCCCAGCTCTGAGAAAACTGCACAAGTCTTTCTCCGCTGTACCTCCATGTGTCCCATGTTGTCTCGATTTCTTCTGGTGTGAAACCGGCTTGTCGGGCCCAGACGTGACAGTACCTCCCCGCGTTGGGCTCACCACCATTAGTTCTCGCCACTTTCTGATAGATCTCTGCCCATCTGGAGATTTCAGGCGGCTCAGGATACCATGCAAAGGACTTGTAGTCTGCTTCGCGAGCAGCAACGATACCGCCTGGTTTGGCAACTCGTCGCATTTCTTTGAGTACTGCTACTGGATCCTTGACATGTTGAAGGACTTGGTGGCAGAACACAATGTCAAAGAAGTTATCCGGGAATAGTAGATTATTAGCGTCAATCTGTTGAAAGCTGATATTCGTCAACCCTCGCGAAGAGGCATATTCTGATGCCTGTTTCAAGACAACCTCAACAGCATCACCACCAATGACCTTTCCTTGAGGGACGAAAGCTGCTAGATCAGCTGTGATGGTCCCGGGTCCACACCCAATGTCGAGAATAGTGTCTTTGGGCTTGATATGAGGCAGAAGAAAGGCTGCCGAGTTCTGAGCAGTACGACGAGCATGATCCTCCACCACAGATTGGTGATGACCGTGCGAGTAAAGGGCTTGTTCTTTCGCCATCGCGAAGAGGGTTTGTCGTTGTCAAGGAGGGGGCTTCAAGGAGAGATGGCCGCAATCTCAAATCTCCAAGATAATTCGAATGCGTGGGGATGGTCGCACCCCTTGCCTAGGTGCAGCATGATTGTATGGACCGAGCATACACAAGTTAGGTGTGGACGTCCATGGCCGATATCGGTCGGTAGTCGACCACCCATATACAGAGCAAGCAGCCAGAATGGTCAACGCGGATGTATTATTGCAATCCAATCTTCGATTATTGGATCCAGACGTGAGCTTAGGAGCTCTCTTCAGTGTTGTGACAATGATGATGAGAAAGGAGGATGGTTATTGTAGCCGGTAGAAAAACCAATACCGTTGCTGCTTTAAATGATGTTCGGCGCAAACGACGTCCTGGTCCTTCTGGAGACTAGCTAGCTAAGTGATGACAATAAAAGCAGCCTCACTAGCATCCCAGGCTGAGGGATTCTGGTCCGCCGGCCGCCGTAAGAACCGCCTTCCCGTCGACCTCTCCATCCATATGGCCGCCTCCTTTTGTCGAATCCTACGACTATGCTACGTAAACTACACGATCCGGAACTGGTCCACCGATTCCGCTTGCTGTTTTGCCCATTCTGTTTGCACAAACCCAGACGCCAACATCCAGCCACCGATAGCATACACCCGTTTTCGCCTTTATTGAGGTCTTTCTCTCATGTTACAAGAATCAAGGCTCATCCGCCATCTCTTCTGTGTAATCGGGCAAGAATCGATATCTCTCGAAAGGAGCTTCTTCAGTGCTTGTAGGCGGAAACACAATGTTAGCATACATCGCCATTAGAGGGAAGAATGGCAGCTCTCGATGTACCTCTCGGCTAGAAGTTGAACGGCTCTTTCTGCCGATATCTTGGACTCCGTCAGATTGCCCCGGTTGATTTGATTCCAAGCAGACAGCGCTTCGTCCAGGGCTGCTTTGGCATGGACGGTGGCCATAGGCCACTCTGGAGTTGGTTCTCTCTCTATGCCATGTGCTTTCCTCTTTTCCACGCCGCGCTTCCAGTAAGCCTCTAGACCAGATTGGTATTCGAAAAGAAAGACGTAGTAGAGGCTCTCGCATATTTGTCGAGTTTGTCGGACAAAAGTTCGAGAATCGGTGCCAGGCCTCAGCTCAATCTCATCAATACTTAATTTTCGGTCGCCATTGGCAAATTTACCCCAGAAGAACTGGGGGTTCACATGTTCCAGGTGTCGGTCGATAAATTTGAAGAAGCAAAATTGCTTGCCGTCACACCAGATTGCCATAATGGGAACGTGGAATCCATTTTGATAATTCATCCAAGCGCAGGCTGCAGGGAATGTTAATTCATATTCAAATTGAGGATATCCTGAACCATACCACCACATTCAGCAATGACTTGCGCCAAACAGGTGATGCGTTCCTGCAAGCTTCCAATGTCCAGTTTGGCTTGGATGAAAACAACCGTAATTCCGCCGAAGGTCTTGAATTGATATTCTATACGATCTTTGGTCGTGGCCCCGCCCTCTAGGATTGTTTCTGGGGTATTGAACAGAAGACCGGAAAATAGGGCAATGATTCGGTTGAAATACTACTCCGACCTTTAGTTGGAATCAAAAAGCTTGGGGGTTGTCTACCCCCGATAGATAACATGCTCGAGCTTCCTCATTTTCGTGTTTGCTCATGGGCCCATATTGCGCAGAGAATCGGCGAAGGTCTTCCACAATTTGGTTGAAGACAGAGTTCGGGAGTCGGGCGCGAAACATGTCAAAGGCGAGTATATCATCTCCTTTCACAACTGCTTCTAGTCCAACTATCGGAGCGATATCCGCGTATTGAACTTTCGACAAGCTGACCTCGAGATGATTTTCTATGGCGGTAATTAGTAAGACACTGGTCAAACAAAGGATTTGAGCATGGTCAACCTACGTCTCAATAGGTCTTTCAAGCGAGACAAGTTGAACGAATACTCCCTCATCAACTCAAGGATCATAATTTCAGCTTTATCCTCATTCTCCACCATTTTCAAGACTTCTTGAACCAACTCTCGGTGATTGAGGCTCTTTTTTGCTGCTTATGTCGCTGTTGCCTGAGCCATGATACCCGTCATTATCGAGCACCGACATGGTCCTTGGTAATGCCGCAGTCGAAGCAAATTTTGTAGGGAGGCGGGCAGGCTTTTTTGGGGGAAAAGGAGCAGCAGGGAGAGGTCGTCCGTTGTCTGAATCATCGATGACGCGCGATCGCTTAAATCCCGTCATATTCTCTAGGACCTGAGAGGCCAGATGAGCCCATAGTTATAGTGCAGGAGAACTGAGCTCGGAAATATGATCGTGAAAACTGATCGGAGGGGATAGTGGGAAGTGCGGCTAGAAAACAAGCTGTCGATGAAGGAGAGATAGATGCTGAAAAAGGTGAAGTTGAGTAGATGGGTGGAATTCCCTGCAAACAACTTTTAAAGGTGCAGGCTGTAAAGCTTGGCGGCCAGAAAGCTTGGCGGCTAGAATTACGATTTCTTACAAACTTGGAGTGCAACCTCGAGGGGAACAACCTCTGTGCTGTAGTACTACGAGGTGTGACCCCATCATCTACAGCAGAAGAGGATAGAAGAACTGAAGAGGACACCAGGCTATACTAGCAATTGTGCCTGTGCAATGATTCTGTCCACACACCTCTCTCTGCCATGGGTTTCTTGTCTAACATCTCGGGCACTCTCTGGGGATTCTTCCGATGCTTTTATTGGATGATCTGGGTCGAGCCCTGGATCAAACCATCTCTGGTGAATGGCGAGAAAGCGCCAATGACATATGAAGACTGGTATACGGAACAATTCGAATACGATGCTATACGTGGGGTTGATGATTGGGTCACCATCGATCGGGACTCAAGTTACGACTGGCAAATCCTCCGGAGTCTGAAGAGAGACCTTGAACGTTGCCGAAGATCGGGTGATGATCGAGGTCTTTGCAGTCAACTGAGAGCGCAGAGCTCTCGCAATATGTGTCGCATTTTGTCGCCTGCACTGTACCGAAAGTCGCAGATCCAGACCAAACGACTCATTCATGACTATATCATGGAAGTCCGTCACAGTGTGGCTCACATCGCGGATGGGAATTCTATCGGCAATGGCACGACGGTGGTTTCATCTCATGAGAAAAGACAAACCCTATATGATATGCGGACTGCGCTTGGCCGAACCAGCCTTGTCCTTCAAGGTGGTGCCATGATCAGCATGTGCCATCTGGGAGTTGTCAAGGCCCTTCATCTCCAACGACTACTTCCCCAGATCGTCACCGGGACCGGCTCCGGAGCTTTGATCGCTGCCCTCGTTTGTGCAACTTCGGATGAAAATCTTCTAGACATTCTGGGAGGAACCAACATCAACCTCGAAGCGTTTGTTCGTGCCCAAATGCGCCGTTCCACCAGCCGGTTGACCTCTTGGCTGGGTTCTTCGTTCCTGGCCACGATTCGTCGACGGTACCAACGATATCGTCGTACAAAGCACCTGTTCGACACCGATATACTTCGGGAATGCGCTCGAGACAACCTAGGAGATATCACCTTTGAAGAAGCTTATGCGAAGACCGGGAGAATCCTCAACATTACCATCGCCATGTCACAAGTGGCCGGAACACCTCAACTGCTGAATTACATCACGGCACCCCATGTCCTGCTTTGGTCTGCTGTCGTGGCGTCCATTGCGACATCCAAAGAGATGTATGCTCCCGTCCAATTACTGTGCAAGAGCGATACTGGCGCCATCGCTCTCTACTTTGCTGCCGATTTCTCGGAAAAAGGATGCAAGCGACAAGCCTGTGTTCACCCAGAAGCACCTTTGCAGCGGATCGGAGAGCTTTTCAACGTCAATCATTTCATTGTGTCGCAGACGAGGCCATACGTTGCTCCATTCATTCAACTACAAAAGTTTGCTGATTATCATCAGCCCCTGGGAATTCTCATTCGATTTGTGCTCGACGAACTTTTGCATTGGCTCGAGGTTCTGAACAGCTTTGGGTTGCTCCCAACATTTCTGCAACGTGTCCTGATGGATGAGGTTGTCCCAAGCTTCGCCTCGTGGTCAAAAATGTCAATCACACCACGAATCGGTTTGTGGGATCTGTTCACTCTGTTCGACGCGCCTACCGAGTCTAAATTACAGACATGGAGTGCCAGAGGAGAGAAATACACGTGGCCTTATATCTGCGAACTCCAATGCCGCTGCGATATTGAGTTGGAATTAGAAGCGGCGTACGCCCGCATTCGACGGAGAACGATCGCGCCGACAACACTTTGATAGCAAATTATGCCTCGACATCAATCCCGCACGTGGCTGTGCAATTGTGGCGTTTCTCCATCGACCAAAGTGAACCAGCAACATCAGTGGACAACAATGACATCATATCGGCGATCACCCTAGCCATCGATAAACGGTCCACGGGCATGAGCACAACCCTGAAATCGTCTTCGGCTACTCCTCTCCCAACTTACCTTTCCACTGGTAGCCTCGCCATCATTGAATCTCTTTTCTGTCAACAATGTCCCATTCAGCCTTTATCATGACCAATTCAGGTGAAAAAGAGAAGAAATTTCGTGGTCTCGGCCGCTGGCTGGGGAAACGCGATCACACTCCGGACCATCCTGGAACCCTCCCTGATTCCGCCTACGGTAGCAGCGAAGTCCCTAGTGCAGAAGGTGCTCGGGGGAGAAGCACGCCCGACATGATACCCGCCGAGAGGAATAGCGAGATAGCCAACATCGATCAAAACAGAAACCTCGCCCTGAAGCCATCGACCGGTGAGGTTTTTGATGAAGATACCGGGGAAGTGGTAACGGTGGTGACCACCACTACCACCACTACCACCACCACGACTACAAGAGGTGGAAAGAAACACCAAGATGTGCGAAAGGATGTCAAACGAGAAGTCCAATCTAGTGGTCCCAGCGGATCACCCCTGCTAGAGATACCAGGTGGATCTCCTGGACCTGAACCCTCATCGCAGCCTGCCGTCACTTCCACGAGCACTACTCAGAATGGACAGCCTTCAGGAACGAGCCGGGAAATACCCCAGTCCGACTCCCCGCCGATCCCCGCCAAAAGTGCCATGCGAGTGTCTGATGTTCCCCGAGATGCACCCATAGACGACACGCCCGTAAGTCCAGCGGACGGTTCATTCGCGGGACACACGGGGTCCGCAAACCCAAATCACCCCTCGCGACCGAGTTTCAGCTATCCTAGTCCATCATCCATCCAGACGACCGATCAGCCAATGCGTCACAATCAAGGCACGATGAATGACCTCAAAGCGGCAATCAAAGGAATTCATGTCTGATCACTCTTTCCTCAGTTTTCCGAATGCCATCCACATACTGACGGGAACACAGGGTGTGGGCGAGACCCTTCGAGGAACCTTGAATAGTACGATCGACCGGCGATTCCCGTCCAAAACCGCCGAGAAGGCCGCACGGGTCAATGCGCAGAACGAAGAAGTCCTGGAGAAGGGCCGAGCCGAGATAGAAGGCATCCCAGGAAGCTGGCCGGCCCACGATCCCCGGGAGATGGCGGCAGCACCACCACCGCCACGAGTGAATGGGCACTCGAGGAGCAAGCCCGGGAGTCTGGGGAAGATGTTCAAGAGGAAACCAGTGGCGGAACCAGGTACGGAAGTGAGATGAAGAAGCAGAGATTTGAAGTGTGAGTGGACCTCTGCCCATTACCATATCTCTCTGACTGTCATTTTCTGTCTTTCCGCCGAATTCATCTGACGACTTCTTCTGCTTGCAGACACAAATCGAGCCGAAGACACTACGGGGTAGCCGGTTCCGACGATTCCACGAAGCGATTGAGAAAGATTTTCTCAGCGACCAAGGACGTACCATGTGCCATGAGTGTGGAAGCCTGTAGATATGTCGGTGCCCGTGTCTACGTCTGATAATATGCAAGGATATAGTCTCTCGGTTTGAATGTATGTGTTACTTGTCCCTATGATGCGCAAATATCTCACCCCGCCTCTACTGCTTTGTTTCTATCCCCTATGTTCCCCTACAACTGTTGTTCGCGTCAAGTCTTGGAATCATTACAACCAGACATGGAAGCTGAATTATCCTCAATCTCCATCGGATTGCCCTGTTCTCTTCCAAGTCGGCTATAATCTCCTGCCTTTCGACACCCATCCGGAACGAAAAACTTCTTGTCAATTCTCGAGAAAGTCAAGACGCTGAGGATCAAGATCTCACATGTGAAATTGAAGATGTAAAAGCACGCCTTGGAATCGTACCAAGCTGCACGGTCGAGAGGACGTGGAGGACTCCAAGTTCCTCCTGCTTTGAATCCGGCAATCAACATGCATAGACATGTCGAGAGTGTGACGATGATGATTTTGCTCCTCATGCTTCCTTGTCCGAATGTTTCCTCATCTTTGGATCTCGGCAACAAGACAGCCATTGCGACGTGAATGAGTGGGAGGCAGGTAAAGATGAGCAGGTAGGTGAGGGCGGCCAGCTGGACGTCTCGACAAGTAGACTTGGTGTGTGAGTTCAATGTGTAGATAGAGACCACCACGGCCGTAATTACCATGGCAAGCGCCGCGCCTATACCGATGTACACGATCTTGTAGGAGGCTCGCAAGACCGAATTCCAACCGATGCGCGGTTGCTTTGCTCGTAGGATGCGTTGTGCCAGGATCAAATTGATGATGTAGATGATAAGGACACCCGCATTCACGAAGATCTGTGCTGCCACGCCGAGTCGAATGTTATGTTGCCGAGTTGCCCATGCGATTCGGAGCACAAGGGTGGCAATCCTGGCCATACAGAAACCGAACAGTAACGCTGAGAGCACGAATTTGTGGTGCTTACGACGATTGAGTTGAAAGATGGCGGTGTTTGTTACAGCGAAGCCGATATAAAGGAATAGGAACACCGCGCAAATGGGAATGTCGGTGGTCGCTGTCGGCACGCCGCCCATTCCAGCGGTCGTGGAAGGGTATGGGCCCCCAGAGGATGTGTGGGGGGACTGCGACATTTCTGAGCTTCTGACTGGAATTTCCCAAGTGATGGTGAATGTTGTGCTATTGGAATTGACGCCTGGCCAAGGAGGTTCCGATCGCAGTCCATCTTGATGCGCTCCTCAAGGATCTTCCATTTTTATAGACATACCCGCTAACATCGACGCAAGATTCAAAGTTCCACATCGCGGAGAGATGATGGAGTCTCTTGGTGGCCTGCGGTGACAATCTCAAACTTTTAGAAGACATGAACCATCTTGAAATCCCTTTGGGGACCAATGGAAGGGGCGTGCGCACGAAACATTCGCCCGCGGAGCCGCAACTTCGTCCGCGCCGAAAGGGCCAATTTGGGCCATTCACATCGAATATCAGCTTTCCGAGATCTTCTTCCCACCCCCTTCGGCCGCCCTTGATTATTTGGAAACTAGAGTATCAGACAGCATCGATCCCCAATATCTGGAGCTATGTCGGATATGTCTGAGCACCGGATCTGGAAGCAGGCTCGGAGAGGGACCAAAAGTTGTACCGAGTGTAAGTGGAGACGGCCATTACTGAAGCAACCTGTCAAGGCTTTCCTGATTGCATAGCGCAGGCAGACGCCGTAAAATTCGCTGCATTAGGAGCGCTGAAGATGCACAGACTTGTCGAAGCTGTGAAGACCGGGGTGCAGTGTGTGTTGCGCAGATATACAGTTCTCGGCCCGTTCGGGCGCAAAGATTGCCTTCGCGACATCGAATTTCGCAGCTGGAATCTCAGGTTGCCAGTCTAAGCAAAGCCATACGTGATATTCAGTCGAAGCTGGGGTATCAGGCGACGGACGTCCTGGGACCAACTGTGGCTCAGCCCGAGTCAATTCCTGGAACTGATGACTCGGATGACGATGATTCGACCGTCTCGGGTGTCCTCGCCACAGAGCAACCATCGCAACTCCGTTCCCTGTTCCAAAACGATTTGCTCTGTGTGGAACCTCGTCAGCAAAATGAACCGCTACGGGACCGCAAGGCCAAAGCGTCAGCACGTCTACTGGACACGGCGAGACAGGCGCTCCAGAAGTTGATTCTGCCCAAGGACGAAGTTTCGGACCTGGTCAGATCTGCGACCACGTGGCTTGACCTGGCCCATGCCCTTCTTCCACGGCCCTTTGCGGTCAAATCTCAGCAGGAACTCCTTGACGCCTACGACAACATCATCAAGCCCGATGTCGATGTCATCAGTTTAGCTTCATGGTTGCTTGACGTTGCCGTCACGGCGCAACAAGTCCCGCAGGACCACCACAGCCCGGTAACCAGGCTCAAAAGATTCCAGAGTACTTCAGTCTTCACCCAAGCGGTATCTGACACGGTGGAGAAAACAATCCTAAATCATGATCGTCTCATCAGTACCGTTCAAGGGCTTGGGACCGCCGTGCACTTCCTTCGACTGTAAGTTCTTTTGCCCCCAATGGCTTCTCCCCCCATCTCCCTCCCCTCCTCCGAGGGCGCCGCGGACCAAAGTGACTGATTGAGATCTATAGTCAAATAAGCCAAGGGAACTTTCAGAAATCGTGGCTTCGATTGCGACATTTCATAGCGGTTGCAGAGCTCATAGGGCTTCCCAAGATCTCTCAATCCAGTCAACCCAACAAGGCTCCCGGAGCAGCCGACGATGAGACGCAACTCCACAAGGTTCAGCTGTGGGAATTTATATGTTCGGCGGACAGACTTCTGGGAATGATGATCAATCTCCCGTCAGGTGCCAGACGACTCCAACCATCACACGCTCAAGCATTATTGACGGCCAACGGTACGGTTGAGCCTCGCGTATATCTAACACGATTGACGGATATCGCCACCAAGGTCCAGGATTTGGACGATAAGATGAGCACGACAACACCAGAATCTGGCTACGGGGAACTTTACGCATCTTCGTTGGATCTCGATCGAGAGCTCCGAGTGTTGGCGTCTCAGGCCCCAAATTCGTGGTGGCATCAAGACGTGGAGCAGGTCCGCCCTGATCATATAGTGCAGAACTTGCATTACTATATCATGATGAGGGTACATTGGCCATTTACCGTGCGACCCAATCCGGGCGGTGAAGAGTATACTTACAGCCGGCTGGCCTGTATGGACGCGTGCGAAGCAGTGGCGCGTCGCTATCAATTTCTTCGTCGACTTCTGCCTTCAGGCTTCTTTCTCTGCCGAATCTTGGACCTACAGGCGTTTACCGCGATGGTGATTCTCCTTCTCACGTCTCACAGCTGGCCTCCCATGAATCGCTTGGACTTGCAGACTAACAAAGCGAGGATCGATGGCGTGGTTACGCAAGTCATCACGCTCATGGACGAAAAGTCTCATGACTCAACGGGCTCTAGCTTTACCCAGCATGCCGTTTTCACCATTCGTTCTCTGATGACATTACTTCAGCAGGATGGCGATACCTCGAATTTATGCCAAATGAGGCTGAAAGTCCCGCTCCTGGGAGAAGTTCACATTCGCCGCAATGCATGTCTGTCGCAGCCGCCACAATCCAAGGATTGGCAGTCATTCCCGATTCCGTCGGGATCAGCCCAGTGGAGGATGAATGAGCCGTTGGCGACCCCTCAAAACTATGGGAGTAGACCTCTCAATCCAGATATTCTTTCGGGCTCCGCCACGCAGTCACAAGCAGAGTGTCACTGGAATCCTCTTTCCTGGTCCATCGAGGATAACCATGACAACTTCTTCCAGGATCCTCTCATGGCCGAGAGCTTCGATCAGTGTGACATGTGGCAGCCCGATTATAACAACTTTTGGTTTCAATAGATGAAAAGATTTTGCCCGAAAAGCATCTCAACCTTCCAGGCACCCTGCATAGAAATTGCACCGTGTGCCGGGAGACCTTCTCGTTGTTTTGGCGTGGTAAGTATGTCAAGTGCGCGTAGCATGTGTGACGATAGTAACAACTGGTATCGGCACCTCCTTACGAAGATTTGGGATGCGAGAAGCCGAAAAGTCCATCCTCCATCAACGCAAAGGCCCAAAATGGTTGCCTGACCCTCGGCCGCGTGGTTCGCATATTTCTGTTCATCCCACGCCAAGGAGATACACGAGATTGATTCATCACTAACTTAATCAGAAAACTAACATTCTTCACCGTCTTTCTTCACAGCCACGCTGCTATAGACCCCCCGTCATGTCCCACGCTGCTTTGTATCCCGATTAAGGCAGTCCATGCATGCCGGATGCCGGAAAGACTTTGACCACCCCACGCTGATGCCAGGCAACAGGGCCTTTCTTGAGGTATCAGAAAGACCACGCTGTGGTACCGAGATAAGCGGGAGAAAACGAGGTGAGCGAAAGATGATCACAAGGGACGCGCTTCACTTCTCGCGGACAACTGATCCAGCTTCACCCTCTGAGTCAAACTCGTTTCATCCTCGGGTCGCCTATTTGCCTAATATCGGGACTGACCGATGAGGCATTGAAATGTCCCTTCCTAGTCGGACGGAGTGTTTGAAATCAAACATGTCCTTTGGACTTCAAAACGTGATCTTCTTCTCCTTCTTCCTCTGCTACCGCTACTTACTGCTTGCTGCGCTATCATCATCTACTCTGCTCAGATCTCGGACAGTGGAATAACTCACTACGACTCCAACAATACGTTCAAACTCCGTATGCCAACAGCCAGCCTCGACAGCCTGATCGTGTCTCCGGTTGATTTCGAACGGTACAATGGGCACCACCGCCTCCACACCTTTGAGCTCCCGCGCTCACCGAATGACTACTCAACTACACCAATTGATCCCCAATGCACGGCTCAAGACGTGGCCCAATGGCTCAGTCAACCGGGCACAAAAGCCGACCCAGACGACGCCACCATGAAGATCCTCCTCATCCAAACCCGGAACCAATCGACTGCGAAGAAAACTCCAAGTCTTTCGTCCCCGTCCCCTGCGTTGCTCAGAGAACCACCCCGTCCGCGAACATCTGAACGAGAGTCACAGGCAGAATTTGTCTGTGACGTGTTCAATGGTATCGGCCTCCCACTCGCCGCGTTTGGTGCCTATATCAAAGCACACATCGCCTTTGTCTGTGTACCTCCGGCATCAACCAGCATCCATGAAGACCCTTCCACCATGCCAGTATCGGCCGTCGCAAGCGCGAAATACTACTGTTCCGGCACCAGCTGGACGATCGCCTGGTCTTATAGTGTCTCCCAAAATCATACAGCAGCAGTAATGTTCCACCGTGAAGGCGACGGAGACGAGCGCAAGGCCGAAGTCCTCGCAGACCTTCTCCGACTCCAGACGCACCTTTCCCACCCAATGCTCCTGGGTTATATCAAGACGAAAATCTCCCTCAGCTTCACCTTCGACATGCTCGACGACATGAACCGCGAAACACTCGCTTTGGAGCAAGAAATCGGGTTTCCGACATGGAACTGGGTCTTGGACCGAGTAATGCCAGGTCAAGGCGTGGGCGAAACTCAAGACAACGCCGTCGAAGGCTTCAATGTTCTCTCGGGGAAACTTACGAACATCCGCTTCCGCCTACGTACGTTTCAGCAACAAATCAAGTTCATATCGCGGTGCAATGCCAAACATCGGCACGCGTTGAACACTAGAGCAGAAACAGCATCGGGAGGAGGTACAGGAAGGGGATACGAGGCGGCACTGCGTGAATGTGACGAACTCGACGCCTTTATGGACGTCATGTGGGACTATACTTTTGTCCACCTCTTCGACGCGGACTCCCTCGGCGAACGCCTCGCCAACGCCATGTCCGCCGTCTTCCAGCTGACCACACAACGAGACTCACGTGCCAGTCTGGCCATCGCGGACATCAATAATGAACTCGCGTGGCAAGGCAAAACCACAAATACAAGCATGCAAACGATCGCGTTCGTCAGTTTGCTGTTTTTACCGGGCACATTTGTGGCCTCGTTCTTCGATACGCCGATCTTCAACTTTCCCACTCCTCAGAACGGGAGGCAGGTCGTGGTCCCTCAGCCGTTCTGGATTTACTGGACAGTCAGTGGCGTGTTGACGCTGGCGCTGGGGGTAGGATGGATGAGTTATCTCAGACGAAGGCGGGAGATGGATCTGCGCGAGCGTGAGGGCGAGAGACGCCAGTTCCGCGAACGGATCCGGCGTAGAACACACGGAGAGGCGGCGGCCGTGGTGTTGGAAGGGAGAGATCCCCGCTCGGGCATCGCGGACAGTGTTGAGAAGGGATACGGTCGAAACTGCGGCTTCAATTGGGGCTTGGATTCAGCAGGTAGTTTCAGGAAAACACCATCGCTCACTAGAGGCAGTGGATTAAGAGACGACAAACGCCACGGGAAGTGGAGAGTCAAGAATGACCTCTACAGTATTGCCGTTCGAGAACCGACGGGGTCCTCCGCCAATGTCGGCGAAGCAGGCAGATATGCCAATAGTGGATATGGGGACTCTGGCTGGCCGACTGCCAGATCCGCGGCAGCGGCATGCTTGCATGGGCTTTGAAAGGAACCGTGAATTGATTCATTTCCTCAAGAGGATTCACCGGGACCGAGAGATGTGGAGTTAATGTAATTTTCCAACTAACATGTATCCATCAGGTGGCAATGTGTCTTTGAATTCCAAGTCCTTTTACTAGACTACCATGTTCATTGGGGAAAGCAAGAAGCCTGAAAGAATGAAGTGTTTTGAGCAAAGATTGCACAGGCAGCTTCCGTCAAGGAGACGTGAAGGGGGGGAAAGGCAACATGCGGTTGCCCGTGACATTATTATCATCCTTGTCTCAGCGTACGATTTTCCTCCGCACGCTTGAGTGATATACCTTGCTGTCCATAATATCCTTTCCTTCTCAGAATGTATTCCTAGTCCGTCTACTGATTCTGCTTCAATCTCTGATCCAGCTGACCCGTCCTTCCTGAGTCCATTGCTACCAAGCCGGCTGGCGCCAGGAGGGTTCTCACTTGCGCCAGAACTTCGACCAGAGGGAGTACCGCCGGTTTAGTCGCCCTACTTTGCCAGCATCATTGGGATCGACTTTGCCACGGACGAATTCGACGGTTCCAACACGTTTGTCGGGTTGGTCGTCTTTGCGGGGGCCATCGTTTTCTGTACGGCCATTAAGTAGAATGTGAGATGACTCGCAATGGGAGTGGTGAAGGAACGGGAGAAGCAAGAGGATGAAGGAGTGGGTTCGGAATTCATGGGAACTGGTAAGGTTTTTGCTGAGTGAGTGGAGGTCGTTAAAGTGTTGAGGAGAGGAAGAGACGCAAGAACGAACCGGCTGGCTTACAGTCAGACATGATGAGATGGACCTTTAGCGGGGTTGTAGTTTGGTTGTTTCCGATGAATACAGAGGATGATGGTATCGATTGAAGCTAGAGGGACACTCCTGCTTATGTAGACGACTGTGATCTCTATGAGCATCTCGCTCCATTAATATTCCCTTGTTCCTGCAGAGGTTCAGGCAACAGCGTCGCGGAAGATAATTTGGTAGGCGGCAGGAAGGAATCCGGCCAATCGCCTGGACAACTCGTGACCAGCAGGCATGCCCGATTAAGCGCCCCGGATCTCAGATGGTTAGCGCTGTCTTGACAAGATCCGACCAGGATGGAGGACTCCAGGAATAAGAGATCCAAGTGGCATCTGAGAGGGGAAATTCCCCTTCTGTCGACAGAGTAAGAAGATTCTAAGGGTATGGAAATGGTTGGCATGGAATGCCTTGGGATTCATGAGCAAGAGTCTCTGGCACTGGAAGTCCTCTTCGAAAGATACTGCATTGCTAAACCCAGGATGATTTGCGCCTTGAATAGATCAGGTTGTTTGGCCCCAAGTCCACTTGAAGTCATCATTGCCCTGCAAAAAGCTATGATGATAAGCGGGAAAGCTAAGGATGACCAAGATTCTATTGGGGAGCCCACACAGATGGTGACGTTCCTGGATGTAGATTATCTCAGAAGTACCGTCGTCGGATGCCTGAAATGACGAGTTCCGCCGGCTTCAAATGGACCTAGCTGAATCTGGGGTATCGATCGGGGGATTAGCACCATGCAGCGGAGTCTGAAGTCTAGATGCAGGTATGAAAGGGTATTGTGGATGGAAAAGACAGGAAGAGGTTGCGGCTCCCGGAGGATGCCGCCAGGAGTCGAGTCAGCCTTGTCACCTGACAATTCAGGGGCTCCGGTCTTGGCCACAGAAAGGAGATGAAGGACATGGACGGGACATCCGGCCTCGAAATTAACCTTTTAATTGGGAAAGATACTTGATTCATGGCATCTGGTCGGCAAGTGTGGGTGTGGGATTGGAATTGATTACCAAATGAAAGCGGATTCTGGATGAATACCAAAGATTCCACCAAAGATTCCCTTCGTCTACAGAGGCGATTCGCTTTTCTATTCCCGCAGGCGCCTTAGATTAGTCCTGCAAGTCCATCATGCTTCAAAAGAAAATTGTTCCTCCATAATATCCGTGACCTATTTCACGACATTGTCGAAAATCCCAAGTCTAACTTTCATGCATTTTCATCCATTCCCGCTGATTGGCCGTTGGCACATTTTCCCGAGGAAACAAATACGCCGTCCACGAGTATTAAAACGCTCACAGTAAATCAAATCCGATCATATCCATACATCAACTCAGAGAAATAGAACATGGGTAAAAGAAATAGGATCGAGCCTCCGTGTCGTTTAAAGCCCTGAATAGTCCTGGGGCGCGGTGTTTGCAAATACATAATTTTTGGGCTTTTGTTGGGCAAGTTGTTGGGCCACATGTGCGTGTTCTTCTTTCTGATTGGGAAATTCTTGTATGTAGAACTCGGTTTTCCTCTGGTCCGCCTGAAGATCAAGCCCCAAGTCTGACTTGTTGTCGGATGGTAAGATGAATTGTTGGAATGGTCCATTGGGGCCATCACTCTGTGATGGGTATCCAAGAGAAGGAACATAAGTCACCGGGGGAAAGGAAGGAACATCTGGCGATGTCAGGGGTGCGTCGGGCCAACTGCTGTTGGTCAGAGGTCCAGCCGAGTAAGGCGGTGTATAGTCTGGGAATGATGCATATTGTGGGGGAGCTGAAGCAGGAGGAACCAAGGACTGCTGCGATTGTGCTCCGGCCATGAAATCCGGAACCAACGGAGTGATGGGAGGGGAAGTGGTCGTGATTGCGAGATTTTGTGTTGTTGGCATTGAGAATTGATGGGGCAGATCTTCAGATTGTGCAAAATACGGGTTCTTCTCGGGGTCGGTCATTGGGTCATTGGGATAGAGATCGGGGGAGAGCATTGGCGCGGGCAAGTCTGCCAGTGACTGAGCAGCGGCTGCTTGTTGCGCCATTAACTGGTCGAACGCCTCGGCCTCTGCGAAATTCGGTACACACATTGGCGATCTCTGGGCTGAACTGGCTTTGCGGATTCCTGCATAGCGGGAGTTGAGACTCTGGCCCGCAGACTTGACATGTCGCACAGCGTGAGGTACTGGCGGAGTCATGACACCTTGTCGGAAGGTTGGGGAAACCGACGTCAAGGCTCCATATGATCGACTTCGAAGGGAGGCCGAAGTGAGAGCAGCTGGTCTCGGTCTTTTTCGTCGTGCCGCGATATCAAGAGGACCGCTGTGAGGTGGGCAAAACGGCTGTGAACCTCGGCGACCCATCGGGACGTTGGGCGAGCTGCTCACCAACGCAAAATTGCCAAAATTGTTGGAAAGCTCTTCTGTGGTGGATTGACGTCGTGAGCTGGGATATGATGGCATGGTCAACCCTGGAGATGGCAAGACGGCGACCGGTTCATTCTGCTGCTGAGCATGACCGGTCGGCGTGGTCAGTGTTTCTTGCCAGTCTTCAGGAGTCACGACAAAGGGTTCCGGGACATAGTCGACGATGGGATCTCCTGCTGTGTTGGCTTGACTTGATGTGTTTGTCAAAACGTCTTGGTCGAAGCCGAAATCGAACGAGGTGTCCTGAAGCGTGATGGGAGAGGGATAAGGCACCGCACTTGCGTGTTGAGTGGACCATTTCGATATACTGGATGTGGAGGAGCTCGGTTGATGGCCATTCACTCGGAGAGGAAGCTGGGTCGTGGACATGGACTGTGGAGGGGGCATTGTGACCTCCGGTTGGGGGGCTTGTTGGGCATGCGCGGCCTTTGCTTGTCCCAGCGCCCTTTGAAGAGAAGCCCAACCCGCTTCCTTGGAATCACCGGCGATCTTGACTTTAATTGGCGAGGTAGGAGTGATTGGCTTTTCTTCCTTTTTAGGTGAGGCCACAGATCGTGTAGGAGAGGCGATTTCTTGCTTGGGAGTGGTAGACACGGTTGCCCCGTTGGCATCACCAGGCTTCGAATTGTCGTCAGTTTTAGCAGCATTCTGCGCCTCGTACTCCTCTCTCTTCTTCTCGTGTTTTGCCTTTGCTCGTCGATTTTGAAACCAATTCTGTCAATCAGTCAGCCCCGACGGGTTCTCTTCCGGATCGGCCACCAACCTACCCCGACTCGCTGAATCTTCAAGTTTGTCTGGATGGCCAATTGTCTCTTAACCTGCGAATTGGGCTTGTGATTTTCTTGGAATTTAGCCTCCAGAATGTCAAATTGCTCCTTGGTAAGTCTGGGCCGAGAAGGGGCCTCGTCCATGTCTCGATAGTCATCATGCATCATGCCAGCGGCCATGAGATCGGCATACTCAGCGGCTCCGTACGGACCATAGTAGTCGTCGAATTGCTGCTGAGGATGCACCATGTAAGGCGGGTATGGGACGGCTTGGAAGAAAGCGGAAGATTGATGCTGAGGCGGAAAGGGAAAAGGCTCTTGCATGTAGTCCATGGTGTTCTGCCAATGGAGAGAATTGTCTTCGTCAGTGACATTCCTGCTCAGCGAGCGATTGTGCCATCGCCGGGGATGTTGTCCGTCAGACATCGAGCATCTCAAACCACAAACCTCGTAGCGGTTCCGGTGATAAGGAGGGGAGAGCTTCGAGCTGTGTTGGCCTGAAGGAACGACGAAAGACTTGGAGGGAGGGAAATCTAAGTGTCGCTCATAGGCAGCCGGCGTAAGAAGGAACGTAATAGCGGTTATAGAAGGAAGGAGGAGACAGTCGCAACCAGGGGCTTGATCTGGGGTTCCGGTAGTTAGACAAAGACGGAGAAATAAAAAGGAGATCGAAGCCACACAAGAAGGCAGGGGGCCGATCGAAAGTTGAGAAGGTGGTGCGGACGGCGTGATGTATCGTAGCGATGACGGCAAGTATAGTACGAGGAGCGAAGAATGGTGGAGGAGATGGTAGAGCGAGTATGGTCAGTTAAGCCAGGTGGGCGAAGTCGGGAATTTTAGATTTTAGAGGCGACGTCCCGAGAGCTCAGGCGAGAACTAACGAGGACCAGGACCGGGGTAAGGTGTCTCGACGACGACAGAGATATCAAATCAAGTCAGAGCTTCTCTCGCGGAGGGGATGTTTGAAGTCGATGGTGGTTGATGGCTGATGGCTGGTGAGTGACAGGGAAACAGCTGGAGCAACAGAGGTGCACGTCCACTTTGTGATGTCCTCCAACGAGCGAGAAGGCAGTTCAATGTTCATCAGTGCGTGCTCTTGACTCGAGAGAGACACAGATGGACAAATGGGTGACGGGTATTGGGACAGGAACCACTGACCGGGGGAGCGAAAGCCTACGGGTGGAGCCACTCAAGCATTTTGTTCTTAGCTTGCAATTCACAGTCGCCGTCCAGAGGAAAAGAAAAAGGATTGACTGCGCAGGGCGCTTGGTGGACTCGAACGTTTGGCCTCTCCCCGGGATTCAGCTTCCACCTCCCCGGGCGAGCCGCACAAAGAACGCTCGGCAGGGAACCAACCTAAACAAAGAGGGCAGTCCTAGACAAGTACTGGCTAGACAGTAGAATTTCATACCGAGAAGTCGCCCATAAGACTTCTATGCCCTGGAGGTTAACGAGTCAACTTGCGGACACGCCCCGATAGACTCTCGAGTCTTTCTGCCCTGCATCTTGTGTTCTTTGTTGGTTCCTTTCTCGGCCCTCTTCACATCCTGCTCTGAGGGCTCGAGGCCCCGAGGCGTCATCTCAATCGATTGGACCGTTTGGCAAGGGGCTTCTTTGGTTATCGGCGCCAATGCAGGAACAAACTTGAACGGTCCAGTCGAACCGCGGTGAGGCAAAACATCGACAAGGCCAGGGCTAACCAAGCGCTCCAGGGAAAGCCAGGGAGCCGTGCAATCCTTGTCGTTCTCAGGTTCCCCCAAGCCCGCTCACCCGACCCAGATCTAACCCGTTCCAGGGCAAGTTTCAGCGCAAAGAGCCCATTGTGCCACAACCGGACACCCAAGCGGGAAGCGCGGTGGGGTTTTGTCCGGGTTTGCGATGGCCTGTACCCTGGTCCAAGAGGCGTTCGAAGGGAGATGAAATGAGATGAAATGGGGCGATGGCTTCGATGCTCAACGCCAAAATCCACACGCGAAAGACAGACGCCTTTGCCCACTGCCACGCCGATGAATGCTGGTATTTGCTTCCATTGACCTGCGTCTGACAGCGAGTTTTGAAGTTGACTTGCCGTCTGCCCGGCATTTGCCAGTTGGATGACGTGCCTAACTCAAGCAACACGCCTATTAGACTCCGGACTCAGGCAAGGGAAACCAGCGGCGCCTCTCATTGTTCAATTCTCCTTCAAATCCCCGGTAAGCTGGAACTCTAATGCACTGTGCCTAGTTGACTGCGACCCGAGGGCAAAAGCTGAATGGGCGGCTCGAAATGCCTTTCTCCCCCACGACATTTGGGCGCATCGCTGTTCCGCATCCCTGCCGTTCTTTTGCGCTGACCATAGCGTAACCGACATCATCACATCAAGGCTCTGACTTGGTCGGCCGTCTAGTATGGAGCAGAGCTACAGTGGTATTCGAGAGTCATTCGTCATCAAGATGATCCCCAACATAGTTGATGATCATATTCTGTCTCCTCCACCCACTCCTAGATCATGGAGCGCTTTCTTGGACACCCTGGTCTGGCCCAGCATCCCCTGTGAAGAGAAGTACATCACAAATTTGGTACCTGCAGCTGTGGCGGAGGGAACTGGTACCACCACAGGCAGCTGAAACCGCAATCCATATCTGCACAGACGGAGGAGCCATTGCGCAGCCGTCATCCACTCATCACTCAGCACGCATCCTGCATCACCAACCACCACCACTCAGGTTTGTCCGTTACACGCTCTACTGTCAGAGCCTTGGGAGCAAGCCTCTCTACCGAGACGCGCGACAAAAGTTGAGGCGTTCTTTCGCCCTCTTGAGCAATTCATCAATAACTGAATGTACGGAAAAAGGGGGAAGGGAGAGGGGGGTGTTCTCTCTAGCATCAGCCCTCTTAGGCTGATCATGGTCGATATCTTTGACCTGGTTGTTGATCAAGGCTATGATACGTGAACAAATTTTCCGGAGAGAATCCATTACAGCTGCTAACGCTGGCAAGGGGGGTGGTTTCGGGAGCACAAATTCAAAGACAGCAATTTCCAATGCATCGCGGCAAGGGTCTTAGTGCACCCGCTTTGGCAAGAAAAGAGTCGGGGGTTCCTTTACCGACAGATTTTGGGGCCAACCTCGCCTGTTGAGTCAAAACTCCTTCGATCTCGTCAATACCAGCTCGAGTCGAACTTTTCGCTTGTTCTCCTGTTCGCCGCTTGGGGCTCCCGCTCAGTCCGGCTTCCACTCCGACTCTTTTTTAATCTTCCTTTGCAACCCTGGTATCCGCCAATCAGCTCTTCACGTTGATGTCTTCCCCTGCTCCCCCTGCCATAGCTCGCTTCATAGACGGTTTTTTATGCCCTTCGCTACATCTGGTATTGTCAACAATAATGCGTGTGCTCACTTGATGCTAATTACGCATCAAATTCCAAATTCATGTATCCATTTACTATAGTAGGTTCATCATCTGCTCAACAAGGTGGCCTGGCTTCGCCCCCCCTTCTGAAATTGTATGTTCCACAATCCTGCACTTCCAAGCAAGAATTGGTACCTTCTCACCATTGTGCGACATCGACTCTACATTGTCGCCAAGGACATCTGTCCAGGTACGCCATGGTCTTTACGCACCCGGGGAGATAACTAGGGCCATCGTCTTGGGTGCGACGGTTAGCCTGTAGCTTCATGAGAGCAGATCTGAGGGCATATAGCACAGGCCACAGTGGCCGGCGCTTTGTCCAATTCATCTCTCGACCATCACCTCACCAACTGCCGAATGACAGCTCGAGATCGCTGGAACGAGGTGCAGCATAACGCTCCGAGTCAACATTTTGACTTTTGTTGCCCTCGGAGAATGGAAGGTCTCTCCGCGTTGCACTACCCAGAGACACCGTCCCTACAGCGGTTGCCAACGGTGTCGAGGAGCATGACATGATCGAGAAGATCCATTTCGCATATCGCATGAAGCGTCGTTCGTCCAAGCCCGTCCTTGGACTTTCTCGCATGATTTGTCCACTCCACCAACTCCGAGCTTAATACGCACGGCCCTCAGCCTCGGATAATGTTGCTTCACAGAAGTCGAAGGTGGTGGCGAGGCAGATTGGCTTCTCGAGAATGCAATGATCAAGTGACTGTGGCGAGAATGGAGCGTTTTTGATGATGCGGCTCTTTCCTCACGACCACTGCTCTATCCGTCGGCTAATTTTTACGTCTATCTGGAGATCTTCTTGTCTCCTAGCCCAATTGAACTCCAACGCCCTGCTGAAAAGTGATCAGTGACGCAGTGGTATGAGGGATCGCACTGGTCAGACTGCATGGACCAAGGCATTTGTGATCTCGATCTCTACGACCCCATCTGCAAAGTTCTTGAGAGTCAGACTTCCCAGGTCTTGTACAATCCAGTCTGCCCCCGCTTCTTTCAACTGACCAATCGTATGTGTGGTGGACAGACCGATAACCTTGAAACCTGCTGCTTTGCCAGCACGGACTCCTGAGGGCGCATCTTCAATAACGATCATGTGAGAAGTGTCGGACAATCCCAGACGTTGGCGACCGAGAAGATAGCAAGCGGGATCGGGCTTGCCATTTTCCACGTCCTCTGCAACTACAGTGCAGCGTGGGTGTGCAAGCTTCAACACCTTGATCCACCCATCGAGCAGTGCTCTTGTAGCCGAGGTGACCACAGCCCAGGGCGCATTGACAGCTTCGAGACTGGTGAGGAGTTGACGGGCTCCAGGGATTTCCACCGCATCCTGGCCGAATTCAATAGGAATTAAGGATTCTTGATGGTTGATGTCTGAACATCGTTAGATGTGAGTCGGGTAAATGGTTGATGTTCCGGTCTTACACTCCCAGTTTGCCTTGGAAGGATCATAGATCATGAAGGTATCGATGCTTCGTCTTCCGTGCGAGGTGGCGAGGATGACATTGGGGTCGACTCCCATCAATTGGCCTTGCTTGTGCCAATGTTTGACAACGGCTTCGGTGCTGTCGATGATGGTACCTATACCACTGGGTTAGGTGTCCCGTTAAGCAGTCGCGGTTGTGGTACAGGTCTACCGTCAAAATCAAAGAGGATGCCATTAGCTGAGACAATTTCGGGTGGTGCAGAAAATGAATATTCCTCAACTGAGCCCATAAGTGTTCGGTGTTTTTATTCTCTCATCAATATCAGGATTCAGTAAAGTGTGACCAAGGGAATTCCGGAACGTGACCTGAAGTCTACAGTCTATCCTGCGCCGTCTACTGTCTATGACCTTAGGAAGTTGTTTATATAGTTTGGTCAGATTCTTTTAAATTCCCTTTCCGGCGTCGGGAAGGTTGCTGAATATGGAGAGCAGCCGAGAAAAGCGTCTGGCCTCCAAAGGGCTTCGGTCAAAGATCTGCCGGTCTACATCTTGGCGCTGTCCGCCGTCGGCAACAGTATTTTTGGGGATTTTTGGATACCGTCAAATGATCACTCGAGTTTGAAGGTCAAAAGAGGATCAGGTCGTCTGCTCTTCCCGCAAAGATGGTCAAGCCCTGTAAGTACTTGATCTTCAGTGACTGCCCTCCCCTGACCCACGGCTAGTCTCAAAGTCCAAGCGCACGCCGGTGCGACTGAGGCATAAAATCGAGAAAGCAAGTGCGGCAAAACAGAGAAAGTTGAGAAAAGAAGCCAAAAAGGGAGGAAATCCTGCTGCGCCAAATTTACTGTTTCTGACGATCTTTAGAACCCCCAATGGAAGTCGCGGTTAAAGAAGGACCCCGGAATCCCAAATCTGTTCCCATTCAAGAACAAAATCCTCGAAGAGATTGAAGAGAGGAAGAGACTGAAAGCAGAAAATGCGCAGAGGCTGCGGGATGCTGCCAAAGAGAAGAAGAAAGGGGGCAAAGATGTGCCGCCCACGGAAACCGCCCAAGATGATGATGACGATCTCATGGAAGATGATGACGATGTCACTGATGAAGAAATGGATGAAGAAGACGACACAAACACTGGAGCGAATCCTTTGACTGCTTTGGTCGCGTCCGCACAAGCAAGAGCGGCCGAATTTGATGGATGGACCGTTTCGGGAGACATCGGCGCAGAGCACGAAGATGACGATGAAAGCGGGGTTCAAATCTCAGAGACAGCGACGACCGACCACAGATATCCAGATTCCTCAAGGAAAGCCTTCGATAAAATCTTCAAACAGGTTCTCGACGCTGCAGATGTGGTACTCTATGTGTTAGATGCCCGAGACCCTGAGGGCACACGATCACGAGAGGTGGAACGACAGATTATGTCTGCAGAGAGTGGTTCCAAACGATTAATCCTCGTTTTGAACAAGATTGACCTCGTACCTCCCCCGGTCCTGAAGGGTTGGCTGACACATCTACGACGATATTTCCCCACGGTCCCTCTCCGGGCATCGACTCCTGCATCCAATGCTCACACCTTCGACCACAAACAACTTACTCTCAAAGCGACATCCGAATCACTCCTACGCTCACTGAAATCATACGCAGCCTCGAAACAGCTGAAAAGATCCATTTCTGTCGGTGTCATCGGATATCCCAACGTGGGAAAGTCGTCCATTATTAATGCTTTGACTTCACGGTTGAATAAAGGAACCCCAAGCTTCGCCTGCCCGGTTGGATCCGAAGCAGGAGTTACTAGAAGCTTGAGAGAAGTCAAGGTCGACAGCAAACTGAAGATCCTTGATTCCCCGGGAATAGTCTTCCCGGCAACAGTGGATGGTGAAGACAAAGAAGACAAACAACGGCGAAGAGCCGAACATGAAGCACGATTGATTCTTCTCAACGCTTTACCACCCAGCCAAATCTCCGATCCCATTCCAGCGGTCAATCTCCTTCTCTCCAGATTGTCCACCTCCGAAGCATTGTATGAGAAGCTGCTGTCGCATTATGGAATTGCCGCGTTGGGCTCTTTTGCGAAAGGAGACAAAACCACTGATTTTCTGGTTCAGGTGGCGCGAAAGAGGGGCAGACTAGGGAAAGGCGGCGTCCCCAACTTGAATGCGGCGGCAATGACTGTTATGGCAGACTGGAGGGACGGAAGGATACAGGGTTGGATTGAGCCGCCGGTTTTGAAGGTCGCAGACGATGCACCAATGGCCGAGGTCGGAGAAGACAAAGCTTTGGCTGTGGGTGCAGACAGAAAACAAATTGTCAAAGAATGGGCAGCTGAGTTCAAGCTGGAGGGACTTTGGGGTGACGATTATGACCACGAACAGGGAACCTCCATGGCAAATGACGCTATGCAGATAGAATCGTAATCGATGTTGAAAAAATGCATGGTGTCTGGTGTTGGAGAGATACCAGGAGACTCTCCCAGGGAGATGCCAAAAAGGGATGAATTGACACCGTTACCCTGAATATCATCCGCTATGGTTCAGAACCTATCATGCGAGATTATCCACGAGGGAAGCAGACGGGTGATTTTCCAGTTAAGAAAACTGGTCGGAACCATAGGAAAGAGGCACGGAGAATTCGCCGCGTATTTAAATTCGCGAGTCGCGCTTCGAACCCTTTGGACCGCGTCTCTTTAGCTCCATAGTGTTGCAGCGACCAGGTCCTCTATCTCTACTGGAATCCAAGGCTTCTTCACTCACAATCTCACTCTGAGAAAATATAACCCTTCGTGACTGTCGAGTGATCGGCCAGAGAAACCCATCAACTCGTCTCGCGTTGATCCTCAATCCATGTCGTCCCCGACACCACATTAAAAAGTTCCTCCGATTACACCAACTGCTGAGAAACAATTTGCGCGGGTGGTCTTTGGATTCGATGAAAACAGAGAAGAACAGTGCATACATTAGCAGTATTTTGCCATAGAAAAGTCATATTCCATCCCAGAGAAGGACGAGCAGGACAAAGACGATTACGGAGGCATTCCACGGCCGAGAACGACTCAACGTGTACGGACTTTTGCATTTCGCAAAATTCGAGCTAAAGAACCATCACATTCCTCCATCTTCTGCGCTGCTCGAATCCTTCCTTGACGGACCAGAGGCTCCTCTTCTCGTAAAATCATCACTTTATCTCGCAGGTTGCCAACTTGAGCCATGCCGCGAAGAAACGGGGCTTCAACGGCTACTACAGGCGCCCACGACGATACCTCAATGATTTCCAACGCCACGACATCATCTACCCACGCACATCCCACGCCGAAGTCATCTCGACAGTCAGGTGGGGGGAAGCCAGACGATAGTGTCGGTATTGATGTACGTCTATTACAATTTCCAAGAAGCGCAGGGAAATTATCTTCCTGCTACGGAACAAAGTCTACAAAGACGCAAAATTTAAATATCCAGTGATTGACCAATGTGCAGGACTTACTCCTACCACGAACACTGACATCCCGTCTGGCTCGCGGCGTCCTCCCGGCCAACACCTCCATACAGAAGGATGCAACACTTGCCCTGGCAAAGTCCGCAACGGTATTCATATCCTATCTGGCGCATCACGCGAATGAACAAACCACGAAGAAAACCATTAGACCCCAAGATGTTATCCAGGCGTTAAGGGAGATTGAAATGGCTGGCGTGATGGAATTGGGTGTGGTAGGCAAGGATGGACGACTCGGGGGCCGGCTGGAACGAGAGATGGAGGTTTATGAAAACACAATGAGAGGAAAGAGGAAAGGGTATCGGGATAAAATCAAAGCCAGGGAGAGCGGTGGCGGTGCGCCAGACGCGGAGGTAGAGGGTACCGATGACAGAGGGGAGCCGAGCAGTAAAAGGGCCCGGAGGATGAACGAGGAGGATGAAGATGAGGACGAAAGGATGCTTGAGCAGCAGCTTAATGGCACTGGAATAGAGATTAGATATAGTTCGGTCCCGAAAGGGAGGCGGAATACCAGTGGGACATCGCCGACCGCGAGTAGGAAAGGAAATGTGGCTGTTGATGAAGAGGAGGATGAGGAATCAGATGCCGATGAAGAAGGAGAAGGAGAAGGAGAAGGCGGTGATGAAGACGAGGAAGAAGATGAAGATGAAGATGAAGAGAACGACGAGGACGAACAGGATGACGATGATGATGAAGACGACGACATTGACAACGCACGACATCCCAATAGCACCCGCAGTAGCAGAGGGAAGGTAGGACTCATGCCCGATGGAAACATTGAGATGGGAAGCGAAGATGAGAGTGATTGATTTGCTTGACTCTGGTTTTCAGATCACCACTCTCCGTCGTCTTTTGAGATGAAATGGCCGGGTCTGGGGACGTCAGCGCCACTGAATTGTACCATTTGGAAATATTCGAACGTCTTGGTGTGCATAAGGAAGTCGTTCCAGAGGCTATGCCGTGTATCCATTGCAAAGGCGAAGTTGTCTGATATTTCTCTTCAATATTTGCTGGTGTCTGGTTCCTCAAATCCAACGCCACAGCCACCAGCCCCAATTTTTCAACGAATTCTTGTTCACCAAGTTGCGGCGAAGGAGATCGTCGACGAGGTTGTCGACACCTCAGTCCCGGATGACAAGTACAGCTTCAGTTTAAGCCTTGCAGTTTTTTTTTTTTTTTTTTTTCCTTGAGGTCAACATTCCAGCAGCATAGTGTGTGAAGGCCAACTCGTTCCTCAGAGAACGCGCTAATGAATTCTCGGTAGTGGTTTCTCTTCGTCAATCCATCCCGGGAGACTGAAGCGGTTGATTGTGTGGGTATTCGGTAGGAAAGAAACTGAGAGCGAGAGAAAGACCGGCGGTGATTCCCAAGGAGGGGATGAGCGAAAGAGACACAGGATCAGAGATCTTGTAGGAATGAATCTGAAGAGGACCTAGCAAGGACCTGGTGACGTGGGAAAGTTAGCCAGAGCCTGTATCTGTCACAATGACTTTCTCACCAGGTTGATCAGTAGTATTCCCTAGTAGGAGCACCATCGATACGGAGCATGGCTTCTGGTTGTGCGTGACTAAAGTTGGTTGATGTTTGTTGGCTACACGGCGACTTAGTTTGTGTCCATTTGATCTCCTCTACCGTCGTCTCTCCTTTCCTGAGTCACAGTGTCTTTGACTCCTTCCAGAAATACTTCAACAGCTTCACCACCTCCCAAAGGTACACCGCCTCGCCTCATGAATCCTCCATTTCGAACGGGAATATTGAGAGCTTCACTGATACTAGGTAGACCGCCATCGCGCAATGCAATCGTGAGACTCGATAGACTCTGCGAGAATTGTGGTGATCGTAAAACTCTCCGCAAAATATCCTTTTTCTGATCCAAACTCGGTGCTTGCCCAGCCGCCTCGACAGATCCACCGTCCGTGTTCAAAGCCGACGCGTGGTCTGCCTGTTGTGCTATGGTCACCAAAGTTGGTGGAAGGTACTGAAGCAATTGGTCAACAAGTTCGTCATCCGCTAAATCAATCCAAGGTATTGTTGATGCAGGGGCCAGTAAGTCTGCCAGAGTGGTGAATAATTTTTCTTGTGGAGCGGATTGACTTCTTTGGTTGTCTCCCATGGATTGAATGAAGTTTTGAATTATGGTGTTGACATTCATTCTAGCAGCCCTGCCACATGTCAGATTCCCTGATTCCAGCATGGAGCGAAAACGCACGACTTGGGTGCATTACCTACGCTCTTCCACCGTCTGCTCCACCCTCTCTCGACTGTTCTCCTTCTTCGCGAATGTCACCACCTGTGGCATCTGGCCCTGCACCGCCGCTTCCAGAAGGACGACGATTTACATCATGGTCTGTACCCTCGACATCTTCCATCATCTCGTCGTCGTCATCTGGGCCATTCTGATCGCTCGGTAGATTGGCCATTTGCTGTTGGACGTCCACCTCTTCGCCTTGAAGGAGATTGTTCACAATCTGGCCCAATTTCAGATCTCGGGCGCTGAACCATGATGGATCGCCTTGGGGGTGTTGACTGCGGGATTGTAGCCAGAAGACGTGTCGCTGTGAGCTCGAGGAGAATTTCAAAACGTATATTCTGCCATTTGTTGGCTTTTTCGGATTGGACGGATTCTCGGCACTCGTAGGTTGGTAAGGGACAAATGAGCCGTCAGTGGGAAACATGTACAGATCGATTTCCGGATCCTCTAATGACGCCGTCCTCGCTCGCCAACAAAAGTGAAGGATCTCATCTTCGGCATACAGGTAGATGTACCCAGGAGTTGGGAGCGACTTGACCTTTGGCGGGGAGGAACTCGTCTTGTTTCGGCTTGGTTAGCTAGATATTTTCAATGGTGAAGTAAGAGGAGACTCACGTCGAGCTCACAACGTCCGGCCTTGAAGGTTATTATGGGCGAAATCGACATTGTGGCGGATTGTTGTATAGACTGGTTTCTGACGATCTGGAGACAAATTTGTTTTGACACAAGCATGCCCGAGCCTGGTCACGTGCACCCCATTTCCCAGGAAACTGCATTTCACTGACTACTACTTCGTACTAGTAGGCCAGCGACTTCGCTGAGCCAAGAGACGCTAACCCACATCGGGCCAAAAATCTTTCCGGGAAACCACCAGCCGCGCACACTTTGAATTTCCAAGGCGCCTTCTGGTTTACCAGCACTACCACTTACCTGGCGAACAACACCGACCTCCTCTATCTCTCAGGCTTGTGGTCAAAATGTCTGCGGCAGAAGCGAACCCTGTTGTTTTCAAGAAGTTTGGCTCGGGGACCCGCAGCGTCCCTCGTTCTGATCTCAAGGCGAAGAAATGGTATCCGACCTACGATGAGCCACAGCCAAAGAAGGTGAGCAATACCTGCGAGTCTGATTGTCGAAGGAAGGAAATCGCGGTGTCACCCTCTTGAATGCACGCACTGCGTCGACAACTACGTTTTTAATCTACTCAATTTACTGACTTGAGCATTTCACCAGGCCCGCAAGTCCATCCACCCATCCAAACCCCGAGCCTCTCTTCAACCTGGTGCCGTCCTGATCCTCCTCGCCGGTCGATTCCGTGGTAAACGAGTTATCCTCCTCAAGAACCTCAAGGAAGGCGCACTACTCGTGACCGGTCCCTTCAAGATCAATGGCGTTCCCTTACGACGAGTGAACTCCAGATACGTCATTGCGACATCCACAAAAGTCGATATCAGTGGTCTGGACCAATCGACATTAGACAAGATTGCCAGCCCCGAGTACTTTGCACGGGAGAAGAAGAGCAAGAAGGAGAAGGGTGAGGATGCTTTCATGAAGCAAGGAGAGAAGCCAATAGTAAGAGGCCTAGAACGGGATTGGAGCTTTTGATTGGATCTGGAAAGACTAACATTGTGACAGAAGAAGGCCCCTGCTTCTCAACGCGCGGCCGACCAGAAGACCATTGACAAGCCCCTACTTTCGGCCATTAAGAACGAAGAATTCCTCGCCAGCTACTTGAAATCCAGCTTCAGTCTGAGACACGGTCAGAAACCTCATGAAATGGTGTTCTAAGTGCGTCAACTTTCAGCTGAGGCAGGGACGGAGTGGAGAGATGTGGAGAACCAGGAATGAATGAACTAGACGAGGGTGTTTGCTGCTGAATGCTTGCACAGTGTGACCTCCAACCAAGCTACGGTTCCATAGAAGGAAACAGGGAATCGTAATGGATCGGAAGCGCCGAGCATGAATTGCCATGAGGGAGGATTGCCGTGGAAGCATGCAACGATGTGCTGTTTCATGAGCACACTGCAGTCCAAATGACAAATTACCAAGAAAATTAAAAGACTACCAAAATCGATTCGACCAGAAGTAATATGGGATTGAACTTTTTGGGATTCCACTGTTTCAGCCTCCTGACTAACTAGACCCAAACGGTAGCAGGGTGAGATCTGACCTTTTTCAAATGCGTCTCGCAGTCCTCGTGTGCCTTCAGATCTCGACATTCTCTCGTGGGGCATCTATCCATTCAAAATTCGTTAACAGGAAGTGTGCTCTTGCTATGAGAACCGACCGAATCCATACATCGGAAGAGGATCACTCACCTTCCAATAAATTTCCCTCATTGAATCCGCCATGAAGAAATGAGAAGACCAAAGCGCCATTAACTCGAACCCGCTCATCTTTCATTTCACATTGTTCGGTTTCAACTCTCACTCCAATTCCTTGTCCGTCTCCTAGTTCCGACATTCTTTGCCTCGGCAACTTTGCCATTGACCTTCTTCTTAGCCTTTGTTTTCATCTTATCCACTCGCTCGGATACGTCATGCTTGTCGGCCTCCATCGCCACATCGTCCAACACATCAGCGCCCACGCTAGTGCCCATAACCCAATCCACTAGGCCCCAAGGACCGTAGTTTCCCTCCCCACCACAGAGAACATGCGTGTCCGTTCGGCGCGCGACCCCGCCAAGGATGAAGTTTGTCGGGGCGGTGGAATAGCCGCTGTAAGCAAAGGTTTCTTCGAGAGACACCAGGGTCAGATAGAGAATGTAGGTCAGGAGATGGAATCGGAAGAGGAGCGCAGGGAGGTATGTCGGGAGAAAGGACCGCGTGAGGTAGGCGAGCGGGTGGTCATAGCTAGCCGCTAGGGGGAAGGGGGTGGCCAGCGAGTGATACCAATCCTGATGCGCCCTGGACAGGGAAGTGTTGGTTTCGTGGAGCACGTGGCGGTGGAGTGTGTATGCGATTATTTCGCGGAAGAGATAACCCCACGTCAGGTCGTTGAGGATTCCCAGCGGTAATGGGAGGGTGGTCGTGACGCGGAGGGCGGAGCGGATCAGGAGGACTCGTGTGAATAGGATTTCGACCAGCGATTGAATGACCACGCCCAACAGGACGTTGAACATTGACCAACCGAGCATGCGTAGCATGCGAAGGGTTCGTTGGCGGCTGGCATTTTTGAATGGTAAGCCGGATTCCCCTAGAGCTTTGAAGCTCTCGGCTGCGGAGGGTAGTAGCGCATCGAAGAGAAGAAAGAGTGACGAGGGAAAGATGTAGAATAGGAGCTTAACCGCCAGGGTCGCCACAATTTCGACGCGCAGAGGTGGATGAGATAGGACGAGGGTCGACCACGTCAAGTAGAAGAAGAGGAGGTTGAGAGAGGTCGAGTAAGATGTCATTGTCGGGATGAGGAGGATGGAAAGAAAGGGGAAGCCAAGGAGGGCGTCCATCATGGTGCGCAATGCCGTCCAAGTCGAGAGTATGGACGAGGTCGCGTAGTTATAAATTGTCGCGGCATAAGACGGTGGTGGTGGGCAGGAGAGAGCAGTCGGGAGAAAGGACGACCATGACTGAGGGAGATAGCAGGCTGGGTTGTAGGAAGGCATGGAGAATATCGGGTTGAGTTTGTCAACGCATCAATCCAAATGGATGCTGGAGATTCTTCAAGTGTGAAAGGTACTGGGTGGCTAGCCATGGTGTAAGATTGAAAAGTTGGGTTGCAAACAAACAGACACGACGTCATAGCGAATGTGTATCGCTTGATTGCGCCAGCCACACTTCGCTCCACCAGCCACACATTTCGAGCGCCACACATGCACTTTTTCATTTTCGGATCTCGCTTCCCCCCCATGACTTTTGCCCTGGCTTTCGCCAAACCCCTTTGTTCTCTCTCTTCCGCCGGAAGTCAAAATTGTTCTGAGTTCATGTTGTATGGGGTCTCACGACCTGCCCCCACGCAGTGCCCAAGATCCCACTAAAAGGATCTTGAGAATATCTTTCCCGTTTGCACAACTATTGATATCTAAGTCTCTTCGGGCCACATATCGCCGTGAGAAATCAAAAAATCTGAACATGAGTAGTGAGACAGAGACGCAGAGAACCGGGAAGGAACACTTATTCAGCTGTACCATCTGGTCTCCATGAGGCGCTCTTGTAGTTGCCCTCGGCTTTTCTCATCCGCGAATCTCAACGGAGCAGCTGCCTCTGCCCTTAGAATCCTGTGGTCAGCTGGTTGGAAAAGCTAAAATGTGTTGGTGGCCCGGGCAATATCTCATACCATATTAGATCAGATCCTGGTATCGACAAAGCTTCATTGGTGAGGATCTCACAGCGTCCTGATACGCGGATTTGGGCCTAGAATGCGGGGTTTGTAGCATACGTTGCAGAGGATCCAGATCATCTGTCTTGGATCAGTTTTCCATTGGCAAGGCACTCCGTGCTCTCTGTCCAGCTGCCAATGGCCGTTTGATCTGTGCCGCCATAGCTGTTGAGGATGCCGTCTTCAACCCCGAAGTGTCACTCAAATTTGGGGCTCCTCAAGGCTCGCCGACTAAAGGCCCGTGGTCGTGGTGGCATAAATAGCTGTCAATTCCTCGATCTGTTGAAGACAGCTTGTTATAGAAGCTTCGGAATCTATACCAGCGACAACTCATTCCCCGTAAAACGACCAGTGGATCCTTTCCCACACCATGCCTGATATTTCAATTCCGAAAATTCAAACAGCCGCAATAGTCCGGAAACAGGGCGGACCAGTCGAGTTTGATGACAACTATCCCGTCACGCTGCCCGGAGCAGACGAGGTTCTTGTAAAGGTCTTGTACACAGGAGTCTGTCAAAGTGGTGAAGGCAATATCGTCGTTTTATTGTCTTCATCGAAACTGACGACATTGGCCAGACCTGCACACGAAAGCGGGGACCGCAACCGGGCCGGACGGTCTTCCCATTACAAACATCAAACTGCCCCATGTTGGCGGCCACGAAGGTGTAGGGCGAATTGTCGCATTTGGCCCCAATCTGTCACCCGGCGAAGAGTTGCAGTTAGGAACTTTGGTTGGCATCCGTTTTGCCTCACGCGTATGCCACCAGTGCGAGTATTGTATCACTGGCCGAGATCAACATTGCGAGAAGTCGACAAACCATCTCCACCACGAAGATGGCAGTTTTCAGCAGTATTGCGTGCTTGATACCAAGTACTTGACATTATTGCCGCAGGACATTGACCCCGTGGTGGTCGGGCCTGCTCTATGCGCCGGTGTAACGGCGTATAAAGTACGCATATATTCATTGAAACATGTTGTGACTTGTGCTGATTCTGCCAGGCTGTCGTCAATGCGCACTTGAAGGAAGGGGAATGGCTTACAGTCATTGGAGCCGGAGGGGGCTTGGGCCACTTTGCAGGTGAGCGACCTCCTTTCGGACATAAGCCCACCTTCAACTCACCAAGCAAACAGTACAATATGGCCTTGCTCTCGGAGCTAGAGTGCTTGGTGTCGATGCTGGCCTAGAGAAACAGAAGTTTGTGGAGTCTCTGGGTGCGACTTTTGTGGATTTTACCAAATGTAAGGACTTGGCAGAGGAAGTCAGAAAACTCACCAGCGGGGGCACCCATGCAGCAGTTGTCACGAGTGGCCACCCTCGAGCCTTTCAGAAACTGGCCGATATGATCAGGGTCGGTGGGTCTTTATGTATGGTTGGCATCCCGCCAGGGGATGTGCGGCTAGACACGCCTGTTGCCACGATTGTCATTAAGGGATTAAGAATCCAAGGCAATTTGGTTGGATCGCTGAAAGAAACGCTGGAAGCCGTAGGACTAGTCCAGAATGGAAAGGTAAAGCCGCATGTCCAGATTCGAGCTTTCCGGGAACTGCCTGAAGTGTACGAAATGCTGGAGAAGGGCGACATCCCTGGTCGAATCGTATTGCAGCTATAGAACAGCCACAGTCATAGAAGCGAATAATTGAGTGGTCTGGATTTTGTGAGACACTCTCCATCTTAAGGTTTCTCTCTGCAGCCAATGTTATCCACACTCCCAGCGAGTGACGAGAAGTGCCTGGGCTTTGGGCTTCCCCAGTTCGCAGGCAGTTCGCATACGGTCCGTTGCCCATGATTTTCTCTCCGTTGCTTGCTGCAATGCAATGCAAATGTGGCCAGACCATGTAGCTCACAACCCGCACGCACGCATTGACACGGGCCGAGGAGCTTTCACAGATTGCAGCGAACCACGGCCCAAGGCCTCTCCCCAATGCTGGGCAAATAGCCACTCCCAGCCATCGAGATATTGAGCGGGAAATCTGAAGGGCCGCCAGGGAAGATCCTTGGGCGAGTCGTTAGAAAGAGGCCGGTCTTTAGAAAACGACAAAGGAACGTCGACCAATGACATTGTCGACAGCGCGGCTGGCTGGCGGTGTCACATACTTAAGGATGGATGGATGTGTGGTCAGTGCTTTGCATTGTGGCGTCGTCACCAGATGCAGCTCTTGGCCAAGGGCCAGCGTCCATCTGGACCTGATTTGACCGTTTCGGTGGGCAGAGGCATGCCATATTTACTTTGATTTTGGTGCACATCTTTTGGGAACGGCGCAATTTTGACGAGAATGGCAACCTGATCCAACCGGGGGATGTCCTGTCGTGACCTCATCTTTTGGCTGGATCAGATTTGAGCCCTCCGAGAACTCTGTACGTCTCAAAATCTTGAGTTGACCACATTCCTGTTTTGGCCCAGCCTTGTTAATTGCTCCCTCAGGTGTTCGCAGCTGGCGGAAGTCCCTTGTTTGAAATCACCCCGCGGTGGTATGCACCATGCATGTTTGGGTAGCGGACAGGGATGCTGCTTTTCGAATCTTGTCATCGATTTCTCAATGTGGCTGCATTTCTCATGCAATGGGTGATTTGACGTCCGGCAATACATTCTTGGACATGCAAGCACTTTGTTGATCATACAACGGACCCGTGCATATATTGCACTATTGCTTATCGTGCCGCTAATGCAGCCTGCAAGGCTGTCATGAGCAGACTTTTGGTTCAACACTGTTGTCATGAACTCGCCTTCAGAAGCTTTCTCTTGATAGAGGGATACACACGAATCGGAGATTGATTCGCACCTGCGGCTGCTGTTGTAATATTTGGTCTGGAGCCAAACCTAACCCTTGCGCTCAGGAGAAACCAAATCTCTAAACTTCCCGCGCTGGCGCCGATGGCGCGTCTTGATATAGCCCCGCAAGTCGTTGCTGTTCATGAGAGTCCGTGTAAGAATCCTATCGGACGATCTGGGACTTGATGGTCGATCCATTTTTTTGATCTCTACCGCAACTTTCGGACATTCATCGAGTAGACCTCCCTTGCTGCAGTATGGGGCTCAAAAAGCCACCCCACTGAACCTGTCCAAGCTGGGTGTTCTCGTGTCTGATGTCTCTCTTTCGAGGATTCCAGTGACGACCCGAATAGACTTGTCCGTCGGAAACTTCTGGTCTGAGCATTTCACTTGGACAAAGTGGAGCCAGTTGCTACATCTCACGAATCGGTCGGAGGGGCGGCACATTCCCAAGCACCTTGCATTCCGTTCCAAGGCAACGAGAGGCGCGAAATAACTTGAAAAGAGAGAGAAGCCGGGACTTCATTTGTTTCCTCAGATCCTCGGACTTGTAAAAGTGTTCAACTTCGTCGGATATGCACCAGCGAGGAGCGGCGACGTAATTTGTCCCAAATGCCCAACAGTCCTGGACAAGAAACTGGAAGTGGTTAGTAGGACCTGACCTATGATTCGAATGGGATAAGATGCTAATTCCTCGACAAGCGTCTGCCACCCACACACAAATGAAAGCGGAGGGAAGCACATTCGAGATGCTTCCTCAGCTCGAAGTCGATTTCGATAGAGAATCTCCCCTTGGTTTCGCAGAGGGCTGTCCTTCGCTCTCCTCGAGCTTTTTCTTTTCCGATGTCTCTTCGACAGACTCTCATGGACCACGTCGGCCTTCGCGGGCATCTTGCAGCAGTTCAGCTTCTCCCAAGGCATTCTTCACCACATCAGCAAGGACCGCCAGCCTTACCACGCCGATGATGGTGGACCCAAGCATGAATATCTTGTGCAGACAATATTCGAAGTCAGCCGCATATCTCAGCAGTTGCCACCCTGTATCCCATCGTCACGATGAAGAGCAGGATGCTCAGAATTGTACATGGATGAGCAACACAAGTTCTCTCGACACTCTGTCCTTTTTGACCAATATGCCTGCGATGTTGATGACGGAAGCCGACCACCCTTTTTTCCATTCAGAAAATCACAGCCCCAGGAGCGCGACTACAGACCCGACATTAACGAAATCGATTTTTGATGGTTCTTTGGGCTCTTCCACAATGCATCACGCCGATCAAGATTTGCTCCCTGGGACATTTCCTGTTATGCAGCCACCCGCAGAGACGGTTGAGCCCAGTGTTACCTTTCATCGCATCATACCGACCTCTCCAGGGTATAAGCCTGAGCCATCGACCCCTTTGGATGCTTACATACCTCTATCTGCCATTTTGAGCAGTAGTCCATTGTCGATGGGGTCGTCTGTGGGGGTTCCATCGCAGTACGATGCTGAGGAGATGCCGTACGGCTCCGTAGAGCAGGCTTTACGGTTTAGTGAGATCGAGAAACACCGAGCACATCCGGATCGGCCATATCGACGAGGTTGCAATCGGAAAAGTCTCCATGGGACCTCCTCCAAGCCAAAGAGCGGCACGAACAAGTCCAGTATCAACTGTGACTTAGTAATCGCACAGAATGAGTTTGCCTGCAGTTATCCAGGCTGCATCGATAAAAACACCGGAAAGCAGAAACGATTTAAACGGCAGGAGCATAAGAAGAGGCATGAAAAAACTGTACATGAAAAGGCGATGCATTCGGCGTACAAATGTTGGGTTCCAGAGTGTAATAGGCCGTTCTCTCGAACGGACAACCTCAAAAGCCATTTGAGAAATACTCACTCGAAGCGGCCGGGAGTTCGAGGAAATCGATATGTGGCCACCTTGGACAAAAACAGCGAATACTATGATCCAAACTGGGTGGGCGAGTTGGATAAGCACGGATACCCAATTCTCTGAAGATGTAGCTCGCTTCTAGAGCATGCATGTCCGGGGTATCTTGAAAGGCCTTCGATGGGGTACCATGAGGATCATGACACGCTTCGAAGGAAAAGTTGAATGTTCCCCGCCCCGTTTTGAACCGGGACATTCCCATTTCGGGTTCTCTACTGGCTTTGTTAATTGAAAATGCTTCACTGTTTGAAGACTTAGCGAACATAGCAACTTCATGCTCGCTTTCAAGAGCCGCTTAACGTCACTTGCGAGGTTATTTCGATCCGAAATTTGACGCGTAGGTTGCTGTGCAGGAATTGCTCGATTTCAAAGGGATCACAGTGCGATTCCGCCACCTGTAGCAGATATGCATCTGTTGATCGTATAGCAAAATTGATGGATGAACTCTGGATAGGGTAGGCATAGGCGTTGGTGAATATCAAGCAGGAAGAAATTTTAGATAAAAACTGAGGTTGGAGAGCAGCCCCACCGTGAAGTTGCGGAAACCCCCGCCCTGTGCTCACCCCTCAGCTGCCGTTCATACACCTTGTTCGGGCTAAGCCCATAGGGGACTAGCTAATATACCACGTACTTCCCTCAGGGAAGACATTAAGTGATCGACATATCAATTTGACAATCTCCGCCGATGTCATCGTCGCTCTCTGTATGAATACCTCAATATTCTCAACGCTGACCATGCGTAACCTTCGGAGCCGTTTGAGTGGTCTTCCGCTAAATTCAACCAGAAACACTGGTGGGAGGTTTCCATAGACGACGACGTTCCTGGCGGTTACTCTGCGCGACGGCGAGGTATTTCGTATGTCTGTAAAGAAACCCTCAGCAGCTCAACAAGTAGATAGAGAACAGAGCACTCCTTCCACCCAAGTTTGACAGCCCCTCAAGGTGGTGGCCAACATCAGGGTTCACAGTTGTAGATTCTGGCGTTCCAAGAAGTCGCGGATCGATGGTCGCGTATTGCTGCCTTTAGGAATCAAACGTGTTTCTTGCTTCGCAGTCTCCTGTCAATGCTTTCACAGCCACGCCACTTACTAGCGATTTCTCGCCGTCGCCAGGCCAACGGCGACAAACTCCGTTAGTGCAGTGTGTAGCCGCCGACCGTCCTGTTGACCAATCACGTGGAGCCCAGCACTGTCACGTGAACACGCAGGCACCCACCTCATGAACCCCACCACCATCGGATCCAGTCTGTGGACCACATTGGCCCTCGTGGGCTCCGAGCCTGTTGGTAGTCCACATTGGGACTAGCTTAGTCACGTGCGCCGCAACCTTCATGGTCTTTTTGGTAGCGCTCATAGATTCAATCAATCAATCTTCTCTCGGCCCAATAGGGCCACCCTCCTCGATAAAAAACCGATATTCCTCGATATCGACATGGTCCATGGATCGGATCTGATGGCCGTGATATTTCATCGGATCCGATCTGTAGACCATATGACGCTCGCTACGAATTCGAATGATTCAACAGACCTAACGGATACTATAATTGTACGACCTACAGGCAACACGCTTACGACAGTAGATTCCGTACAGCTGGGGGGAGGCCGATTTCGCTTCCGTTACGTTCTGGGCGTAATTCGCAACTACCGGCGCGGTTTCTACGTTATAGATGCGATGGGCTTGACGCTACAGTCGATGAGGGTAATTTTCGTGAGTGGGACGCTTATCCATTTATGAGTTAGTGCCTTTGCTTGTATTGTTGACGCGTCTTGTTACGCGCTCCTGCTCCTACTCCTATTGTTTGGCCTGCAAATTCGCCTGATCTCAACCTCATCGAGACTCTCTGGAATGAAATGAACGACTGGCTGGCTCGTAATTACTCTGACAGAAGGGCGACGTACGATCAACTACGGCAAAGGGTTACCTGAGGCATGGCATGCAATTGGGCAGGATCTACTTGAGCAACTTATAGATACGATGCCACAGCAAACAAAATGGCTAGGCGTCCCACTCACGAAAATTACCCTCGTCGAGACTCTTTAGCTTCCTCCCCCCTCCCTCCTTTTTTTTTTTTTTTTTTTTTTTTGGCACATTCAAACCCTCTGATCGCTGAAATGGAGGGAGATCGCCCGATGCCTTGGCAACTATGAGGCGAAATTCTCAATACAGTAGGAAAGAAAACACCGAAGTCAGCGATAGAGTAGGCTGCGAGGAGAGAAAAATTGGTTTCTACAAGCCTACTATTATCAGACTGGCAAAGTCAGTGGACAGGCAAGCGTGATACTGGGCTTTGAGGGTGGAATTGACTGAATTGACTAGTCTATTGATATCGACTTGATCGCTCTCAAGCGATCAAGGGTGAGGGGGCGAGTAGCAAGATAACAGCTTACTCTCCTAGTGGTTTGGCAGTCATGACAACAATGTTGAGCCAGTTGACGGTTGTGACTTCGTGGTTCTCCCATCCTCTCCAAAGCCCTTTACAGAACAGAAGAAGGATGAGAGAGACCTTAGGGAACTTACAAGAGACGTATCTGGAGCAGGCCATTGGGGCTATACATGTGAGAACTTTATCACACTCTATAGGCAAGGCTGTTCGTTAGCAACGAAATCTCTTGGACTATAGGCGGAGCTGGGCGCCTCACCATGAAGCTGGGAAAGCTCTATTCGCGATGAATGGATCGGATGAAATTTGGAAGCGATGGATCTTTTAGTCAACTCCGGCTGACTTTTGCTCCACGTTTTCGGGCTGGATCTTGAGGGGGGTCATACCTTTTAATTGTGCGAGAGGTGTTCACTACAGATCAAACATAAAGGTCATGGATCAAATCCTCGACTCGTCCGCGGATGAGAGTACTCCACTGAGGGTGTGTCGAGGATGAAGGATGCGGTTTCCTCTACTGTTGTCATGCTTGTGGGCATCGATCACATTGATCCGATGCCGCTCCACCAAGGGTCTGACAGATCTGGTCAAGCGGCGTCTTCCTGCTCATGTGGATGATATCTCGTTCATTCTCGATGGAGACTACGCTCTTGGCATCACCAATGACCAATACATCGTCAGATGCGACGGTGGGAAAGTCGCCATTCATGGAAACTCTCTCATTGCTCTCGCTTCAGGGTCAGTGGAAATCCACCGAAATGGCGACCATAGCTAAACAAAGATCCAGATTGCACCGCTATCTTGCCGATGTGGTGAATGTCGACCTCTACTGGTTCATTGGGAGTCAACTGCATCATGTCAAAACACTGCCAAATTGTGAGCCTCTACGTGGGTCAAGTGTTGTCCCTTGGAGATACCACTTCAATACAGGTAAAGAGGTTTGACGAGAGACAAATGCCGGGCTTAAGTAGTAACCCCATTGCAGTCACGTTTTCTTACACCACAGCGTTCTGGTCATGGGAGGACTGGGAGATGGAATTAGATTGGCTCGCCTTGAGAGGTGTTAATCTACCGCTTGCCTAGGTAGGGCACGAGAAGATCTTGTTGGAGGTGTTTAGGGACATTGGATTGTCCCAATCAGAGGTCCTCAATTTCTTCAGCGGCCCAGCGTTCCAAGCATGGAACCGATTCGGCAACATTCAGAGCTCCTGGACTGGCCAACTTCTACTTTCATGGATCGATGACCAATTCGAATTACAGAAACAGATTTTGCAACGCATGGTCGACCTTGGGATGACACCAGTGCTTCCGGCTTTCACCGGCTTTGTGTCCAGGACTTTCCCAGAGGTGTTCCCCAACTCGACTTTTGTCAACATATCTCAGTGGAACGGATTTAGCGCTGAGTACACCAACGTTACATTTCTGGAGCTGACCAATCCACTCTTTGCACAACTGCAAAAGAATTTCATCACCAAGCAAAGGCAACATTATGGCAATGTCTCCCACATATACACACTCGATCAGTTCAACGAGAACGACCCCCTCTCAAGAGATCTAGATGACTTAAAGCGGCTCGGAAATGCAGTCTGGCAGAGCCTCAAGGATGCAGATCCAAATGCCATCTGGATGATGCAAGGCTGGCTCTTCTTCTAAAACGTGGAGTTCTGGACCGAGGCAAGAGTGGAAGCGTTTCTGGGTGGAGTTTCAGAGGACAAGGACATGTTGATTCTTGATCTGTTCTCAGAAACTTACCCGCAATGGCAGAGGCTGAACTCTTACTATGGCAAGCCATGGATATGGTGTCAACTGCATGACTTTGGCGGCAACCATGGTCTGTATGGACAGGTCATGAATGTGACCATCAATGCTGTCGAAGCACTCAACAATTCTCCGTCTCTTGTGGGATTCGGATTGACAATGGAGGCCCAGGAAGGCAATGAGATCATATACGACCTGTAAGTATTCCACGTCTCATCATCAGAGCATGCCTATTTCTCCTGACAACACACGCCCTTTGAAGGGCTACTCTCACAAGCATGGTCAGCTTCCCCCATCAATTTACCCACCTACTTCCGCAGCTGGGCAAAGAGACGATATGTGAACGCTGCGGAAGGCGACATGCCAGAATCCATATATCACGCCTGGGACACTCTTCTCCATACCGTCTATAACAACACCAATTTGACAGCCGCTCTGGCCGTCACCAAATCTATCTTCGAACTGGCCCCCAGTGCAACCGACGACCCCCACCACCTGCCAACCACCATCATGTACGATCCGGCGGCCCTGGTCGAACGCGGCCTATCAGTTCGACCTCATCGACATGACGCGCCAAGTTCTCGCGAACGCGTTTTACCCAATATATACCACCTTCGTGGCGCACACAAATCTCACCCAGCTGACTTTCAGAAACGAGAGCGCCCTCAACAGATCTCTAGCAGCAGCTTCCCAGATGCAAGCCCAAATGTTCTCCCTCCTCTCCACGCTCGACACCCTGCTACGATACACGCCGAGCAAAGTTCCCGAATCATCGCTCTGTGCCTGGGTCAACGCTGCTCGCGCGTGGTCCGCATCGGACGCCAGCATATCGGACTCCGTAGTATATGGCGCCATAAATCAGGTCACGTTGTGGGGTCCGAACGGCGAAATTACAGACTATGCTTCTCGTCACTGGGCCGGGTTAGTTGGCGCGTATTACCTGCCGAGATGGCAAATGTTTATGGAGGCGTATATGGATGCGTTGAGGAGCGGAGTACCGGTTAATGAGTCGGCGTTGGGGGAGCAGCGGTTAACGTGGGAGAAGGAGCAGCAGAGCCTGCTGGCGCAGAATGCTGGGCAATTGCGAGATCCAAATGGATTGCAGGCCATGGTGAGATGGATTGAGGACGAGTGGTGTGAAGTATTGGGATGTTGAAAAAGTCGAGTTGAAAGAATGGAAGATCCATCTACACCGAGAAAGTCTCAGCCGCTTCGTCACTGTTTGCAATGTGTAGACGAAAAGAGAGATACTGTATCTCCCATGCCAAGAGGAAGGTAAATCGACGGCGGGGCGGGCCCCTCTTCCGGACGGGGGTGACGCCGCCCTGTGCTCCCGAGTCCGTCCCGCGCGAGCCAAGGTGAGCCAAGGTGAGCCGCGTGTGGTCTACCGTGCCTCATGCTGTAAGGCTTTTCTCGGACCCAGATCTGCCGGTGACCCTAGTAATGACGGTTGTTCTGAGTCCTGCAGTCGAGCTTGAGGTATTACCTTCCCACTACGCTTGGGTTAGCGGACACGGCGATCTCGATCGTGGGCGTGCGTCTTCTGACACCTGGGTGTGTGGTTCAACTGGTTTGAGGCGCTCAAACAAGACATTTCTACCTAGGTAATGACCCATGGAAGGCGATCAACATCGTATCTAGCGCATTACGAAACCCTACAGTGTTCCAATTACAACGCCTTTTTCGACTGTGAAAGCATTTAGCCCCCAGAGCATGTCAACGCACAGTGCTTTCCGTCTCTTGTGTCCGTTGCCGTTTTATTAACCACGGTGGCAGTCTTTTCGTCACCATCTGGCCGTTGTCCGATCAGCTGCGACTGAAGACAAGGTAGATGCTAGTCGTGGGACTGAGGCGAGCATTCAAACAATATGTCAGAATCAAGCGGGCTGACGGCCCTTGCGCTTGTACTGTCCTTCACTGCTTTGATCATCGCCGTCGTCCAGCTACTACAGTCGGTCTTTGGCACTGCTGAGGGCTTTCGAAGAACAAATAAAGAGATCATGGGCATCTTTGCACTCAGTCGCGACCGTGTCTTTCATTGGACAGAATTCAGGTTCGAGACGAAGTTCACCACTCCACACTTCACCTTTCACAATGTGCTCAGTGAGACATCGCTTCTTTCCAGGATCGAAGGAAATGACCCTTTCAGGCAGGAGACCTTCAGCAGATTCATTCTGGCCATTGCGAACAGCGACAACAGGTTTAACGACCTAAAGGCCTTAATCAGATCTTCTACCAAAATCAGTGGACTGCAGCAATTTCTCAACAGATTCAATCCCTCTTACGGATCTTCACACCAACAAACACTACAGCCAGGATCTCAGGCTTTCAGCGCTAGTTGGCTGATCTTACTTGAGCAACTCTACTACGACGAGAAGAAGTTCAATCAAAGTACCGACAAATGCAGCTTCATCTACACTAGATCAGGTACGAGGGGCATTAGCCTTGGACCGGATCGGAGGCAGATACTGTATCCTGCTATTGAAAACCACCTTCATTCTTGGGACCTGTTGCCTCCTGACGTTGTGAGGCCATTTGCTTCGATCAGCTTGGGCGATCTTCTCACATTATGTTTCAGACTACGACTTACAGTCCAGGATCTGAGGCCTGGACACTTTAGTGCGGATGGATACGGCAACAATTTCGCTTCCTTGCAAATCCAAGGTCTAGGCATGATTGTCCAATATCGCTATGACCCGTCGAACGACAAGGCAGATCCCGTCTACCTTGGTAACACGAAATACGTTCCATCTGAGAGCACTGACAAACTTGCGTTTGGCATCATCCCGCGGCATGAGCTTCTCGGCATTCAACAAGACTGGCCTCTAGGCGAGTGCGAAAATCCGGAGAGCTTCCCAGACGCAATGAAGAAGCATTTCAGAGACATAGGGATTCCCGAACAGCAGCTTCGCGAAGTAAAGACACGAAAGGACAAAGACAAGTGTGATACTTGGCGGACGTTTGCAGACTCTCTGTTACTAATTGCCCCCTTCCTGCCTATTGATGGACTCGGCATGGTGAAATACCAGCCGCCAATGCCAGAGGAGTGGAGTGGCTCTACCCTCACCGTTCGCGAGGGGCGAATTATACTGTGGCAGCGCCTAAACGAAATCCTGCCTGGCCTGAAGGAATCATCCAGCTCTCTCACAATGATGTCTTCTCTGACCGAAAGCTCTGCACCATCGCAACTCCACTGGGTCTGTCGCGTGCTCAATTTCTTCGAGACAAAATACCGCAACAGTTTTCACAATGAAAACAGATGCTTTGGATCTTTCATGGGGAGGAACGGCTACAATGCAAGAGCTCATGAATTCCTCCGAGACATTCGATCTGCAGCTGTTGAGGCGGATAGCTATCTGGCCTCCCTGTTCAACCAACCAAATTCCATCCCAACGTACATACACCTGGTGGCTGCTCATCAGCAGATGGCCATTACGCTACACACAGAAGTCAATCAGCAACTTCGTGAAACAGAGAACCAAGACAGGCGCAGCGGATCCAGCAGGACACCCCCAAAGTTCAGAGTCGCATCTCATTCTCCCGCTCGTGAGCTACACAAGGGGTTGCTGGAGATCGTACACCGCTACGTCGACTGTGCCATCGATGGCAGGACCATTATTGAAGCCTACCGGGCGAAAATCAAAGGGTTGGAAGACTCACAAGGCCGGCAGCCTCCCGCGCTGGACGATGAACAGATCAGAGCAGGTTGGTATACCATGATGTTAAGAGCCTGTTTGTGGAGCATGGTGCACCTTCCCATCTCGCGTCCCAACCTTCCTTATCCGAGTCGGTACTGGAAAAATAACACATTGGTGCTGATGGCGTGAATACTGCAACACGAAGCGCTTCCGGATAACAGAGGGAATCCTGGGCATTCGGCCAAATCAATGGCGCTTTGCAGGCTGCATACAATGATCTCCAGCGTAGCGCTTTCTTTCGTTATAGGCTTTCCGCAGCACGTAATGCTCTAGGAAGGTCCCTTTAATAGGATAAATGGGCACCATTTCCAGGTCGAGAATAGGTTAGTGGGAAGGCACCTATGGATGCGTACTAAACTCCAAGGTTGATGAATCTGAACGGCCACAAACTAACGATCCATATTGAGCGCGAGAGTACCTAGGTAGATATACTCGTCAAGATAACAGAGCGAGAGTCGAGAGTGAGTAGTATAGGTGAATGAATAAAAGGCGAGGGCGGGTGAGAGGGGTGGAGCAGTGCTTAAAAGCGGCGCGAGGTGCGCTGGTCGTTGATGGGCCTCCTCTCGAGATGCCAAGACAAAGAATTCAAAAGACCGCCTTTGCTGCCGAAATCACTTGTCATTTGAAACGGAGCCAGTCTTTGATATTGCAACTCTGCTTTTCTTCGTCTTTTCGCCATGACGAATTTGACCTTTCGTTGCCCTCTGCGCACAGTCGACGAAACTTGTTCTTGGTATGGCCCGTCTCACTTGAGCTTTTGGACAGAGCACACCGCATTCGAAGTGTCTGCTTCCTTCGCGTTTCGCCAACAATGTCGTTTTTGAGCTCTCAGAAAAGTAGAAGACGGTCTCTTACTCTTGGAAGAGCAAAGGATCCTGGTCTATGGTCAACAGATCTTTGTCAAACACACCATGATGCCAAGGGTTCCCACGTTCACATCCCACCTCTTGGAAGGTGACCTACACCATCGATAAGGGCGTCATGTGCCGCCTTTTGGTCCACATTCCATCCACGCTCAAAAACAATCAATCAACCCGAAACCTATTCGTGGATGCCTTCTATGTGTCCTTCTGCTATCACTCGTACTCATAGGACCACGTGCTGGGCAGTTTGATTGTGCAGCCTTTTGATCACCGTTTAGGGAGGCACGGGTCCAATGTAGGTCACTCAATCACCGACGATACCTGCTATACACATTTTCTTTGTTTCTCTGTCCGTTTCTTTTGTTTGTCTCATCAATTGGTGTGAACGAAATCCCCTGACAAAGCTGCCCTGGACTCGACAAAGGCACCTTGCCCTCTGTCTTTGTTAACGAAACACTGCTGGCACAAAGATTCTTTCATAGGTCATACTACCTCGAGATCAAGTTCTAATGATTCTGATGATTCGACAATCTCCAGCTTAGAAGTGGATCTTCCATGTCAAATTCACATTCACCGGCCTGGCCACCAGGTCCTCAGATCAATTCAAAGACACCCATGGAGGCCGAACTTGGCAAAATGGCTTTCCTCACCCCAGTTGTGCTGGCCAGAGCTTCTGAAAGTTCCAGAAACACTACTGTGTCCCTGGATCGGCAAATCAATCATCACCATCGGGCTGTGCGGGATCTGAGAGATGGTAATCAACCTTCTGTCGACCTGGGAATTCAGCAACCTGCCGATGGCACCTATCGGAATTTCACATTCTCCAATGTCGCCAGGAACGGGCCCCATTCGCCCTGCATTCCTCCGTTCTACACTGGATTACACGGTGTCGATCTAGAATTAGATGCCAAACTCGTCAAATTGCTGTGGTTATCCATTGTGATGACCATTGCGGTCGGTTTGGTCCTACGATTAGCTCAACGATGTGTGTCATATATTCGGACCATCTACTGCCTGACAGCAAGCCCATTTCTGCAGAAATATTACACCGTTGACCACTTTTCGGCTTGGCCATGGTTAAAGAAACACATTGTCTATGCGCCTCTCTTCCAAAAGCGACATAATCGGGAAATTCACATGTCGAGTGCCGTCAATTACGGAACTCTTCCTGGTCGGATTCATTTCATCTTGCTATTTCTCTATGGTATGACAAATCTGATCTATACCCTCCTTCTGGATTGGAAAACTCCGAGAAGGGAGCGTTGTTCGCCGAACTTCGAGGGCGAAGTGGCATTTTGGCAACGGTCAATCTGATCCCACTTGTTGTTCTGGCATCAAGAAACAACCCTGTCATTCGAATTCTGAGAGTCCGTTTTGACACGTTCAATCTCTTTCATCGGTGGATTGGAAGGATCGTGGCAATTGAAGCCACGATTCACTTTTGGGCATGGATGGCCTCCGCACTCGCCAAGGGAGACGATGCGTCACCAAAGGTCTTCAACCACAACCCTTTTCTTCAGTATGGGCTGCTTGGTCTGATTGCTGTGGTCATCATGCTCCGAAATGCTTTCTACGACACATTTCTGCACCTCCACCAATTTCTCGCCTTCATGACTCCTTTCGGAATCTATGGCCATCTCTCCATGAAGAAGCTACTTGCATCCCCCTCAATACTGACGGCAATTCTTCTCTTCGTTTTGGAACGACTTTGGCGATTGGGCAGAATCCTTAGACTGAACTATTCCCACAAGGTGGTAACGCCACCGTGTTTGTCGAGGCTTTGCCCGCGGGAGCGTGTTGTGTAACATTTCAGTCGCCGCGCCATGTTACGATCCGGCCGACAATGCCCTGGTAGAAAGCTCTCCATGAGAGGTTTCTTGGAAGGACCGTATGCCGGTCACGGCTCTCTGGTGAGCTATGGCACGGTCGTCATGTTTGCTGGAGGAGGTGGAATCACTCACCATCTTGTCCAAATCCAGCAAACTGTGGCAACCCGAAAAATTGTTTTGATCTGGTCGATTCGAAACATGGGAGCTACGGAATGGGTCAGGCCGTGGATGACGAAGACCAAGCCGACGATGCAAATCATCAAAGGCCGTGTAGATCCCGGCACGATTCTTGATGAGGTGATCCCGTGCAGAATTAGTGTCTGTGGGCCGGGCACATTGGAGGTTAAATACATATGACGACTTTTCTTGTGAACCTAGTGAGGCGATTGTCTGTAAATCGATCCTTGAGTGGCGACGGTGATGGAATCCTTCGACGCTGATCATGTGGCTGGCTAATCTACCTACAAGCGTTTTCGCACAGCCTCGTCATATAATTCAGTGCCGCGCATACTCAGGAAAGTACAGGCTAGTGATGTTTAAAAGCGGATGACGAAGAATCAAAGATTTTTCCCACGCTAGAGCCGAATGGCCGACAGTGAAACGATATCTCCCTAAAGCATTCGCGGCTGACGAACCGCATTGCAGGGAAACGAAAAGCCAAGCGACGAATGCGTGGCTGATCATATGAACAGTTGAACCTAGGCGCTTGTCGACTTTCTTTCCTTGCAATCAGCCAACGTACCGCAGGGGACGTTGATGCTCCCTTGACCTCCGGGACGCGCCATTTCGCCATCACCAAGATTCCAAGGGCGAGAGTGTAATATATCTCACCTGCCGCCGACTCTCGACCGAGCTTTGATCTGAAACCGCTACCCTGTCCTACCACCCCAGCTTTTACCTGTGAACAACGCCTACCGCAGAGCCGAACTCTCTTGTCCATCTCTCACCGATTCACTAAATACTCCAGACTTGCCCTAGTAATTGAGCGGCGGCAGTCAAGATGAAAAAGTTTTTGGGAAACATCAAGAAGAAGAGTGGCAGTATGCAGATACACGTTCCTTCAGCACGGTTCCAGGCTGACAGCATGGCGCAGGTCCCGAACGAAATGGAAGCCTGACTCAGGTTCTGCCAGAGGGTGACGCGCCGGAAGCTGTCGTTGTTCGGGAAGTGGTAAGTTTTCTACGACAACAGTATGGCTTCTCGAATCTCACCCAGACTCTTAGACGGCATTCTGTGAATCAGGCGCTCCCAATTCTGAAGCTCCAGGCGAAGAATACCTCCATCTACCAGCGATTGTCGATGCCGCCGAGTCGAGTCCCATAGCTGCAAAGGAGGCTGCCATGACCATCCGTCGCTACTTATCCAAAGAACACTACCAGCGGGGATTTGCGCAATACAATGCCGTCATGCTCATGCGCATCTTGACCGACAATCCTGCACACGTTTTCACACAAAACTTTGATGCGAAATTCGTGTCTACCGTAAAAGAATTACTGCGCGATGGAAGAGATACCAGTGTTCAGCAGATTTTGAGGGAAACACTGGACTATTTCGAGGCTGAGAAGGCTCCTGGAAATGACACGCTGGGACCCTTGGTTGAGATGTGGAGGAAAGAGAAAGGAAGGCGGAACACAATTCGCTATTCGGTAGGTTGGGGCTCTTTGGAAGCCGTTAGCTCTGATCATCACACTGAACACCAGCAACAGCACCGTGGTCCTCCTGGATTTGCGGGCCAATACCAACAACAGCCAAGCCGAAGACGTGATGTCCTCCCACCCCCAGAGGAATTAGCCTCGCGGATAGAAGAAGCAAAGACTACTGCTCGACTTCTCGTCCAGACTGTCCAGTCGACGACTCAAGCGGAATTGCTGGCCAATGATTTGGTCCAGGAGTTCGCGGACAGGGCACGGACAACACAGAGGAGCATTCAAAGTTTTATGAATTGCCAAAATCCGACACCAGATCCAGACACCATGCTCACGTTGATCGAGACGAATGACCAGCTGAATATCGCCATGTCGAAACACCAGAGAGCGGTGCTCCAGGCCAGGAAATCTACATCTAGTCCTCAACCCCCGACGGAATCCACGCAGAGCCCGATCTCAGTGCCGCAGCACAACCTAGGTCAGAATGTCTATGCGTCTGCTGGCCAGACTGACCACGGATCGTTCTCAGCATCGCCACCTCGTCGACAGTATACACTCCCGAGCCCCATTAGTCCCTTACGAAGAGAGGAACAATTTTCTCCTCCGCCAGGACCGCCCCCAGCCGCGCGAGGAGCGGTAAGAAATCAGTCCCCCACCACCAACTACGAGTACTCGAATGCATATTCTGCTCCTGAACAACCACCTCCGGTACCGACCCGAGTTCGTCCGCAGTCTCAGGCTTATGCTTCCACCGCCGCATACGGGGTCGCCGAGAATCCATTTTCAGACGATGAGTACGGTGATGGATCGGAGCAGCCGAAGAGATCAAATCCATTGTTCGACCGGAGTGAAAACACGCCTTCACCGAGGCCGCAGCAAGTGGCAGGTAATCAATACGCCAGCGAATTGAGCGCCGAGCATCACGCACCAGCGTCTTACAACACGAACTATCAGTCATCACAGACGTATCCAAGTCAGACCGCTCCACACCAGTCAAATGTCGGATATGGGAGTTATCCAGTGAGTCCGATTGATGATACACAAGAAGTTGGACGAAGAGTGAATGATTTGCATATTTGAAATGGAGGCAGAGGCCGAAGAAACAAGCGACATTGACCATTATTCGAAAGTTAGCCATCGGAAAGGCGAATGCGACGCAGATACCCTCGTAAGCTCCCATGTAGAGTGAATTGAATAGTAATGCTGTACACTATTTGAGCGAGATCGACGTCGTCGCTTGTATCTCAAAATCGGGCATCATATCCGATACCTGACTTTCTCTGGGGTTATTATAGCGCCGAAACAGTCAATGATGGTCCCCTAGTTGAATGCTTTGACTTTTCTCATATTATATCTCTCCTGAATCTTCTCCTGCCCCTAGGCATTTCCTCTCTCCTGTTCGTCTCCTATGATATCGCTAGGAGGGTCTTTTCGTCTTGCCGCCAGCCTCAGAGAAGAACAGAAATGACGTCTCTGATCCCTCGCCCTCCATATACGCAGGAAGAGCTCGACCGGCTCTACCCTAAAGGACTGGAACTGCGACTCGTTCAGATTCTTCTTCGCCATGGTGAACGTACACCTGTGTCTGCTCGTTTCGGAAATGTAAATATAATCTACGTAACTGCGAAAGAGCGTCCGCTAACGACCACTTTTCCAGGCGGGCCTCCCTGCATATTGGCCGTACTGCAATGCGGCGCAACGACTCCTATCGGTCGCCATGACCCCTGAAAGTGTCTCACAATGGAATTCCTTACAGTGGAGGAGAAGGCTTGAAAGATTCGGCGAGGATGATGGTCCCGTCATCGCAGCTGGACCGGCTGGCGAGGCGGATGGAGTCTGGTAGGCACACGCACCTTTTACGTCTGGAGACTCTGTATACAAGTACCAACAGCACATTTTCTGTAGTCAGCTAGGCGAACTCACGGACAGAGGCCGTGAAACAACCTACGAATTAGGAAGGCGTCTCCGCCATCTTTATGTCGACCAGCTGAAATTCATGCCCGCCCTGATCGCAAATGCGGATCTGATCTACCTGAGGGCCACCCCTCTCCCTCGAGCCCTTGAATCTGTCCAACAGACCTTTTGGGGCATGTACCCTTTGACGGCACGTACGGCTGCTTTTCCTGCGCCCACCATCGTCACGAGAACTCCTGCCGACGAAACTCTGTTTCCCAACGACGGAAATTGTCGACGCTTCGCACAATTGTCCCGAGCATTCGCACAACGGACCGCAGATCGGTGGAATGATACGGATGACATGAAATACGTGACCAAATTGATTGGGAAATGGATGCCTGAGAACTCCAATAAGCAAGTTGCTGTCGATTCACATCCGCGTTTGTCGGGGATCATGGACACCATCAATGCGACTCTCGCCCATGGCCCTCCAACGCGCCTGCCCAGAGAGTTCTACGATGAGAAGTCGCGTGCCATAATCGACCGTATCGGTGTTGAAGAATGGTTCTCAGGGTACAACGAAAATCGGGAATATCGCATGCTCGGGATAGGGTCCCTGATCGGCGACATTGTCGAACGTATGACATCCAAGATTGAAGGAGCAGGTCTCAGTATCAATGAGATTGGCGGGGAAAATGGACGTCTGGGCAAAGGGAGAGGTGGTGAGAAGGGCATTCGGTTCGCCATATCTGGTTGTCACGATACCACTTTGGCGGGAGTCTTGACCAGTCTCGGTGCTTTCAATGGTGAGAAATGGCCTCCTTATACTAGTCACATTGCCTTCGAATTGTTCAGAAAGAGCGACCTAGACACGCCAGCATCAGCGGAAACTTCAGACACGCCAGTGTTCTCGGAACCGAGAGCTCCCGGCGATTCGAGCACCAAACAAGACTTCTTCGCCTCCTTCCTCGGTCTTCGCTCTCCAACAACATCGTCGCAATCATCTTCCGCGTCCTCATCGTCCAATCCACTCTCACCATCCCGTCTATCTGCCCACTCGACTTTCTCCTCTGTTGTTCCTCCTCAAGATCTCATTGCCCGGTCACCGCATAATGAACTGTCAGAATCGCAAAAAGCTCGTCTGGAACCATATTACGTCCGAATACGATACAATGATGGTGTAATGAAGATCCCGGCCTGCGCAAAACCTGGAAACAATTACGAAGGTGATGAGAGCATCTGTACCTTTGAAGCGTTCAAACGAGTCGCGGATGGCTATGTGCCGAAGAACTGGAAGGTACAATGTGGGGAGAATATGGATAAGGCAATTGCTGGGCTGGATTCCGCACCTGAGATGGCGGGACAGATCGAAGAAGGGTTTTGACGGCGAGATGCATGGAACTATGTGGGAGGGTTAGTCAAAGACGATCTCAGCACGCGGGCTCTTTGACCAGGAAAATCCCCGTGAGGCTAAGACAGGCCGGCCGCGAGGCCAAACAAAAACACCCCTATTGATCCTGAGATAGACCGGAGAAATTGAAGCTCAAGCTTTCGTCAAAAATTTTGTCTCATACACACACATCATCGGTTCTAGGGCAGCATATCGGTTCCAAGGCCATAAGAAATACCAAAGAGGAGATCCGATAGAATTACTATCGATCATAGAAATTTCGGACCACAAATTGCTCCATAGAATTAGCACGATTTAGCAACTCAATGAAATCAGAAGAGAATGGAAGGAATTTTTGAGTCACTTATTGAGTCCAGAACCATGGATATGCTCTGCAATGATCTGCCACGATATGTGTATGCATAGAGATGGAATGATCAGACTCGGAATCATTTGACGGGAAAGTGGAAGTGCAAGAGGAACAGAACAGACGAGTTATTAAAACAAAACCAGAGATTCATCCCGTTAGTAACTCCTTCACTCTCCAGAGATTCATTCAACTTGGCCTCATCTTACTTTCTTAACCAATCTTGCACACATACTCAATCCACCGATACCGATTTGTTTGACGTATGCCACAGCAAGCCACAGTCCGAAAGGAAGCTGGCCTACATAGAGACCCAGGCACAGGCTTTCTCTCTGTTTGAGGACTCCAAAGCTGAGTGCCCTCAAAGGTCAAGCAGTGGTTCATCCCTTTCCCTTTTTCCCCCTGGATTCAACCGGAATGTTATGTCCAAGTGCAATGATATCTGCTCCTCGGGAAGCGATAATGACGCCTTCGTAGGACGGCAATGGGAGATAAGAGGCCCCCAAAAAAAAAAGTCCTTGGGGTTGCTGTGGTTGTTGAATATCAAAGGTTGTCTCGAACGCCGTTGTGCCAGAAGGACTTGATATACGGCACGAGCTGTCTTTCAGAAGGTGAATCTTGACCGTCGTGCCTAGATGGACTACCATGTTGAGCATGACAGAGATCACACCAAGGCCATCGAGAATTGTCGGTTTGCTTGTGACATCAATTTGGAGCTCATATCTGCCGGCATCACGGCGGCCGTATTCCAGCGCAGCTTAAGATATTCCCACGCTTCCGAAGTTTGTCAAAACAAGGGGATTCTTGCGCCTTTCTGCAACAAACAGGTGTCTCAAAGCATGACTCAACCTGCCCAAGGAAGCCTCTCGACTGTTAAAGTTCGGGACTTGGTCTGGAGCAATCCTTAGCGAACAAAAATGGGTGCCAAATGAACTTCTTGCATGTCGTAAGCCGCTGAGGTTATGATCTAGCCATTTGATGCCAGGACTCAGTGCTTCGTTCCGTCGATTGCCACGTGGGAGAGAAGCTGTGTCGTATTCTTGCTGCTGCTGCCACCGCTGCGGCGTGGCCATACCATCGATCCATTTCTGGGAGAATCGCAGTAGTTGGAGATGCCCCGGACGACAATGCAGGGGAAATTGGCCAGAGCACCCGCAGCATCCATTTCAAAGCACAACAATTCGTACTCCTTCGCCAGTCAATCCCTCAATATAGCGTCCCTAACCATGCGCTCTCCAGATGCGATTGTGGCCCTGTAGGCAACAACATATGGTTCCTCGTCCCTATCACCACGCTGTATATACGGTCTGGGTTGTACCGGGTCGTGTCAAGCATTTCCGGTGCAGCAATTTGCTCTACCCCTAACGGATAGACCCATCCTACTGTAGAGTCGGGGTGATTCAGTTTCACTACCACTGCTAGAACAGCTGGCCAGAATGTATTCGAACCAGCATTCTTTCGAGGACAAGGCCACAGTGCGGGGCAACGTCGGTTGCGGGGAAGCTTTTGCTTGATTTTTTTCGGTCTCAGAAAAGGAAAAGTAAGATCTTGCACTGTCAGCTTTATTAGCATATGCCTCCCAGCACATACGGTCAGTGATACTTACGGATTGAGCTCCTCTGAATATAAAGCGAGAAAATGAGATGGAGGAGAATGAGGACGATCGAGGCCGTTAAATTGGGGAGATTCTTATTGTCAACTGTCCTCGACCCCTGGCCATGTTGGCGTGATAGCAGCAAACACTGAATCTGGGCGAGGCGGCAACCTAAGGACTGATGCTTCGTATTGCACCGCATGGTACCACCAAAGGCCATAGAGGTAGTCAAAGCCACCGAAATATAGATCAGGTTGGGAGAATTTTAACCATGGTCCAGGAACAATGACGGCATGACACATGACATAATTCGTCCACGTAGATAGTACAACGAAACTCGATCTCATGTCGTCAAGCTCTGGCCAGGTTGTTCGCGTTCGGGGAAGAGAGAAGCTTTGGGAAAACTGGATCTCTGGATCCGTCGGAGATGGAAAGAGTTATCTGGCAGAGACAGGCTACTCCCAAAGTTGACCAGGAAGCTGCGTGAGACCCGGGAGACATGCTCCAATACTCACCGCGGGTTACTATTTGTTTCGGTCGTTCTTATCGGCCTTGCTCGGTCCTGATAACCGAGTATTTCACTTCTGTCTCCACCTCCTACCAACAATATCCAGCCCCCGTCGACTGCGCATAGAGGGGATCATCAGGATGTGTTCGCGGACTTGGTTCGGCGTCGAGCCTGGCCTTTTTGAATCTGTCACACTGGTTGTTACTTCTGTGTTTGCTGGGTCGGCTGGGAGTCTCAATCTCCATCTCGGTCGCGTCGTCGCCGTTGAGTCCGGCAAACGCGTTCTTGCGGTTAACTATGCTCTCAAATACGATCCGCCCGTTGAAGCTTTCGAGATATCCGACTTCAAACGCCGTGCGGGATGTGAGCATGAAAGGACATCGGGAGTTATCGTCTCGTCTGCACGCTGGCAGCCAGGTGGCAGAGTAGTCCGTCGATATGCTCGTATCAATTGGTACGGACCCGCTGATTGGCGGCAGCATCTCTTGGTACCATGCGTACAGGATGGGAGATTGGCTTATTGTGAGAATTACCATCACGTTTGAAAGCATTGGGTGCCAGAGAACTTGTTTTATCGGATGTGAAAATGTCAGGACGGTGTGTGCATGCCAAGGGCTGTGGGCAAGTGCACGGAGCTCCCACACCCAGAGTGTTTGAGGTGAGGAGCGGACACGGGTTGCCATCAGGGCGTGATTTGCATTCAAGCCGATGATGTCGACTTGATTCTGTATGTGTGATTGTGCCTGTCCATCTCCGGATGAACTTTGGCCTTGTTCTTGTTTAGCCTCGAACGCGCTGGTCTGCTGGGTGAATGTCGACCTCGATGTCTCGTTCGGAATGGTTGTTTCTTGCCAGACCATTGTCCTGGAACCGTCGATGACTTCTGGGTGTGTGAAGCTCGTGATTTTCTGAACTACCATGTCGGTTGTGGATTGGTATCGAATTAGCACTTGGTTTTGTCCATTTGTCGCAACTTGGATTGTTCTGTCTGTCATATTGCCATCTTTCAGCCACCTCCAGAGCGTGAGCCCCACGCATTCCGGATCCGTTGCGGCGTGGATGTGCCAGCTGAAGGTGGAGGAGGTGATATCAATCTGCCTCAGGGCATGCCCTTGGGCCGTGAAGAAACAGACGTTGACTCCATATGCGGGGGAGTCACAGACCGCCAGAACAGGACCTCCTGCTGGACACCAGTGCAAGCTTTGTGCGTCCGAAGTGTGGCAGTCAAATGATTTGTAAGTTATTTGGTTGCTTTCGACCAGCTCAAAAACTGTCACCCTGTCCTGACCCTTGACTCTTCGGAGTAAAGCAAAATATCTTGCGTCTGGTGCCTCTGTAAGACTGCGGGAGTCGGGGAATTTGACATGCGGGATTTCCTCCCGTTCTGGTTTGGTTAGGCTGAGCACAGCTGCATTGGTCCCGAACTCGAACATCACCAGCGCATGGCGGTGGTTGAAGACGAAGTCCACAAGGCTGAGCCTTCCGAACTGCCCTCCCAATTCGAAGTCAGCAAGGATGTTGGACTTTGCGGCGGCTTCGTCGTCAAGTCCCAGCATCATCCGTGGAGTTTGAAGGTTGGTACTTACGGCTATCAGACGCTTGCCGTCTGATAGCAGGAGCCAGGTCAGTCCGTACTCGCACTCCGAAGTGGTATTGGACCACGCCTCGTCAGCCTGGGCCGAGGGCACCACTGTCTCCGGTGACCATCGCAGAATGTTACATTTTTCTAGGAATGAGCGTGTCGATCTGGGTACTTTGAGCGCTGTGATGTATTGGTGTCCGTACGCTGCCTCGGCTAGGTTGATCAGGTGGATTCTTTGGTCTGGTGCGACCGCGGCCAGGAACTTGCCGTCTGGTGATAGGACAGGTCTTCGTAGAGCTTTCCCATTACAACAAATCAGCAGGGTGTTCTGGTTCTGTCAAGGCCAAAGCAAGGGGCAGCGGAAAAGACGAAGACAGAAGACGACTGGGGTTGTTTGGATCTCACTCCTGCCCACAAGTTCTGGGGACACGCCTTCCATGGCGGTCTTCCTGGCTTCAACGCCTCCGTAGATTGAATTGTGCTACCCTTTCTCGGTTGACCTCTCTTCTTGAGAGGATTCTGTAGACTAGAGAGGTATCTTGAATTGGGGATACGTGAATGCCATGGTTTCTCTCCAGACGCGTCACAGAGGCGACAACGTGTCGTCGAAACACACGAACCCACGTGATTTAAAAAATTTGCGTTTGATGAGTTTTTGGCTCGCCGTAGCGGCTTTTCACGTGACTTGGTACCGTCATAGCTTGGCGTCGCAATGGGACGAATCGTTTCTATTGTCCATCGGTTAGCGATAAGCCAATCTATTCTCACTTCGAAAAGCATTGGAGGGCGTCAATTGGGAACCATAAAGAAGATAATTTCTGTCCCGTACGATGGTACGACATGATTACTTGTCTGTCCGGTCAGGACAGCCTTACACCATGATTACTTAGCATCCGCCTTCTGACTATTTGTGACGAGTCCATCCACAAAAAACCAAGACCAACTCCTGTCCATTGAGATCATTCCACACTTACTGAGCTCAGGCTTATGGAATCATTTTGCTCGGCCGCATACCTATTGGCCGAAGTTACTGACCAAAACTTCAATGATCTGCTCAGCCAAACTTTTGGACCAAGACATGTACGAACACGATTACTCTCCTTCAAGATTAATCGAGTTTCGTTTGATTTACTCAATTCTCAGACTCCCGTCTTCTAATGTTTCCGCCAGCCAAGTACGAGGAGATTCATGACGATTGTTTCACGGGGCAGTTTAGTTAATCCGTCTCCGATCAAGATCAGTAACCCGAATATTGTGTGGGATATAGTACATATTTGAGACTCACGTTCTCCGAAGCTCAAGGCCGTTCAAACAATTCCTATATCAAAATTCTAAAAATCTACCCAACCTTGTTATTTCTTTGTTTCGACATGAAGACCATCGTCGTCATTGGAGGCACCGGCGCTCAAGGAAGCGCCATTGTTGAGCATATATCCGCCACAAACGAGTTCAAAATACTTACCCTGACACGCAATACTACGTCAAAATATGCCCAAGAACTTACCAGCCTCCCAAATGTTGAGATCATTGGCGGTAATGCCTCTTTTGGTTACGATGTGGATGCTTTCTAGGAGGCCGCCCAACGATCTGACTATGCCTTCATGAACACGGACGGCTTCAATCTTGGTGAGCAGGCTGAGACATATTGGGGAATTAGGCTATTTGAGCTATCGATCAAAGCTGGAGTGAAGCATTTCATCTACAGTGGACTGGACTACAATGGCAGGAAGGCTGGCTATGACCCAAGCTTGTATGTGGGTCATTACGAAGGGAAAGCAAGAGTCCAAGGTATGAGCGCACCCTATCAGATTCCTGTCACGGTCCTATGTCAATAATTATGGCCTAGAGTTTATGCGTTCCCAACCAACGAGGCCCATGGCATGGACTGTGATCAACTCTGGACCATACATCGAAATGTTATCAGAATTTCTGACCCCAGGAAAAAGGGGACGACGGCGTTTTCCGCCTCAAGATTCCAATCGGCCAAGGAGCAGTCCCTTTCATTCACTTGGGTGACTTTGCACGCTATGTACCCTGGATCCTATCGAATCCAAAAGAGTCGAATGGCATGACTTTGCAAATTGCCACTGCTCACGTTTCCGGTCCAGAGCTGGCAAGAGCTTTTGCCGCTGCTACTGGACACAAGGCAGAATATGTTGATATTCCTGCTAAGGACTGGGTTGAGGCAATGTTCAATACATGACGAAAGGCGCGGACAGCAAAGTTGGCATCCAGAGTGTCAAGGATGAGAACGCTCTCTTGATGACCTTTGGCCAAAATTTCATCAATTGGTGGAATCTCTACAAGATGAGTGCGGACAGTAAAGGTCTCATTCAACGTGACTATGCCTTGCTTGATCGCATTCTACCTGACAGAGTCAAGAGCGCAGAAGAATGGATGAGAAAGGCTGGATACGATGCCACCAGAAAACAAGTGATCAAATCTCATTGAATTTGTGTGCTATACTGTCTACCATAAGGTTTTCTTGTTTGAGTTGATCGATTTGATGGTAATGCCAATGTCATGACTCAAGCGACTTACCCGTTGCATACTGTAGCTCTCTGTGAAGACATGGTAGACGCAGGCAGGCATCTTGATTCGTCCACACCACAGCCTCCATCCACTGGCGCTCAAGCAACTGCAGTCCGCATGCCATCTATACGAACAAAAGGAACATGCCGCGTACTGTTCAAATAAGTTCAACACCCTGAGCAGAATGCAAGGGAGATTCACAGGCCGAGATAAGGGCTGGTATGTCTTTGCGATCATTTCTTCTTCCCTTCCTTTGTTTGCTTACCTCCGCGCAATTTTCTCCCACAGCCTCGTCAGCTACGGACCACCTATGATGGCCCTCCGAAAAGTCCGGTATATCATAAAATTACCTTCAATCCTCTCTGGCCGTCAAGGTGGCGAATGTTCCACGAGTGAAATTTATTAAGGCAACAATATTGGCAAACATTCAGAAGGCGGCTGCCCGTCATGCGAAAATGGGTACGTCAGCGAACCAACTTGGCTCCCCATTCATCCACAATGAATCTACGTGAACTTGCTTCTCCGCACACACATGAAATCAAAATCAAAATCAACTCCAATATCCCCAAACATCACCTACAAAACTTCTGCTATCGCAGCCAACAACCAAAACCCGATATATGTCCGGGACGAGCTGGAGGCAACGGCTACGCTTTGCACTTCTCTGCGGGAAGCTTGCGGATTCTCAGGAACAGAACATACCACAGCAGCCGGAGCGGCCCTGACCTAAACTCTAATAGCCAAATGGGGTGGCAATACCTAACGGGATGGTAATTCCGGAGTTAAAGAGGGAGGAGGGGAGGGGAGAAGGGGCTTGTCCCGGAGGGGGTTGTTTTTGGGTGGGGGGAAGGGTCAGTTGTTGATATACTTTGTGCGTGGCAGTGGAGAAAGATAGGCGGGAAGGCAACTAAAGCCGGGAAGAGGAATCATACAGAAAATGATTCTGAGTTTTGGAGTCTCCAGTCTACCGAATATCAAAACCTTTCCGCCTTCGATTCTTGTGTTGCCTTTGTTTGCTTTATTGCTAACCCGATCTCATTGTTCCGTCGTCAGTGTCTGCTGCTAATGTGAGGGTGCATAATTTGCAGTATGGCTCTCATTTAACACAGGTATACTCCTCGTCATTGCAAAATCGCCCCATGTTGGGGAAAGGCTGCGGCTTTCAGGGGCGCCAAACTATTTGAGTTCGGCGGCACTCCACTTTAATCCACGTTTTAGAGAAGCATTTCCAGGCATTTTGAAGGGTTCTGAAAACTAGCTTGAGTTAAACGTGGAAGTAGATGAGTCGCAGATACCATATCTAGATTGATTGCAGTGTTCTGGGCTCAAGTTTGGTGACGGTTGTTGGGTGGCAATGCCTCGAATATGGATGTTTTATAAAATACGCAGTATTTCCAGCTATTTCCTTCATCATAAATATGCCTCTGGGATAGAAGCTAGAAAGACTATATGGATTTCAATATATGTGGCGCAGTCTTCATACATCATGACTCAGCGAACTCGCTGGGCCAAACCCTTTATCCACTTTCGCGTCAAACCTGACAGGAAGTGAGAGGCCAGGCTGTCGGGCCTTTCCTCGAGGAGGAGAGGGGAGCCATGGAAGGGTCGATGTATTCCTCACTGCAGCCAGCCAGGTGGCCGAGGTTAGCAGTGAGGAGTTTTCGGAAGGCAACGAGTCTGCCAGCAAGGTTGTAGAGGAGAACCTCGAGCAATGGTTGGGCGCGACAAGAGAGGAATTTGCGTCGTGTGTTTTCGGCTCGGATACATGAACGAGAGCTACTGAAAGCGCTCTTTTGAGTTTTGAGAGTTCTTCGCCTCCATTGGAATAGGAGCAGGATTCAACCGGCATTTACCTGCATTCCGTCGTGGTTCTCGCATATTGATAGCGATGACCATCAACCATTCGAATTACCCACATAGCCATTGCAGCCGGTATTTTGTTTGGTCTCATCGTGATGCCGAATCTGTGTCACCCTTGAGCTCTCAGCCTCGTTTGATCCACACAATGCACTTTTGCGTTTGCCGTTCTTTATTCTGGTCAAAGCCTCTTTCCCTTGAATGCGTCTTTGTACATGGCTCAATACACTCCATTGTTTCTACATGCTTGTGCCTCTGTGTGAAGAGCAGTGAGGCTATGGCAGTGCCTCGCTGATCTCCTGTCCAGATGAGTATTTCAAACCCTCGAGTTTGGACTTTTTTCTCTGATTGCTCAGCATCACAAAAGACTTTTCTCTGATCGTCTGGTCCACGGACAATCGCAATCTGCAATCTGATCGCATCGTATACCAATATTAGCCAAGATCAGAGATAATTTAAGTGGTCACACCATTTCCATCAGAAATACTGCCGCACCTCATATTCTAACTTCAGGTTCCTTGGCTTTGGAAAAGTCCCAGGACACGAATCCAGGCATAGATATACAATTCAACACAGTCCCGGGGCTGCACATGGCTTCTCAGACCAATTACCAGGCAGTTGCCGCAGGCTCGGCAAGCCCGTCACCATCTCCAAGTGTGAATGGTGATGCTAACGATGGAAATAGTCCAGTTCCGGACAACGTAAATGAACCTACTCCCTTGGGCAGAGTCCTCGCTATCAACACTCTGCGAGACCGAATCAATCCTGGTATTGTCGACGGATCATTGCTTGAAATCTATCTCCGCTCAACGACATGGGACGTTGACATGGCATACGCAAGATGGACAGCTGATCGAAATCGAATCCTTGCCGACACGGCCATGTTCGAAAACGATGAGGATGAGTCGATAGCAGAATTGTCTGAAGACAAGCCAATGGCAGGCGGTGACGAGGAAGAAGAGCTTGACCAGGGCGAAGAAGATCGAGAGGATGAAGACGAGACGTTTAGAGCCATGAGAGATGCCGGTCTGCTGTTCAATGCTAACTGGGAACAGGAACGCCGAGATGCTGCACTTGCACTTCGAATTGCAGTACAGGAGCGAAGCCTCTATACGCAAACTTTGAGCCCTTCGCAAGCAGTTCTGGTCCTTCATCTCGCGCAATGGGATCTGGGCGACGCTACGGCTCGATATGTCCGTCTTCGAAGACGCTTGGCTGGGACATTCGACCATATGAGAACAAGACTTCAACAGGAGCTCGGAGGAAAGAGTAACCCGCAGATCATGATGGAACAGGACGAGCGACTGGCAGAATTCATCACAATTACGGGCCGCCCCGATTGGTACTCGCTTCGCGTCTGTCTTCAGGAGCATGACTGGGACCTCGTACAGGCAGTCTCGCACTGGTTTCTGAACGGGGTACGAATTGTTACACCGCCTGCGAATGAGAGACTTACCGATAGAGGTATCCGTGTCGACCACAACTTGAACCCCTTAGATCTCAACGAGGAATGGCAGGCTCCAGAAGTCGATCTGGATGGTTGGGATGATGAGCCGGAGACATTCGAGTTGCTGGACAGTGAGGATTCGTCTCCTGGGTCAGATTTGGTCCTGATCAAGAAAGACGGAAAGCGTCAAGCCGGGTTCTTGGTCAACAATGATCGCGACACCGCAAAGGTCGGTCTCCGAAATGAGTCCAAATTCTTAGTAGAGTATGTCTCCAAGGGCAAGCTCCATCACAATCGTTTCCAACAGGCAAATACTTTCATGTGGCCAGAGCTACGTGGCTCGTTGGCAGCGAAGCGGAAGAAAAGCAAGAAGGCCCTGGTCGAGTTCAATTGGAATCGTCAAGATGACGTGAACCTCCTTAACAATTGGCGCAGACAAGCCATGACGAGAGCTACAGGATTGTTTCATCGAGCTAGATCACAGCCTTGGTCACGGGAAGAGTCGGATTTTCTGTACCAGTTGTCTGAGGAACTCCTTGAAGAACTGAAACTCAGGCATCCGGAACTGACCGAGAATGACTTGTTGCCTCTCACCGTCTCAGCGGCGAAGAAAAAAGAATGGGCCGATCGAATGAACGCCAAATTCACCGGCACAATGCAAGAAGGTAGCCGTGTTCCTCGCGCCGACCGAAAGCCCGGGGCGGTGATGACCGCACGAGCTCGTTGCCAGGCAATTGTGGATCGGTTCAAAGTAAAGCCAGACAAACAGTGGTTTGACAAGCAAGAGAAGAAGAATGTCAAAGCTGGGACTAGGCGAAAGCATTCAGAAATGGAGACTGAAGAGCCTGAAGACAACGAGGATGTTGACGCGGAGGAAATGGAAGATGAAGCCGGGGATGACTAGGAAGAAGAGCGGATATCGGCATCATCCGGGAAATTTTGCGATTTTGCAATGGTTTTGTTGGGCTAGAGGTTTGGGGTAACTGGCGAGGCTCCCTGACAGAGGACGGCTTGATCCGGTACAAAGTGTTGGGTTTAGAGGTAATTGGCGAGGGCTTTTGACAAAGGATAGAATAAGCATATGCACTCGTCAGGTCCAGAGAGTCCTCAGGTAGAAATGCCAGCGGGTGTCACTCGTTAGAGAAATGTCCCTGCTGATTTTTCTCATTTTTCATTTCGTCACCCGCAGACCAAGGCGGCCTTCTGGGGTTCGTTGAGAGTAGGATTTGAGGAATGTTGTCGGATGTGACCATCAGACCCCTGTATTGTATCGGTCTTGGTCTCAGCTGCCTCTTTCGATGTCATTTTGGCCTTTTCTTTCTTACGCAGTTGAATCGCCCCAAGCTTGATGGCTTCCTCTGGCAGCGGCCGAATATACGGCTGACATACCCACCAAGGTCTTTTGTATTTGGCCTCAGTTTTCTCTTTCTGTAATGATTCGCGATCGTTGGTGTTTTCTACGATAGGTGTCGGTGCTTCATTGGTGACTGGAGGTTCAGAATGCTGGGCAGTGGCATGTTGATCAAGCCCATTCATCACTGCCGTTTCAACCATTCTAAGAACCCGCTCAAAGCCTTCGATGTCACCGCATTTGGTTCTCGCTAACGCGTCTCGGATATCGGTATGTATCGAGAGCATAGGTCTGAGAAGCTGGAATAGATGTCCTTGCATGGCTTTCAAGTTGGGGTCAGTCTTTGGATGCTCATTTCGTTTTCTTTTCTTGCCATTTGGAGCTGGGTTTTCGTTTCTGGGTGGTGCTGTTATCCGAGACGCCGTCTCTTTGGAATCTCCAGGGATGTACAATGGTGCACGCTCGGGTGTCGATTGGTTGAGAGAGTATTTATGGATAATATCCATGTATCTTCTGAACACAGCATCTATGCGATATCCTCCTTTACCATCGGAACCATACCAATACAGTCGTGGATCATGATCCCTTGGAGGCTTGGCGAAGATGGTTGGGTCTGAAAGGTTTCCTTCGGCGCTCATGATGCCGTCGGCACCTGTTGCGGCCAGGCATGCTTCGAAATCGCCTGAGTTCAAGATATTGCCGTTGGCAAAAAGAACCGTCTCCGGAGGCAAATTGTCTCGCAAGTATCGAATCATTGACCAATCAGCAAGGCCAGTATTCTGTCCTTTTTGTTCTCTTCGTCGCCCATGCACCGTCAAGATACTCGCACCCGCTGATAGAATCATCTTCGCATAATCGAGTGTTTTCTCCTTGGTCCCAAGAATTCTCATTTTCGCGGTTACTGGGACAGACAACTCGTTGTGTAGTGTATTGATCAGTTTGTATATCGTTTCCCAGTCTTCTTGCAAGAAAGCTCCGTAATGACCACTCCTAGCAATACCTTGCGGGCACCCCAAGTTCAAGTCCACGGCGTCACAATACGGCGCGACATACTGCGCTGCTTCCAAGAGCTCATCTGGTTTGTTTGCGCAGAACTGGACAAAGAGTGGTCGGTCAATCTCGGGGTTGCCATCCAGCCAAGCCGGGGAGGAAGATTTCTCCTTTGAAATCAGACTGCTTCTCGTGGGTTGGAAATGCTCGTCTCGAAACCTGGCCGTCTCTTTGAATAATCGAGCATGTAACATAGGCGAATATGCCAATAAAGATCTTGATCGCTCTTCATCCAGGTATGATCGAGTGAGGAGTCTCCAAGCCTGGAGAATGAGTCAACAAACGTCGGGAAAAGGTTCGACGAGGTGGAGGGACGGACGAATTCTGAGCGATCGACCATGGGGGCCACGATCATTTTAGGGCTGCCGATGCTTTCGTAGAAGGCTCTGCCAGTCAGTTTTGTGGGAGATAGGCGCCCTGCGCCAACAGCATTTGTCTGCGCCATTATCTTCCTCAGTGATGTTCGTCGTTGAAATTCCTCGAAAAGATTTCCAAGCCAGACCGAGATAGGTCGGGGCATAAGTGCAGTCGAGTCGACTTGACCAAAAACTATATCCTTATCATCGTGTCACAACAGATATGTCAGCGTCGGCTCGATTTAGGAAGGAGACGTCTGCAAGATGACATGTTCTGTGAGAGCGCCTAGACTCTGTACTCAGCCGTGTCAATATGGGCGCACGTGACCGTACTGTGCATGGGTTCGCGATAGAGCAGCAGGAGATTACAATATGATCTCTAGCAAGTCAGGAGGGAAAGAGGTGTTATTTTGCTGTTAGAGTCCTAAGAAGGCTTACTATTGTCCACCGCACTCGCTCAACAGCTTCTGTCTAGCCTAGATGCTGTTCAGCTCCTCTTTCAGCTGTTTCATTTCGTGATCTGAAGGCATGGCATCCCATTTATGAGACGATTCTAGCGTTCATCTTTCCCAGGCTTCAATGACGAGGCGTATTTTGACAGATAAAGGCTCCAAACGAGTCGTTGATTCCCAAAGTCCGGTCTGCCAGGGTGCGTTGTCTCCATCTCTTTGCCATCCTTCGTGAACCAAACAGGAATCGTGCAATTATCATCACTGTCAATCAATTCAGACCTCGTCGACGGGATGTCCTTACGAATGAGCTCTGGGGTCCAACATACTGGAAGAAAATGCAGTAGCTGGCCTCGTCTGGCCAACAGAGCTGATCGAATGGTTTTACCAAATCATCGGCATGAGCAAGACTCGAGACGACATTGTGGTTTGACTCCTTTTCAGCGTCATTCGTAACTCGCCCAAGGGCCTGTCAAGGTGGAGTGGATATTTTCTGTGAGAAGAGCGCGGACGCGAGGGATTAGCCAATTCTTGTTCAGGCAGGAATGGAGCTACCGTCATGAGTCCTCAATCAATCGAACTAATCGCTCCAGAGGAAAAATGACTTACGCCACCGGCGTTGTTGAAAACTGGGATCAGCGACGACCAAAGTCGCTGCTGCAAAGCGTAAGGATTCCGTCGCGGTTTATCGTATCCAAAATGTTGGGGCTGGAACATAGCTGAGGAGCCTTGCTCATTTTGTGCAGCTTGCGAAATCCTCATAAGCACATATCATTCCAATTCTTCTGCCAATGATCATTGTCGCAAGTGGCACCTGTCCGCAAATCTGATAAATCATTTAGCGCCTTTTGATGATCATCCAACTTTTGAGGCTTTCATCGAACAGGTGGATATACCTCGACAAGGCAGGTGGTAGAATAGCACAATGAGCTCGTTATGCAGAGGTTGGTTAAGTCCGTCCCATTGAGGCAATTCATGGCATCAATCCGACACCGCCATCTTCTGATCGAATATCAACACCATCCAGGCTGCTCAGGCCGCTTCCAAAGACCTTGTCTATCCGTTTGTCCCGGTCCCAGACAACTTCATGATTTCCATTCTCATTAATTCGTTTGAAGTATTTGATGCGGTGTTGAGGGATCCATTCTTCTTCCGTGAACTCGGATATCCAGGTGCTTGCTTGCATTTCCTTTATCCCGGCAAATCTCTCGAGATAACCAATGGTGAACTTTGTTATATCGAGTTGATCGTCCCACTGCAGGCGGCTCAAGACATCTAGATATTATGCATGAACAACGATGGCCTGTCCACTGGGGCCCTGACATACCTTGAGCTGATCTCATTTTTGGCGTTGGAGTTGAACCCAAGCTGGGACCCTCTTTGCCTCTCCGTCGGTGTTTCGCATAGCGCTCTAATTCTTCGATCCTTCTTGATTCATCTTCTTCTTCCTGTTGCTTCTCCTCATCAATCTCCTTGAGATGGTTCTCCGCGACACTCCTTAAATGATTGACCTCCTCTAATCGCGAATCAGGATTCGGTCCTTTCCCACCGTGAGTTTCCGCCATGGCCAAATCAGATGGAGTCCTAGGTGCTTGAACATGAGGTTGAAGTTTTGGAAAGTCTAACCAACACGTCTCGATTTATGCATCGGAAATCCGTGTCATGAGGCAATGCAATTGTGGCTAAGCTTCCATTTCCCATCGTGACTCATCGTTCAAGTAGGGGATTTTGTTTGACCAAATATGATGAGAACACCCAAGTCCGTCTAACTGCCCGGGTAATAATGCTGTTCTAGGACGGGGCATTTTGAGACATGGTTGGATCATTTCGGTCCGGGGTCCAGATTTGCTTCGAGTCATAAAATGTTTCCAAGGACCCGTTTTTACTCTCTTTCCTCCTGTCATGTCCGACGAAGATGCCAAATACTGCTCCGCCTATCTCCAAAAGCGTCTTCTCTCCTTCTCTCTCAAAGATGCCTCCGCTCCCGCCGGGAGCAAGGTCTTTTCGACCTGTATCGCCTGTCGAGACGAGCGCGGAAAGAGGATGGCTCGACAGCCTTCGCGTCCCACGATCCCGTCCGAGAGGCGTGCCGCGTCGCTCACAGAAGCTCCTACACGTCCAGGGCTGTCTCCTCTCCTGCAACCTCATCCATCGACGATTCCGTCCAAGAGACGTGCGACACCGCCCACAGAAGCTTCTACACGTCCAGGGCCGCCTCCTCTCCTCCAACCTCATCCTCCTCCGATCCTCCCTCCCCGGTCAAACGCGTCCAGAACGCCCTCCTCCACCACCGACGCCCGAACGACCTCGACCCGAACCGCCAGCCTCAGGCTTTCTCCCACCCGAACAATAGGCGTCGATCCAGAGTTTTCACACGGCCATGGAGCAGGTTCGTATGGAGACCTGTAGCCGTTGCAAGGAACGATGGTTCTCGATGGATTTAAAGGAGAGGGTCTGCCACGCCTGTTTCTTACGGGGCAAGGCCAACAAGACTCCCTTCCTCATGTCCGCCGAGAACGGCATGGACCCGGGAGAGCCGCCGGCCCATCTGCCCGCGCTGACCCAAATCGAGGAGATGATCATCGCCCGGTCACGTGTGCAAATGATGATCTATCGCTACCGTGGCCACCAGTACCACTACTCGGGACACTGTGTCAGTTTCATGCAAAACACGATGAAGACGGTCGATGTGCTGCCTAATCTGCCTGCGGAACTAGATGTGGTGATGTTACGCCCCCCCGGATCGCGTCGTCGAGAATGATCTCCGCTATCGACGCCAGTTCCGGTCGGATTTCCAGGTTCGAAAGGGACATGTCATGACCTGGCTGCGGTTTCTCCAGGCGCATCACCCGGATTACCGGTATATCACCATTTCCCGGACCGGATCGACGCCCTACCGATCGATGGCGACATATCCTCATCGTTTCTCGCTCTGATCGACGATGCGGGTGTGGAGGAACCCCCGGCGCCCGAACAACCGGTTCCCGCCGAGCTGCCCCCGCCGAATTCTCAATCGATGGTCCCCAATTCAATGTCGCCGCGACCGAGGCGGATCTCATCGTGCGAGAGATTGCTAGCCGGAATTCCCCCCCTCCTAGCATTCCCGCGCCCTCGATTCGACAGACCCCCATCGACGAAGCGTCGGGCCAAGATCGGATCTTTACCATGGCCTTCCCGACGGGCCAGGCCGATTTCAACACACCACGGATGCGGAAGGTGGATTTAAACGATTACGCGCGGCATCTGATGTGCTTTCACGACGGGGGGTTCGGCCGGCACCCGTGCTGGCTGTTTTTCGTCTTCAACCTCCTTATGTGTCGAAAAGCCAATAGCTCCGCCCGCTTTTACGTCTCCAAAGCGTCCGGTCTTAAGGATCTGAGTCGCGAAGAGCTGACGGAAGCCCTGCGAACGAACGAGGGCCCAGGACACAGTGATCAACATCGTCTACACATGGTCCATGGACTGGATCCGATGGGGGATATCGTACGGCATAGGACATGGTGATCAACATCGTCTACATGTGATCCATGGAGTGGATCTGATCAAGGGGGACCTGGTCCCCATTCCTGGGTGTGTCGTGGACTGGATCCGATGGGTTCAGCCAATCAGAGCAAAGGACTTGTCGGATTATAGATTTTCCGGATTGTGGACGGTTGGCCAATCACGTGATGCAAAGGGCTTGGCAATATCGAGCGCAGCGAGGCCTTGGAGGTTTGGGGCTAGCCCCCAAAATATAGCTACGCTTTTACCGAGAAAATGCTAGATCACATGACCTCTCTGAATCACATGATCTCGTAGGCTTGGCAATCTCGAACGCAGTGAGGCCTGGACCCTCCAAAATACAGAAGCGATTCTTTGACGCTCCTGCAGTCTTCCTCGAAACTGATAGCCAACCTCACAAGCACACGCCCGCCCGCCCGCCCGCCATCTGGAATGGAGAATCGACGTCTGCGTTCGTTCGAGTGAAATTGTGTCTTGTGAGTCGCACTTTCCACTTTCCTCTTTCGCACTGTCGTTCTCAAGCCCTATTTCGACGACCGCCGTACTACAATCAGCTCAAACGAGACAACAGCTAAGAATCCACTCGTACCGTGCCGACGTGCCCCTGTCGCCGAATAACAACCCTTTTCCCCCGAGCCGCTAGGGGCCAAAATGGAGGACGCAGCCCCACTTCAACGTTGCAAATTCGAAGTGGAACGCAGGCAGCAATGCAGACTCACTGCCGATCACTCGTGCGGCATTTTCGTGACTGGACGCAACAGGTGCAGCACTCAACTCGCTGCGCCAGCTGTACCTCGCCGTCTTCCATGTCGTTCTCCACTGGGTTCAAGATGCAGAATCCCGGTATCGACAGTGCAGCACGGAGAGCTGAGTGTCAACCACGGCGTCTGACGACGTTCGATTTTGACGGTCACCCCCCAGGGCTTTCGCAAGTGTGGAACAATCGCCAGAAGGAGCTCATTACGCGAATTCATTTTCGCAAGGCGGTCACAGGAGACGCACCGACGCCGACACTCTCAGGACCCTAGTCGAAGAGTAGGTAATGAAAGGGTCAGCTGAGCCTGCACGGTGCTCGGCCGGTGAAGCCAAATATGCCATGGAGAACTAGAGACATAAAGGGGGCCGTAAGGATCTAGGATTGAGAGAGTGATCGGGGGTGCTCTAGGAAAGGCGAGGCAGATTTGGAAGGAGCCGGTGGAGAATCGAGGGAAAAGGGAAGGAGGGGGGGGGGGGGGGGGGGGGGGGGGGGGGGGGGGGCCGGGGCTGATGTGGCAGGGTGCATCAGTGCGACGAAGGTGAGAAAGAAAACAGGTTGGAGGAGAGGAAAAGAGGATTGGGATGGGAAAAGGGTTCTTATAGACATCAAAAGCGGCGGCGCGCCAAGCCTGAGACCATACTTGAAAAGGCAGGGCCGCCTCAACCGAAGGCGGATTTCCCGGCAACGACTTTTCAGCACACCACAAATTTGCTTTCAAGGTTCGTCCGCGAACGTCGATCCGTAAACTTCAAGTCTAGGCCGAAGCACGATTCACTGATGCTATGCGATAATGTAGAAGAGAGTAAGCCCTTGGTGCAGATGAGAAATGACACAATTGCAACTCTGATCTAAAGGCCCGTACTGCATCACCGTATTGGGCCTCGGATACGCGCCCGGGTTTTGACCGACCGGATCGGTTCACCCGTCTCTTGAGAAACAACGTTTCAAAAACGAGAAACGAATTCCCAGGTACCTGAGCATGTGGCCAGGGCGACCACGTCGCAGAGGGCTGGAAGAGTATGTTTTTGTGTCGAATCGCCCAGAGGCCCCCTCTCAGAAGGAGGGCCATCGGGGTCAAATCTGTCCATCAGAGCAGGCACTTGTCCCATTTTCGAGTCCTTGAACATATCGTCCCCGCCCAACATACACGGCATTGGCCGAGAGGCACCGAAGTGGGTTACGAGAATGCATTGAAACTTGCTGTAAAGCAGTACGTCCCAAATGACAACTCAAATCCGCAAGCCGACTATATCACGTTTATAGCCACCCATGCAAATGGCTTTCCCAAGGTTGGTATCACTTGCAGGCTCTGTCGCGATTGAAGTGTCTGAAAGTGTCTAGGAAATGTACGAACCCATGTTCGATGACCTGTATGAAAAGTTGAGCCTTCTCGGAAGAAAGATTCGTGCGATATGGATTGCCGACATTGTTCACCAGGGGCAAAGCGGTGTCCTCAACGAAGATGCATTGGGAAATGATCGTATGTCCACGGATTCCAGATAATACGTCGGCAGCCACTGATTGGATTAGCGAACTGGTGGGATTTTGCAAGGGACCTGCTTTTCCTGATCAACCAGAAGCAAAATGATATGCCTCAGCCTCTGGTAGGAATTGGCCACAGTATGGGTGCGACGCAATTGTAAGGATGGCTGACATACGTAACTCGAAGAGACAGAAATAATCTTTGATAGGACTCAGCTGGCACTTATCCATCCCCGACTATTACAGGCTCTCGTTTTAATCGACCCTGTCATCCAGACAGAAAATCCCAGCAAACCCTTTGCGCAGCCTTCAACTTATCGACGTGACATCTGGCCCTCTAGAGAAGATGCCATTCAACATTTCTCCAATAACAAGTTCTACCAGGCTTGGGATCCACGAGTCTTGGAACAATGGGTCAAATATGGCTTGAGGGACCTGCCAACAGCGCTCTATCCAGAAACAGGAAATGAGAACAGGCCCCCTGTGACGCTAACGACTCCAAAATCTCAAGAGGTCTTTTCATACTTACGGCCGAAGTATTATGGGTCCTCCGGAATATCACCAGAAAAGGATCGGTCCGTGTATGGAGACTTACATCCCGAAGACATAGAAGACTATCCATTCTATCGCCCCGAACCGGCTGAAACGTTCCGAAGACTTCCAGAGCTGAAACCACCTGTCCTGTATATATTTGGAAAGAATTCTGAACTCGCAACGTCCGAGCTGAGAAGAAAGAAAATGGAGAATACTGGTGTTGGGCTTGGAGGAAGCGGGGGAAAGGATGATAACCGGGTCAAAGAGGTGATTCTCGATTGCGGTCACTTGGTACCAATGGAAATGGTCACGGAGTGTGCGGAAGCCGCAGCTTCATTTGCAGCCTCTGAGATATCACGCTGGGAACAGGAGACCCGAGAGTGGCAGGAGCGCTGGCTGAGTAGGCCCAGGAAGGACAGGGTCGGAATCGACGATCAGTGGAGGGAGATGATTGGGGCTAAGACACGTCGCGAAGAAAGTAACGAAGAGAAAAGACAGACGGTGAATTGAATAGAGCTTTGCAAGGAACGAGCTCGATCCGGCGATTAGTTTTTCCGATCCGGCGAAGTGGTCTGCCAAGCCCGGTCAGCCGTGAACCGCCAACTCGCAGAGCCAAGGAAGTTGCACCTCGAAAACAATCTGCGTGGCTTTACCAGGACTCCGTCACAGCACGCGCTTTGTGTACGGTCGAGCAACGCGTGAGGCATCATGGTATTTCACCCGTCGAGTCCGTTGGGAACTCATCTCTGACATGGACAGGTCTACAATTGGGAACCCCACAAAGATGTCTGCTACAAACTCTACATCGAAGAGCGCAAGGTGCGTCAATTTTGCCTCAAGTTTCCTCCCGTCACTGCTAACACGAACCAGTCGCTCGAGGAGATCATGCAGCACATGCGAGACACGGCCAATTTCACTCCCTCCAAGCGTGCCTTTCAGACTCAATTCAAGCGCTGGGACTTTCCATCGAAGCGGAAACCAGCCTTCCGGGATGAGGATCTGGTGGATCGTGTGAAAGAGCTTTGGGAAAACAACTATAGTCAACGTAATATGCTGGCGGTGCTTCATGAAGAGGGTCACGACATCAAGGAGCGCGAGTTGATGAGACTACGTGCAAAGAATCGTTGGTTGATGCGGATCCCGAACGGTGCTAAGCAGGTGCCCACCGATGATGAAGAAGCGCAACTCGAGGCCCAGTTGCTCCACGCCGCTCAAAACGAGGGGACCGTCACTGAACCGGCTCCACCAACGGTCTCTGACAATCCCCCGCCAGAGTTTCTTGAAAAACAAAAGGAAAGACTTAATCGCCTTCAAGCCATAAGTGATGAAAGATGGGCAAACAAGAAGCGTCGTCGTCGAACCAAGGGATACGCCGGTCTCCCCGCCGATCCACCAGGACCACCTCGTTTTCCATCCGAGACCACGCTTGAGGAGAGCAGGCAGATCTTGTCCCTGAACACGAAGCAATACCGCGCGATACGTGATCAATTCCAGGCCATGTGTGAGGAAGAGCAGATTCTACAAAAGACCGTCGCAGGTGCGGAAAAGTGGCAAGCCGTCAAAGATCGTCTTGTTCGTGAGAATACCCTTCTGCAAGCCGTACTGTGGACAGACACTTCAGATCTCCAATCCAAAGAACTCGCTTTGGACGTTATTTGCACAGATGTGACCAAGCGGATTCGTACGATGGGTCGTCGCCTCACAATCTTGGAGTCGAAGAATGTGCTCGGACTGAATCCCGAGCAAAGTCGCCAGATTCGCAGCGGTTTCTATGACATCCTCAATTCGGAACATTACACGAGCAAATTGGAAATGGGTCCTGAGATGTGGCAGACGCTCAAAAATCGATGGATCTCCACAACCCCCCTTCTGCAACAAATCCTGGCACCGGGCAATGCGGACCCCGACCACGAAAAGAAACAGGCTGCGCTGGAGCTATTGTGCCGCGATGTTATGAAACGCGTCCGAGATGATCGTGCGAAGAAGAAAGGGACTTTCCGGAAGAAAACATCACAAACTCCGACCCGCGGAGCCGATACAAGTCCTCCGGCAACTGTCCACAGCGTTTATGGTCCTTCCCAGCCTGTCAACCCATTCAGCGATGTGTCAACCACAATGCAAAACAACGATTTGTCGGATCTTCAAATTGATCCGAATTTGTTGCAAGTGGCGGACAATCTGGGACCCCCGCCGGCTTCGGTTGTGACACCGGTGTATGTTCGACCGCATCCAAAGTCAACCATGTACAACAATACCAAGATGTGGTTGGGATCACTATCGGGCCGTACTGTTCAAGAGCTCCATGCAATGCTCGCGATTAAGTATCCCACCGCAAAAGCAGCCCGAATCGATGGAATCGAGAAAGATGCCACAGGAAACGAAATTTCATACCTAGTCGAAGAGGATGAAGAACTGGATGCGTATCTCGACCACGTTCAGGGACGCAAGGCAACGTTTGTGGTGTTGTTGAAGAAAGCTTGAGTATCGGAGGTCTAAGTGAACCGAGGTCAAATCATGCATCAAGGAGTTCAAGTTGAGGAATGTGCTGGCTTCGATTTCTACTCGTCCTTACAGTCGTATCAGCATCGAGCTCTGTCTATCCAAGAAAATTGATTTCATGACAGCACTACGGGGTTGGTGAAGTGGCTACACAGATCAGGCTGACACACTACCACTGATATTTGAAATATGACGGCTCGAGATGCGTTCCAGCGACGACTCCTGCTCAGGTGGCACCTACCCGATGATCGACATGTGTTATTATCGCTTGTCTGCAGCCGAGCCAATGTATGAGTGTCTGGGGATCCCACAGGATGCTGAGCCAAATGGCGGCATTGAACTACTTTCAGACACAGACAGTCTCGACTCGGGCCAGTTAGTAACCCGATCTGCACGAATCCAGGACTCCCTTCGGTGTCCTCCTACCTCGGAAAACGCACTTTTTTTGTTCATTCAAATCACACCGTGGGGCTGACCAGCTGAAGCACCCAGATTGATTCCCCCGCTAACAGATACAGAGATCTGTGCTATCTTGATCGATGTACTGTTCATAGTATCGAGTAATTCTTCCTGAAAATGGGGAAAGCCCTTTTGATTATCCTCTTGGTCAAGTGCTAGGGACATGGCTACTTCGTCGCGAATCGCTCCACGTGGGCGTGTCAAGAGCCACAGGGTTTCCCGACGGGCGGGATGAAGGTATGGCGTATGCCAAGGGGAGCGCTTGGTACAGAGCGAGTCGATGTACTAGAGCGAAGCTATGACTAAACTTGTAGGCTTGTAATGACGACGAGGTAGACTATACCCTGACCCCTGGTGTAACTACTAGTATATAGAATGGAGCAGGCTCTGCATGCTCTGTTAGCCCCCTTTGATCCATCAAGATCCTCCCCAGCCTTGTCAAAGACAAGGCTGCCAATCGCTACACCTTCCTGGTTCGGCCCTCTTATAGTTGCAAGCCAGGTCGCCACTCTACTTTGCTCCCGTATTTTGTACCAGAAGCATACTCTACTTGGAGAATGACGTGCCTTTTAGGTATACACTTTCTTTGATCATTCAATTGTGCTCAAGCTTTTCCTGAGCAGAATTGAGTGTACGGACGCTCGCAGCATACTCTTTCCGGAAAATGTCCAGCAAAAGTTCCCGAAGCATCTGTTCATGCGGGATTCACACGATGTACACTATTCGCTACAAGTCCCGTGATTGTGTAATCATCCTGGTACACTCCGATCAAATGATATGGACTTGTCTTGTCTTACGCTGGCAAAGTATCCCAGGAATCTCACTGTTTTGACATATCAAGCCCAAGCATGCGGCTGCTGCCTTGAGTGCTTTGGTTCAGCGATGCATATTCCATACCAGTTGGTAAACTAGGACGTCCAACGGTATACCTCTCTGTCTTGGGGAAGAGGGTATTCCGGAATCAATTTGTCATTGGCATCGATTCAGGTGAGCTACACGGTCGATAAAGGTGCTCGTATAGCCATTTGGTGAAGACACCCAACAAGCCATGACATCAATTCAAAACCAGGTCCAGGCTTTGAAGAGGTAAAATGATACAATCTGACATGAACTTTGCCATGAATCCAGCGAGGGCTAACCACTTGCGTGCACAAAACGACTGTCAGACATGGTTTCTCCTTTCCCGAGGAATTAGGGACGACAAGCATCCGCAAACCCTTCCTACGTCGATTCCACATCCATCCTCGACCAATCTCTAACTTCCAAATGAAAAGCAAGAGTTTGACTGGGTCGTAAACACGAATACGGTCTGCCCTGGACCCTGGGTGGATCGGATGGCTGAACTTTGAAGATTGAACTTAGCTTGACGTCGGGTATCAACTTTTCCACAAAGTGAAGAATAGTGGCGTTCTGAGCGGCGTCGATCCAAAGCGAGACAGCCATATGCGCAGCCGTGTGTCAAAAAGGGCCAATCTTCTTTCCACAAAGAAAGCATGTCGTAAGGTCCTGGCCCTGATACGCCTCAAAGTCGTCTATTCTATCTCTTCCTCGAGCCCGACATGCTGGAAAGAATCCATAGTGATGACTTGATGTTCCCCTTTTCAGTCACTATCTAATGAATGCTGTGCGCAATCACTGGACGGTTCTTTATTAAGCTGGAACACAAGACCTCTCGGGGTGATGGTCCATACCCGTGGCTCATGAAGCTCGTTTATGAACTTCAAGGGCGTCGAGGGCGTCAAGGGATCTTTCCAGGTCGTATTAAGGCGCAGGTAAGAGGTTACCTGGCCCGACCTCAGCGACAATTGATTCCCATCTGTTCATTTAAATCGACGTTGGTCTCTTCGACAGACCTCCTCATAGTTTCATTAAAGGCCACCAAACTCTCCCGCAAGTAAGGCTGCCTCTCTCTTCCCCCCTCCATCTTCACCACCTTCTCCCAAAAGATTGTCATTTGCCTCGTCTCTGGTAAGATGATAATACCTTGAAATCTGGAAAGTAACGGCTTTGCGATTCGCCTATGCTCTCTTTGGACCACAACATGACGAACTCACGCCTGAGAAAAATCAGACAATATTGACTCTCTACACCTCGTTGACTCGGCCAGCCAATCGAATGGACCATCTCCAAGATGACAGCCACAGTCAAACGCGAGATGGGCCCTAGTCAACAACATCCGTGGCGTATTGGTTGGAATCATCAGACTATGAGAAGTGAAAGGAGCAAGAAGCTGTGAAAAAATTTTGGCAGGGCCTCCCCACGATGCTAGTTACGGGTGAGTAATGACAGTTCTAAAATCTCACTTCATATTCGTAGCCAATCAATACGAGGTAGCTGGTCTTGCTGTAATGCTTAGTCTTAAACAGAAGGCGCCCAGTGAGTCTGTCGTCATCACCTAAGCGAGACGCCTGATGAGCATACAGGGCCCACGGTTCACCAGATCCTCGGCAAATCCTGTAAAAGGTCAGCGCTATGCGATGGGCAACTCTACATTCGGTATTCCTTGCCAGGATATCAAACGAGCAATTGATCTATGATGAAGATGCCGTTGCATTGAACGAATCGTACGAATACTACCTCCACGCCGTACACGTCTTTCTCTGCTCCTTCAAGACCTTTTCCACTGAGAGTTTGAAGAAATTTGAAGCAAATCGGCAGCCGCCGACCGCCTCTTCAGGCCAACTCCGATTGGCTGCCCAACTTTTCTTGCTTCTTCGTATTTTGATAAGAGCTCCTTCGGCGCTCCCAGGCTTGATTGTCATTCTCTACAGGTTGATATGTTGTGTGTGTCGCTTCACTTTCTTTTACAAGGTCCACATTTCCACAAGGACTAGATTGTCGGCGTTGAATTCCCGGTATTTCGTGATAGAATGGGTCAAGAGACAATTTATTTTGGTCGGTTCATCTCGACCCCAAAGCCAGAGGAGCTCTTGATTCGAACCGGCGCTGTGCTGGTGAACAAGAAGAACGGTAGAGGTGTTATAGAACGGGCAGACTGGACTGTGAACGGTCCCAATGATGCAATCAGCAAGTTTGGAGTTGAGGCACCGGTGGTGACGACAAAAGAGAACGGATTTTTCTTTCCGGGGTTCATTGGTACGTGATCCAGCATCATCGTTTCTTGCAGACTAACCCTGAAATTTGTGTAGACACTCATATTCATGCTTCACAATACCCGAATGTGGGAATATTTGGCAAATCGACGCTTCTAGACTGGTTGACAACATACACATTCCCCTTGGAGTCATCTCTTGGTAACACTAATTCCCCGATGTACAAGGATGCAACGGAACCTCCCAATCCTCTGGCTCGAGCGAAGGCAGTTTACAACCGAATAATTTCGCGCACACTTGCAAACGGAACAACTACGGCCTCATACTACGCCACCATTCACCTTGATGCCACCAATTTGCTCGCCGACCTCGCTTTCGACAAAGGCCAAAGAGCCTATATTGGCCGAGTATGCATGGATCGACCAGAGACTTGCCCAGATTATTACCGTGACGAGAGCTCAGAGGAGACGCTTACCAATACGAAAGCTAGCATAGAATATTGCAGGTCCCTGGACCCTTCCGGTGAGCTTTTGGCCCATATAATTACCCCGAGATTTGCGCCAAGTTGCTTGTCAGAAACTTTGTCGAAATTAGGCTCTCTGGCGAAGGAAGAAGACATTCGAGTTCAGACACATATCTCGGAAAACCTGAATGAGGTTCAACTAGTGAAAGAGCTGTTTCCCGACCAGGCTACGTACACTGATGTCTACGACCACCATGGACTCCTAACTCCCCGAACCATCTTGGCTCACGCAGTTCATCTCAGCCAGGAAGAGATGCGGCTGATCAAAGAGAGAAAGACGAAGGTCAGTCATTGTCCCGCCAGCAACAGTGCATTGGGAAGTGGCTTTTGTCCAGTACGGGTGATGCTGGATGAGGGGGTTGAGGTTGGCCTGGGAACTGATGTCAGTGGTGGATACAGCCCGAGTATCCTCGATGCCGTCAGAAACGCTTGCATTGTGAGTCGTCATGTTGGTTTTATCAACGGCGGTGACAGCAGGTATAACCTCGGAGTAGCAGAGGGCCTGTGGCTAGCAACCGTGGGCGGAGCAAAAGTGGTGGGCATGGAAGGTCGTCTCGGCGGGTTTGAGGAAGGAATGCTGTGGGATGTTCAAGAGATCATCATGGGAGATGTCAGCTCCAGTGGTGACGGAGAGGAGACGGGTGTGGATATTTTCGGCTGGGAGCAATGGGATGATCGGGTGGCTAAATGGGTATGGAATGGGGACGATAGAAATGTTCAACGGGTATGGGTTGGGGGAAGACTGGTACATGAGAGGCGGTCATGAAAGAGACAACAGAGTTTTTGATATGATATCTGGTGTTTATGGAACTTTTCCAAGTTCTAAACTCTGAATTACGATGACAATGACACCAACGAAATTGATTCTATCCTCAGGTGCTCTGAAGTGAAAAATGAAGACCTAGCGGGGAGCCTTGCACGTGACAGGGCTGTCTCAATCCACACACGAGAGACGAATCGGTGATAAGTCCACATGGGGCGGATGCTACATCAGACACTTTCTTTCTACCATCATGATGAGTAAAGCCAAAAGTCGATTATTTAAGTTCTTTATCATCCGTCACAGAGGTCTCTTTCCATCTCGCTAACACTTACCCCAATTTAGCTTTTCAGGCTAAAATTTACCTTCGATGCACAACCTCATGGTCCGGACCTTGAGGTCTGACTGGAATCTGGACCTCGAAAGTCTGTCCATAAGACTGACTACGGCCAGCAGATGATGCTTAATCACTTTACTAAGGCATATGATCCCACCATTGAGGACAGCTATCGGAAGCAAGTGACCATCGATCATGAAACGTGTGTTCTTGAAGTCCTAGATACCGCGGGACAGGAGGAATATTCAGCGCTTCGCGTACAGTGGATAAGAGATAGCGAGGCAGCAATATTGATGTATAGCTCTACTTCGAGAGACTCTTTCGAGAAAATAACCGCGTTCCATCACCAAGTGCAAATCGTCACACACACTCTCGCTCGCGCCGAACCCGAACATGGCAACGAAGCCGGATGATCTGGCAGCAAAGCCCGTATGGGATCCTGGGTTGACACCAGTGGTCTTGGTAGCACACAAGTCTGATAAGGATGAAGAGAGAGAGGTCTCCACCGCCGAAGGATTTGCTCTTGCGAAAGAACTTGGATGCATGTTCGTTGAAAGCTCGGCCAAACATTGCGTCAATGTGGAAAATGCCTTTTTTTTGATTGGGTCCGCGAGCTTCGTCGACAACGATTACAGAAGATCCAGCCATCGAGGCTAGAGATTCCAATCTCTCCTCAGGAGCTGCAGTCGACAAACTCGACGTCTCCTAACAGGCTCGGTCATTTGACTTCCTTTTTCCACCGCTTCAAAGTCGGAAAGGTCAACATAAGAGAAGAATACAAGCACGATGTGGCGCACTAACTTGCCATTGATAAAGTGCTGGTTCAAGCTGCCAGGCAAGCGGTGCCGGCCCAAATGCTCAACCTGGTATAGAAGGCAGCGCCCGACACGCATCTACCGCCTTGGGCCACACGAAAATTGTCAGTTCTTACTAGACAATGGCGCCGCACCGAATGCAAAGGGTCCGAGGGAGATGACCGCACTGCAAATTGCCTCGGCCGAAGGACATCGCAATGTTGTCAAACTCCTCTTGAAGGCTCGGGCAGATGTCAATACTTCAAGCTCCCTGCATAGGACAGCTCTGCTCGCAGCAGCCTCGAGAGGTCAAGTCGAGGTCGCACGAATCCTGATCCAGTACGGTGCTGATGTGAATGCCAAAGGTGGTCAATATGGAAACCCTCTTCAAACAGCTGCCGTGGTGTGCAAGACAGAAATGGCAAGGATATTGCTCGATGCCGGCGCGAGTGTCCACGCCCGAGGCAAAGGTGAGTGCACTACACTTCAAGCCGCGTGTCATGCCGGTCATACTAGCATTGTTCGTCTGCTTGTGGACAGGGGGAGCCGACATCAATGCTCCGGGCGAGATACTCGGCACGGCGCTAGAGGCTGCCAAGGGCACTTCAAGGTTTGACGTTTTTGATCTCCTCTTGTCCTATGGAGCACCTGCGCCAGACTTGAAAGTCTCTAATCCCAAAGTGCAAGTTGTCCAAATGCTGTCAGAAGGCGTGAGTGGCGATACTCAAAGGGATGAGAATGTCGGCGTGGACGAGGCCCTTGAAAATCCAATCACCTTCGCTGGTCCCCAAACCAGTGAGGAAAGCTTGCGTTTGGACGGGAGTCAGGACACAGCATCGATCGATACATCTAGACCGAACGTCGCCAACAATACTTCAGGACCCCCAGACGGCCGACCGCCTCCTTCACTTTCTATACCGGGCAAGCATCACGATGATGCTAGGTCCGCATGGCCTACGCCATCTTCATCATCTTTAGACTTGTCCAATTGGCCTCTACCTGCTCCACCTCCTCTCCTCCTAAATGGCTTGCCAGTACTCACAAACAAGTCATCAAAGACGAGTTCTCGTTTTCGAGATGAATCATTCAAGCTCTCTCATAGAGATTATACTGTCGCTTGCATATGCCCAATGGCCATTGAATTGGCTCCTGTGGATCCCACACTTCCGACAATCGGGGCTCGGAACGCTTACACAATGTGATTATTGCAGTTATGCCGGGCATAGGAAACAACAACGCAGCGAGCGTGGCCACACAACTTTTGAACGACTTCCCGTACATCAGATTCGCTCTTCTTGTTGGGATCGAGGCGGGATCCCAGGGCGAGATGACATCCGACTCGGTGATGTTGTTGTTAGTAAGCCCACGACAACATTCGGCGGTGTTGTGCAGTATGATATGGGTAAGTCCTGTCCGAATGGGGTGTTTGAGAGGATAGGAACCCCGGGGAAGCCCCGGTGGAACTGTGAAGAAGCTAAGAGCTCAGCATTAGCGGAAACCAAACCCACCGCCATTTGTCGGAGATGTTGCACAAATTCCCCCACTTGGCAGAACTCTACATGCACCCGGGTTCAGAGCACGATCTCCTGTATGAAGATACTTATGCTCATCAAGGGGGCTCGACTTGTGGTAGCTGCGACTTTGCAAGGCTCGTTGTCCGAGAGAACCGAACGAGTAATGGTCCACGGGTCCATTATGGCACTATCGGTTCAGCTAATGCCTTGGTCAGGGACAGTGTCACACGGAATCGATTGAAGCAAGACTCAGGGATAATCTGTGTGGAAATGGAGGCAGCTGGCTTGATGGAGAGTTTTCCATGTCTTATCATCTGGGGTATCTGTGACTATGTAGATTCCCACAAGAACAAAATGTGGCAGCCGTATGCGGTAGCGGTAGTAGTAGCTTACACGAAAGAAAATCCTATTAATAATTCCGCCGATGGAGACGGCTGATGCGTGGATCTGAGTGAGATGATATAGATATACCAACGGACCAGAATACTCACGTGATATCGAAGTGCTTATATAATACCGGTATTTTCCCCACACCCATTTCCGACGTAACTCTCACACCATTCTTCACGTGCACTTTTCATTGATCAGCAATGGTTTACTAGAGCCTTTTGCTCTTCTCTAATCTTACGACCATCATATTGCTTCTGCCTTCATTCGCTCGGCAAGCACTAAGAGACAATGTCTGGTCCCTGTGACCTATGCATGCCCTCACAATGCCATCATCTTTGGGGACCATCACCGCCTCAATGGCAGGCCTCGAATCCCCCAGTCTCTCCGCCACCTCGGCCTTGATCAAGGCAACCGAGCAACATGCCCAAGTGGCACAGCGCTCTGGCTTTGGTGCTGCCCTCATATCCCTCGTGACGTTCATTCCCAGTGCTCTCTTCTGGGTCATCGCATTCACGACCATCACGTTGCCGACATGGTTGTTCACTCTTTTTTCCATGAGTTTGACCTTTACCATGAATTTCACCACGTTGTATGTCGCCTCTAGCCGGATATCGAGTTGGGGCTAACTATGGGCAGGCTTTTGATATTCCTCGCCATTGTCTCGACCATCAGTTGGTTCATCCGCTACCGCTACCTTAATGTCTATGAACGCTTGCCTCAAGAACCGCAGAGAAAAGAGCCGCAAATAGATTTGTTTCCCAATACGGAAGATGGGGGCTCGAAACAGGGATTGGCCAATTATCTGGATGAATTCCTCAGCGCCATAAAGGTGTTTGGGTACTTGGAGAGGCCCGTATTCCACGAGTTGACCAGGACGATGCAGACTAGGAAACTCATTGCTGGGGAAACACTACTGCTCGAGGAAGAGAAGGGCTTTTGTCTGGTTGTGGACGGACTTGTACAAATTTTTGTCAAGTCCTTGCGGGAAGGCTCCGAGAAGAACGGTGGTCAAATTGATTTGTTCGATGACGAAGAAGGCTATCATGAAGGCAACCAGGGCTACCAGTTGCTTACAGAAGTCAAGAATGGAGCTTCCATGTCCTCGCTCTTCTCAATCCTGTCCCTCTTCACCGAAGATATAAGGTTACGCCCTGACGAACAACTTCCTATTGGCTCTCGATTCGCCAATCACATGAATCACACTCCGGATTCAAGCATTGCTAGTCCGACGACCCAGCCATCAACACCAGCAATGGCCATTCCCGACTCCCAAGAGGAGCCCCATAAACCCAGGCTTCCCACGGTACCTCCATTGGCTCTTGAGCCGGCGTTTGATGAGCGCCAGTTCAAGAATCAACCAGCTAAACCCAGGAGAGGTCCTTCAGCGCATCCCGACATCGTGGCTCGAGCAGTGGTGGATACTACAATAGCCATCATCCCGGCCAGCGCATTTCGCCGCTTGACGCGAGTATACCCCAAAGCAACAGCTCACATAGTTCAAGTGATTCTTACTCGATTGCACCGAGTGACTTTGTCAACCGCACACCAGTATCTGGGCCTTACTTCGGAGGTCTTGCAAATTGAGAAGTTGATGAACAAGTTGACCAGTTATGATCTGCCCCACCATCTTCGTGGGGATGCCTTGGACAGACTCCGGGACAAATTTGCAAAGGAACGAGATCGGATGGGACCGGAGGAAGGGAGCAAAGGAATTGCCTTACACAATCCCATCGCAAACCGAAGAAGATCTTCGAGCGGACTCCGAAGAGAAGCAGCCACGGCAGCCCGACTCGCGGCAGCGAGAGGATCGATGTCGTCGTTGAATCCAAAGGCAGGAAGCCGAAATTCAGTACGTCCAAGAACGGGAGACAGGGACGTTAGCTCGGGCGACCTCCATGGAAGTTCCAGACCTAGTCAGCGACCCACCGGTCTCCATCTTCGATCCACTTCTCATTGGACAAGTATGGGAGCCAACCCTGACGCATTGAGGTTAGAACTGAACAGCAGTCCCATGGGAACTCGTGAAGAGCAACTCTTTCGACCGTTTGGTAATGACATCCCACATCGACAAGACTCGGTCCATGAAGACAGCTTATTTCGGGAATCTGTACTCGAATGTATGGCCAAAGCACTCGGGCTCAGTAATGCGATCAATCAGTCTTTGAGACGAGGGCCCACTTCCGTGGAACAATCTCCACGTCTTGTTTCGTATGATGCAAAACGACAAACAGCGATTTTTAATAATGCGTTTGGTTTCATCGACCCCTATGATGACCCTGCCGATGGCGACTCCGAGTCAGTCTCCGCGTCGGCAACCAGTGTGAGTGGTCCGCTACAGGGTCGAACGCTGGACGAAGAATTAATAGACGATGTGGAAATTGTCTTTTTCCCCAGAGGTTCTGTGTTAGTCGAGCAAGGTGAACGAAATCCAGGCCTTTACTACGTGATTGACGGCTTTCTCGACGTCAGCATCCCGGTCGAAGAAAAAGAAGAGAAAAACGTATCTTCATCTTCCAGTGAGCGAAAGAACCCCAGAGATGAACCACTCCCTCGAGCCCGAAGAACGAAAACTGCGACTTCCCGGGCGTCCTCAACTCCTGGTGTCCCTGGTCAACCGAAAGATGGCAGACGAATGGTACAAAAGCCCCTATTCCTGGTCAAGCCTGGTGGTATTGCCGGCTATGTCGGAACTCTGTCGTCGTACCGGTCTTTCACAGATGTGACTGCGAAGACGGACGTGTATGTCGGATTCCTCCCCCGATCATCGTTGGAAAGAGTCGCGGAGAAATATCCCATCGTCCTCTTGACCATGGCCAAACGCCTCACAAGCCTTCTTCCGCGGTTGATTCTCCATATCGATTTTGCTCTCGAATGGGTTCAAGTAAATGCGGGTCAAGTCATCCACCATCAAGGTGATGATAGCGACGCCATCTATATAGTTCTCAACGGTCGATTGAGAGCCGTTCGTGAACTCGAGGGCGGAACTATGCGAGTCACGGGGGAATATGGTCAAGGCGAGAGTATCGGTGAGCTTGAAGTCATGACCGATGGTACCAGACCTGCCACTCTTCATGCCATCCGAGATACTGAACTCGCCAAATTCCCCCGAAGCCTTTTCAACAGCTTGGCACAGGAACATCCCAGCATTACCATCCAAATCTCTAAATTGATAGCGCAACGAATGCGCGCGCTCATCGAAGCCCCTCTCACAGAGAAAGGTCAGGAACGGAAGAGGGCGGCACTAAGCGACTCAAGCACATCCAATTTGAATTTGCGAACGATAGCAGTCTTACCGGTGACTGCGGGAGTGCCCGTAATCGAATTTGGTAATCGGTTATCGGCGGCTTTGAGTCAGGTCGGGGTGCCAAATGGCGTCTCACTCCTGAATCAAGCTCTCATCCTCAGTCATTTAGGTCGTCACGCATTCAGTCGAATGGGCCGGCTGAAATTGTCGCAATATCTTGCCGACCTGGAGGAGAAATACGGCATGGTTCTCTATATCGCCGATACCAGTGTCAATGCCCCTTGGACGCAGACCTGCATATCACAAGCCGATTGCATCTTGCTGGTAGGATTGGCGGAAAGCTCGCCCAGCATAGGCGAATATGAACGATACCTTCTTGGAATGAAGACCACCGCGCGAAAAGATCTCGTTCTTCTTCATGTGGACCGATATTCCCCACCTGGTCTGACGAGAAGGTGGTTAAGAAATCGAATGTGGATCAATGGAGGTCATCATCACATTCAAATGGCTTTTCGCGTCAGTCCGGAAGCCACCCCTCATGCTCAGCCCAGGCGATTAGGGTCGGCCATCAAGCAAAGGGTCCAAGTCATCCAGGCCGAGATACAAAAGTACACCTCGCGGAGAGTCCGACAAGCTCCGCTATACTCCGCCGATACTCCCTTCAAAGGAGACCTTCATCGCCTTGCAAGACGCCTTTGTGGCAAGTCTGTCGGTCTCGTCCTCGGTGGAGGAGGGGCTCGAGGCATTGCCCATATTGGCGTCATTCGTGCTCTGGAAGAGGCCGGAATACCCATCGACATCGTCGGCGGCACCTCCATCGGCGCGTTCATCGGTGGACTTTACGCTCGTGACGCCGACCTGGTCCCCATGTACGGACGCGCGAAGAAATTCGCCGGTCGCATGTGTAGCATGTGGAGGTTTGCACTAGATCTAACATACCCCTCGGCCTCGTACACGACGGGCCACGAATTCAACCGCGGCATATTCAAGGCCTTTGGAGACTCTCAGATCGAAGATTTCTGGCTCTCCTTCTATTGCAACACCACCAACATCAGCAAATCACGGCCCGAGATCCACACCTCAGGCTACGCATGGCGATACGTTCGCGCAAGCATGTCCCTGGCCGGCCTGATCCCGCCCATCTGTGATGAAGGCTGCATGCTCCTGGACGGCGGATACATCGACAATTTGACCGTGCAGCACATGAAGAGCCTCGGTACGGACCTCGTCTTTGCCGTGGATGTCGGCAGTCTAGACGACGACACCCCCCAGCAATACGGCGACACGCTCTCTGGTTTCTGGGCGCTCTTGAATCGATGGAACCCGTTCTCTTCGGTCCCCAACCCGCCCAATCTTAACGATATACAAGCGCGCCTCGCCTACGTTAGCTCCGTCGACGCGTTGGAGCGTGCCAAAACTACGCCTGGGTGTCTATATATGAGGCCGCCAATCGATGCGTATGCCACGTTGGACTTTGCTAAGTTCGATGAGATTCTGGAAATTGGCTATTCTTATGCGAAGGAATATCTAGCCCGCTTGAAGGGCGAGGGCGAATTGAAGAGTCTTATTGACGCTTGGACCGGTGGCGATGATGAGGAAGGAAAGCGCCTTTTGAGAGCCATGGCACCGAGGAGGGCCAGCATTTAAATAACCCTGTCATGTTGACTAGACATGTTAGAAATGGTCGTGACGACGACCCCATAGTGGAAATGTACTACTAGTATTATTCAGCCCATGGTCGAAGTGGGCTATCTGTGTAGCATAGAAACCCGCAAAGCGTCGGTCGCAATGTTCCTTGCCATATCTTTTCTCTTGAACTACATGACTGGGCCAATTATTGGTTTAAATTTCGAAACGTGATGACGCTCCAGCGAGACGACGTACAGTACATGGTTGTATTGCTACCGTAAACAGACTCTCTATCGGCATTCTGTAGAGATCTCGGACTCGCTTCAGTGCTCACGTACCACACTGAACAAAACGGTGGGGATTCGACACGACCGAGCTCTTATCCGAGGCTGTGATTCTCGCTTCCCCCACCTTATATAAGGTTGACCGCACATCCGGGCCAAAAGCTGACCTACTTATCCTAGTATTATTCTAGTTCGTTGTCTCTCTGGTGAAATAGTTGTCTTTCAGACCCTACACCGGACTTGCCAACAACAATATCGAAGATGAGAGCGGCACGATACTACGGCAGAAACGACGTCCGCATCGAAGATGTTCCCATCCCTGAAGTTGCCCCTGGAGAATGTCTGGTCGAGATCGAATGGTGTGGCATTTGTGGGACTGATTTGCACGAATACGTCGCAGGTGAGCTCACTTGAAGCCTCACGCATTCAAATTATCTTAAAGAAACGGGGAACTATCATTGAAGCAACATACAGGTCCGTTGGGAATCCCAACGCCCGAACGGCCACATGCCCTCACAGGCGGATATATACCGATAACCCTTGGCCATGAATTCTGCGGTCGCATCAAATCAGCCCCGGAGGGATCGAAATTGGAAGTAGGCCAGGCCGTGATGGCCGACCCGCACGTCGTGTGTCGGGAATGTTTACCCTGTCTTTCGGGCAACGACCACATGTGCCATAAACTTGCATTCTTGGGTTGCAGTGGTTGCAGAGGTGGTGGCGGATTGTCCGAATTTGTGGCCGTGGAGGAAGGCCATTTACACCCGCTTCCGGGAAATGTGAGCCTCGAGTCTGCAGCGGTGATAGAGCCGGTGGCGGTGGGTTATCATGCAGCTAAAGCTGCCAGAGTCAAACTGGAAGGTCTAGATGTGCTGATCGTGGGCGGCGGTCCCATCGGAATTGCCATGATCTCTGTACTGAAGGCACAGCGTGTGAAGAGCATTCTTTTGAGCGAGCCGACGGCGAAAAGATGGGAGCATGCCAAGGACATGGTGGACAGAGTTATTGATCCCAAGACGGAGGATGTGGGTGGAGTGTGCCGACAGTTGACAGGCGGGAAAGGTGTGGATGTGGTGTTTGACTGTGCCGGTGTCCAGCCCGGCCTTGAGGCCGGATTTGATGCGTTGGCACGAGGAGGAACTTTCGTCAACATTGCCATGTGGGAGAAACCGGTAAGGCTGACTCCTGTTATCCGACTCAAAGCTGAGCAGGTTTTCCGCAGTTGATGATCGAATTCTTTACATTCTTCCTCAAAGAGATCAAGATCATAAGCTCGTGTTGTTACAACGAGGAAGATTTCCGGGAAGTTATGAAATTGATCGGACAAGGTACAACTCTCGTCACTGGCTCTGCTTGATGCATTCTGCTGACTCCCCTAGGTCATTTTAAAGGATATGAAAAGATGGTTACGAGCCGGATATCACTGGAAGATCTTGTTCCTAAAGGATTTGAGGAACTGGTGAACAATAGAGATGACCAGATCAAAATTCTCATTTCTCCAAAGAAAAAGTGAGACAGCTTATTGATACATATCGCCTGAAACTGCAATTCAAACCAGTGGACAAAAATATGTTCTCACAGCCTTGTCTCCTCACCAGCCGGTAGTGAACCACTCTTGCCGCATACCGCCAGAAAAAGGATACAGAATCTATCGTAGAAGAGCTTCTATAATCACAAGGCAGAAACTTCGTACCTCAGAATAATAGATAAGATCTCCACACCCGGAAAACCTGGACATCAGTCCTCTCCGAGCTTCTTCCCGCGTTTTCTCTGCTTTCATCCACGTTCATCAATGCCGCATTTGTCATCAAGGACCATGTCCAGACCCTGAGGATACTAAACCCGTGTACCGACCGGTGATCACTTTCTGGGTACAGAACTAAGCTTTCCGATTTGTCCAGGATTTCAGAATTTCCTTCTCGATAACACATACACTTTCCCTCTGTAACGTGATTGCATTGACAATGGCGTCCATCACGACTGGAAAGACCCCAAAGCACAGAGCCTCGAGAGCATTCGAGCGTTGCAGAGCAAGAAAAGTCCGCTGTGATATTGTCCATAGATCGGAAAGATGCACCAATTGTGAGCTCGACCACATACAATGTGTTGAGGTCCACGCGAGGCGACGAAAGCGTGGGACTGGTCGCCGTATCAAGACGACCTCCACACCTGCTCTTGCATATGCTACTCCATCGGAAGATCTATCAGGGTCAGGATCAGTTCATGACGCTCCTGATACTCTGCCTCCCACTGCGACGGAAGCAGAAGAAGCAGCGGATGCGTCGACCGTGGAACAGAACCAGTTTCCAGAGATTGCTCACCAAGAAGACGGGCATCCCCTTCCGGACTCAAATGAAGACCTTTTTCCCGACTTTACAATTGACCTGCTCAAAAATGGCAACGAAACGAACCCGTTGACTCAGGCTCCAGAAACGGTTGCCAGCAAAACAATGAGAGATTGATACCACGGAATTGGCAGCGGCTTCTGCCTCCATTCATCGCTCCCATACGATCGTATCGAACATTCCAATATCATGAATTTCTCCACGAGAAAGGGGCGTTGGCCATACCGCCAAAGAAAATCCGAAATGCCATTCTCATGCGCTACGTTGAGTTTGCCTATCCTCAATTGCCCCTGGCAGACTTTCACCACGTCCTCCAAGCTGTCGCAACAGATGGAAGAGAAGGAAAGGTGGGCCTGTTACTATTCCAAGCCATCATGCTCGCGGGTTCACCATTCGTGGATGCCGAATACATCTTCGAAGCTGGCTATCCTTCCAGAATGGCACTCAGGCAAGAACTAGCAGAAAAAGTCAGGCTATTATTCGATTTTGACTGCGAAACCGATCGACTGATTCTCGTTCAATCTGCTATTCTTATGACCGGCTACCAGGAGCATGGAGATTCGCCCAAGCATCTTCGATATTTCATCGCGATAGCCTACAATATCGCTCTTCTGCTGGGGTTGAACAAAGACCCATCTTCTCTGCGTATTCCCGCTAAACAGAAGCATCTTCGCAAGCGAATCTGGTGGTCTCTTTATATGCGCGATCGAACTCTGTCCTTGGGCCTTCGTCAAAATCCCGTCATTGCATTTGAGAATTGCGAACTTCCCGAGCTGGAAATTGAAGATTTTGACGTCCAGCCAGCGTCTCCCGAGACCTGCTCCATGCTTGAGGACTGTGGCCTTCTGCGAGACCTTGATCAGCAAACTCGCCTGGGGGAAGTGTATATGGCGCAACTCGAACTCAGTCATCACCTTGCCAACGTTCTGAAATCGAGATATACGGCAATTGCACCAAAACTCGGAAGCACGCGATTAATTGCACTGGTGCTCGTGCCCAAAGGACCACACGCAAGTGCAGACACATCCGACATTCAAACGTGCTCTGAGCGGCTCGACCAATGGTTTCGAGATCTTCCAGACAGTCTCAGATATCGAACACCGCTATCTCTCTACTTTAGTCCAGGACAAGACATCCTGATTCTGCATTGCGGTATTCTCAACCTCTTCTACTACGCCCTGGTCTGCGCGCTTCATCGACCCTATCCCTCACCCATTCTTCGCAATCTTGCTGCGTCGGAAATGTGTTCTCAGCGCAAAGCGAGGCACGCCGCCAATGCCATCTCCTCGATCCTAGAGGAATTTCAGATCCAAGACCTCATCGGCTTCATGCCTTCTCAAGGGCTCACTTTCATGCTTCAGGCCGCGGTGACGCATCTGTGTGACTCGACTTCTAAAACGGCACACTTACGAAGTCAGAGCCATCACCACCTCGAAGCGTGTCTGGAGATTCTCGATGCGTTGAAAGATGTGCATTCCTATGCACGATACGCCACCGATTTTCTGACAAGCGCAGCGGCAAAACTTTATCGGCGATCAAGATCGGTTGAGAGATTTACTGTTAATACGAATGTAAATGCAAATACAGGGACTGAAGTTTCGGCTGGAAGCCTTTCTACTTCGAAAGACGGCATACACAATGACCATCACAATGAGATGACCGCACCAGGGGGAGAGTCTTCTTTTCATGCCTAAGCAATCAATACTACACTCGATTCTGCTACTGCCAGTGGTTCGAGATCAGGTTCACTTGTTACTCCGGACGACTGGACAGGTTTAGTTGGCTCGGGTCAACTACCCGTTCTTCACTACAATGCGCTGGCCGGTGACAGCGATAGATCACTGGATGGTTTGGAGTATCCCCAATGGGCAGACCCGTATGTTGATTCTTCCGAGTATCTGAACTTCAATACGGGCTGGGAATTCTTTCTTGATCTCAACGAGGCTTTGCTGTAGGAGGAAACTCCATCTAATACATGGTTTCTTTGGGGTGGGGCCGCAGTGAAAGACTACCTGTCCTATTACACGAAATTGTTGTCTACATAATTAGATCTAGGTTACCCTGATCATTACCCCTGTGTTTCATGGTACCAGATCGGATTTTTCAAAGAACCTGGAAGCTTGTCAAGAAATAAATAGCGAGCCTTGGGAGGGAATGAGTATGATCATCCAAGAAAGAGTGGAATTCATCTTCTCCGACACCGTCAAGTGTATAAGTTAACCGAGGCCATGAGCTCGGTTCTTAATTCGGTTCCTTGTTCGGTCCATTTGTAGGTGCCAAGAATACTTTTGATAGCAAAGCATCCCATCGATGCGGAAAAAGTTCAATACCAGATAAGGCGAAATCGAGGATGGTCGTCCAACTCCGTAGGCTAGTAGGTAGAGCGCTCTTCTGTCCAGTGTGGACGCCAAAGGTGTACTATCGCTAAAGGCTTGGTCTAAGACTACGATCCTAGACCCGGGAATGTGAATTGACTAAGGAACCGTATTTGCGGCCATGGGTATGGATGACCATGACGGCTTATGTGCCTTCGCAGAGAAATCAAATAATTTTCCATGTCTCTCCTATGCTAATGGATTCTTTTGCCCTGCATTGTGTATTGTCCATCCTTGGAGGGCGTCACCCGACTTTAGTCCGCGAGGCTGACCTGTCCCCTTTCCCACATCATGCAATCCCAACTCTTCAACAGCTCAAGACACAATCACACTTTGTCCTCGACATGGCTGGTATGAAAATCCTTCTCTTCAACTTCTGCAACATCTTTTATGAGCCCATCATCCACCTGTACCGTGTCGCTGCCGTAGATTTCGTCGTGGTCCCCAAACATCCGTGCAATGTCTTCCAGTGGAATTCCCAGCGTATCCGGGTACATGAACCACAGGATTGCCGTGCAGATAAAGCCCGGGATGAAGAAAACCATGTAAAAATAAAAGTCAATCGTTTTGAAGGCTACTGGTGCGACTTGTAGCCAGAGAATGTTGATAGCACAAATCGTTGCAACGCCAACAACCATACCCTTTGCTCGGATTTGATTCGGAAATATCTCTCCCAGGAACGCGAATTGGACCCCATCTTCGGTGAAATAAAGTCAGCAAATGCTTGAAAGTGTCGCCAGAATGAAGCAGAGAGACGCGGAAGGCGAAAAAGCAAAGAAACGGGGCATTTCGGTCGCATGGCCGGCGGATTTTCCATGGAAATTGGATAAACCCAGAAGGCAGACTTACCCAAACCAAGCTGATAGAAACAATTGAGCAAGTAAATGAATGCAATGACAGCGTTGAGCGCAGTGCGGTTCGGGTGCTCCAAGGCCTCGGGCGTTGCGTAGTTCCCGATCAGCGCACACACAATCGTAAGACAGCAAGCACAGCCTCCCACACCAAAGGCTAGTAGCTTATTCCGTAGGAACCGATCGATGATGAAAAAGGACATGAATCCCGTCCCTAGAGCAACGAAGCACCACCCCATCTGGTAGATGAGTTGTTTGTTGGTATCAAAGCCGAGGGAACCATAGATGGTCGGCCCGTAGTTGTTGACAACGAGAATACCTGATGTATGAATAGATAAAACCATGCCGATGGCTAGGAATGTGCGTTTTTGATAGCTCTTCTTGGCGATCATGGACCACCAGAAGATGGTGAGGTGGCGGTCAGATTCGATCGACTGTCGGATCTGGATGGCCTCGACTCGTGCTTCGTCTGGCATATGGAGTTTAGCGAGGACTTTCTCGGCCTCTTCATGGCGATCTTGCATCATAAGCCACCGTGGGGACTCGGGCATCCAGCGAATGCTAGAGAGAAGAATGATGACCCATAGAGCTTGAAAGAGCATCGGGCCGCGTCAGCCCCAGGTGTTGTCTTTGGGAAGGTGGTAGAACGCGTAGCCGAAGACCGTGGCCAAGGTATAGCCCAAAAGGAAGCCCACGTTGTGGCAATCCACGAGTATCCCGCGGGCCTGGGGCGGGACCACTTCGTTCATCCAGATCGGGATGGCGGTCACGATCATAAAGGCCCCAAAACCTGCGCTGCCTGTGAGTCCGGCCGCTGCCACGAGGTTGACAAACGCAGATAAGCCAATCGAGAACCTGCGTCCCAGCGATCAGAGAGAAATGAGACCGTCCACACTCCAAAGAAGCCACCGGCTTGGTAGAGTCCGTTGGTGGTCGCGATCAATTCGGTGGCATTGTCTCGAGTATCAAGTTTGAAATAGGAGATGAAAGACGGCTGAGCCAGGGTAGTGGCAATGATGGATGCACTGCAGCCATATTCAATAGAGCCAAATGACATGAGAACTACCATGAGCACATTGTAGAAACGGAACTGGCGTTGTTTGGAGTGCTGAAGCTCCTGTGGCGGGACTTGATGTGTAATTGCTATCATGTTGAAGGGTTGTTTTGGGGGCGTGAGAGGTCTTCGGCCAACTAGTAGAACACCGTCTAGAGGAGATGAACGAGTTTCTTGAGCCAATATCCGGAGTAATGCTAGTCCATTTGCATTTTTGTAGAGCAAGCATTGGGGAGAAGAAATGGTCATGCTTGGTTGAATGTTGAATTCTTCCCGCGGACACTGATCCGGGCTGAGGGGACTTGTTCGGCCTTGATAGTGGATGCTTCGACATTGCGAGTGGATGAACTGGGAGGGATGCTAAAACCATATTCAACTCTGCTTTCTGCTTTTGAGTGGTTGATGCAGTAAGGCCTTGAGTGGTAGGAGGAACTCGTGCCTAGCCGAGCCCCTGAAGGGTGCCAGCCGGTTGACCACGCGAGCGATACTCTCCTCCAGAGGGCCTGGGGAATTAGATGCAGCTTTCTTATTGCCCAGAAGCTGATGATGTGGAGGAGAGACTGGGGTTCGCGAGAACCCTCAAGAATGGAAGGACAAGGCGATAGACGGTGTAGGAAGAAGAGATCATGTCATGAATACAGCGAGTAGCGGAGTATCTCCTTCACCATTAGGAGGGCGCCAAAGCTGGACCTGAGACTCCTGTCTGAGTCCATCAGCGCCAGGCAGGACTGACCGCTTCCATTATCCAGGGCGTACTGCCATCACGTTCCACTCCCTTCCCACTCTATCTCTCATCACGTTCCCTTTCAAAGTCGACCGGGACAGTCCACTTGCTCACCCACATCCATCCGCGGATGCCAGAGTCACGGTTGAAGGTTTGGCGTCGCCAGCAGTGTGGCCGGTTTGGTTAGAAGGCCCTGGTGCGGCCCGTTGGGGGACTGACCGACTGAGGCAAGGATCGCGGTGAGCATCAACACTGGAAGAGATGAAGACGCGGATTGGGCCGAGAGGGAAGATATCCATGTCGTAAACAAGCCTTGCAAAACGATCAATGGCCCCATTTTGATAGGCAGCAACTGCCATCAATGGCAGTAGCTAATTCGTAGCGTCGTCACCTCAAGAATCCGGCAACCGAGCGATGCACACAGCTGGGCATCCAGAAACGTCATATTCCTGTGATTCGAGCAAACGGCGGGATAGATAAGAGTGCTTTCGTTATATAAACGTTGGGCATTCCTGCCTGTTGCACATTCCTTCCTTTGGCGGTTGAGATATCGGAAGTCGAAATCGGTGAACAGCAGCTCCTGGAAGCACCCATGTACCTCTGGGTCCCGAACCAAAATACACAAAACAGCATGTGAAGAGGAAAGTCTTGATATCGTCGACGCTTCGAGACTGGGACTGTATGGGTGGCCACGTGATATGAGGAACTAGTCACGTGCACGATCACTGACCAACCCTCTCCCCAACAAAATCCCCCCCCCCCCCAGCCACACCGGGATGCTTCACCGACTGTCATCGGCCTTGGGAATCCTTGCAAACTCTATCTCACGTCCAGATCGCCCGCTTCCAGGCCATGAGAAAGCTGTGTCTAATCCACTCACCATGTTATGGTTGATAAGGCTAATCGCCATTTAGCAACTCGAAGCTCATCTTCTCACAACCGATGGTCGTGCGTAACCTCATGGCAGGCTAATGCAACTTGGTCATCGCCCGTACCTCATGTGAATAGTTCCGCTCCAAAGGTTGTTAATATTGCTGTCCCCGCGCTTTCGGTGTACTTGCGCCTCTACAATCTCTTTAGCTAGCGGTGGTAAGGTAAGCAAGTTCTGGCTCCCTTGTCCTGCTCCATTTGAGCAAGATGCTCGATGCTCTGTTTCTTCCGTTCCTTGCCGGTTTCCTCATATCACAATCTGTGGCTCAGAATGCAACTGTCAACCTGGCGTCCTCGCAAATACTAACTGATCCGTTCCCCTATTATTATCCGAATGAAGATGCCTCTCCAATAGCACGATTTCCTATGCCACCATGTCAAGGCGTCACGTTGGAAGAAGCCACCATCGACCAGCTCCAAGACTACATGGATCAGGGCCAGCTTACCGCAGTCGCCATCCTCATGTGCTATTTCGCTCGCTACACCCAGGTGAATGGATACGTGAATGGAATTCTTCAATGGAACCCCGACGCACTTGCCATAGCGCAGGCTTTGGATGCCGAACGGGCAGCGGGTCGAGTCAGAGGCCCGTTACATGGCATTCCATTTCTGGTGAAAGATAACATCGCCACCAAAGATCACATGGACACCACCGCTGGATCGTGGATGTTGATTGGGAGCATTGTCCCTCGAGATGCCCATGTGGTGATGAAATTGCGAAATGCTGGTGCTTTGCTGATGGGTCATGCAACGTTGTCTGAATGGGCTGACATGTCGGTCAACCTCCGAACCCCGCCCTTCCTTTCACTATGAACAGAGCGCTCATGTTACATGCAGGAGGTCCAACAATTATTCCGAAGGCTACAGCCCACGAGGCGGCCAGGCTCGAAGCCCCTACAATCTAACCGTCAATCCGGGCGGAAGCAGCTCAGGCTCCGCGGTGGCCGTCGCAGCCAACCAAGTAATGTTTTCTCTAGGTAAGATGTTCCCTAAAATATGTGCATGACAATCGACAGCCATGCGCGAAGCGTTACTAAGACCAAAATCGCAGGCACCGAAACCGACGGTTCGGTCATCAATCCGGCGGAACGGGCCTCCATCTGCGGCATCAAGCCTACCGTTGGCCTGACATCTCGCGCCGGCGTAATTCCCGAGAGCATTCATCAAGATACTGTGGGAACTTTCGCGCGCACTGTGCGGGATGCCACGTATGCCCTCGACGCCATTTATGGAGTCGACGAGCGCGATAACTACACCCTAGCTCAAATCGGAAAGACCCCGAAGGGAGGTTACGCACGGTTCCTGACTGATAAATCGGCACTGAAAGGCGCCACGTTTGGTTTACCCTGGGCGAGTTTCTGGGCCTGGAATGATGCAGGCCAGAATGCGAATTTGCTTGAACTGTTGGCTTTAATCGAAAGTGCAGGCGCGACCATCATTAATGGGACAGAACTGCCAAACTATGAGGTGTGTACTTTTCGTGAATGGCGAAATTGACCAGAGCCGCGTTGGCTAACACAGTTATTCGACGTCCACAGACGATCGTAAGCCCGGATGGCTGGGACTGGGACTACGGCGGTACACGGGGCTATCCAAACGAGAGTGAATACACCGTCGTCAAAGTCGATGTAAGCCAGACGTTCCCTCCCTTTATATCTCTCGGCACGGAAACTCATCACATGCAGTTTTACAACAACATTAAATCCTACTTGTCCGAGCTCCGCAACACCGACATCCGCGGGCTGGAAGATATTGTCCAATATAACGTCGACAACCTCGGCGCCGAGGGCGGTCTACCCGGTATCCACCCGGCTTTTGGGTCCGGTCAAGACGGCTTCCTCGCCTCCCTCGAGTCCAAAGGCATTATGGACGAAACGTACTTCCAGGCCCTGGAATTCTGCCAACGCAGCACACGCGAAGAAGGCATCGACGCCGCCCTCCATCCTGTCGTCAACGGTACGCGAATCAAGCTCGATGCCTTGCTGAGCCCGCCTGATGTCGGCCAAACCTATCAAATCGCGGCACAGGCGGGGTATCCCATGGTCACTGTCCCAGCAGGCGTCGGCGGACCGAGTAATATGCCCTTCGGCCTCGCACTGATGGGAACCGCGTGGAGTGAGGCCGAGCTTATACGCTGGGCCAGTGCGATAGAGGATTTGCAACTTAGTTCTCCGACGCCGTGGAAAAGGCAATTACCGACGTGGGGCGATTATCTGGCCAGGAATTTACCTGTTCTATGGGCGTGAGAGGGGGAGGTAGAAAGAAGCTTTCCCGCTCCGTACAGCTCACTGTCATTTAGGTGTGTTCATGTTAAGGGAGTGTTGAAGAATGACATAAATACAGACGACTGACAGTTCGCCAAATGAATGGAGTAGACGCAACCTCATCATCTCTTGAGCGCGGCGAAATTGTAAATACAGCATAATAGTCAGACCGACTCCCTCTTACTTCTACATTCCACTATTATGGTCCGTCCAATTCTTCATTTCAATTTGATCGTCGCAGGGTGTCAGATCCCCAACCGAGACACCTGTCTACCCTATCCTCTTGTCACAAGCGCAGGTGTCAACGTTGAAACCATCAGCATCAATCGAACGACCCACGCATTAACTCAGCGGTTACCTCTATCAGTATTGTCCACCGCGTCCCTTCATTTCGGGTCGCGCGCGTCAGCGTGTCCTCGGATCAATTCAGTCTCCGTCAAAGTTTTCCACTCCCATCATTCCCAGCCTAGTAATTCAGACTGATTTGTTCGTTTGAGACCCCTATCAAAGTGTGTGATAACGGGCACTCGATGACATTCAACTTCGGAACGATGAGTATCCTGCCAGAGCTTTCTGTTCTATCTGTCCACCATCCTTCGGTAGAAATCAGTGTTGCGGTCAAGATTACAATTAAGCGGAAAATGCCGGAGCTCAAATTTCTTCTACTCCGTCGTTGGGCCCGCCGACGCTGAACTTGCTCATCAATGGGATCTCAGATTAGATGGGCTTGGATTTCTCAAGCGGAACCCCAACAACAATGCTAGAATTGCCCTTCAAAATCCAATTTCAGAATGGTGCGCTACAGTCTCCAAAGAGGGAAAGAGGCTTTGGGTCTAAACTGAGAAGAAGAGGGTCCTATATGATCTCTACACCATGACGAACCAAATGACAGTGTGTTGACGAAGGAAGTGAAGTCAAAGTCGTCAGGTGGGCGGCCGAGATTGTGGCGACGGAAGACTAGGATAGCCAAAGTTCTGGTATGTTCTTGACATCGATTATGCGATAATTCAATTATGCTAACATATAGATAGAAGACAAAAAGGGGTTCTTTTCGATATCGACGTCCGAAGGTGCGCAATCATGCAGTCTGCAAAAAGCAATAATTTCCAAGAAGCTGATCTCGAGTTGTACGTCTACAGTGACCATCACGTCCGATAAATATGTGGAGTAAGTGAAACATTATGGTTTCAAATTTCAATTTTCGAACACTTCGCTACTAGGAGTACCAGGATTTTCCCACTTGTCCACCGAAGTCGCACAACAACCTGGAGCATAAATGTCGCGGACCTGATACTCCTTCTCTTCGCCACGGTCTTCGTCATGGCTTGTTTGAAGGCAACCTCGAAGGTCGAAGTCACGAGATCCAACTCCGGTCTTCAATTGTCCGGACTGTACCTTCATGACACACCAGAAGAATGGTCACAAGAGACATCAAACCGTTGGCCTCCAGCGATCAAAATCTAGAGACGCATTCCAACCAAAACGAAGGTAGCCAATGATGCGGTTTCCCGGTACAGCAAAGCAAGGACAATATCCGGCCCAGATCACTTAGAACACCACCCCATCGAACACGAATTCAGAAAGGGGCAGAGATGCACTCGGTTCGATGAATGCGAGGGTGAAAAAGGTCTCTCGGGGTCTGACAATCTGACGCAAACATCTGCTAAATGTTCACGCTGATAATACTATGGATGAATCCCTACCAAGTCCTTTCGCAGGAAGTTGAGATGTGAAAACAGCTTCATCACCCATACCCTATACAAGGCACGGATTAAAACTCGTACCTAAGGAGAAGAATGTTTCCAGGTAGTCATTCTAGGAGGGAAGGGAGAATGCAGAAAACTCAGGATTGGAGATGACGGAGGATATGAACCCAAGCACAACCGAGATTGAAAGCTTCTTTCGTTGAGCTTCCTTCCTCACGCATAACTTCATCGAGGCCGGCCTCAAGGATCCATGGAAGGCATGCGTTTTTCAAATGATATTCATATTGTGGAGTCTCACGGACATGGAAGTTGCTCGGATCAAAACAGGAAGGTATATAGCGGTTGAACGGGTGCAGACTAATTTGACATGGGATATTTCCAAAAACCATCAAAACAGGACCCTCTGCGGAATCCCACAGACGCCCTGTGCTCAGACATTTCCCTAATTTTTGCACATGTTTCCCATATGCGCTGTCTCGGTTGTTGGTGGAAAATAGGAAGATTCGGAAGAAATCACAGGAAGGCGACTGCACCAGCTCCGAGAGCTGCAAGGGCCAATCCTTGGCTGAAAACAACATGTCGAGCGCCGTTGGAAGATGCTGCCGTGCTAGATGGAGATGAGCCGTCAGAGGTGCTGGTGGAGGTGCCGCTATCGCTATCGTCGTCGTCCAAGAATTCGGAGCCGCCGTCGCCATTGCAGATCTTGCCGTTGGGACAGCAGCCATAGACACCATTATCGCCCTTCTGGCAGACAGATGTCGAGGGGCAGCCTCCCTCAAGATCTGGGCAGCACGTATAGTCGCCAGGGATACAGAACGCGCCGCAGACTTTGTCATCTGTGTCGCAAGACGTTGAGTTTCCCGAGGTGGCTCGGCCCAAGAGAGTATGTTCTGACCAGGCCGAGACGAGGAGCGGGAGAGCCGCGAGGAAGACGAAGGAGCGCATTTTGGTTGGATTAAATCTAGATTGGTTTGGAATTGGTTTGATTGAGATGAAGCGAGGGAGATCTGGAGAAAAGAGTGGTTTTGCGTAAAGAAAGGCCGGCTTTGAAGAAGAGTGGCTAAAGAGAGGACGCCCAGTTGATATGGAGCGGGCAATTGGGTATATGCGACAAACAGGTCGGGGTAAAAAGAGGTCAAACGGTGGCCGTTGAGAAGTGATGGGCTGGGGTCAAAAACAAGACACCACGATGGGCGTGCGCTGGGGAAGAGGATCGATATGGGATATGTACTCGCATCGGAGGACCGTGGGTTTATCCAGCCCATTCCAGACTGACGGTTGGGCGGAACCCCCTGTCTGTAGTTAGCTTTGCTACCCACCGGTTCCCTGACGGCGGCGCGCAAAGCAAATGAAAAAGGCGACCGCAAGATTGATCAGAAGTGGTCATGGCCCGATATCATTTAGATGCGAAGTATGGGCCATGGTCAGGAACCGGTCCAGGTACAGGAGAGATTGCGCTGCCGATGCGCTCACGAGACACATGGCGCATTTGAATCGGACTAGGGAGAGGCTGGCTAGGGGGTTAAGGCTGGACCAATTAACAGTTGGATTGGGAGCTGGCCAGATGGCAGGGGGGGAAGTTTGAATCGAGCAAGGGTTCCAAGAGCAGATAGGAAGAATGGGGTGGGGATGTGGATGTGGCAGGAAGGGAGGAAGGCAGAGCAACAAAACAAGACCGCACTTGCAGGTGCCAAGATCCGCCAATCGAACTCGGGAAATTTGGCCAAGCGCGCCAAAAAAGGGGGACCGTGGCTTTGAGCCTGCAGCGCAGTTCACTTGGGTGTTAACGGTGGCTTCATCCTTATCCTGTCTCATCTAACAATTTTTTTTGCTTGATTGATTCCCGCCTTCATCTAGCAAGACACCTCGGCCATGGTTTGGTCGCGTAGACTAACGCGTGATAGCGGCGACAGGCATATCATAGCATGTCGGCGCAGGATTTCGAGCGTACCGTTTTGTATCCGGTGTCAGGAGCCCATCGCCATTTAAACATTCGGAGTGGTATGATTCCCAAAGCTGGTCGCTCGCAAGCTCGCTGCCAGCTATTCTTAGGAACCTATTACCCATTCAAGCACGGCGGAATCGACGATGCCACCCGTTTGATAAAACCTACTAGTACACAGCACACTCACTCTCACACATTCCTCATCCTTCAGATCACCTCGGACTCTTTCCTCTTCCCCTCCCCCCAAAAATATACTAAATACTAATACAACAATTCATAACCTACTCCTCATAACCACTGTCCGCAACGTCGTCAAGTGCCTGGTTCACCAATGCGTCTGCTTCATGATTCCACTCGCGTCCAACTCTCCAGAACCGCACGGCCATGTCTTGCTCCATTTTGGTGATTGTTTCATGCATCTCGCGAATCAGCTCTCCATGCTCCACGCGGGTTCCCTTTCTGGTCATGTATCCGTTCTTCTCCCAGCTCCAAACCCATTCCCCCAAACTTCTTGCGACGTAGTCTGAATCCAGTTTGATGATGATCTCCCGCCATCCATCCAACTCTCCTGCGCGCTTCATGCCCTGGACGACCTCAAGAGCCTTGTGAACTCCCTCAAGTTCCGCTCGAGAATTGGTCTGTGGAACGCCTTGGTCGAGCAACCCGTGAATATTGCGGGGACACCCGGGACCAAAGTACACGCCGTAAGCCGCGCGAGATTTAGGATCGATTCGACTATTGCCACGAGCTCCGCCGTCGACCGAAATCACCACGGATCGCATTCGGGGTTGCCAATGAGCGCCGGGAAAGGGAAAGTTGTAAAGTCGAGAGTACTGCCATTTGGGACTGTATTTGACGAGTTGGTCCGGGTCGAATGTCTGCCGGCCATACCGTCTGGTTTTCTTTGGATTGAAGTTGCGGCGTGGTCGATCCTATGATGAGGTCGTTAGTTAGTGGGTGTGGCTCAAGCTTGGTCCGGAGCCACCAACCATGTGCGTCTGGAAAGCTTTCCGCTACCGAATTCCAAGCGAGGGTCGTCGACGATCAGAAAACCTGAAGGCGAGTAAAAAGATCGAGTCAGCCGCCGAATTTTTCACTCTTTTATGTTGACTTGGCCACCGCCAACCGGATCTTGGCAAACTTTGTATCCGAGAGGTCAAACATACGCCAAACATGGTGGTAGTTGAATATTTATCATCGTCACTCTCCCCATGGGACGATCAAATGCAAGTGACCGTAAGGAGCGGTGGCATCCTCCATTATTTGCCCATATTTGTTTCGTATGTGCGGCATCCTGCAGCGGAAAGGTCTTTTTCCGAGTCTTTGGGCCAAAGGGGCTTTGGTGTTTGAAGCTGATTCACTCTGAATCTCTGATGGCTTGTTGCAGGCTGTGAGCATCCATTTTCGTACCACCTTACCTGTGGCGCGGCGAAGGAGGTGACCATCCTGTCATCAAATTATGTGGTCACATCTTATGGCGGTCGTTTGACCAGGTAGACAGTAATCAACACAAGATGGAATGTTTACGTTGAAGTCCCCCCCCCCAGTTTGCCGAACAGATCGGAGACGGTTAGAGGGTCGCCACTCTAACTCTATTGGGACTGGCGCACTCCAAGTGTTTGTCACGTTTGCTCAATCCATGCCCAGCCTGACTCGCCCGAACAAGCTTTCGAGATATTCTCATGAAAAAGTTCACCGTACCAAAGAAGTTGCAGCGAGCATGATAATCCGACAATTTTGCGCCCGGCATGGTATGGACAGATTACATCCCGACTGCGATCACCGCTGACACATTCCCAGGGCGAACCGTACTGGCGCAGTCATCTCGGAGCGTCATTCGAGCCTATGCCACAGATATCTCCGTCGACAATCCTATGCTTCGTCCGTCAGAACGAGATCCCAAGCCAACTTCTCAGGTCCCCCGCCATCTGGATGATCCATTCAGTATTCTCGACACCGCCAATCCCCCCCCTTCATCGGCAAGCAGAAGCATCGCGGAACAACTAGAGTCACAAGAGCAATCGATTCGATCCCTACAAGCAGATATAAATGCCCACGTCGCGGCCCGAATCATGTCCATTGGCGAACCTCCCCAAATGTCTCGCTCATCGGATTCAAAGTCTTCAGAGTCCAAGACTGAGTCGACCCTTGACTCGCCATCACGCCGGGATCCCCTTCCTTTCGCTCACTTGAAAGAATTAAACCGCTTCCGGCGCTTTACTCAGAAAGAATCCCGAAAAGGCACACACCTCTCCCAGACGTATGATCCGACAAACATCCTGCGGCATCCACCGAACGCGGATGATCTCACGCTCCCCATGCTGCTGGCCCACCAAACACATCTCGGTCATGCCACCTCGCTATGGAATCCGGCCAATAGCGGCTATATCTTTGGCGTACGAGACGGCATTCACATCATCTCCCTTGATGTGACCTACGCCTACTTGAAACGTGCGGCAAAAGTGGTTCAAGAAGTGGCCAAACGAGGAGGCATCATCTTGTTTGTGGGCACCCGCGACAACATGGAAGAAGTGACGGTGAACTCGGCCAAACTCGGCGGGGGCTACCACATTTTCCACCGTTGGGTGCCCGGGTCTCTGACGAACGGGCAGCAAATTCTCGGTTCATGTGCGGTGAAAGTCGTGGACATTCACGACCGTGAATTGCCCGAGTACCGCGGTGTCCTTTCGCAAGGCCACCACCGAGTGATGCGGCCGGACCTGGTGGTTTGCCTGAATCCTCTGGAGAATAAAGTCTGCTTACACGAGTGCGGATTGTTCAATGTGCCGACGATCGGGGTCATTGACACGGACGCGAATCCTACCTGGGTGACGTATCCGATCCCGGCGAACGACGACTCGTTCCGGTCCGTCGCTCTCATAGGTGGTGTGCTGGGCCAGGCGGCCAAAGAAGGCCAGACGCAGCGTATGCAAGCCGCTGCACGAGGCAATGCAACGTACAGGACGGACCCGGTGTATGAAGAATTGGAGTTTGCCAGCCAACTCTCCCAAATGGACGTTCAAGAGGCGGACAATTCGAAAGAGTGAAATTGAGATGAGAGCTCGTCATCCGACAGGTGACAGTACAGTGTGCATATTGCCAAAAGATACGGGCGGGTTGAACGTGCACCAATTCCCCGCATTCCACCAATATATCATCCATACCGGACGGGAAAAGGAAGAAAAGGGAGAAAGCAAGCTCGTGGGCAGACATGTATGCATGCGATGCCCTCCCGAATAAAAATCAACATCTCTTGTCACCGCTGTATCAAATCTTCTTGCTGTTATGCACCAGTAACTTACCTTGGTGCGAACTTGGGTTTATAGTGCAGAGCCTTCATGTATCATCGGTACACTAAGAGAAAGAACGGGAAGAAATAATGGCAGGATAGAAATATTTCGTTCGTTTGGAAAGTAGGCCCTGGAAACGCAGGGTCCAAAAAAAGTGTCTCATCCGTGAGAATCAAAATAACCCATCTCCTCCAGCCCATTCCCAAAGTAAAATTGAACGCCCAGGAGAAAGTTCCCGCCAAAGATCCCTTTGAAGGAAAGGAGATAATTTTTTTTTTTTTTTTGCTCGTGTCGTTTTCGAATCTGGCGGCTCTGATCTCAGGTCAATTACTCCTTTTATAGTAATGAATCCAGCCTGGTGAAAACACTCAAACATGCTGCCACGACCTATCAAATACCATTGTGTCAGTCCAGAGAAGTTGCCGTGAGTGAGCAAAGCAAAAGGGGTTATTTTTAACTCACCTCAAGTTGTAATTCCTTATCCTTATTCTTCTCCACTTCATCGGCAATTACCTGGCCAATATTGGCTCCAATGCCTTGCCCGCCACCAGTTCTTCGTGCAAACGGCCACTGACTATATTCAGCCAGTAACTCGTCCACTTGGGCGAACGCTCTCTCTCGCGCCTCATGGCCCATGGTCACCAGTGCATTTTCAAGAACATTCGCTGCATAAGCGGCGCAAACCATGCTAATTGTCCGGAGCATTCTAAATTCGAGTTCGGCAGGGAGGAACTGGGAGGGAGGGAGGACGACGGTACGGTTGGAGCAGACGTTTCGGACGCGTTTTCGAATTTCGTCTTTGGCGGCGGAGTCGACCACGGGATGTGTGGCCATGTCGAACAGGAGGAAGTTGCGTTTCTCGGTCCGCAGGATACCTTTGTCTACCAAGCCTTTGGCGAGGCGTTCGCGGACTTGTTTCAATTGGTACCCGATTTTCATGAGATTCCAAGTTTCTCCTAGAGGAGATGCCGTTAGTGTCCCCCCGTGAAAATGACAATCGGTGGTATCTGTGCTGTTTACCGCTCATCAGATCGATCCACGAGCTTACACTCATTTTCTCGCTGGTCTTCATCATCTTCAGTGCTTCATCCAATAGAACCTCCCCAGTGAGGGTGTCGTCTATGACTTCAATGATTCTGTCGGCGAGTGGAAACCGTCTTCTAGAGGAATCTTTTTGCATGCTGACTCGTCCTCGGAATGCCAGTTCAATCACGATACAGCCACGGAGAGCATATGATATGTTATCGTTCCAGAACGAGAGATAGCCCTGGAACAGGCCCGTCAGTACCGTCTTTTCGCCACCCTGGTCCCATATGGGAGTACCTGTTTGTCTTTCAATCCCAGGAGCAACACCTCCTCCATCAGGGTCAATTTGGGCTGTTTACTCCGCTCCTCACTTTCACTGATATCTCGCGGGTCATAGGCGATCTTGTGACCATTTTCGCTATTCTCATAGGCGGTTTCGGGAGAACGATCGTTGAAGGGCTTCGGGGCGGGAGAAGTGACACGACTCGAGGACTCTTCGTCTCCGTTTGGCGAAGATACTCCTCCTGCTCCACGCCTCCGCGTGAGACCTCCGGATGAGGCCATTCGGCTGGTATAAACTCCTCCAATAACGATTTGGTCGGGGAGATTGGTGGACAATCAAGGTGTGTTGGAAGTTTGTTGATGATGTCTCGTGCCTAGGAATTTTTATTCGGGACTGGTGCACCCGGGATGGTAGATCGGTGGTGATTCGGGGGAGATGGCGCAATGGTCCCTGGTTTGGGATAGTGTAATGAGAGAGGGAATGACGGTAAGAGACGGTGCGGGCGGTGAAGAGACTGAATTGTGGACAATCATGGGGGCATTTCAGGCTGAGGCCAGCGGTAGACGGTGGTAGTGCCCAGTGCCTTGTCAACGGCGAACCTCAAGCCCAAGGCGCAGGAACTGGCGGTCCGAGGATCGCGCCAAGAACCACGGAACACAGGGATGATGCTCGCAGCGCGCGATCTTCTATCTGCTCTATCTCAACTTCAGCGACGTTCATCAATCGATCATTTACTCCCGTAATTGACATGGACACCGGCAATGACCGTTTCATCTTCATATCGGGCCATCTCTCCCCCAGGAAGTCGGTCTCATGCGCACATGCCGCTCGTGGAGTGTCGCAATAGCCACAAATACGACATCATCGTCAATACGGGCCCAGAAACAGTCATGTTTTCCCTCCAATCATCCTCGTTATAAGGCAAACCTAGAACATGGGCACGGTCAGACCACACATCTTGTCGTCTCCGCAGTTTTCCCACGGCAAGAGCAACCATCCTCTGGACTCGTCTTTTTTCGTGGCGTCACATGAATGGTCGCCGATCATTGGATCCGGCAGACATCCGTTCCATGGCGACGACCCCAACTTTTTGCTCACCCTGTTCAAACCCATCGCTCGGGATGGGGGAACAGCTTACGTCGGAATAAGGTACGATGATTTATGTCGCTTCGAAGATTTTGGTTGGATAACTTTCTCGGGGTCGCCTGCATCCACACCCGACCATCATCCGGGCGCTATAAAGGGACCTGTCCTCCTCGCTCCCACGGACTGATTTGGCATCTTCCTACTCGAAAGCCGTGCGCAAGTTCACGCGCCTTACCAATTAATTTCTCTGCCTCGGTTTGTGCATCCAAAGCACATCCCGCTTCGTCGGCTATGGCTTCCAAAATCCCCTTAATCACGCTCGAAGAGCATTTTATCGCCCGCGCCATCACCAAATACTATGCGGAACAAGGCGTGGAAACCACTCTGCCGGAATCCCGTTCCCACCTCATGACTGCGTTACTCGACGTCGGACCGAAACGCCTAGCATCAATGGACGCTGGTAGAGTCGCCATCCAAGTGATCTCGCATCGACCCAACACGATCCCAATCCCGCCGGAAGTATGCTCTGTAGCCAACAACGAGCTGTACAAAGCGATTAGATCATCCCCTTCACCAGCCCGATTTGCTGCCTTCGCGATGCTCCCAATACTATACCCTGAAGCGGCCGCAAAAGAACTCGAACGCTGTGTGTCGGAACTCGACTTCGTAGGCTCGCTGATCGACAACACCACAGACGGACGGTTCTACGACGACCCGTTCTTCTGGCCCATTTTCGCGGCACACGAACGTCTCGACGTACCTGTCTACCTGCATCCGGTACCCCATCCCCTCACGGAAACTTCGCCGTTTCACGGCAACTACGCACCCCATGTGTCGTCATTCCTTGCCAACCACGGCTTCAACTGGCACTCGGAAGTGGCGCTGCACATCTTGCGCCTGTTCGCATCGAAACTATTTGACACCCACCCGTATTTGAAAGTCCTGCTAGGCCACATGGGCGAACTGCTCCCATACGCGCTCGACCGGATCCACAAGCTGATCCAGCGGACGTGGCCGTCCGGGTCGCGTCCCAAGCGGCACCTACTCCAAGTGTGGCACGAGAACATCTATATTACGACGAGCGGCATGTTTAGCTTGGCGCCGATGGCGTGCCTGATCCACATGTGCTGCGCGGACAAGGTCCTGTATAGCGTCGACTACCCGTTCTGCAGCAACGAGGAAGGGCTGCAGTTCATGACTCAGCTGCGTGATTCGGGTATGATTAACGACGAGGATTTCCTCAGTATTGCGCACAAGAATGCCGAGCGTCTGCTTGGGCTACAGGTCACGAAAGACAATCATATGGGTATGGACGATCGAGACGAAGGTGGAGCGGAGCAAATGAGGCGGAATCGTCCTTGGTTGGCGACGGATGCGAATGGCGATTCGAATGGGAATGTCAGGGATGGCCCGTTCCCGTGCTCGCCTCTCGAGACAGTTACGGAATGACGGTGAGATTTGCGGGCCGATACCGTAAGGGAAATGATGGTGAAGTGTGAAAAAGTTCAATGTATATATGTGTGTAGTAAGTGTGTTTGAGAGAATGAATGAGGCCTTCGCGAAGCAATTCAGGCCAATCAATCGCCTTAACCAATTTCCCCAAAGGGGAATTATCCGATACTTCTACTCGAGATGTCGAAATGAAAAAGCAACACCACACCGATGGAGTCCTCAGGACCCCAGAGTGGCTCCGGTACAACAAGGCTGAATTTCAGGTTAATGGCTCGATACATACGTCATACAATGGGCCGCAGGGACGTCGTATTGCATCATACACGATTTGAATTAGGAACTCAACATCATCATATTTGCTGCCGTCCCAGTAATATACTGTCTTCCTGCATCCCCATGAGGGCCGAGAGAAGTCGTTGGTGTACCAATACCCGGGCTCCAAATCATGTCCAAGAATCATCTCATGCAAAAACCGTCAGGAATGCCAACAACCACACATACGTGATACTTTATTTCTCCCTTTACAAGAACATCAAGCCACCACCAAACAAAAAGCTGGCGGCCACCACGCAAGCGACCACGATACCGGTGGTCTCGGCAGGTGAAGTGCGCAGACCGGCATCGGCGACAGAACCGCTGCTGGAACTGCTTCCTCCGGTACTGCTGCTTCCGGATCCAGTGGTGGGGGTGAGATTGAATGTCGCCGATCTGCTGGTGCCGCCCCCAATTTCTCCCGTCACGGTGGCAGTGGCTTCGGTGACACGAGGGTTTCCGGTGAACGTCTGAGCAACACTGGCTGCACTGGCGGTAGAGACCGCGTTGGGAATTCCGCTACTGACTTGGAAAGCTTGGACGTTGGATCTGCTCGAGTCGAAGTTTGTCTGGGCGAGGCCAATTTCCTCGCTCTCTAGGTCGTAGACGACGTACGCGCTGCGAAGGAAAGAGTCGCCGAAAAGAATAGGGTTCTCTCCTGCAGCTTCAATCGCAAATGTACAGGCCAACTCTCCATCTCGGAATTCAGGCTGAGATCCGTCGGTGGTCAAGAGAGGAGTGACGAACTCGGACAGACTGACATTGACAATGGGGCCATCTTGGCCACCGAATTGGAAGGAGAAGGTGAGGTCGTCGTCGGCCAGTGAACAAGGGACAACATTGCCGAACGATGGATCAGTCAAGACTCCCACGCCGTTGAAAATACCATTCGCAATGTCGTCGGGGAGCAAAGTATTGGTGGTGCCCGAATCAAGGATCGCTGGCTGAGGCGTGCTGGGAGACATGTCAGAAGTTTGGCCACCACCGCGGACGGTCAGACCAGTCCAGGCGACAGTCATGGAACTGATGGTCCCGGTTTGCGAATCTAGTTGAATCGGGAGTGATACCAGGTCGCCATGGTATTTGTCCGTGTCCACCCCGCCGAAAAGAATAGAACCCGTGTTGGACTCCAGGTCGTCCAGCCACAATGAATATGCCAATGTGTTTATGAAGCCCTCATTTTTCATCACGTTGATAACGTTGGGATATGTGAACCCATTGAGAACAGCCGCGGCTTCTCCTGATTCGAAACCGATGCCCATTATACCAATGCCTCGAGTGTTGGCCGTCAGGGCAGCAGCCATGGTCGTGTTTGAGAGTTTCGTCTGGCCAATGTTGAGAACGTCAGAAATGTAGGCCCCTTGTACTTGAGAGCCATCGACATATTGGATCTGGAATGCGGGGAGGCCAGGATCGGCGTAAGTAGAGGACTGGCTAAAATCATAGGTACCGAAGGGACAGTTTTGAATGTCTTGCTCGCAGATATCTGCATTGACGGCTGGGAACCAGATGTCTGAAGAGCCGGTATCGAGCTGAAGAGAGAATGGTTGACCAGGCGTACCCACGGTTACGTTGATGAAGTAGAGGAGAATTTCATTTGTCAAGCCAGCGGCAATGGTGTTGGATTGCCGTCGAGAGAGGTGAGGCACGTCTTGCGCGTTCATACGACGTCGTTCGAAGTTGAAGCCGACCGTGCCAGGAGCCGGGGTTCCACAGACGGACCCAATGGTAGCCAGCAAATATGAGGCTCCCCAAAAGGCGCCAGGGAGTCTGCCCATGATTGAGCGGCGTGTGAGAGGAAGGGAAAAGTAGAAGAGAGGTATTAAATATGCACAAGGAGGAAAAGGAAATAGCAGGAAGAATGGTCTATGCGGGCGGTTTATACAAAAGTGACTGGAGTTTCGAATTTTGAGGTCGAAGGATTGCTGCGCCTCCAGGAGAACAACGGGCCAAAACCAGGCAATGTGCTGCACGATGAATTCATCATGACCACTTCTGGCATCACCAAGCGATTTAGACAAGCCTCATTGCGCCAAATGAGCTTGGACGCAGCCAGTGCGCTTCGGGGGGGAGCCACTTTCCATCTGAGGGCCTGGCCTCATGCATTGCGCCCAAGCGGGTATCCAACGCGGGCGATTTGTGGGCCACTTAGGGAGGCATGGTCGCTGCTTACAGCTGCTTGTACCTTGCTTGTTTTTTCTCTGCGGCAGCAGTTGGCTAACCGTCCAGAAACTGGGGGCAATTGTTTTCAATGCCTTCAGCCTTGAAAAGCTTGGATTCGCTTGCAATAATCATCTCCATTACCCTATTGGTTTCTACATGATGTAACAGACTGCTCTCTCATGTCGCCCTCCAACGACTCTGATCCTTTATCCCGCATCGTCCCCGGCTTGACATGGATACCAAACATCTGTCCAACTTACCCCCCTACATCTTGCGTTTCAGCCCCTGCCACTAGTACCCAGTCCCTTTTTTCCTTACGCGCTCGGACAGAGCTGATACGCCACATCTCCAAAACATTCCAAACTACTCCCTCCTGGCCAGTTCAGAAGTTCTGTACAAATTGCATCCAAGAGTAAGGAACCATCGTTCGGATGCTCTGAGGAGCACACGTACAACCTTCAAAGCCAAGAGCCGAGGTTTATTATATAAGAGGCTAACTTGGGTTCAAAATAAGTCTATCGATGCTAGAGAACTCCGGGCATCTATCGGCGCTGACCTTGGGGGATGTGTTTCGTTACAGGGCTCTCCGTGCCTCTCGTCCTCTTTGGATGTTTCGCATGCATATCTTGTTTCATCTTGGCCACGAATGCTGTGGCGGTGCTTGCAGCATTCCTCACCCGCAGTGATATGCCTGTCCACCTGTCTATCGAAAGAACACGTCTTCACCAGATGTACAGTGAATGAATTAATAAGCACCAACTCCCTCTCCAGGACACTCTTCGATTGTCATCAAATCACCCTGACCACTTCTTCTCAAGCATTTGCTGGCTTTCGCGCAATGATCAAGTACATTGGTGTGAACAACCTCTCCTTTCCTCCTGCAACCAAACAGTCGGCTGCCAGGGCCAGACTGTCTGCCGTTTTCTGTGTGCCCCGAGGCATCAATCGCAGCATCTCTCCCAATCCAATGAACTTGTGGATCAATCCCCGTCCCCACCAAGTCATTCGGCAAATGGTGAAAATATCACCTATACTGGCCAAATAGCGGAAGTCCCCTGCGAGTGGATAGTACCAAGGAATCGCGTCCGGTCTTTCGGCCAGATCTTCATGAAACTCCAGTTCGAATCCGGCTGCTTGGATAGCGGCCAGTCCTTCTGACACTTTGACCATGTTGGAAATTCCATCACCTTGTTCAATTCCCAATCGAATCTCGCGATGGTGTGGGTTGTCATTATCGTACCGGTCTGTCATGAGCCATTCATAGACCCCAAAGACTCCTCCAGGCTTGAGAACCTTGTAAATTTGTTCATACACACCCTGCAAACTGGGGGCATGGACCGTGGCTTCAATGGCGTAAACAGCATCAAAGCTGTTCTCGGGAAAAGACATCTGCATGAAATCACCCTTCACGGCCGTGAACTTGTCTGCGAGGCCCTCCTTCTTCGCATACCGCAACGAACGTTCAATCTGGTAGTCATTGTTATTCAATCCCACCACGTTGGCACCGGAGAATTTGATCATTTCTCGCGCCGGACCACCAACACCACAACCGACGTCCAAAACTCGGGAGTTCTCTTGCATGTTCATTTTCAATGCCAGGTAATGTTCGTGACGGGCAATCGCCTTGTAGAATGATTCTCCAGCAGCGAAGCGGCAGAAGTGGAAGGAAGTGCCCCAGCCATACTCGTACAGGTCCGTGGCCAAGTTGTAGTAGCTGGTCACACCCGATTAGTATGAAGGCGGAGTAACATCAAGGACATCACCATACTGTCGAGTCAGGGTAGCATATTCATCTCTCCGCGCCTTTCGAATTTCTTCGGTCTCGGTCGCGGCAGATTGATTGTCCCAGTGTTTGAAATACTCGTCCACCGCCGCTTTTTGGGCGTCCTTGTTCTTGTTGCGCATGGCCATCAATCCTCCTCGTGCTTCAGATGACTGGCCATGCAGGGCTTTGTTAAAGGCAGCGTCGCGAGCATGATCCTCTACCTCGAGGATGGCAGTAGGGGAGATCGCTGCAGGGGTCATGTTGAGGGGGGAAATTTGTCGGCAGCGCGTGGAAAACCAGAGGTGCACCTTGCTGACACAACGAATCGCGAGGGTAAAGAGTGACAAATGGTCAGTAACCGGAAAGGGCAGGATTGAAAGAGCGGGCGTGGTGAGAAGGCGCATGCATATCAAGAAGGGCTGCGAAGGTACTGGCCTTCCACCCAAAAAAATTATGGCCCGACTCGGGAACTGAGCTCCGTGGATTGGACGACTCGGATCTGGAAGATCTCGAGGCAGCTTGGCAGGATGGCCCTTTGTTGGAGAAGAAAATACCAAATCTGGCTTAAAGCAGGTGGAGCTGCGGAATCGTCGCCCGAGACAAAATGTCAGGGGAACGGCACACAAGGCGGACGTTCTTCAGGTTCTTCCTCTGACTTGCCGTCAACAACGAAGTCAGACTTCTCTTGCTATGATGACCTTCTGCCGGTTTTTCTTGTTTGCGGATTTGGCTGTAGAGCTTGGACATTGTTGCTGGACACCAGCGGCGGATGTTGTAAAGACTCCTTGATAATCCGTGGAGCTTGTCGTTTGGATGGCTTTGTTAGTGGCGGAACCTCTCGTAGTGAAATTTGAAAGCCCTTGTGAAGCCTTTGCAACATTTTCCACTGCAAGCTTGGCTATATCTATTAAATCTACAGCATCTCTTTCCATACCCTTCATGGCTTCAGATATGGCTTCAGCTTCTTCAGGATCAGGTGGAGGAAGGGAGGTGTTGGGAATTGTAGCATCAGCGCTTCCGTTTCCACGGTAACGTCAACGTGTTGTACTGATTCAGGAGTCACGGTGCTTTGTGGCCCTGCACTAGCACCAGCAACCGTGACGCTTCTGGATTGGATGTTTGCTTTGCTAAACCGAATGCTTTCTTTCTGGTGCTAGATGGTTGTCAGTTGTGTGCGATGACTCCGACCCCGACCGTTTGAGACCGTCATCAGGCGCCGAAAGACTGGAATCGGATCCTTTTGGACAATCTTCTTTGCAATATGCCCATAACTTCATATTCTTTTGCTCTTCCGGATCCTAACGTTTAACATAGTGATAAAATGCGGGTTCGCTGGTCCGTTCGAGGTCCAGTCTTTGGGACTAAAGTGTGAAGATGAAGAAAGATGGGTATTTATGAAAGAAGCCGAAAATATCCCCACCGTGCTGACCAGATTGTTCCTTGGTTCATTCCTCGGCCACCTTCTCCTCCATCGTCGAGGCACCTGGCGTGTCGACCTTATGCTTTCGTTCCCTCGTATCACAACCCAACCACAATAAATCCGGCCTGCTATAATGACCGCAAATATCCAAGAAACTGCGGGCCATGAGAGCCATGCTAGTATCAACGTCCGCAACGACCAGCCCTTCGGACTTCGGATCCAGGGGTTCGGAGAGCATCCGACCATCGGGTCCAATGACAGCCGAGTAACCTCCACCCGGCGTGTTCATGAGCGTTGCCTGGCCTGTTCCCATCGCTTCAATCCCTTTATGTCCAATGACGGTGGTTGCATGAAGAACGAAAGTCTGGGTCTCGATTGCATATGTTCGGGACAGATTCAGACATCCTAATTCCACTCAGCCAAATACCGTGAACACGCAGTAGGACTCAGGTACCTTCCATCGACATGGACCAAAGCTCAGGTCCAGTATGAGGAGCCAACGGCGGCCACCCGGCGCCGTGAATATCCTCCCTCTGAGTTGCCGTATGATACTTCAACAACGGCTGGCAATGCTCCCAACACGCCAGCGATCCCACTCGCTTTCCCACGCGCGTCGAAGCCACATTGATCAAACTATTTCCCGACGCGTCACCAAAGATCGTCCTCTCCATGTGTGTTGGCTTGAGTTTTCGCCTCTTGATGAGCAGCTTGCCATCGGTGTCAATGATGGCCTGGGCAACGTAGACAGAATTATCGTCGTTCTCGGAAAATCCCAGAACCACGACGACGCCATTCTTCGCCGCACAGTCTTGAATCGTGCGCATTTCCTCCGAATCCACGGTCAAGGAGTTTTGGATGTACTTGGTCGACAAGACAGGGTCGACGGGGCGGTGCCTATTGGTCCATTCCAAAGTATAAAGATATGATATGGATATTTGCTGAGAGGAAAGAAGGAAAGAAAGACGTACCAAATCCATGCTGGGTACCCGGGGATAAAGGCCTCGGAGAATGCTAGAACTTTTACACCTTTCTTTGCTGCTTCGGTGATGATGGAACATGTCTTCTTGACCGAGGCTTGCAAGTCCAGCCATTCAGGTTCATATTGCGCAGCGGCGATCCTCAATGTCGATGGTGGAGCCGTGCTTCCCATGTTTCAGAGATTATGTTGTGAGTAAACGGTGATCAATTTTCCTTAAAGTTTTTGAACAGCGTAAGACAGCGAGCAGATGGACGGCATTCGAGGCTCAAATAGTTGTCCAGGTCGCTGGCCGCCTGAGGAAAGAGAGACAGGTCAGGTCAGATCAGCCATCAACACGTTTCCACAGGGCGACGCTGCCAAGGGAGCGCTCTTACTATGGAGCTTTATCAGTCCTATCGCAAGCTGATGCTGCAGCTGAAGGCTCTGGGATCAGTGAGCTACTCTACAGTAGATACTCCGTGGACCAGTTAAGCATGGGAGTGGCATCTGCAAGCGTCGGCGTATTTGACTTGGGCCAGCAACATTGAGAGGGGCCCACTATCATGGTTACGGAAGCCCACATCCGCAAAAGATAGTGCTGAAAGCGGGGGCTTGGCTTTACACGCCCTTCCGCGGCACCCTCTCCGTCCATCTCTTCGGGATATCCATTCAATGATGCAAACCCCGGACTACGGAGAGACGAGAAGGGGGAAAAATACGACTAAGGGTATGAATCGACGGATACGGGGTCAAGTCGTGGATCATTCATTCACTCAGCTCGCCATCAACGATTTTCTCAAGACGTGCCTACACCAATCTCGTACCCCATTTCCTGCTCAAGAGAATCATAGAGTGTGAAATTCACACCTGGAGCAGATCATAGAGATATCTAGCCTGGCTACAGAGCCTGCAGAAACATCAGACTTGTCTCCGCCTTCGTTTCAACGTGACATGGTCCTTCCAAGACCCTCCTGCTAGTTCGAAATGTGCGAGATCCTAGAAATACATCAGTTGATTGGACTGGGCCACCGCATCAGTGACCGTCTCTAGATCCGCTCCCGGGTTGAAGCGTTGCTTGGGGTCTTGATGACCACTGTAGAACGCGAAAGATACAACTCCATTCTTGTTGCGCTCTGTATCCAGATGATTCATCCATGATCGAGCATAGGGGGCAAGTTTCTCTTTCCAGGATTCAGGCTCGTCTTTGGATGAGCAAGGCTAGCCTCGGTCCCTCACGACAGTAGCAAAAATTGTCCGGAATTTGTGTGATTTGGGCTTCCAGGTCTGATTTAAACGGGTATTGATGATTTGGAAAGGCCGACCCGAATCTACTAATGGACACGAACACCAGGGCATCGAAATCGAATTCAGCCGCCATACGTTCTATCGTCCTTCACTCGTCATCATCACTATCCACAATAATGCCACCTATCACCTGTCGCCGGCGTGGAACAGGTACAACATCCTCATCAGCATCACTGTCGTCCATTCCTGCCTCGATGATCCCTTTACCCGAGTTAGTGCTTGGATTCGCCCGCAGTTGTGCCATTTCTTGAGGTGCTGTCTTTTCTGCTGGAAAGTCTTTGGCCGCTGTCGAATTCTGAGAGGACAACGGTGTATCCTCCTCTTCCTCCGTCTCTGATTCCCTTCGAGGTTGTGATGAGGCAGTCTCGTTGTGCTCGTCATCCAGGTCAACCATGAGAAGATCATCGTCGCTGTCTTGTTCTTGCTCAAGGGCTGGCGCAGCTACCTTCTTGCGCTTTCCCTTTCCATTCCCTTTGGAAGTCTGCTCATCGATTGCCAGAGCCATCTGCTTGCGAATATTCTCCCTCTGTCTCTGCCGTACCCGTTCTTCCTTCTCAAAGAACAGGCGATCTCCCTCCTCATCCGTCTCGTCATCGCTGTCTCTAATGTAGGCTTCACTTTTGATCCTCAGGCGTCTCTCACGTGCCGCAGCTTCACGTGCTGCTCTCCTCTGCGCTGCAAGTTCTTCGTCGATCTCGTCTTCTCCCTCAGTCTCAGCACGCTTCCTCTTGCGTCGAGCTCTGAGCTCTTCAATGGGATTCTTGGATCTCTTTTTCCGAGGGTTGTCAGGGAACATGAATTCTTCTTCGCCCTCTGAGTCGTCCACAAATGCATATCGAGGTGCTTCTTCGTCATGATCTTGGGTCTTTTTATCTTTATTCCTCGCTCGACGTATCATATCCTCCGCATCTTCATTCTCGTCTTCACCCTGCCAGGGCGATTGTTCATATTGTTCGATAGTGCTTTTGGATTCAGCAAGGTTCTCGGCAGATAGGACAGCAGGTACGATCCAGCTTGCTCCGAAAACATCCTCATCTCCGAGTAGATCAAATCCGACAAGACGCATCAACAACCGCAAGCGTCCATTCTTGAACATTGCGGTCTTTATCTCTTCCGATGTTGGACGGACGGTAATATAGGTAGGCTGACCGACATCGACCTCAGGAGGAGGCTCATTATCATTTTGGGCGGCTTCGATGGCAGCAACTCTCCGCGCTTCCGCGTCCGCTTCCCAGCCATGCCTCTCCTCAATGGCTTTTCCCAGCATATCTTTGACCCATCGCACAAGATCGGTCTTTCCATCCTTTACGAGCACAGTAACAACGATTCCGATCTGTTCCTTGACGTCTCTCCCCGGTGCCGGTCTGATTTCCAGCTCTGCGGGCGGCCGAGTTGCTGCCGCTGTTTGTTTCTCTTGGCCAAACTCGAGGTAGTATAACGTCGAATTGATCTTACTGTACAGCATTTCCACCAATAGCTCTGGCCTCTGGTCGATCTTTTTCAACAGCTTCTTGAACACTTGGCGGGAAAATTCGGACCATTCCTTGTACATCGAATGTTTCACATCAAGACCATCTGGACCCTTGACCATTTTGTAGAATAGAGCAATTATGTCAACTCGATACAACAACACCGCCAGATCTTGCTTAAAGGCCACCCGATGGAAGAATCGATGGGCTCGTTTGAGTTGTTCGGCATTGAGATCTCGGTAGAATGTGGTAAACACGACAAAGGTATTCACCGACGCTTGTGAGGAAAATTTCGCTGCAAATCGATTGAAGTCAAACTTGCGTTCCTTGGAGACTTGAACAACATCAGCGATGTCTTCATCCTCCGACTCCTCATCATCGGCTGTTGGGTCCTCCCCTGGCTGAGCAGCTCTTCTCTCAGCTTCTTTGCGCTTCTTCTGTGCCCTCCGTCGAGAACGAATCTGAAGATCCACGTTCTCTTTTGAATATCTCTCCAACATACGTAGAAAGACATGCGACAATTCAGTACATGCATCGAGGTAACCGAACCCTTGATCTTTGTAGCCTTTCAGAATGCCTACTATTCGGTCATGCGTCGTTTCTTCGTAAAATATGCGGTTTTGAATATTGTCTGCAATTTCCCGGTCTTCTTCCAAGGGACTTTGCGCCATTTCCTGTACGGTAAGTAAGATCTGCGTGAAGCATCGCATGCTGGCGTTTAGATCTTGCCACTCTTTATTGTCCAAAGACACTTGCATGAATCGATTGAGCATGATGAATGTCTCTTGGTTTAGGACGGCGGCCACTAGCGAATAGCTCTCGTCATCAAAGTCCGTTCGCACCTTGTTTGGCTTGGCTTCCTTCTTGCTGACTTCTCGACGGATTCGTTCCGCTTCGAGGAACCATGCCACGGTGTAGAAGAATTGGCGATAGTTGACGTCCAGTAAGCGCTCTGCCTCCCGCTCAATAGCTTTGCGGAGGTGGGTAAAAAAGGGATTGAATCCGGAGTCTAGGAACTCTTCCACAAAATTTCGCAACTTTATGGTAGCAGACTCCGTCAGTCGGGTAGAGCGGTCAAAATCGTGGATGGTGTGGTCAATATCTCGGCGTTTCTGCTGTGGCCTGCTCCATTTCTTCGTTTGGTCCATATTGAAGAATGCTTGTTGATCGTCTCTGAGGTTGTCCTGACCGGAAACAGCAGACATCTTTCCGCCCTCCCGTTTGACCCAGACCATCGTGCCAAATCGACCGTGCCGGCTCCATTGGTGGCGTTTTGCATCCTTGGCCTCGGTATTCTCCAGTGCCAGTGCAGCACTCAGGTCTGACACACCCAGGCCTCTGCGCTCTTGTTCAGTCATCCATAATCTTCTCGGGTGAACTCCTTTGATTAAGTTAAAGATGATGTCCAGGACAATGACATCTTGCAAATTGAAATCTTCTCCCATAATGGAGCAGATGGTCAACAGCAAGGCAAACACATCTTGATCTCTAAACGCTTCGATTGTCGCTGATCTGGAGACCTCCGAATCTAGGCCTTGACTGGGTAAATTTGGAATCTGCCGGATGACTGCCACATTCCGGAAGAAGTAGAGCATCAGCTTGAGGATGCCCTCGTCTCGATTCGTCCGTTCATTTCTCGCCACCGCGATGGAGGGCAAGCCAATTCGTACGACCTGCCGCAAAATACCGCAGGTATCGCAACCCAGAATAGCGGCCTTGTAAACCACCTGCGCTTGTTGAATATATGGCGTGTGTCGATGATGGTTCACGGTCATTTCTCCGCCATTTTCCAGAGGCCATGTTAAAGGAACGAGAAGTTCCAGGCATGCCAGTGCGACTCTTGCCTTGAGCTTGTTCTCCCTGCCATCTTCCGGCCACGACGCGAGAATTGGTATCAGATCTCCTCCGACGAGTTTGGCTTCCGCGAGACATCTTGCCACATCAAGTCGGTTGTTTTTCTCATCATACAACTTCAACCATCGCTTTAGGTCTCGAAGACACGCAAGGGCATCATCACCAAGGACGTAACGACCATCGTCGTCTGTGCTGCTTCCACCAAGCTATTTAAATGTCAATTTCCTGCAAAGTCAATAGTACGAGGATCCACCTACGGCGTTGACCAGGCTGTACACGTAGGCCCGGACTTCAGGATGAACAGTTTGAGCTTTGCTGAACGGGTTGTCGTCCTCCATGTGTGGTGTCCTGTTCAATCGTTACTGCGTGGTTGGTTGTAGTTCCGTCGAGACGCGTCCTGCCCCGGCGCGTTAATAGGCTACTGCGGATCTAAGGTGAACCAAACGAAGTGACGTGCCGCAATCCAGCATGCTCAGGAGCGACGCCAAACCAAGCTGGTCATTTTGTCGTCAACCTCGGTTCAACGACATTGAAATCCGAATCGGATCCGTTGCGTTGAGATTTAAGAACGCTAGCCTTTTCTCGAATCCGATCCTGGGAACACCTTGTACTCGCATCTTGATGGCTTCACTATCAGGGTTGTCCACCAGACTGATGGCTTCTTCAAAGTCATCCGTCGCCTCCCAGAGGCTTGCCTCAATCAGTCGCCAATTTTCCTCCACACCGGCACTGGCTTTTGAAGTGAGGAAACTAGGTGTTGTAGGAGCTGGACAAATGGTATGAAGAGTGTGACCATGAGGGATTCAATAGACTGACAGCCATCAGGGTCTGGGAATTGCCCTCGTCGCCGCTCAAAAAGCTCAAGTTCCTGTAACACTAGTGGACAACTCGCAGCCATCCCTCGACAAGGGTCTCGCATTTGCAGACAAGCTCCTTGCGAAAGACGTTTCGAAGCAGAAAATCACAGAAGAGGTCGCAAAGGCCACTAAAGAGCGATTAAAGGGCACCACAAAGATGTCCGACCTCTCGGATGTCGACATGGTTATCGAGGCTGTACCTGAGATTCCTTCCCTGAAGGAAAGGATATTTGCAGAATTGGCCGAGATATGTCCTAAACATGCAATCCTTGCTACAAACACTTCGAGCATCAGTATCACCAAGATCGCGCGTGCTACAACAACGGATCCCACCGACACCTCTGCCTCCTCCCGCGTCATCTCTACACATTTCATGAACCCAGTTCCTGTACAGAAAGGTGTGGAAATAATCTCCGGTCTGCAAACCTCGCCTGAGACTTTGGCTACTGCGATAGCTTTTTGTGAAAAGATGGGAAAAGTTTGTTCTGTCTCGGCTGACAGTCCTGGATTCCTCGCCAACAGAATTTTAATGCCATATATCAATGAAGCTATCATCTGCCTTGAGACTGGAGTGGGCAAGAAAGAGGATATCGATAATATTATGAAGAATGGTACCAACGTCCCGATGGGTCCTCTTACTCTGGCAGATTTTATTGGCTTGGATACTTGCCTGGCCATTATGGAAACCCTGCATGCTGGTCTGGGTGACAGCAAGTACAGACCGAGTGTTTTACTGAGACAATACGTGGACGCGGGTTGGTTGGGCAAGAAGAGCGGAAAAGGATTTTATGAATATAAATAAAACCGACTATTCAGCGAAGAAAAATTTGCCCAAAAAGGACCTCCGAAAGTCGTACGCGGAAGAGTCTACTTACGCATGTATCGTCCCCAAAAGCACCTCGTCAACCCGAGACCTATGCTAGCAGGGGGGAGATGGTAAAGCCAGTGCTGAAATAGGACGATTGGTTCGCCGTCCGAGTGAGTGGTCTAGGTGCTTCTATGGCAACGGTATCTGCACTCCATCGGCCGGCTTGAAGGCATAAGACGGTTTGATTGTATTTCAATCAATCTGGAGGCCAGATTCTCTTTCCCCAAAACAGATCATACAGATAGAGTATCGCTTACGTTGCCCTCTACGGGGCACAATATCTTTATAGGTCCAGAATTCCTAGGATTTCCCCTCCCCTTCCCCACCCAAATTCTCTTTCGCTGCGCCATTCAAGACGCAAAGCAAAGAAGTGGACAGTAGTGAATCACCTTACAGCAAGTTTGGCTGGCATAATTTGGCCTCAAAAGGACGCCATTATGCCTTCGGGTCCGACGCGTTCGCGGCAACGATCCAAAGCGGTAAGAGTTGCGTTACCCATTGGACTCCTTGATGTCGGCCCTTCTGTTCTGACACAGTCCTTCATGAGAAGCTGCCATATGATCCACACGTTCGTCGATTGGTCTTCTCTCAGGTGAACTTCCGTCTTGGAATCTCAGCAGTGCTCGCAATCGCAGGCAGCTTCTCGGCACCCGTCATACGGGCATTAAACTCGTCAAGCTTATCAAGCGGCAAATTGAGGAATAGATGTTTATTCTTCCATCGGACCTCACTCTCGATGAACTCCTTATTGTCGCCAGCGGGGGGAGGCGGCGGCTCTGTGATTTTCGTGATCAAATACGCGGTGCTCGCCTCGGCGATGCCGTACATCAGTACACCGAGTAAAGGGATCTTGACCACGATTGCAAAGGCGACACTGAAGCCGAACAAGACGCCACTTCGGTCGATGAACCAGATCTTCTTCTGTTGCTTTGTGAATCGGATACGCTTGAAATATGGTTCGAGGAGACGCGACATGAGGCTCCGGCTGGAGAAGTAGGTTTGTAGAAAGGACACCATGTAGTGTTTGGGCACGACAAGGCCACATGCGAAAACGATGCCGGCCGGGACGGGTCCAACAGCTCTGTTGAATGTATAGAAGGAAGCGGCGGGAAGGACAAACGGACCGACGACGGGCACGAACGTCAAGGCGTAGATGGTAAGCGAAATCGCCGCTCGTCGGGCGTATTTCGCAGTGAAAAGGATGAGGCGGTCGACGAGGCTCCGCTTCTCCTTCTTCTCCCTCTCATCGTGCGTCAAGTACATCTTCAGCGTTGGGTAGTACAGAGCTCGCAGAGTGGCGGGGTCGTCGGACTTGTGTTTCTGCACGTACGTTTGGTCAACCCATGCCAAGGAGTCCATGAAAAGATCGTCCAGAGTGGGTGTCACGGAGCTCATGACGGTCATGAGGAAGAAAGGGATCTGGAGCACGGATTTCGATATGAAATCTAGCCCGTTGACGAGCCTATCGTCCCACGTTTCGTGGTCGAGGTCGACGACGGCGGAGATGATTAATAGGAGGAATTTCACGGCGTAGATGGGAATGTTGAGGATTATATGGATGGCCAGGCCGGCGCATACCGCTATTGCAGCCTGACGGTAGTGTGTCGTTGTGAAGAGTTCTGGGTTTTGCATTGCGCGGTGTGCTCCTACAAAGGTAAGCTGAGCCCCGCGAAGGATAGCGTTTGGATCGAAGTTCGACATGATAATATTGAAATTAGACAAGGAAAGTAAGAATTCAGTGCGAGGTGGCCTGCATAAAACTTGGATAATTAAGGGAGAGAGCCGGTCAGTATCTTGCGGCAACAGGAATTGACCTGTGAAGCTATGGCTTCGATGTCACAGCTACGTAAACAGCGTCTGGGAGGCTCTATGTTCTGCCATACAAGGCTGAACAAAATGGTGATGGGCTGTTCATCGTCTTCGCTCTGCCTTTTGCCGTCATTTATAGCGCGTGAGATCGGTGATCATCTTCTAATGTAATGCCGCTGCTTGTCGATCATCCATTCAGACTTTGAATTCCGTCCAACTTATGGCTTGGTCATCACCGAGTAGCGGCAACAGTCGGTTCGCCATGTATTGATTTGGACTCTGGAAACATTTTGACATAGATCCTCTCGAGGTCAATTTTGCAATATTGGAAGTAAACGGAATGTCGATACTCACATGGATTGGAAATCGTCGCAAGAGGTCAAGGCGGTGGTATGCGGTGGGGGTATTAGGCCGCAGATATATCACCAGGGGGACACCAGGATTACACTAAGATTCCACTCGAGTAGTACCGCGCGGTGAGATACGCGATCCTCAGAGGGTCCCATCGTGACAGAATGTAAGGGAGGGGGGGGGGGGGGGGGGCCATCTGGGTATAAATGCCCCCACCATTTGCTTCCTGAATTGTTTTCGCTCCCGTTCACAATTTTCTATGGTCAACGCAACACCACATCTCATTCATCCCAATCCCAAAAAGACGCAGAATAGTGGCCTTTGTGTGTCTGACTCATCGCGAAACCGCGACCATAGAAAGCAATGAGTGAAGGACCATGAGTGGGAAATCACTTCATTGGGCCACAGTGGATGGCCCACAAAATACATCTCGCGCACTCACATTATTTGACCACCTCGGAGCTATCGCAAACATGCTATGGATCCGAGACCCGTTTTGTTGCCACGGGCTTCGGCATCAGAGGTGTAGGAGCTGTAGAGAAAATACTTTTTCGTTGATCTTCAAGATTATTCAGGATTTTCTGCGTTGCTAAAGTAACGATGGCAGAGGGATCCGATATCGGTTAAACAATCGCATGATGTTTTGGTTCGTCCAGGTCTTTTGGAAGGATGAGAAAAGCACCTAACGAAAGGTTGCCAATAGAAATGACACAGTTGCTGAGATGGACACAAAGCTTGCATCGTTAGGCCGAGAAAACTCCTAGAGAAGTGAAAGGGGGTAAACCTTATCAAATTTTTATCAGATAAGATAATCGCCTTTTTTTAATCTGATGATCTCCATCACGCTTCCTGTCGTTCCACCCTCATTTGACATTGCACCATCGGGAACTACTGTCTCGACAATCCTTTTACTCGACCAAATCAACTGATCCATGAAGGAATCGCTTACTTCCTCCTCTTCGGGTTTGGGACGAGCGTACATTTCTCCCCATCTATCGACGGTCTTTTCGGGAGCCGAAGTTTAGAATCTCCCTCTGCCCGGATTCCCAACGTGACACCAGAATTCCGAATACGTGAGTGCTTGCATGCGACAGATTAAACCTGATTAAGCAGATCCTGGCCAAGGTTTTGAGAGACGATCAACAATATGCTTCTTTTCACTTTGGCGGGTTTTCTGGGCACGCAAACGCTTCGGTGTGCTTGATGAGCTTGAAAGGCACCTGTCGAGCTTATCCCTCCAATGCAAGCTTCCTCCATTGCCATCAACTCTAGTGCATGGCGTTTCTTGAACCCCGTCTATCCCACGCCGAGAGTGTGCTAGGGATTCTCCTTGAGGGTATCTTTCAGACTGGTTTTGATACCATCAGACTAGTGGTGCTTTGTTCAACTAATGCACCTATCGCGAAGTCATTTTGGTCTTGAACAATCAGGAGATCATTACCCACACATATCCTACAGAGTCTAGAATTCGTCAGCTCTCGACAGGCCAGCTCTTCACACGAACTGTATGCAAGCCAGGCGAGGGGAACTTTTAGTCAAACAAAAGAAAATATTTTGAATCTGCGTGTGGATTGTAATACTTTCGGTCGGCGAAGTTGGATAGAACCTATGCCCATTTTGCAATGGAGGCCTTGGAGGAGCTGGACAGATTTTCTCATCTTTCGGCCGCCATCCGAGGTGTATATCTGGACGAACTTGGGGCATCTGGTGTCAACTTGATATGCTCGACCCAAGCTACGGCCTTCGTCGCTATTATGGAACTATCAACTCTTTTCATTGTTTTGACATACACCCTCTCGCCAGGCCCTGGGCTACGACCCAACTGTGTGCATTGATGGCATTCGTACAGATATCGCCGAGTTCACCTTTACTGGGGGGACACCAGAGGATTACTGGGGAAACATCTGCACAAATAATCTCAGTGTCCATTCTATGTGGCCCGCAGCTAAGCTGTACTGCGCCAAAGACGAAATCGAGGCAGGCGCCAAGATGCTGGCAGGCTATTGCTCCGAATATGGGCTGATAGAACTGGTCCCATATTCCGAGGTCCTTCCCAATCTCACTGACGAGTTTATTGCCTCCCTTCCTGTCGTCGAGTTCAGCGATATCAATGAGACCAAGATATGGAGCCACGCCGTGCTAATTTCTAAGAACTTTTACAAGGCTGGTGAGAGGACTGTGGTAAGCATGAGTCGACTTGGGACGAGTATACTCTAACGAGCGACAGAGTGTCTTTGAAAAGGAGTACATTCTTCACCAGAGATATGGGTAGGTCCATTATACTTGTATGCTTTAGCACATTGCGGTCGCTCACGTCTTTACCGCTGGGGGCTTGCATCTGCCAACGACTCCTGGCTTCGGCAGGCATGAGCACAAGTTCGATCACGGGATAATACAATCGGGACCTCTGCTTGCTTTGGACGACTATGTGAGGCACCGAATTGTCAATGAGCCGCTTGTCTCTTCTGATGGACTAGCGATGCGTGCCCTCGTCCAGCTTATTTTCAATACCCAGAAAAGCAGCCAGTGGGACGGCCTGCGTCACTTCGCCTATCAGCGAGAACGACTTTTCTACAATGGGACGGACGCAGATCTGGTTCTAAAAGGAAAGGAAGGCCATTTGGGCTTGCAGAACTGGCACAAGGCCGGTGGTATCGCTGGTCGCGGAGTACTGATCGATTACTGGACGTACGTTGAAGAACAGAGGAGAATTTTCGATCCGATTAGAGGCGCCTCGATCGAATTTGACGACTTGATGGACTGCTTTGAAGCTCAGAAAAGAGCCTCCAAGCAATCTCTAGAGCTACGTGCAGGTGACATCTTGTTCATCAGATCCGGCTATACACAAGCGTATCTCCAGCTCAACGAGCACGAAGAAGAATCTGCTGGGACAACAATGCCACCAGCCGCAAGCGGAGTCCAACAGGATCCAAGGCTACTAAAATGGCTTTGCGACAATAGGTTCTCCGCGGTAGGGGGGTATGCTCCCGGCTGGGAGTGTTTTCCTCCAGAACCCTCGGCTGGCTTCCTCTTCCATGAAGTCCTCATTGCGGGATTGGGGCTGCCCTATAGCAGAAATGCTGTGGCTCGAAGATCTTGCGCAGTATTGTAAGGAAGCGAAAATGTGGTCTTTCTTTTTGTCTTCTTCACCACTCAATGTTCATGGAGGTGTGGCTAGCCCGGCGAGTACTATGGCAATCCTTTGAGAGAAAGCCCCCAAGCTTACGCCAAATCCTCAGGCCAGAGCTATTCCCTTTGGTATGGACGAGCGAGGTTTTGAAGATGAAAACTATATGAAGTTTTCGGGGGTCGAACTTGCCTGGAATCCTTGGTCGTGGCCTTGTGGTTTGGGAATCACGCTTGTACGGCATCACATAATCATATAGACATTCTGATTACAGTATACTGATCATGTCCTAAGCGTGACGGGGGATTTCGGTCGTGACGCCTCGACCAACCAACTCACCTACCTAATTGAACCAATCACTTTGGCTAGTAATTATTGATTTGCAGGTGTTTGTTTCTGCAGTAATATCTATCTTCGCCGGGTAACGGAGATGTTTGGTTCCTCCTTCGCCTCAAGGGCTTACCTAGAAGTCGAGTAATTTCATGTACTGGTCACATCTGGTCTGTTGTTGAGCCCTAGGAGCCTCATCAGCCAATATCCGGGGCGGCTTATGAACTCTAGCCTTCGTGGCCATTACTACAGGATGCGGAATGGAAAAACTTAGTTACCGAGTATAACCAAGCCATCCATCATGCTCAATTACTCGAGAGTCTGTATTGTGCGCAGGAAGGATAAAATTGGACATCAAAGTTGAGCTTGCAGGTTTCACCTGTAGAGAACAGTGCCATGAGCGAGCCCATCCCAATTTCTAGGAATTGTAAAAGCGGCACATACCCGTTTGTAGTCGCCAAGATTGCGTCTGATGCGCGGCTTGGAGCTTCTATACATCATCGTTTCTCGGTTCAAGGCGCACTCAACCGCGCCATCCAACCCTCAACAACAAAACAATGTTTTATATCAGAAAAACTGACCATCAAAGTAAAATCTACCATTAGCGTTTACCAGGCGACTTAGGTACAAATGCTATGAGCTATAAAGATGCAGCATGGCTACACCCTCCTACGGCGACCGTCCCCCGCTACAAGGGTACCGCAGAACCTTCACAGTCCCGTCGCGCTCTCTCTCCCTTCATGAAACCGCGGGACTCGACAAAGCCGATGCTGATGCCAATATCTTGTACTCACATCCCTCTGTGCGAATTGTGACCTTCTCTCCCCCGACCGATTCGATTCCCCCACAAAGCAAGGAAATATCGCCGGATACCGACTACCCTGTTGATACGATTGAGACTCTACCATGGCGGTCGCGGACAGAGACCCTTGCTTCCACTGGAGGCATGGTGATCGAGAAAGTTCGTGGATCTGGTAATTTTCTCAAGTCGACCGACCAGAGAGTCATCCACACGATTATGCGTAATTCGCAGTGTTGGTGTGTAGACGGAGAATCCAAGTTCGTGTTGCGAACTGGCAAGTTCCGCTACTACCGAATAGAATTGCCCTCCGAGACGGAAGTGGACAAAGAGAAGGTCCAGGAATTGAAAACTGTGTTGAACAAAGTCCTCCGTTTTGAAAGGACTCCATGTCCGTTCAAGCGGGCATTTCACGTGAATCTCCCCGACGACGCCATGACGCCTCGACGGAAAGGAACCTGGAAACGAAAACAGCCTCCACCGCCCGCCACTCCGAACACTGATCCTCTACCAAGGACCAAGAACACCCGCACTTGGAGTTTGCAAGGACAAAATACCCCGACACCTCTTCCGACATATGGGCGACGTGGGTCAGACTATGGTTACAATCCAAGTCGTGGGTCATCTCCACTAACTCAGCATGATGGAGAAGGATATCAATCAACGACCTCATCTAGTCTGGCGTCTAGCGAGGATGCCGGTGAAAGACGGCCATGGGTGGGATCTAGCGAAGGTGATCCGCACCAAAACGAGACACGATCTGTACCAGAGGAGGATGACGGATCTATCAATGAATCAGAGCACCAAGAATCATCGGCTCCTACGGATGATGTGGCCGCCACTGACAAATGTACGACACCTGATTCCGCGGAAGCTTTGAACTCGACAACAATGGTAGAGGGATCATCCTCAGAGGCTGCTGAGAGACTGCCTGCGGGCCTGCAGGCTGGCATGAGAGCATCGACAGAAGGAGACGCGCCATCGATACATTCTCGGGAAGACACCCTGGGTGAGACAGTCCCTGAAGATCGGCACAAGAAAGAAGAGTGGCAAGAAAAGCCGGAAGAGGAGGCACCTCAAGAGGAAACAATTGAAGCTGAGACATCGAATGATGGTGTCTCTGGGCGAAATCTTTCTGAGAGCAATGAAGCAGAAGAAGATTCTTCTGCCGTAAGGTCTTTCCATGAACCACCCCAAGTGAGCAAAGAGTCTTTCCAGACCAATGACATTGACCCTACGCCTTATTCGGTCTCCGTTGTCTCGGGAGAGGGCTTTTCGAAATCCGTTGACAAGTCTGCCGCCGGGTCTCCCATGCCGAGTCCCGAGACTCTACTGCCTGTGGACAACTTCGCCAAAGAGCCCGGAACATCTGAGTGGAATGGGGAGGTTGCACCACAGGGTGACAACTCGAGCGTTGGAAATCAAGATGACGGCTCACTGAGTCGCGTTTCAAGTGTTGATTCTTTCCACACAACGAACTCCCTGACCCAGGAATCGCTGCAGGAGCACGTTGACAGTATCGGTTCGGAAACGACACCTAATGCTGAAACGTTTGGTCCATTCAGCACGAATATACGGCAGCACCGAAGGGAGTTATCGGAATTAACAGTGACCGCATCAACGATAGATGATCCTTCGGGGCCCAATGCCGATTGGCGGCCGCTCACAAGCGATTCCCTCGATAAACCTCCAACACCGGGACTTGCCAGATCCTTAGCTTCGGATTCCTCTTGGCCTGAAGTTCACACACCCTCATCACCAGTCCAGGATGGTTTGAGGCGGCGTTTGAGGGTAAAACGTTCGCTGTCACCTCTACCACCATCTGCAACCCTATTCTCACCTCCACCTCCAAATCATGGAAACCATCTTACCGCGACTATCCTCCAGAAAGCCTGCACTGTGGTATTGGTGCAGCCAATTGAAGCTGTCGTGTGGCTTGTCCATATCTTGGCTCGTATAGCTGGTGGAGCGACGGTCAATGACCTTCTCAGTGGAGATCTATTCCGACGACCAGAGCAACATCGTCGAAACTCGAGCTTCCCAGATCAAGTCACTTCACGAGATGATAGCGATGAAGATGATTTCGGAGTTCCTATCCGTGGAAGATGTCGAAGCGAGGAAGCCAAAGCGAAGACACAAATGGCCAAAGAAGACGATGCTGATTCGATCTTTGATCTGGATTGATTTATTATTCGCGCGGATGGGGATAAGAACCATGGACATGGTCGATTTTTCAAATGATCCATTCGGATTTTCAACGGTGGGAATTGTATTCGAGCGTCGGCGTTCAAGGATTCGATGCCAAACCATGCATTTATCAATACCCGTAAGTGAGATCATGGGAAGGGTGGAAACGTGGGATTGATACTGGTTATGATGCTATTATTACTGGAGGCAGACCGGACAGAATACGATTGATATGATCCTGCAACTTCCCAGGGATTCTGTCTCCTCTTCAGTTTGCTTCAGTCACTTCTTTGAGTAACGTCTCACTTGAGACCCACAGCAGATCTCGCATTGAAGGGCGGAAGACGTGCTGGTTGAATCCATCTCCTGGTCGGTAATTCACCCCGCAAGGCAAATTGACACAATCTGTGAGATCTCTGGCAATGGTAACTTGCCATGAAGAATTGAACCGTATCCATATTCGCGCTCTCTGGGTCAATGGTCAGTTATTTGCGGCCATTCGCCTTTCTAGCAGTCCTTGCGCCCAATAAACGTTAGGTAAAGCCGTATGGCTGACTCGTAACGAGATTAATCTTCGAGGCCCGACAAAAAGATCTCAGTAAATCACGAGGACGAATTTGTTACGACCCAGCCTTCTCCCCTACCGCCGATTCCCTCTCTTTTTCGCTTTCGCTTTCTCCTTGGCCTTCTTCTTGTCTCGTTTCCTCAGCCCTTCCATCCCTTTCTTACACACCTCCGCATACCGCGCGTAAAACGTATCCAGATCCGCCGCCTCAACTACTGTTGCTAATTTGACCTTCGGTTTCACGGACTCTTTGGTCTTCGGCTTGGCGGTTCTATATGGCTTCGAGAGTCCGTTTGTGGCGCGAATGAGGATCCGTGGTGGTGAAGATGATGATTCGGTAGTTGAATCACTCAAAGACTTTTGGGTCAAGTAGACGGAGCCGTGAGCCGCGGAGTGTGTTGAGGAGAGAAGAGTCGTGAGTTGGCTCAGGAACTTTGTTTGGAAATCAGTCTTTTGTTTTGCGATGGCATATTTGGTGGTGTGGATGGCTTTCCTCACCTCGTCATTACTCATGCGGATTTGCGCCATTCTCGTCGCCCTGGACGTCTTGATGGATCAAGTCGCGAGTCTAGATTGCGAGCAGGTTGCAGGGAAACCTGCCGCCGAATTTGGCACTACTCTTCCCTTTTTTGCTGTTGGCACGTATCCGTACACTTTAGAGCTCTCATGCGCTTCGACACTATAGGATATTCCACAGGGGTAAAAGCGTAGCTTGAGGGGCTAGCCCCCAGACCCCCGGCCTCGCTGCGCTCGAGACATCACGTGATTGAGCTGGGCACATTGGTCTTGGCATTCTTGGCGGCGCACACATGCGGCCTTCAACTATTCACGTGATTTGCCAACCCCTCGGCATCCGGAAAATCTATAATCCGGCAACCGCCGAGTCCTTTGCTCTGATTGGCTAGCCCCATCGGATCCAGTCCGTGGGCCAACCCCGGGCCTCTCGTATCACTTGATTAGCCAACCCTCCATACTCCGAAAAATCTACAATCCTAGTTATTACGTAATCCCGTGCTCTGATTGGCTGGCCCGCGGATCCAATCCACGACCCATCCAGGAGTGGATAGAGTGCCGCCGTAGTCCGGAAAATATATAATCCGAAACCTAATCATGTGCTCTAATTGGCTGACTCCATCGGATCCAGTCCATGGCCCATCCAGGAATGGGTAGAATGCCGCCTTTGTCTGCCAGGGCCTCCTGATCGGATCCAGTCTTTGGATCACGTGTGGACGATGTTGATCACGGTGTCCTGTGCCATACGATATCCTCCATCGGATCCAGTCCATGGGACCATGAAGTGGACGACGGTATACCCAATTAGGAAAGCCGACAACAATATCGGCGATATATCTAGCAAATATCGATACATGGGGCTTAGATATCGGCGATGAGATCGGTACCTGCTAGTTCGGAGCACTGTCCACTATAACAACTGATTTGTTCTCCGTATAGTCTAAGTCCCGGTCTTAGGACATAAGGTGGCCACCTCCGCGGGGAACAAGGTCATTTGCAGTCCGTATTCGTAAGAGTTCCCAGCCGGAATCTGGTTGAGATATCATCCTTCCCTTGCTGCCGTATGATTTAAATACCTGGGCATAGAATGAACCGGCCGGCAGTGGAGGTAGCGCGTAGCTTTGCCCGCACAGGGTGTATGAAATCAAATCAAATCAAATCCTATCTTAACTCTTTTCGTGCTACGTCTTGTACCTAGAACTCGATGCTAGTCAGAACATATTGCTTGAATCCTTAACCTCGAACCCTCACACGGCGGGAGGTCTCATCGGATCCAGTCCACGGCCTAGCCAGAGAGCACCATCCATCTCTGCTGGTTCGGTGGGCTCGTGAACCAGTATTTCCACCAACCTTTACGGTGTGCGACTTTCTCATGGCATTATATGCTAAAGATCATCACGGCTCAATTCGAGAGATACCTGAGCAGACACTGGAAGCTAGAATGAACTTCACCCATTTTCTATCAACTGATACACAACTTACCCCCGAGGACATTCCTGCATTATGTCGGGACCTGTTACGCCGGAGCGCTGCGATGCAGCTATGTTGGAACCAGGAAACATACGATCTACTGATACCGGTGTACTATGGCACGGAGGATGAGACGTTCGACCCTTCGAATTGCGGAGTCATCGCAGTACAGGTGAAGAATAAAGAGAATGCCACAACACCGAGAGAGATCTTCGGGGAGGAGTTTATCAATGTCAGCCCGAAGACGCCGAATTCGGGCAAATTGAAGGAGAAGAGTTCTGATCGCAAGCCGATGAAATTTGTGTTCACTCAGATGGCGAACCCGATCCTGTTCCTACTCTTCGATCTAGGGGTGGTCAGCAGCAGTGCGGCTTACGCTCCACTTGTTCAAGTGATGCGCAGTCGAAGTGGAGAGCAACCTGGTTTGTGGGCTATCCATTCGCGAGGACGCGATCATACCATCTTTTGGCTGCCTAGAGCACTTCAAGGCTACAGATTCGAGCGAGCGGTTCTTTGCTGCGATACAAACGGGCAACACTCCGGCCGATCGACTCTCTCAGAGAAATAGAGTGTTCTCCGATATTAATGAAAACTTCAGATATGAGCAAGAGAGTGAGGCCAGAATACAGGAAGTGGAAGCAAGACTTACCGGATCGAAGAGAAAGGAAGTAGAAAGTCCCGAGGACAAGCGGTTCGGCAAAAGAGCGCGCCGGGCATGAGCACGAATATCAGCATGAGCAGCAGGATGTGTAGCAGTATGAGCAGAAACAGAAGCGCGAATTTCGCCTCGACCTCTCACCGGCTTCAATCTGTAGCTGAGAGAGGTCTAATTGATTGATTGATTGACGCAGTTTGAGTCGATTTTGCGAAGGTCGGACAAGGTCCTCTCTGTGTGGCAGTGTGAGGAAATCCAGAGGGACCGTCCCTCCAGGTCCTCGAGGCGTCATGGTCAGGGTAGTGTAGTCAAAGGCGCCCGTCGCTTTCGAGGAGTTGGACGGATCCCTCACTGTTTCTGAAAGGGGACTGTTTCTGGTCCCCAGAGATGGTTATGTGGTGCATGGGAAGGCAAGTCAATCTGGGAGACGACCGAGGTGACAGAATGCTCTACGCCATCGATCAAGCTGCGTCTCCATCCGACCTCGCTGTCCTTGTCGGCTTCATGGTTTGGCTTGGTGTTACAGGTGTTCCAGTCCGAATGGCGTGGTAATTTTGTCACACTGGGTCAGACTGCTGCATCTCCTCACCAGCTATGAAATTTTGCTTTAGGAAACTACCGGCCTTATACACGACACCCTTCCTTACTGTCGCCTCCTCGAGAAAATTATTATCGTGAATCATGAAGCTGTATATATTCGTTAAGTTTCGATAGTGTTCAGACTTGGCCCGGTTCGATTGCTGAATATTGGTGTCATTTCAAAGTTCGCCGTTGGACTTCGTCAGTTTGAGTCCCGCGGTAATCTATTTGCGAACGGCGGCGATCTCATGCGGTTGGGAAGGGCGCGTAGATGTAGGGTCGATAACCCAGTCGTGTGCAAGGATCAACACTAATCGAGCATAGAGTTCTCCTTTGCGCCCCTTTTCGATCAATCCTTTCTCAAGAAGCACCATACAGAGCGTGGAAATGCTCAACGACCAGCGGCCTTCGATGCAGAGATGCTCCATTGCTGCCTTTGCTAAGACTGGCTCAGATGGCGTCGTTGTGTCCATCATTCCCGTCTCGTGGTCCATAGATATGACCACTCTCATAAACGAATTCACCGCCTCCCTTGTGAGGGAGAGAGTGGCGGGGTTCTGCCGGCAGACATCCAAAGAGAGACGAAAGGATAGCGCAGCAGAGACGTGGTTCGGGTCGAGTGGATTGTAATTTGGATCGTTGCTGGCCGCCTAGAAGCTTCAATTTGGCCACGTCGATCATATTCTGTTTCTGACATATATGTGCGTACCAGAGAGGCCTACCGAATAGAGCCATGTGCTCGAGGTCCGCAAACCTCTTTAACGACTTGACGAGCTCCTCTTTCCTCAGTATTGGATTCTGCATCCTTCGTCGGTCCTCGATGTCGAGCTGGAGACTCACAAATGGGGGAAAGCGCATCAGTTCGGCGGGCTCTGTAAGACTGACACGAGCGGAAGGGTCGCGAGGGTAATCGCCAGTTCGGATGATATTGTTCGGCGGTACAAGGTGTCCGATGAGAGATTGTGTTGAGAGGAAGAAAGACCACATACGAAACTTCTTCAGGCAACTGATGACTCGATTGAGCGCCACATAGAGTCCGGTGCGTGGTTCACCAGAGAATCCCTTTTCTATCAAACTTGACGCCCACGATTACCAAGAGTGAGTTAGTGTCACTTACGTTCCGGCATTGCTGAATATTTTTGATCAGGTTTTCGGCAGCATTGAGGAGGCCGGTCAAGGGATCGAGGGGTCCTGTCCACGCTATTTCGAATTGACGACGAATGCTTGAGGAGCGGTCATCGTCGAACTTCTCGACCCAGGCCGGACTGAAAATCAAATCGCTGGCGATAGCCCGAGCTCTCTTAGCTACCGATTCGCAGAACTCGATACGCATCTCGGAGCGTTAGTTCTGAGTGTCGTTAGCATCGGTAGCTGGTGCAAGCGGTGCCATCTCTGCGTGCCTGTCACCTGCAAGCTTTTCTAGAGTCATCTCGCTAAAGGGCTTGCTCTCCACCCAGATATTGACTGACAGGATCGAATTAGCGAGACTTTGGTGACAAAGGCATTAGCAATTTACATATCTCGAAACTGGCTTGGAGCAATGCTGCAGCGAGAGTATGATTCCACGCTACGATCGCTCTCCTCCCCAGAAAATCAGTAGATGTCACCTGCTGGCTGGTGGGCCCGGGGATGTTGTCTGGCCGCTTCTCGCGCAGGAATGACAGTATCTCTTTATCAGGAGGTGGAAAGCCGGAAGTTCCAGGCTCACGAAGAATGAAGTTGATCATGGGACAGAGTTGGCCGAAAGCATCCGCTAATCTTGATTTGCCTCTACTGCTGCTCTGAACGAATACCAAGGTCTTTGCGTAATACTTGCTCACATCGAGTAGCTAGTATCGCCGAATAAGGTCCCGTAGCGCAATTAGAGAGTGCGGAAAATAGGCATTGTTCCAATCTTTTTGCAAGGCACGGAAGATAGCTCTTTTCTGAGGGGAGGTCAGTACGTGGAAGGCGGGACTGTTAGTGTTTGTCTCCTCCTTAGCCAGATTCGGGAATAGCTGTTTATACTATTCTAGATAGTTTTTCTTCAGCCAGCCCTGTAGCTCTTTCTTAGTCATATCGTTTAGCCTCTCTTCGTACTCTTTCGGGTAGTTTTCCCAAAGCCAGTGGTGCAGCTCCCACGGGCTTATATCTTCTCGCTCCTCTTTCGGTATAACGGGCTCTGCTTGGGCGGCTTGAAAGTCTGACCCGGTGTGCCCTGGGTTCGGTTCTGAAGGGGTGCTCATCGTGATGCTACCTAGAATAGCTGGACGTGACGAGAAGAGAGGCGAGGAGGAGAGGCCTCGGGGGGAAGTAGGGAGGAGGTAGTGAGGAGGAGCGACAGGCAACAGCGGCGGCAGAGCTGATGAACCAGGAGATGAGAATATGCCTTGATCGATTCTATTGAGAGGAGAAGAGTGTTCAGTCCGTTGAATGAGCAAAAAGGTTGAGGGATCCCAAGCGGGAGTGACACAGCGAACGCGACACGCCAAGCCAGGAAACACCGCGGGAGTGACGCAACACACGTGACACACCAAGCCAAGATAGGCAACGTCGGAGGCGCACTGGTGTATCGGTTATCGCCGGTTAAGTCCGCAGGTCAAAATAATTTGTGACGCAGTTTTGTTCCAGTACACAATTGGGATCAACTTCGACAGTCAGACAAAGTATGCGTTTGTTCCCACTTGGAGTGTGGATATAAATGCCGCGGCAGAATGCGAAGCCCCAGAACGGCGTGAAGTTGCCGTTTGCATTACGGAAAGAGCTCGGTCTAGAATCGAAGCGACCAGGTGTTCGAAGACAGTATGGAACAGTGAAGAATAGGAAGGAGGAGCGCAAGACAAAGAGGCAAGAGAAAAGACAAAATAAAAGGGGCTCAAAATTTCGGAACATTCTCGATGTTGATGAAGATGGATCTACGGAGGAAGAGCTCGAAGAAGACGACAAGGGCGAAAACCCTTCTCGTCCCCGGCTTGCAGAAAGGAGTGCGGCGAAGATGGATGTCAGAACAGGCGAACCAAAACCGAAATCAATACTGAAGAGGCCGAGGCATCCATCAACGTCGTTGTCCGAGACGTCGTCTCTGCCCAGTTCTCGTCCAACCTCCCCAGGTCTCGTTCTGGACGCCAATTCGCGTGCATACAAAGAGCGTGCTGCGCAGGATGATGCCGAAATTAGCACCCTCGAGAAAAAGCTTGGATTGAAGAAAAACAAATTGTCCAAACCTTTTGCGGATGACGGGTTGGATGATTTACTGGACGGTCTCCAAGAGCAGGACCGGGGAACGAAACGAAAGAACGAGGGCAAAGAGTGGTTAGAGAGGAAGAGAAGGAAGGTCTCTATTGGGAATGAAGAAGGCGACGAAGAGGATGCGTTCGATCTAGATGAAGAGAGCGTCGGAGAAGACCTTGATAGTCTGAACGACGAGGAGGCCGATAGTGAAGACGATTTATCCGAGGTGGATCGAGAAGACGGCCTCGACGAAGAAAACAGTGCCGATGACGACTTCGGACCGGACGACGGAGATGACTTCGAGGGCTTTGAGACTGAAGAAGAAGCTTCACCGGCTCAACCCAGGAGAGTGCGAGAGAATCCCTATATCGCTCCGGTATCTTCAGAAACACCTCCGGCAAAGTACATCCCTCCGTCATTGAGAAAAGCGCCGAATTCGGAAGCGCCATCATTGGGGAAATTGAAACGACAAATACAAGGCCACTTAAACAAACTGTCTGAAGCCAACCTAGTCTCAATTTTGGGCGAGATCGAAAAGATCTACCAATCGAACCCTAGACAAGATGTTACTTCCGTGCTCATCGATCTGCTCCTGACGCTCTTCTCAAACAAATCAACACTCCAGAATACATTTGTCATTCTCCACGCGGCGTTCACGGCTGCAGTCTACAAAGTTGTCGGCGTTGACTTTGGGGCAGAAGCACTTTCGCAACTCGTTGATCGCTTTGAGCAATATCACCACGACACTTCTACTGGAAAAGAAGCACTGAATTTGATCAGCCTCCTGTCCCATTTCTTTACGTTCCACATCGTTGGCAGCGTCATCATCTTCGACCATATCCGCCTCTTGCTGGCGAAACTGAGCGAAAACAACACAGAACTATTACTTCGACTGGTTCGAGATTGTGGTCCTCAGCTCAGACAAGACGATCCATCTTCACTCAAAGCTGTTGTACAATTGATGCAAAAGGAAGTAGCGCACATGAACTCCGCAGGAGAGCAGATGAGTGTCCGGACCAAATTCATGATTGAGACGATCACGGATTTGAAAAACAATAAAATGAGAGCCGCCACGAGTAACACCGGAGTCTCCAGCGAGCACATCACACGCATGAGAAAAGTACTCGGGTCATTGAATAGTCGCAACCTCAAAGCCTCCGAGCCATTAAGAATAAGTCTTGACGACATCAAAAGTAGCGACCAAAAGGGGAGGTGGTGGCTTGTGGGAGCCAGATGGAAAGGGAACGAGCCAACAACGACAACAACGGCGGCGGCGGATGAATTTATTAATACATCCGCTCGAAATGCCCCACTGCTCGACGATGATGCGGATTCGATCGATCTCCTTGCCCTCGCTCGACAATATGGCATGAACACCGACGTGAGACGGTCAATCTTTGTCGCACTCCTATCGGCTGTCGACTATCAAGATGCGTACATGAGAGTGCTCAAGCTCCGTCTCAAGCGATCTCAGGAGCAAGAGATTCCCAAAGTCCTTCTCCGTTGTGCCGCCGGGGAGAAGCCATATAATCACTACTATACACTTGTGGCGAAGAAACTTTGCCTCGACAAGAGAATGCGCAAAGCCTTCCAATTCGCGCTATGGGGCTTCTTCCGGCGATTGGGCGAGAATCCAGATCTGGAGGACGAATACGATGAGCAAGACGAGCAGAATGTGGTGGAAATCAGCGAAATCGCCAATCTAGCACGGTTGTTTGCGCATCTGATTCTCGACGGAGCAGAAACGGTTGGCGTGCTAAAAGTCCTGGATCTGGCTTATGTCAAAGAGCGAACGATGATGTTTGTCGAGTTGTTGTTCATCATGGTCATGACGGAGGCGAAGGATAAAGAAAATTCATTGGCCCGAGTGTTTGAGCGCGTGGTCGAGACGCCGCAGATTCTCAAGAGATTGCAGTTCTTCATCAAGAAAAATGTGTGGAAGTCGGATTTGGTGGCTAAAGCTGACAGAGAAGTGGTCAAGCGAGGCTGTAAGGTTGCGTTGGAGACTCTGGGTCGTTTGAACATGGGGACTTCTGCGCTCGATGACTGAGTCGACAGGACTTACGAGAGTGTTTGATCAAGGATCACTAGCCAAAGGAGAACCGTTTGCAACAATATGACCATGATTCAAACGTCCTGTTTCATCGTCTACCAACATTCGATCTATAAGAGAACCGCATCTTAACGCAACATGGCGAACTTTTCCATGACGAATCCCCAAATCATCTAGCATATCATTTCGAACCATCTGATTTCTACCGGCCATCACGACCAACAAAACGCAAGCATGCAATATTCTATCGATATTCCGATCGAATTACTGCAAGCCATCATCCTCGAGCTCAACAAATGCAGCCAACAACTCCACAACCGTAATCTTGGTCTGGCAGCCGACACCATCACCGTCACTGACATCCTCCGATTCTGGGTTCTGAACGCCTCCGCTTCTGTCCCCGAGCCCGAAGCCAAAGCCGGCGGAGATGAAGATGCAATTCGTCTTGTCGCCAAAGATGTCGTGGCATCGATTCAAAGCTGTCTCAACGCCATCCACGAACTAAGAGCGCATCATCGGAAAATCGTCCAATTGAAAAGGGATGTCCTGGAGGTTTTGGAGCAGGAGAGAGTGGAGAAGAAGGCGGAGGTTTTGATGAGACGGTCCTCGAAGGGTGAGAGCAGCGGTAGTTGAAGAATCGGGAAACAGGAGGTAAAGGCGAAACGAAAGGATTCTTCGGCAAGAAGAGGTCGAGAAGTGAGCATTTCAACAGTTTTGACCCAGATCATGGATATTGACGTTATTTTGCTTTGTTTTGATTCGATGAAGTCAACGGCAAGGACAGTGACCAAATGAGGAGGAGGAGGTGAGTCTGGACATGCTGAGGAGAGATCTTTTTTAAAATTTAAATTGCAATACCGCAATCCATCACGATATTCTGACCGGTTATGGATTTGCTGAGAACGAGGGTCTTGATTTGCTCGGCGACATCGTCCGGGGTAGCTAGAGATTTCAGTGCCGATTTTTCAGTCGTCGCTTTGATTTTGGATTCTGGGAATTGATTGCCCCTGTTCGGGCCGTGTCAGCGATACTTCTCTTCATCGAACCCCTAATTGAAACACAGGGATGGACTTCTCTCAAGTGTCGAAAATAAAACATGTCACCAAGACTTACCACTCCGTCAACATCAATCCAGGACTGACACTATTACACCTAACCTTACTTCCACAAATCAACGCCAGACCCTTCGTGAGATGGATTTCCGCCGCCTTCGTCACGGCATATGGCAAGCTACTCCCACTGGGCCGCACGCCTGCGAGACTGGCGACGGTGACAAAGGCGCCGCCCAGACCACTGACTTCGTCGGCGATCTTTTCTAGATGCGGTTTGGCTGCGTATAGAAGCCACAAGTGGCTCTTGACGTTGAGATTGAAGCAACGGTCCCAATCGTCCTCGTTGACTTGCTGTTCCAGGTCGAAGAAATTGGTTAGTCGTGTCCAGCCGCCGTTGCTGACCACGACATCCAGGCGTCCCATCGTAGCCACCGTCTCCGAGACGAGGCGCTGGATCTCACTGCGCTGGGAGATGTCGGCTTTGATGGCGTGGAAGCGGGGGCCCGAAGATTTGTAAAGGGGAGGGATGTTCGAGGCTTCTTTCATCACTTGCTCGGCCTTTTCGAGGCGTGAATTGTAATTGACCACCACCCGGAAGTGGGAGGCGAGGGCTTTCACGGTAGCAGCCCCTAGGCCGGCACTGGAGGCGGTGACGAGGGCGACTTTGGCTGTCATTGTGAGAGGCTGCTCGTAGAAATTTAGAAAACGGATTGGAGGAAGAAGAATGAGAGAGGAAAGTGCCGAGGATTGATAGGGAACAGTCAAAGATTTTATTCAGCATTGATTTCAGACGTCCATTTGCGCGTCTTCTCCGCAGACTGTTTTCTCTTTAGTGGCGGAACAATTTCCGGGATCAATTCCGTGGGTGGAGGTGGGGGGAGAAGAGAGAAAAGGGGAAGAATTCCCAGCCTTGTGAATTAACCTGAGCGTTTTCAAGGTCTGCCTTCTCCGTTCTGATTGAATGCCATTTTGTTTCGAGTTCTTCGGTCTTTCGTTGGCTTGCTTGGAATTCCCTACCGCGCTGCCTAATAGAAATGTTTCAGTTGACCCCAACAAAGGCTACTTATTGAACTCACTATTGTGACATGTGGCGCAGGGCTTGATTGAAATCCCAGGTTTGTCAGAGCACAAGAAAAGATACGGCCGCCACGCCCAGCTTGAAAACATAAAGTCATATTGGAATGCTTTCGATTCAAGAGTCAATTGCAGCACATCTGCATAGCGCTCTTGAATCATCTCATTAAGCCTCTCAAACACTCGCCAGATCGTTTTCACATGCATGTTGGCAGTGACTCGGGGTCTTACTGCTATCAATTCCTGCTTCGGCCAAAGCAGTATGAATTCAAAGCTTGGATAGCAATCATTTGCTAAGACAGACCGCTTTGGTGTTTCCTGACGAGGCCGCTCCGGTCCCGACACAGGATTGCAAGTCTCGCTTGGCCTGGAACTAACATCAAATTTACTCGTTCGGTCGAGGCCAGCATACCGCTTGCCATCGTATTGAGGTTCCAAAAAAAGGGTGTAAGAATTCTGTTGAAGGGGAATTATTAAGACGAATGCGTTTGTCTTGCGAGTCCATGATACAAAGTTAATGGCAGGGCCGTTGAGGACAACTCTTGTCACGAGACAATGTGAACGCTTTAACGAGCTTCTCGACCGCATAGTACGAAATGCTCTTTTTGTCAGCTTGGTCGCGTTTCCATTCAGCCCCAATTCGGAGTCTGGAAGAGCGAGCCTTATTTACTCACCACAACAACTTCCCAGGTATATTTCCAACTTTGGCTACCATAAGGCTGAAAGGTTTCTTTGGGATGTTGCCTATTCGATACGAGGCTGAAAGCAGGTCAAAAAGGGAGGAGGAGAAGGAGAAAAGGCTGCAGAAATCTTGAAAAGTTGATATGCACTGCTTGATCGCATTTGAACAAGACTTTTCACGTTCACTTGCCGTACGAGGCTCATCTCATCTATGCATCATCGGTATCGTGATGTTATCCTTCTACAGGGAAAAGGACTTGACCGTCTCAAAATGCACCTCCCTCAGCCCCTTCAATCAGCATCCTACCACTCCTTCCATGACAGGATCAACGCCTCGCTTCCATGAGCATCCAAGAGAAATCCTTGAAGTTAGAAAGCTACGCCAGTAAATGCCACGTCAAATGAAAGTAGAGTAGAATGGTTGACGGTATCCACCACGCCCTGCAGGGCTTGACTTTCAACTGAAGAACTTCTTGTAACTTTCCTTTTCCTTGCGGATGCTGTCTGCCAGAGTTTTCTTGGTTTTGGCCAATTCATTCTTAATTGCGGCATCCTCCGGAGCCAATTGGGCCGCTTGTCCGTAATCTTTCAACGCTTCTTCCAAGTCTTTGAGAGCCACTCGAGCCTGCGCTCGTCGGAAATACGCTTTCGCCTTGTCCGTGTCCTTTGCATCTTTGGGGGTGGCATCAATGCCAAAAGTGGCCCACTTCTGAGCTTCATCATACCGTTTGGCTTTGTTGGCCAGGAGGGCGGAATTGCTGTGGAGGGTGAATCTCAGATGATCCATGTTGTTTTGCAGGTCTTTGGGGTCCGTTTCGTTGGCCGCTGGGTACTCGTTGAGATATCTCAGGCCTTTCTGGTACTTTTCAATCCCTGTCTCCACATCACCCGCTTTGAATGCTTTGTTTCCGAATTCCTTGAGATCCAGCGCGATTTGGTAGTACTGCTCACCCTTCAGCCCTTCGCCTTGATCGTCCGGGAAATCTTCATAAGGGTCGCCGGTGGCGTCGGCCGCTTTTTGAGTGGCGGTACTATAGCCCTCCCCTTCAAGTTGTCCGCAGTCGGCAACTATCACATCACCGGTGGACGGTTTGTCTGATTGAGTAGGGAGGTTTTCAATTTTGCGGACAATGTTTTTGCCATTGATGACTTCGCCGAACACGACGTGCTTGCCATCGAGATGAGGAGTGGGTACGGTGGTGATGAAAAACTGGGAGCCATTGGTGCCTAGAAACCCGAAGTCAGCTTCATACCGAGGGAAGAGGGCATGTTCCTTACCCGGTCCCGAATTGGCCATGGACAACAAGAAAGGACGGTCATGCTTCAGTTCGAAGTTTTCGTCATCAAACTTCTCGCCGTAGATCGATTCCCCTCCAGTGCCGTTGAAATTGGTAAAATCACCACCTTGAATCATGAAAGACTTGATTACTCGGTGGAAAATGGAACCTGCGTCCGTTTAGTACCTCTCTCGGTCGGCACCGCATGGTGTGTAATTTTCTACCTTTGTAGCTCAGAGGCTTTCCCGCTTTTCCCATGCCTTTCTCACCAGTACACAGAGCACGGAAGTTCTCGGCGGTCTTGGGTACGACTGAGAGTCAAAGTTAGCCGGGGGAGGACGGTCCAGTGAGCAACGGGAGGGATACCGTCGTTGTACTGTACGTTCGGTCAGCTCTGAAAATATCTGAGGAAATGGCGCACACCTACAAGTTCAAAGACGATCCGACCCTCCTTCCGACCGCCGATGGTAATGTCGAAATAGACCCGGGGTCTTCCTAAAAGGGTGGTCAGGCTATGATGTTGCCAATCAAATATGTCAAGGCTTACCATTTTGCGACGCCATGGTGGACACGGAGATTGTTGTAAACTTAACTCGAGGAAAACGAAATGAAAGCAGAGAGGTACTTGATTCTGAAGGAGGAGGAGTCGAAGTGTTTGTGGAGGTCAAAGTGGTGGAACTGGTCAATGGTGTTGATGGTGGATGCGCACAAAACTTTCTTGAATGTTCGAAGGGTTCCTTTTAGTTAGGCCCCGGCCTGCCTACCAATCATAAGCCGAGGGTGCCTGAGGGGACCAAATAGCGGGGGCTCAGCCAGCCAACGTAGGAGGAAGGTTTGACGAGTTATGTAACCTGCTGCGGCCCTTCTCCTCTCCTCGTTGCGGCCTACACGAATTCCAGACACATATCAGGTGCAGCATCGGCCTCCCATTCAAGATGTGATTTCCCCCCTTCCCCCCTCTCCTTCTTCTCCTTATACATCTACGCTTGAAGGACCGGTCCCTCGATATCGCACGGCTGTCTAGCTTTCCCTGGTATGAGTGCTCGAGCTTCGAAATCTGCGTCGACCCTGATTACAATTCTGTGAACCCTCTTCTCTCCCATATGATCGACCTTCAGAATGGTCGAAAATACATGTTGACTGCGCTGAGCCACACACTAATGACGGCGAGAATTCTAGAGGATGCCTTGCAAGACTCAGTTAATACTGGCCAGTTTCAACCCCGTCTTCCGAGACTGTTACCGATCTAGCGAATTGATCACCTTGCCAATATTCCGGCCGACTTCCATTGGATCGAACCTGAACCTGTTCATAAATCCGCAATTCAATTGCGGATGCTCGGACTACGCATCACCTTACAGACAATCACTGTCAGATTGGATGGCACCTGATATGCAGATCCCCGACATATGAAGGACGAGCACAATTTCGAGGTAGAGCAGGCCGCGTGGCGGGATTGTAATCGCATTTTTAGGGAGGCCTAACCCACCAGTCAAGTTCCATCACTCTTCCACAAAGCGAGGCATAGTTGGGATGTTTTTCATCTCAATTTTTGGGCGGGAGCTTACCAGATCCAAAGTTTGGAAATCTGTCTTAATAAGGACTTGTCTATACGGTCACCTGATTCAGAAGAAGTTCAATTCAGCAACGACGTCCGTCCGAGATGACATTGTCACCAAGAACAGATCGGCCACGTCATCGGACAGCACACTCGAGCGTGGCAATTGTTCCTGAGCAAATCATGAGACAGTGGACGACGTTTTCACTTGTCGATGTTGTTGAATTTGGTTGGTCCAAAGTCCAAAACGATCTCGTCAATATCCCACTTCCTATTGCGTTGCAGTTAGCAGAAACCATCGGCCAAGTGAAATGTATCTTTCCGTTTCACAATTGGCAAGGAAGTTGTCTAATCTGGATTTCGATTCGCTGTTGACCTCCGACCACTCAACCTTCCCTTTGCTCTTTCGCCCTTTCACCATCAGCCTGATCCCGCACCCACATCCTCAGACTGCTACGGAAGTCCAGACTTTAATTCCAGCTACGTTCCAGATCTTTGATAAAGACTAACTATACATATCTCCGACTCAGCCCCAGTAAGTAATCGCCTGTATGCCGTTTTTGATACCTAAAAAGTCTGCTCGCTTCATCGATTCCATGTTCGGGTTGGAACAGACCCGGCCCTTCTTAGCTATGCCGAACTTTGAAGCGGAATGTTTGCGACACACACCATTTGTGAACCTTCCAATCCTGAGTGTTTAGCGCAATCTTTGCACTGGTGGACGATAGCAAGAGTTAGCTCGGTCCAAAAGACATCCAAGAATACCACATTCGAAGACATCCAGGAATACTACATTCAAAGACGTCCAGGGATACCACATTCAAAGACATCCCTTGGCTTACCGTGACAGTTCATTTGCCACCACCTTGACTACAATGACCTGGTCGACATGAAAGCTCGAGCTTGATCCATGTAGCGGCAACGGTAGCGTCAAGTGGGTAGGGACGGCCTGGTGAAGACGTCCTCCTTGCATTCAGTCCACATCACGTGCCGATATTGACCGCAACTTTGTTTTCAGTTCGCCGACACATGCAGTTTCGGTTTAGCCTAGTCTAAGATAGGTTGAGCCAAAAGGCTAGACAAAGGCTGGAAAAGACGCCGTGGTAGGAGTCCGGGTTAACACGTCATTCTCCTGCTGAGATCGTGTGACTGAGCAGGGTGAAGCGGCGCAAGACCGTAGATGCAGCGACAAGCAAGCCGATTGCCTGCGGCGAAGATCCCTGCTAAGGTAGACACGGGTATGTAGGACAAATCACACGTTGAGGTCTGGGACCGAGTATGTATGCGTCTACCCATACCACCAATTGCTTTACAGTATGACACGAGGACTCGATCAACCGCAGCGATACGACATGATCATAGGATGAAGTCTTGAATAATTCAAGGGAGGGGGGTTGGAAAAATATCCGTGAAGCCTATGCAGTCCAGGAGAAGAACGTTTCATCTCTAACCTTGGAAACTCATATTCATGACCAGGACGAAATTTTCAACCCACCGTAGCACCATCACACAAAACAACCAGAGGTCGAATGACGAACAAGAGCAGAGAACCGAGGACGGCGGGCAGTCATACAGGAGAAAAAAGGGTGGCGGCAAGCTCGGACGGGGTGTTACTCCTGTGCCGCAATGCGATTGACGAGAACAAACTATGTGACTCAGTTTCCTACAAAACAGATTCGCCCTGCATGTTCTCTCCAGACTGGACACCCTGCTGCTGTTCAACCTTGTTGTCGGAGGCAAGTCAGTCACCACTTCGGCGACGTGCAGAGAAAGAGACTTGTTAGTGAACATGAAGGTTAGCATCGACGGTGTCCTCGTTCTCTATTTCGATTTCCCTTGTTCTCTCCTTTTCTTCCATCATAGTACATATGTACCTCCCCCTGACAAGTTTGATACAGTATTTCCGCCTTCGGAAGAGAAGAGAAGAGAAGTGAAAGGACACGAAGATCGACAAAGACTATCGACTCTTGAATTCTTGATTCAGCCTCGCCTTTGCTGCCGTTCAAAAGAACCATGGAAGAGTCGGTCAGTTGTCCCGTCGCGTTGATCTATGTTGTCGGTATATCGGATACCAAAATGCTGCTTGACATATGCTAGTCTTGATGGTGTCTGCACGGGCGGTGGTTTACCACTTCCGCCTTTACCCCTCGTGACGTCTAGCACGGACACCGCGAGCTGAGGCGCGTGTTTTCAGGGATCGGGGGACTAGCACACTTGACGCCCGATTGTCAAGCATGTCAATAGACTCTGCCTGGGGCGAGGAATTTTCCAAGCGCACACGTCCATGCCCCGTGTGCATGTGGGTGATCTGTGCTCTGCAATCTAGACTTGACAGAATGGCAGCCACGGCTTAGCGTATAGAGTATGTACTTAATACACATAGGCCAACAGCATCCATGAATACGCTATCTCCGTATCGTCACCAGACTAAGCGGAGAGCTTTCCGAGGAGTAATGGAAAGCGGGGGAAAGAGGACAAGTTTCGCACAGAAGAATTATTTTATGCCTCTGTGGGGTGGCTGGCACAGTGAGATTCTATCGGTACGTTGGCAAGGCCTGCTTGAGTTGGAGGGGAGGAATCCAATTGAACAGGGGTGAGTTTGGGACTGAGATGGGAAATGTGGTGCGTTTGCTTGCGCTGTGTTGCGGTCTGGACATAAGTCGTCCACATCTCTGGATGATATGGCTAGGGCGATGAGAGGAGTAGAAGAGAATGTGGACAACGAAAGAGACTTTGCTTGGTTTGTAGCCTAGAATGCTTACCGGCAGTTCATCGATATCCAGATGTCCACATCACACGTGCTCGATAGCAGGTAACCGAATTCGAAAAAGAATTAATAAGACATTCTCTGGGCTGATCGGATAATACCTGCAACTGTACCTGCATATTAGTACCCGAATAGTTCCCGCGGCAGGCATATTCCAGTGGCGATGAATGACAACGACCGGACCTACTGTACTCATGAACGAACCTGTAAGGGCGCCTTGTGCTTTTTTCGTATCACGGATGATCATGACCATGACAAAGGTCCAGTAGGACGAATTGCTGAAAGCTCGTTCCTTTCGACGAACCATATTCTCCTGTTTCTGGTCAGAGCCAAGGCCAGGTGGGAGGCGAAGCTGATGGAAGTAAAACCTGGTAAGCAACAAACATCCCTCGCTTGTTTGCTGTCCGTGGTTTAGTGGGAAGGTGGATCTTTCTGAGGGATGGAGGTCTCAGAAGCGATGATGCGCATATATATGGGACCAACCGCATCCAATGAGAATGTAGATGGCCTTTTCCATCTATTGACAGGCGTCAAGCATCTGCTGAGTATATTCTATCACAACATCACTTCGAGACAACTACCCCGGTGCTTACTGTAGCCGCCGTTGCGATTCCGCTTGCGCCTGTAATGAACGTCGAACGTATGAAGCTGTGATAACCAATCAGGGGTTCAGAAAAAAGAAGCCCAGTCGGTGGTCACGAACATGGTTTGCACCATTTGGCGCCCACCCACCTGGCTGTAACGATATGTGCAGGTTGTAGCAAGGGGGGAGATGGATATTACCCATGTGTTGTGGTCCTTTTTTTTTTTTTTTTCCCGTAGGATCTCTGCCGCATACATGAATGTCTCAGATGACGACGGGGTTAGTAGTCATACAGTTGGCGCCGATGGATTTATCTGGGAACCAACAACGATGAGATCAATAGGATAGGTAGACAAAAGGGTGGGCGCATCAACATGAAACATGACCCATGAGAGTCCTTATTGGTTGGATTCGATTTAGGGCCCCCCGCAGAATATTATTCTCTTTCCCCACCACTTCCCTGCGGATGGCATGGGTTAGCGAGGGAGCATGAGCGAGGCGATATCGATCTCCCTATCGCTATCGATAAATTATCTATACGTTAGGGGGTCAATGGATCTGCGTCAGGATGTGGATGGGAATGGGGATAAAAATAGGAGACTTTGTCGAACTTTTCATGCAAAAGCGGGAGCTCCTTCGACATGCAGGTGGACTCCAGAGATGGAAACAAAGTCCACCAGCAGGGCGACGACTCGAACAGTTCAGGGACATAACAGAAAAGGGGAAGAGCGAACATATGCTGTTTGGTGGTGATGATGGTGGTGGTGGTCTTGGTCACCCCCTTGCATCAGACGTTGAACTCTGAGTACCCTCGCCTGGAAAGGCCATCACAGCTCCTACGAAAGAGGCTTTTCGCCTCGAAAAGTGAGACGGCTTGTGGCTTGCTGAATTGCTGGCTCACCGGCCGCTCGGTATGCCCGCGGTCAAGCCATCAGGCGACTGCGACCAATTGAGCAGTTAGCTCTGACTTTGCGATGTCCATTGCAAAGTTTCAATCGATCTGTAGGCAAGCTTGAAACCATAATACATGTGAAAGTTAAAGCCGAGGCGGAATACTCCAGGCAAAGGACGAGCTGTTTGGGACCGACACATGGAGGCAAAGATCTGCCCATTACTGCAGCAGAGTCCATCCCTCGTCTCGTGGTACTGAATCGAGTAAAGCTTGTCTCGAAAGGCGGGGGAACAAGCAAAGGATAGTACCCAGCGAAAGGATGGGAGGGACCCCGCCTGTTGTGTGTGTCAGGCAATGGATTAAAAAAAAGCCTCAAAAGATCCCAGATCGCACAAACGTTGAATTCCCTTCCTCCATTCTCCTCTTCTTACCAAAGCAATTCGTCACTCATGAATCAAAGGTCGTCAGCCCACCAAGTCAGCAAACTCATTCTTTCCCTGGCGAAATGTCTTGTATACCAGAGTCTGCTGAACTTGGCAAGAGAGTAAGCTCCATGCGTCGTCATTGATGAGAGATCAGAGGATCCAAGACTCTAATTGTTTTTCCTTCCCTTGCCCACACGAGCAAACTTGCGTCTTGAGGGTGGCCTGATGCTGAATAGTAGTCGATTGAGAGAATTGTGCGTGCCTCGTGGGAATATTTCGGAGCAGAGTCTCTTGGCAGAGAGTTGCGTATCACAGAGAGTGGGTCTGACCACCGATTGAGCCCAGTTGTCAAACCCCCAGTAAAATGGGGGTTTTTCAGGTACCTTTCCATCCAGTTTGCCTCCCTCCGCATAGCCGGCGCTTTTTAGTTCTCTTTCAACGACGTCGTTGAACAGTCTTTCGCACTCGCTTTTCCACATCTTTGGGCCAAGCCAACCTCCTCACGTGATTGACCAACACTCCGGAAAATCTATAATCCGAAAATCCCAAATCCTTTGCCCTCATTGGCTGAAATCCCGTACGGGAAGAAATGCCGCCTTTGTCTGCCAACCCCCCCGATCGGATCCAGTCGAGTAGACGATGTCGTTGACTGTGTCCTTTGCCCTCATTGGTTGACTGAAAGAGATGCCGAATTCCTGCGCCTTTGTCTGCGCTCTTTCATGCGCCTTGCGGGAGATTTTCGATAAATACTACGGTAAAACGGACGACTCTCCCCTTTATGCGGCCGCCCTTATTCTTCGTCCAAATCGCCGGACGAAGTATATTCGTGCGAATTGGAAGGCGAAATGACAAAAGCCGATGTTGAAAATGGTGAAGGAGCTTTGGGAATTTAATCGAGAAAATACACCTACTTCTCTGATGACTTCGTCATACGAAAAGGAACCCTCTCAAGGCCAGGAACTTGATGAGTTTGGTCGAATTGCTCAAAATCTCGGAAAGTATACTCGGCCAGCAGGTCAGGACGACTAGGAAGAATATAGTACCAGGGGACCGTACGATATTAGGAGAATGTCTGCCCCGAAATAGTGGTGTTAAGACCCTACAGAGAAATCGGTGACCAAGGGTATCGTATATAGCCATTGACATTCTATCAACTCCAGCTATGAGCGACGAACCAGAGCGAATCTTCTCCAGAGCACAGTGTACGGTCTCGTGAGAGAGGGTAGAATGTTTATAGCACTGGAGATGAAGTCGTATATCAGACGAATCAATTGGATTGTGATTTGGTGGGGGTGTCTTCTCCAGAAGTATCATCTGGGTCATCGATACGATCCGATATGAGGGTTCCCATGCGATATAAGATCAGCAGTGGATACAGGAGAAGACGAGGATGACAAATATGATTCATTTCAAACTATTCTAAATCTTGTTGTTCTATCTCAAGTCGACTTGACATCGAAGGGCGCTAAGGAACGAAGGGTGCGAGCAAGATTCACCTTCTTCCTGCAATTGCATAAAGATATCCATTCCACGACATGTCATCGTGACCGTGTAGCAACTCAGAGAACCACGCGGCACGACTTTGCCATCTCAAGCATTCAAACGTCTTGAACGGCCCCTCCGCTTTGCGACACCTTGCGGTTTCGATGGTGCTAGCGGATGTCTCTCCTTAACGCGATCCTTCTTCCTTTTTGTCGCCCTCGTCAAGGTCTCTTTCGTCTGCGGGCTCAGCTCTTTCCATGGTGGCAGTGTCAGGTTCTCTTTGTCTACAGCTTTCACAGTCTCGGACGAGACGCCAATACCATTTAACCGTCGTTCCCTTTCTGCAATCCTAGGGCTGCGACGGGGTGCTGGAGTGGGCTTGGAGATATTTGAAGGCTTAGCCGGAGCTCGAGACGCTTGTTGCCCTAGTCGGGTTTTCCGGGCAACCGGAGAGGCAATTTCGACCTGCGGCGTCGAGCAGGTTGTCCGGGTGTCCAAACGTGTCAGAAGCCGACGCGTGGTCGGCCGACGCTGTTGCTTGCGGTTATTACGGTCATTGTAGGTCTTGCCACGTCGGCATGGTGTTGCACAGAGGGAAAGAGTCCCCCCTGTTCTGCGCAAGGAGCCATGTCGGCGCCGTTCTCCCGCAACCGCTGTGCTGACTCTCCACCAATGGGTTCGGCTGTAGCTCCTGGCCTATTGCCTTCGTCATCGCCATCACCATCTGCGTATGGCTTCGAGGTTGGCTGTGCATAAGTAGGTGGTGCTGGGTCGGGGTCGTAGCCAGGGAGAAGCCCGAAGATTTTGCTCCAAGTCGGACCCCGAGGTTGAAGAGACGACGGCCTCGGTGGAGATGGGGGTGTAGGAGGGCGTATCGCTTCTAGCGCATCAATCTCGGATGGGGTGAACTCCATGTCGTTCGGATCCGGAGGTTCTGGTGACGGGGACTCATGTCTCCATTTCCATCCCGGCAAGTCTCTCAAGTCACCCATCCAGTTTCCCAGCGCATTTTTACTCCAGCTGTCCTTCCAGTATCCCTTCTCTTTCCATCTTGCTGTTACATTCGCCCGCGCCGGATAATAGACATCGACCAGCGACTGCTTTGGATCGCGATTCAATCTCACCTCCTCCTCAGCAACCTCCAGTGCCCACACGTACCAAGGTCGGGTCATGATTAGGGACTCACGATCGTCCGCGTCGACGTCATATAGCTTTCCAGCTTCTGAAGACTGTAGCTTCAGAGTCTCGCTCCAGCGGCCCTCTCTCGAGAGATGCAGTCGAATCGCTCGCTCGTTTGGGGTTTCCTCATCTGGCGAGGGCCAACTAGCCATTTTTTCTTCGTGTGGTAAGTAATTGAACTTCCGCTTTATGTACCGCGGTTTCCGGTCCCACGCCCAGGAGTAAGGGCCGTCGTCGTTGCCAAACCCCCCTAGTTCGTCAGTTGGTACTCCCCATTCCGGGTTCCAGACTCCCAGTTGTTGCCATCGCTTTTTGATGCTGTGTCTGGCCATGATATATTCCCTCTGTTGACCCGGACGTCCGATCAGATCAGGTCCACGATAGAGCGGAATATAGTTGGCATCTCGTCTGCTATATGCGTCATCGATCCGCTTCTTTTCTTGACGGACTTCGTCGTCGTATCGATCGCGTGGGTGATACCGCTTAAATCTCCCCCGGATCAAATTGATCTCATAGTCACTCAACGGTTTGCGAAGAAGTTCGTCTACATCGATATCGTCCGCGGTCGGGGGGAATAGGTCAGGAGTTGGCAATCTCGTGGTGCTGTGCGATGAATATGGTGGTGGCTCATCTTGGTTGAAACGACGCTCTCGGTACTCAAGGAACGCCGGATCATCCTCCATACGCTGGAGAGTGGGCATGATCGCGTTCAGACGAGCTGGATTGATGTCGTGGATGGAATGCAGCATTGTGACGATTGAAGAACGGGTAAAGAATGATTGCAGTTGACGGGCAGGACGAAGTGTGGTGGACATCGTTTTAATCTAGCAGCGCCCATAGCCTCAACGCGTCAGTGCAGTCGGGCGCGTAAACAGGCGCACCCCAGAAAGGTTCCTGTCGTTGTTGACTAGGGTGTCTCCCAACACCCCTCATTCTCAAGCCCGCTTCCCTTCTGTACAAGTGCCTCCCTCCGGCTAGGTCCATTGTCTTACCTCCCTTGTTAATGATGTGAGACATTATGCCTCGCCAAATACCTCATCCTCAGATGATCTTTCACCCTGTTCCGCACGACTGCTCTCCCAAGGCCAAAGAGATGCTTCTTCACCCGGACAACAAACCATTTGTATCTCTGTACAAGAAAGCTGCCGGACCGGACGAGGAAGATCAGTACGGGCTCGAGATCGGCTATCACGTCCAGACGAGGCCTCGTTCTCTGGTGATAGTAGAAGTGGGAAAGAACGCCGACCTTGTGATGCCGGGGTCGAACATCTCCCAAGTTCACTTTTCTTTTGAGATCCATCCAGAATCCCGTCAAATCATGTTCTGGGACCGGTCCCGACTTCACAGCACCAAGATAAGCCCCGATGGCTTCAGGGTGGATGGGAATTTCCGCCAGGTCGTCTTGCTGCCGGGAACGGAATACAAAATTAGCGCTGGCGCACGCCTGCCACCGGGGCCGTCCAGCGAACGATCGAGGTTGGACGGCTAGGAAAGGGAGCGTTCGGTGAAGTGTGGAAAGCCGTGGACCGCGATTCGGGATGCTTCATCGCGGTCAAGAAAATTTCTTTGCCCCCCCCGAGTTTGACTTTGCGGTGTCCCCTGAAGAGGACCAATTACGGCGTGAAGTCAAAATCCTTTCCAGTTCTTCTCACGTACGTCTCCTCACCTATTGGCTATGATGTTGGATTCTCACAATGTGCACAGAAAAACATTGTCGAATACCTAGGTTCGTCAGGTTGGGATACCGGAGCCGTGAACGTCTATATGAGCCTCAAGACTGGAAACTTATGCCATTTACTCGATAAATTTCCGGCTGTACGTTCTAATTGCAAGGTCCTCACGCAATTATTGCATGAAATGCTCGAGACGCTGGATTACCTGACTTTTCGAGGCTGGATCCACCGGGACGTCAAGCTCGAGAATATTCTCTACACGCCGTCGGGCGATGAGGAATACCTGTTCCAGCTAGCCGATTTCGGCTTTGCCAATCAACATCGACTTGCAAATACCTTCTGTGGCACTCCCTTTTACATGGCCCCCGAAATAGTGTACGGCACGCATTCCCAATCCCCCCAAATGGATGTCTGGTCTCTCTTCATTGTACTCGCTATCGTGACGCAGGCAGGGGGGTTCCATGACCCGAATCTGTCCTGCTATGGAGAAGTTCTGCGCTGTGCTAGAGCTGCAGCGGCTCAACACATACATCTCAGCCCGGTGGCGCAGGAAAGTCCAGAATTACGGGCATCAGCGGCGCAAATGCTCGTTAAGTGCTTTGATGGCCAGGGACTGAGCACACCACGGCATCTAGTTGGACCAATACCAGACCCCGGAAGCGCTCCAGAGCATGCAAAATAACGCGGTTCCAGCCCGAAGTCGTAAGTTTCCACCACTTAGCCATGGTTGCATGTCACGTGCGAGCTCGCGACTAAAGGTTGAGGCGGCGAGGAGTGGCTATTACGTTACTTGTCATTAACAACCACCCGTACTCGGTTTGGCCCTCGATTTCCCCCAGATTCCCTGACTTTGGAGAGGCTCGAATCGGAGCATCGTGCCCCCGACGCGTTGTTCAACTTGGAATGGAACTCAAGTGTTGATATTTTCAACGTTGCCGTCTTAGTAAGTATAGCTGCCGCCCGAGACCCCTCTGACTACAATTCCCGCTGAATTTCGTGTCCTAGATATGGGATCTGTTCGAGAATCGGCATTTGTTCTATACGCCGACTTCCCAGATTCTGAGGCCTTTCCTCGTGGACTTGTCGATGGTCATTGTCCGATCGCCTCCATTCGTTACTCTTGTGTCTACGGGATCGATCATCTTGAGAAGGTTAAAGGGTTCTAACAACGCCCTACTCTATAAGGAATATATCTTAGATGGAGGGCGTGTCCACAAATTCCTCAAGGAGCATCTCCTTCATTAGTTCGAGGCTCTTAGTCTTATTGGCGAGGTTGACCAAAGAATTCATGGGCTATATAGCTTAGAGCGGATGATTCAGGAGAGACCAACAAAGTTATCATCATCCGAAACCGGCCTCAACCACAAAAGTTTTGTACATGTTATTCGGGTCTTTCGTCAATGCCGTGCAGCAGTCGAAGAGGCACCACTTCAGTATATTGCTCCGCTTTGATATTCTCTCCAAAAAGAAAGCCTTGTTCGACAAACCTTCAAGGCGGAAATACCGCAGTGGATTTCTCCACTCCCAAGCATTGGGATCCCTGCCTGCAGACGCTCGAAGACCACGGAGGTCGGTCACCTCAGTGGCATTCTCTCCCAACGGGTAGCAGCCGACCGCAGGCTCTGAGGAGGCTATCGTAGGGCTTCTGGGATACGACAACGGGGAACTGTCTACGGACGTTGAAGGGCCATATTCGCACCCCTTCGCCATCCCAGATAAGTACCGCGTAGCGTGAGGGCGCTTTCCAAGGCTCGGCTCATCCACCCGTTGTACTCCTCACTTCCTTGGACAATTGAGAATGTACCATTGGGAAACAGAGCGACACTCGCCCTATGATCCCCGTTAGCCAACCGTAGAGGATCATACAGCCTGTGGCCCGTACCCACCCCTCTAATATGACGTCGAAGCCAATAGCAGGGGTCCTGAGAGATTGCATTTGGCCAATAGATGGACGGAAGAGAGAGGACTGGAACAATCTGAAGCCAGGCGAAAGGTGGGAGCAGCATTATGATCGGATTATGAGTAGGTGCGAATAGCATCAAGTTTCACTAAGTCGCTAAAATCGTTTGCAGCAAACTTCAAAAACGCCGACAGCTTTCACGAAACCACCTTCTGGGACACCCCAAATCCACGAGATCTGGTGCCAAGAGCAAAGGTGACGATGGCACTGTGCCTAAACCAGACGGGTGGCAGGGCCCTTGGGAAGGTAAAACCTGCACTGATTCTTCTTGGGGTTATAGCTTTGTGTGATCGAGGTGTTGGTGGTTTATCAGCGTATGTATTCACGCGATCTTTGTCAAGGCCACTTAATTGACACCCTTGTGGCCGGTCTATTATACTGTCCTTTGCCCTCGCACTTGGGACGTGTCCTCTAGTGATAGTAAGCGATCACTAGGCATCGTTGAAAAAGAATGTCCAGTCAAAGTATTCAGGGGGAACCAATGTCGGTCTCACCATGTCATTGCCCTACAGGGTGCGTGGGAGTGTGTACCTTCGTGAAATATTCCATCACGGTATCATGTCTAATCCCAACAGCAAGTTCCTTTGATTGAAAGGCCCGAAAGTCTCCACCTTCCGAAACCATTCACCCCGAAAGGCCGAAGACGAATTCGTGCCATCGAACATCAAAGGGGAACGAATTTCCTCCCAGGCCCACCAATCAATGGGCAAAGGTGGGATCTCAATGGTTATGTTGGCTTGCCTCTTCACACCGCTGGCTAGTTGTAGAACTTTGGTCGCCCGTAGGTCAGTGCCCTCTACCTTCCCTCCAGCGGAGTCAAAAACCGACTCCGAGGTGCATCACTTCTTGCCTTTCCTTCCTGCTGATGAGGAATAACGACTTCCACTCGAGGCGCTCTCTTTTGGGGTGAGCTGATGGTTGAACACTGACCACGCAGTTTGGAGCCGGTTCTAGAAGCTCTTTTCCATCACACGTGTTTTCGACCACGGACTCACTCTGGCAGACCGTCTGTTGACGATGAGGAATATCCACAACCATAGCCTCATCGCATGTGGCCATAAGGCGTATCCACTCCTGGCCTCTCACGTGGTTGCCTGGGCCTGTGGTCTCGGGAAAATTACCCGTCTTCGTCTGGAGCACGAGGTGATTACTCAAGGCCATTTGTCCTTCTTCTGTCAACGGTTTGTTTGCCCTGCCCCGCGATTCGCTTCGAGATAGTACTGACAGGTAATGGAGGGGAGGCCTTGAAAGATGGCTTCTTCCCCCTGCCGCTGCCAGTGTCAGGGATGGACGGCTTCGTTTTCCATTCGCTTCTCACACCATCTCTTTCTCAAGACAGTAAAGTAACGCATCCCGGCAAAAATTGAACCATTCATGGGATTTCTTCTGTGTAATTGGTGGCAGTGCGGCTAAAAGATCAAAAGGCGTCGGTTTGCTCTCTCTGGCCTTTCTCTGAGAAGATTCCTCCCACACCCCGCTTGAAGGCAGACTTCTTGGTGCGGTGTACTTGCTGCATGACGTGATTTCGGGACCGTTTCGACGATTCATCAAAGGAATCTTCCGCCTCTGTGGTCCTAGTTCCAGTTGGATTCTGTGGGCTGTTTTCATCAGTCTAACTGCTCCTCTTGGATAACGGCTCTAAGGCACTTGCGATATTGTGCCGGATCCATGGCTGACGCCAAGAGCACATTGGTGGCCTGTCACCGGATCTGTCTGGGACATGTTCCTCTACCTTTCTTCGCAGAATGTCACGCCCGTTGACCCCTAGTCGAAGAAGCAATATCAGGCGACAAAAGAGCGTGAGACAAGCCAAATCGTCCCCGGCTGCAGGCGCATAACACGATTCGTACACGAGAGTCTTGTCCGTCTCAGGACATGAGTCGGTAGGTACACAACAAGATGCGAATAATGGTCCTTCGACCCATAAAGTGATTGGGTGGTTTCTTCTTGCGGAACATTAGCATGGGATGCGTAAGCACTTACCGTTGGCGAATGGAAGGACGGGTGCAGGCCAGCGAGAATTACAAAGGCAAAGGAGACAACTTTGGAAACACTGGACGCACATGCAGACTTTCAAACTTGGTGGGTTGCCCTGTTGCTACCTATGGTCGTACCTGATCTGATCAGCTCGCAACATTGTGCTATTTCATGTCTGATTGTGCTGTTTTCGGTGTTACATGGCCCATAGTAAGCCCACCACTTTTTTTTGGTTTCAACTTTTTTTTAATTCCCTGCGTCTTCCAGAGACCGGACCGATTTGGTGCATATTTCATTTTGGCTGTTCCTCAAAATAACATACATCCTCAGTTGTGGGGTGGGGGGGGGGGGGGGGTATCGTCACACATACACACGGAGTAAATCCAATCAGAAAATAGCGTTCAACAGGACGCTTTCAAACAGTAACCAAAAAAAAGTGGATCCAACTCAGCACTTGAGGGATCGATATCGAAGGTTAGAGACTCTTTGCGATGGGAGGCATCTCCGGTACTTTCGTTCACCGGAAGCCATTCAACACCAGACCCAAACAAAGTCATGTAAGCAAGATCGCCATAACCTGAGCCATCGTATTTCGTAGCCATCCAATACATCATAATACATTTTAGACAAAGGAAAAGCGAGGGCCTTTTTCCAAGGCTCGGACATCCTCCCAGACACCGTTCAGAGTATCCACTAGTGGCTCAGGAAGAGGCCCTTGTTCCAGGATGTCCATATTTTCTTGTAGTTGGGACAGTTTGGAGGCACCGACAATGACGGCGTCACCGTATTCGGCGCCCAGTTGAGAGTGCCACGTGGTCCATCGTAGAGCGGCGGCGTGGCCGGAGATACCATACTTTCTTGCTTGTTGTCGAACAATTTCCGCGGCGGCAAAGAGGGGATCGTGGAAGTAATCGCCTGCGTACTTGGCGCCCAGCGGAGAGGCAATGTTCCATCGGCTGTTCTTGTCTCGGGTGGATGCTCGTGAAACCTTGTTTGAGAAAAAGCCGCAAGCCGACGGGCTGTAGGCGTAGAAGGCGATGTTGTGCTCGCGAAGGACGGCGAACAGTCGTTCTTCGCCTCCTCGGCAGATGGGGTTATATTGTCCCTGATAGACGGAAGGCTTGACATAACCGTTCTCTTCGCAAATGCGCACAATCTCCTCCACTTCCTCCACCGAGTAGTTGGAAAGACCAAATCGTTCGAACTTGCCCTCACGGAAGGCCTTGTCCATGGCCTCACAGGTTTCCTTGAATGGCGTAACTCGGTCGGGAGCGTGGAGATACATCACGTCGACTGATTCGGTGTTGAGTGCTTCCAGGGATCTGTCAATGCTCAGGGCGATGTTCTTCGCTCGGTGAGAGCCGGGCATGAAGCTGGAGACTTTGGTGGACACATTGGCCCATTTCGATAATCGGAGTTCATCCTCGCCCAAAAGCTTCTCGCACGTGCCCCCCCGACCCACGGGATATGCTCTGGCCGTGTCAATATCGGCGTATCCTCTCGAGCGGAAGAGGTTGACAAATTTAGAGGCGTCTTCCACGGTGGTGATCTTGGCGAGCGGTGACAGACTGGATCCGACCGAGGCCGTTCCGAGGACCACTCTCAGAGGAGGCTTGCATTGGACAGTTTGGACCAAAGGTGATGTGATTCGGTCGGAGTGGTCAAAAGTGCTTGCTCGTGATCGGTTGGTAGGGGTGACAGTCAGGTCTGTGGCATCGGTGTCTTCTGATAGAGAGGAGAAGGAGTGTGCGGAACGGGATGAGGAGGCCGAGTTCAATTCGAGGGAGACGCGTTTATTTTGGGCGTGGTGAAGTTGCAAGTTTTGCATGTTTAACTGTGGCAAATGTTCCAACTTCATTCTCAGGGCTGCCGCCATGGAGCCCATATGTCTGTCTTGAGACATTGTCGGTGATTGTGGGTAGTCGTAGTCGGTCATGGTGTGACGACGAAAGAAGCGTTGATGAACGCTCCAGAGGCGGAAAGGATTTCTCTCTATATGGATTGGTATAATGTTACAGGATTTATATTTTTTCCAGTCAGATGAGTACAGTCAGCGTCGTATTGTCTGGTGTCGGTGGCGGGAAAGGACCATGGAGGGGGGAGGACAAGGTCGACAGTTATCAGCAGGTATGAGGAGCTTCGTGTAAGCGTTTGTCGTCAACGTGTGGGTTGTTCGAGGGTAATAACACGAAGAGAACGTATGATGGACACGGGTGTGGTGCTTGTGAGAGAAGTATGGGTAAGGGAAGGTGGAGGGCGAGAGATGGAGTATATCTAAGGCGGGACCTGAAACGGGCGAGTTTTCCGACCCGTGGCCACTTGTTGTTTGCGTGGACATGGGCTGCGTAAATGAGAGAACTGGGTCACGGGCGTACTCTGTGTGGCGGGCGCAGGATCAGTCTCGAGCATTCTTTCCCTCGCCTGACCCAGCCAGCCAGAATGCATGTGGTGGTTCTCCATTTCAGGTGACACGGAACCCACAGTCGCCGTGGTTCCACCAGTGCGCTTTGTTGATCCTGGTCAGCTGTCGTATCCCCCTGCCACCCCCCTGTATCCCTGCTCCAAAAACACAAACTTCGGCAAGGTGGTCGGCTAAAGGCGAAGGCCCCTTTGTTTGATGCAGCTCGACGCGTTTTTTTTTTGCCGGGACGTCGCAGGAATCACTAGATCGATTGAGGTCTAGCGCTTGGTCGTATGCTGGCGCTGGGAGTGGGTGTGCATGGACTCAGCCCAGTCAAGTCGCTGTACAGTATCTTGTCGCTCCTCCCGGTTCAGTCAGCGATGTTTCGCGCATCTCATTCCTCGAACGTTAACTCGTCACCTCGTGAACACCGATCGATTTGTTATGTCTTGCAACCTCTTCGCCTGGCTTGGCAGCGAGGCTTCTGACGGGTTGGCCGTCAAGCCTCGCAAGCCCTTTTCGTCAGTGGTTGAGGATTCTTTTTTTTGTCCTCGTGGTTCTACAGTAGCCATCTATTGCTAGTTTAGACTTCAAACTTCCGAGGGCACGCCGATCGAGGGCTTGGATCAGCAGTGAGGACGCATGTTCCCGAGTGATGTTTTTCTGTGTCAATTGCAGGAGGGACATCAGAACTGATCTTCCTCCCCTTTATGCCCGTTAGCGCAATATCAATCCGAACCCAGACATGGGCATCCATTACACTTTTCAAGTCACGGGTTTTGGCACCTGGTCACCTCAGTTGAGATTAGCGGGATCAGCCACGATTGGGTACATAGTACACATAATAAGTAAGATCCTTGAAGACTTGGCCTGGGGTTAGTTCGACGCTATGGTTCATGGAAGTTGGCATGCATTAATGAAAGGTGTTATATCTGGTGGCTAGCATACACTAGGAACATCGACTTTGAATAGTCAATGCTCATGCCCGTTCCGGTTCGGATGGGGAAAGAGTCGCGCACGACTGACCGTGGCAAAAGGAGGTTGGAGGGTTGTGGTTGGTCTACCTCTGATACCAGGAAGACCACCGAAATGAAACCAGCCTGAATATCGCGACGTTGATCCGTCCGATCTCTGGCCAGCCTCAGTCACAGGAACAAGTTTTCCTAGACGGGTTGAACTTTGTGGGCAGGTTGACAGGCGATAGGATGGAAGTAGAAGCCTAGAAAAATTTTTGCACAATGCTAGTGCCAAGATTGTCAACGTTTCCAGGTCGGATGTCGGGGCGCCGATGAACCGATGCCGACGTCCCCATGAACAAATCAGAATTCACAGAGGCAAAGTACAGTCAGTATTCCTCTTCCAGTGGCCAGCAGCCGGCCCAAATCTTCATGACACTGCTGTCGGTGACGAAGCTTTCTGTGGCTGTCCAACTTGGCACTCACAAGCGATGCTTGCTGCTTGCGTAATTCCCCATGGCTGGAGATGAATCAATCTCAAATCTGTTTGACAGTTATATGTGGCGCATGCGATGACTGGGTATTGACGAACAACCTAGGCATAACGGAAACACATATGGTACATTGTTCACAACAACAGCGAAACGTGGGATAGATGGGGTGTTCAGTAATTCACTCACTACGAGAACTGGTACGATGGCGCCATGGAGCATCATCCAGTCAGACTGGTCATGCACGCAATTCTCAGTTACTCATCTTTTCCTCATCTGTTCTCCTCACATAACCGACGACGCGGCGACGACAACTTGTCTCCGAGAACTGGCTTCTCCCAGTTTTGAGCAAACTTTCGAAGCGAACCTCCCCCGCCTCCTCGAAAAGGTCGTGTTCCGCGGTAATTGATAAGAACAGATTGGCGTCGGCATAACGGCGATAAACCACCGGTGCGAAACAAGCCACTGACAGCCAAACCCCTTCAGTACCGCCACGGATTGGGTGGTGGCGCCCAAAACTCTGGGGAAAAAGCAGGGTTCTAGCATGGTGATTCAGATTATGAACTTGACAGCCAATTATTCGTTGGGCGGTGCGAGACATTTGCAGATCGAAATTTGACGGCTGAATTATCTAAAAAGATCAGTTCATTTCCATGTGAACGGCAGAAGCTCTGGAGACATGTTGTGTCACTGTCTGCGCAAGGTACCAACCTCCCAGCCCCGTCGCCAACGTGCAAACACGCATCTTACGTGGCAGGGACTGCAATGATCATGAGATGACCGATCGATTCGCTCAAAATACCCTTGCAAGAGTGGTTGAGCTGACATCAAAGAATCAAGAGCCATGAACGGGGAATCGCGCGGGATCTATCCAAATAACCTGTTAAGACGATGGCAAGATAAATCGTGGAATCGGAAAATGGGGTTGAATACATCGTGACAATTGGAGATGGTGATGCAACGGGTGTGTTAAACTGGGGGAGAAATTGCAGCGTCAACCGGCTCCCCCTGCTGGGCAGGCGATATTTGATACCAAAATGTATAGAGTGATGATCTGATTGATACTCTGGACGTAGGAGGAGTCAAGGCGCAAATTGGTCAGTTCACATAGCCGTATACAGTGTATTTCTGGCCATTAGTCGCTCAATGGTCATCTCCATATCACCGCCGAGACATCTATACAGGAATGAATACTGATGTCTCAGGTACGAATACTCGGCCTTCGTGTGTTGATTGGCCAGTTTTTGGACGGGCCCCGATCGGGCAGATCTGGAAAATTTAGGAGAAAGGATTTTGATCGAAGGAATACCTGCGGGGGCCCAATGCCTGGAATAGGCTAGTGGCCCATCATGCTCACACCCATCAATGACCCACCTGGGAATCCGCTGCCGGTTTCAAGTCTGCTGTGCTGAGCGAGGCATTTGGAATCCAATCACAGAGCCCCTCCTCGAAATGGGCAGGAGGCAAGGTGGGCCCCCATCCTCCTTATCGATACGTTGCCAGACCTATACTTATCTCGGCTTGGCCTTTCATGAGCACATCATCTCCTCATCTTTGTTCGCAATATCCTCTAAATCATCGGAAGCCGGATGCCGAACAGACACTGAACATTCAGAGTCAAATGTTGATCAATTCCTTCCAGAATCTTTGTGCAGTACACAACTTAGGTCACAGCCGGCCAAGCGAGAAGATAGAGGCCCTCGCCTGCCGCCTCGCGCGACTTTTTTGCTTTTGATATGACGTACTATGAAGTGGCTTTCTGTGTCCAAGAAACCAACTTGACCAGTCGCCTTGCAGAGGCAGCGATGCTTTCCATTTTTGCTTTCCTCTTTCTGCAACTACAATGTACCAAACGAGCCGTTTGACATCAGGGGGGCCGTTTCTTTTGCATCCATTCATCAGGGCAGAGCCGAATCACCTGGCACCCTTTCGTACACGTGGTGAAGAATCATCTGACGTGCAGTTGCATCTTGAATCTCCTTGAACATCTCGCATCGAATCCCTCACTCATCCCACACCCTACCATATTCAGTACGCGGCTCTTTGTATGTTTCAGCAACCGGCGGCGGGCCTTTTACGAGGGTGAGACTCTCAGTTTGGGCCCCATTGACTAACCAAACAATTGCAACTCTTAAGCGCGCTTCCTTGGGCCGGGGCAAGGAGGATCCTCCGCCATCTCAATCTGCTTCGTTATCATTATGCAAAGCTGCCTCCCAAGTGCTGACGCCTTTTGTTGGAACTCTGGTGCAGTGCATCAATTGCAGGTGCACGTTCTCTTCGGTTATTTACCACCTATATTGCTTCTGGCGTACTTTGACGCGAGCTGTGACCTGCTCGAACTGGTTCACTTGAGTTTGCATGGACTTCCTCACTCGCCGGATCGTCTTGAGAAGTTGGGTTACTAGACGATATACAAAAATATCCAGATGATTTTGTAATTCGGCAGCATGTTGGCTTGCGAGACGCATCAAACTGTGACCTTCTGTTTCTCGCAATTTTTCGAACAGGCCAATGAATCCGTCCCTAGCATCCGGTCAGGCTCGCTCGAAGAGTTGATCTCGTTCCTTCTGATTCAGAATTTTTCGCATGCCGATGGATCAGAGAGGGCCTGGTTTGATTCCGACTCCTGACTTTCTCGCTCAGCCTGACTCACAATTCCAAGGAAGACAGGGCTAACTATTTCCGCAAAGGCTTCATCACAGCTATTCGGTCGAGTTGATTGTCCCCCTCCTCCCAAAAAAGAACTGATTGTGTTTAGCTGAGTCCTCTACCTTACCTACTCTGGGCTCACGGCACGTCGGTCACCGAACTTACTGGCCTTTCTCGTATTTCACCTAAAGGGCCTTCTGACCTCCCAGTTGGCCTTGTGTTGTGCTAGATTGTGCTCGCCATTGAACCCAATGCCCGTCGCAATAGTCCTGTCATAGGCAGAGCGGAGAATTACTCGGACAGGAAATCTTCTGACAGACAGAAAATGGCAAACCTCTTCACCAACCAGTTTGCATTGTCCGAAAGCTGTTCTCCATACTACCTGTTAGGTACCTGCGGGGTACTCTCTCACTGGTCAGTAACAAGCTACGGTTAAAGCTCCTTCTCAGAGCATCGGTATACATCCTATCCCGCCCCCAAAGCACGCAAGATATCGGCGCCGACCTCTCCGCCGCCCTTTTTCAGGCGATTGCCTTTTTTTGGTCTACTATTTGTCTTCCCTCTTCCTCCTCTATCAAGATCCTAGAATATCTTGCCAAACTTGGCTGTACCGATCTACCCTCGGGGGATACCAAGACCGCTTGTAAGGGGAATTAGAACACCGACAAGACTGCAATTTTTGTACAGGCTATTCCGTGGATATTAGTTCCGGACGAGTTTTTATTTCATCCACTGTCTCCCTTTCTCCTCAATCTTCAGGGTCCATCTAGGCTCCCCCCTTCGGGCGGGAGTGCACCATTAGAAGAATGAGTGTATGGAAGACCGGCTACGAGCATAGCAATGGCTAGTGTCAATACTATACTATTATAGTGTCCGAAACATATGTGTATCAGGATTAGGATTCATTCTACCCGCTAGTCTCGCTGGTTTGACTATTACTACCACTACTACCATTCTTCTCTGCGAATGGCACCCTTGATCTTCCTGCGGCGCATCCGTGATGATGCAAGCCCGAAACATGATCTCGCCCCTCGGCCCCGAGGCTGGTGGCAGTCCGAGGACGAATATATACACTACTCCGCTACATGGATCTCAGCCTTCGGTGCCAGTGCCAAATTTCGATTCTACACGGAACCGGGAGTCGGATTGAACAGAGGGTTTCACGCCCGAGAGATGCGGCATTGGTAGATGATCGGAGGGAAAGCCCATCAGGAAGCAGGCTTCACTTGTTTTGACCTTTGGGAAAGCTCGGCATCTTCACAGATACAGGACCTGAGAACAAGAACAACGGCATAAGTCAATGCACAGATAGGACTTTTGAGGCGTTCGCGTCATCTTGGCTTCAGCAAAATTTCCAGTTAAAGTGTTTGCGAAAGGTAAAATTCAGGCGCAGAACAGAGTTCGTGGGGATCCCGATCTTATTCCCAACCTATTTTCTGCTTTGAGCTGTATCTCCACCTACTCTACATCTTTCCTCAACTAGAGTTTCCATTTCCCTGAGCCTGTGTGTAGAATTCACCTTGTGTTCCCCCCTATCCTCGATAAGGCCCAGTTCTTTCCGCCTACCGCGCTGGCATTACCGGAACTGCCTCGACTGATCTAAACAATTCCCGGACTGAAGAAGTCGATCGAAGAGTATCCAGTCTTATTTCTGCGATGCTGGCGGTGAAGGAGGAGCAGTACCAACAGGACCATCCTCGACAACCGCGTCCCTGTTGACCTCTTGTTTTCGAGCTCAGCAATTCGGCGTAGCAGACCAGTCTCGCGCGAGGCAGCAGCCGCTTTCTCATCGAGCAGTGTAGCAATTTGGTTTCTCAACGACGCTTTCTCCGCGCGAAGGCACTTCACATGCTCTCTGAGTCTGTCGAGCTCATACAAAGCAGGAGATGAGGCAGAAGTTAGAACCGAAGCAGCGTTGTCACTGCCGACATCGGTCGTGTTGGTTGAAGAGATGCTTCGAGACATCGGTCGCCTATCTCGCTGGCAGAAATCGACCATAGCACGCTCGTACGACCCGTCTTTGAGGTTGTGAAGCACCTTTCGACGACGTCGATGGCCTCCGCGCGGAGACTCCTCTGACTGTCGGCAGAGATGCGGCCTGATCTTAGACATCTCGCTGTCTGTAGCGGCATCTTCCATGGTGCTGGTATGATAACTCGGTTCTGAAACTGGAGTAGCTTTGGGTTCACCTGTCCTTGGTGTAGCATCTGTAGCTGTATTCGCATCCCTGCCCGCAGCACTTCGCACGCTGCGCAGAGCTTCCCACTTCTTCTTCTGCTGTTCGCGCCGTTCTTGCAGACACAGCTGCTTCGCAAGCATGGTCTCCGCTGATTCTCTTTGCTTTTGTCGGGGGTCGAGGTAGGATCTGGTCGACTTCTCAGTAGTGGCGGTGTGAAAGGCGAAGCGGTGCGTCTACTCGCGGGACAAAGTTTGAGATCATCTTCACAACCACGTTTTCAATGTCGGAGTCAGTGTCGGCCTCGTCACCATCACTGTCCTTTGCTGATCGTTACTGCGCAATTGCTTGCTGTCGAGTTCTTCTTGCATTCGTCTTTCGAATCCTGAGTGTCCAACCATCCTCTATTGAGGGTTATAGCCCAGCACTTCTCACAGCCTCTGTCCGATTAAGTGGCGTCAGGAATAGAGTCGTGTTCGTCGCTAAACGGACGAGGCTTGTCATGTCGTACCAGTATATTGAGGCAACCGGCTAGATTTCTTGGAAGCTATCAATAAAGGGCTTCTAATGGCATCGTACCAAGGCGACAGTTCGATCGTGCAGGTCTAGGAAGAACAAAGCCTTGCGTAGCTGTGTGTGACCGGGGGCTGGGCATGGGAGGATCTTGAGTAGGCACATTGTTGAGGCGATGAAGGAGGTCAAGGATGACAAGGTCGTCTGGAGTGGACGGGAATAGAAGAGAAAGAGTCGAAGCAAAGAGTTGAAGCCGGTCGACACGCCGATACGAGGAGGCGGAGTGATGAAAAGGAGGGAGCGAAAATTCATCTCTCTCAGACATGCGAATGTTGATCAAGGAACACCTGACGTTAAGTTAATGACTTGGTGAGCACAAGGACCTCCTGGGCGACGGGAGAATCGCTGAGTGAGAACAGATGCATTCAATTGGAAGAGAATCTGTATCTTCGAAAATATCAGAGGACCGTGAAGATTATAGTTGTTCGTCGACATGGTCAATAAAGGATGGAATTCCTATAATCTGATAAGCACATGGGCACTGTTCGTTCCAGAAAAAGAAAGGGGGGAAAGCAGAAACATTTAGATATTGGTCGCGCCAGGTACAAAGAGTTCTGAATGGTCTTATTAGTGCTCATCTTGGAAGTCCTTCTACATGCTTCACAATAGAAAGGAACAACTCAAACCCAACCTGTTAGTGTCCAAGGAAATCCAACCATCAGGCTCGACCATCGCTCAGATGTCGATTTCAATTCCTAGATCCATGCTGGCCAGAATCTCGTCATCCAATGCTGTCTTTCGAATGACAGGCAATCCTTTCTTGTTTTCCGTCACCGGGTTCGGAGTAGTTGGTGCTGGTGTGGAGCCCTGGGGAGTACCATTCGATAGTGAGATGGGGTTGGGCGTTCCGGCTCGTGAGATGCTTGCTGCTACTTTGGGTGTCCCAGTACCATTGACTGGTGTACCGGTCCGACTGATATCACTCCCTCCCTCAAACAGTTCATCAATGCCCGGCGCCAAATGCTTCTTGGCCTTTCGTGCCCTCATCTCTGCTAGCTGTGCCTTCCGAACGTTCTCGGCATTCAATCTCTGATTTCGTCGATTGAGTTCGGCCAGTCGTTCTTGTTCCTGGTTGACGTAATTCGAGTCTGATCGAGACAGGCTCGTGCCAAATGCCAATTTCATTGGAACGATATTCGCAAGCTGGTTCTCGAGTTCTTCGGCGAGTTCGTCGTTTCCATCAGTCCTAGCTTCTGCAATCCTCTCTCGGAGGTCTTCCTTCTCCTGGTGTCTGGTAATCTTTTCTATGAGGTCGTTTTGGATCTTCATTTTCTGAGAGATTTCAGCCTCAGTGAATCGATGGGCCAGCAATCGATTGATTTGGTCCAGTTTGGAATTGATAAAACCTTTGGTGGGCATCTTGCAATCTTCATTGGCCATTGTCGACCGGTACCGTCGCCATTCATCGTCGGTGAATTTGGACATGGAGCATTCGAGGAAAGACCATGGTCTCTCAGCCTTGCCGTGAGCGGCGATAATGTACATATCGACAGGAAACGGTCTTCCGTTGGACCCAACCATCGCGTACGGTTTGCCACGAGTGAATCCTTTGATCAAGCAAAGGCGATATTCATTGACACCAGGATTGCGACCAGGACCAAGACACACACGAGCGTAGCAATCGGTGATGGCTTCTTCAAAGCCCGGAGTGTAGCATACTTGAGCAAAATTGTCGCGACCCACACGAGCTCTCTGGATATCGGCAAGTTCAGCCACGGGGTCGTCTTTGGGTGGAGTGGGTGATCGTCTCTTGATTTTCCGATCGTCGTAGTCGTTGTCGCTTTCGCCCTCCGCATCTGCATCGTTGTCATCGTCTCGTGGCGATGCTGCTCTTCTTGCGAGTCCATCCTTCTTTCTCTGTTCTTCTCGTAGATTCTTCTCAGCCCGTTGCAACTTGTATGCTTCAATGGCGCTGCTTGCTTCTCCAACACGGCCCCCTCCCACCTTGGTACGTTGACGAGTACTCTTGCGTTGCGTGTCGTCCAGATCAGCGGCGCTGGCCTTGCGCTTGTTCTTTGCAGCTTTTTTGGCCTCCTCCTTAGCTCTTGCGGCGACGAGACGACGAAGAGTCAAATCTTGTTCGTGACGTTCCACCTGCTCACTTCGCTGGGCCAAAATCTCCTCTCGCTCTATTTCGGGTTTGGCTTGGATACGCGCTTTGTCGGCGGCGTCGTAGTAGAGCTTTTCATACGGAAAGATTGGTTTGTCAGCGGCTGGGCTGAAGCCGGCTTCGGAATCAGACTGCGACATGGACGCGGATTCTGAGTGTGGCGAGAGCGATGAGCTGGTAGGGAACCGTACGTCAGATCTGGCGATTTGACAGCGGTGATAGGATATCTTACACTTCGTCCTCATCGTCAGAATAATTCTTGCGGCGCTTAGCCCGCTTGACTGTCGTAGCTACTCCTTTGCGAGCCATGTCTGGTAACGGAGATTCTCGAGACTTGCTTATGGGACGAGGCGGTGATGGTGATTTTGGTTTGGGAGATGAACGCACGCTCTCTTCACCGGAGGAATCGCCTCCAGCAAGGGCGAGGAGTTCCGCGTCGAGGTCGGCCATGGTGAGGCAGAATGGAAGGTATTACTGCTTGTGCAAGGCTGTACGTGTTGGTAGCGCTAGTGTCGGAAGAGCGGAGTCGGAAAAGCTGCCCTGGTATGTTGTAGGAGTTCTTTCTTTGAGGGTTTTCCTCTCTCAAGATCAAATGCCGGAGTGCGGCAGAAAGGTGAATGTAAGTTACTGGTCGCGCAGGGGATCTAAGAAACGTCTCAAACGGGGGACAACAGAAGACGTGAGCTGGCAAGAGAGAAGACCAAAATTCTTCGCTGACACCTTAATGCCAGAACAATTGAAAATGAATACGGATGAATGAGAAACAGACATGTTTGAATTTCAGATTCCCGAAACAGGGACCTCGCCGCCTGACTCATTATTCCTTGGCATTATAATTTCCTGACTCGCAACCGCCCTATCTAAGGCAAGCTCCAATGCTTCTCAACAAAACCATCGGAGAACTTCTGCTGACTCAAAATGAATCCTCTGAAGGATTCTGTTAAGCATGGAGTCTGTCAAATCTTTGCTGGTACGGTCTTCAGTGCTCTGTGGACGTGCCTGCATTAACTGTTCCAGAGCTAATGGCAGACGTATCCTTCGGAATGATAGTTCTCAGCGCGAAAGGATAGCCATGGATACCGTTGTTGAACTGCCTCGGAGGTGCCAGCGCAGCCCATACTGGCAGATGCCACCCGCTTGAACAAAGAATGCCTCTCACATCGGAAGGCTTGAGACCTTGTTAAGAACTATGGGCCAACCCACTCCACGTCTTACCGCTTCCACCTCGTCACCTATCCTGGATTGACATCAAAACTCAAGCGGTGGGGCCCCTGACGACATCGCCTTGCTTCTGTTGAAAATCCCTCCACCTCGACTGATGTTGCTCCCTCATCTAGTCTTAGAGTGGACCTATTAGACTCTGGAATGGTTGGAAGCGGCATCTTTTCATCCTTTTCCTCTGCTCATGAGCCTTCCCAAATTGGGGGCGCAGCAGTATCCTACAATATGTCGTACCCAAATGTCCGATTCCTTTGCATTCTTATATATCCCACCTGGGGTGACTGCCTGGGAATTCCGATCAACAAGACCATTCCTCTTTCTTTGCGTCATGGTTGTTGCTTCATCCTCGACATCGCAGAAAATGGCCACAGATAAGGAGGTCAAGCGAATCATAAGCCGCGAAACTCTGTCCGAAAATGCAACACAACTTATTTACTACTTGGATTGCTGGTTTTCCTTGCGTGGTAAGTCGCTTTCTTCATATCACTGATGGGCTGTATCTAGGTATTTGTTGAAGATCGACACTTTGTGCTGGACTCCGTTCATGGACGAATGTCTGCAGAAACCGCTTGAAGAAGAGGAATTTCCATCAGATGAGATGTTTATTCATCAGATTAAATTGCAGTTGTTGAGCAAGAACGTGGCAGAGATTGCGTCCTCTGACGGAGAGATTGGATCTGGAGGGTCGGGGAAGGATGCCCCAATACTTTATGTTCGAGCGCTTCGATCATAATATGTCTCACGTCGATCAAGTCATGGTTCAACAATTTCTTGCCGGATTCTCTTTGTCTTTCTTAATACAATTCGCTCGCAGCATCATTGTATTCAAGCTACGGACATTGACGATCCTGTCTGGAACAAGAACCTCGCCAGAGATATTGCTGATCTACCCGCCCCACTAGAACAGATGATCAACAATCCGCACAAGGTATGAAGATTGAGCGATGATGTCTCAAAAGATAATATACTTGGGAGAACCGTCAAGATGTTCAAAGCTGTTAGATCTTGGCGCACCGCGAGGCTATTTATTGACACTCTAACTGAACTACCAATGGGTAGTGCTATGCACGAAGCTTTCTCCAGGGAGATATTTAATGATACGTGGCTCAGGGATGTGCTTGATTCTTGGGATAATTGAACCATCTGCAGGCGATCCACCAACACTAGCTGCCCATCAAGCATTCCAAAGAAACCACAACCTTTCTAGCCAACAGGCTTTTCGTCTGGGCATCGAAAGCATCCTGCATATGTCCGAGGCCCTTTCCAACGACGGACGGTTCTGGAGCGGTGATGAATTTCCAGGGTATGTGGCAGAATGTCTCCATATACGACCTTGCAGATTTCGTCCATCGAAAGTGAGTTACCAAAAGATGGAACTTTTCCCCTACTCTCTTCGTTCTGGAATCGGATCCAGATGGAAAGATTCCGCCGCATCATGGAGATTGCCAATAGAATGATTACAAGTGATTTGCCAGAGCCAGTGGGCCAGGTCGCTGGCCACCGATAGCTAGCCAAGGCTACGAACTTGTATCTCTTAGGTTTGGCTACAATGTCAATACAAGCTTCAGCGGACCTATTTCCGGTAGCAAATACACCGACGACTTCCCTGCTTCGCAGTGCCTGGACAATGTCTCTGACGATGGTCTTGCTACGATAATCAAAGGCCCTCTTTGCACCGAGTGTCCGCAAGTACTCATGATTCTTTGATGAGACGACTGTGAATACGTCGTATCCAGCCGCTGCAGCGAGTTAAATGACATTGCAACCAACACTTGTCGGACTGCCCAGATTCAAAACTGCCTTGCCATTTGGCTCTGGTACCACTGATGGATGTCAGGACCCAGGAAATCTTTCTGAAAAGGGCTGGAGGCCGCCGTGGAAAGACCCAAAGGCGGAACGGAGGTGGCCTCGTACGACATTGTGTTTGGGATTGGTGATGCCATTGTTTTCAGTGACGATGGAGTACATCAGCAACGCACCCGAGGCTGCGATGGCCTTACCCATGCCGTCGCAGGACCTAGTACACGATCTCCCACTTTGAAGCGAGTGACGTCCTTTCCGGCTTCGACAACTTTACGAGCAAGGTCTGAGTCGAGAACGAAAGGATATTTGATATATAGAACATAAGGTCATCGGCGTGCTGTTTTACCCAGCCAATAAGATTCACAGCCACGGCGTCATTCTTGACAAGGATCTCTTTCGCACCGGGTGGAGTGTATGGAGCAGGACTGACGGCAAGTGGTCAGGCTGATTCGGTTGTGAGCCAAGCTGCCGAGATTTTGGAAAACATTCGAGCGATTAGGAAAGAGGACCACTCGGTGCTGGGTGGAGGGATCGAACGCGGTCCGGGGGCGGGCGGGCGAACTGGCTGCTATACCTACGCATAAACAGATCGTCAGGCGGACTCATTGTTCTCAATCCCGCCGGAGCTGATCATGGTCTTATATCAGCCTACCTACCAAATCCAGAGGAGGAAGTGGATTTTGTCACAACACAAATCCCAATCGAGCTGTTAAAAATATCAATAACCCACCAGATTGGTGTCAAGCGCGTTGATGCAAGTGTCATGCAAGTTGATCCTATCCCTGTTCGTTCTCGTCGCAAGAGTTGGGAATATATGAATCTCTGCCACAGACTGACCTGTACAAATTATTCGTGGCATGTTGGGTCTTGCGCAACATTCACATGCCGTTTGACCTAGGGGAGGGAAAGGGAATAAGCAAACAATCTGTCAGTCTTTGAGGCTTTTACCTTCATGCTTTCCATCATTACATGAAGATAGTCGAAGGAGTCAGCATTGAAAAGAAGTCGGCTGGCTCTCGCAGTACGTTGTCTCAGCGTCTCAGACTCTCTGTTTGCCACGCGCCAAGCCGCGTGATTGGCGCAAGCCAATCAAAAAATTCGAAGAATATTTTGGCAAACGAACGGAAATGGCCTAGTGTATCCACGCTAGGCAACTGAGCCGAGGGTCTGAGAAACCCGCGAAGCGCTACGGCGGAACAAATGGACAAAGATGCGAAAACTTTTGACCTCTACTATATTGCTTCGGCCGTCTTCTAGGTCTAAATACCAATTGAATACGCAGACAGTCACCATGCGGTCTTCGCGAAGCTCTGTGAAGCTGGCAAGATGTGTAAAGCCCCCGCCCCTGCCGGTGCCCCGTCCACATTCGATCCGGTCAATAGCCTCACAGAGTCACAGCACTTCAGAGACGCCTCGGGATTCCAATAAAACCAGAACTATCCTCTCCGACGAACAGAGACAATTCCTCGATAGTGCTCTACGTGTGAACCAGGCCGGGGAACTGGCTGCAACCCTGATATATACTGCTCAAACGCCGCCCGTTGTAAAAGCACATCCTCACCTACGCCCACTGATGAAACACATGTATGATCAAGAAGCGGGGCATTTCAAGACTTTCAACGAACTCCTTGCGAAGCACCGAATCAGACCGACCGCTATGTATCCGGTTTGGCAAGTTGCAGCAACAATCCTGGGTTGGACAACGGCAATGATGGGAAGGGAAGCCGCAATGGCGTGTACCGAGGCTGTCGAGACAGAGATTGGAAACCACTACAATGAACAAGTCCGGGAGCTGCTCAAATGGATGCAGGAACTGAAAGAGAAAGGAGAAGAGCTTGATCCCGAGCTTAAAGTTTTAATTGAAGATATCAAGCGCATCCGCGACGAGGAACTTGAACATTTGGATCACGCGGTCGAGAACGATGCGAAAGAGGCACAACCTTATGATCCTTTGGTAGACGTCATTCGATATGGCTGCAGAGGGGCCATCTGGATCAGTGAACGAATTTGAGCGACAAGAAACACCTCGTTCAATCAACGTGAATGGTGTCGATGCCTTGATGGCACACGCATTGTATTCAATTGCACTCATCTATTTCTTGCCGCGGAGGGGCCCCAGAACCGACTCCTTCCCTCGAGGAGTGACAGATTCGTCTCGTATGTCGTCCTTCGACCATTTCCTCTTTGCGGACCTCTTCGCGTAATGGGACCACCCGACGACCACCACCTCCTGGCTTCCTTCTTAGTTTCCATATCCGGTTCACAAAAGCGACATCAACTCATCGCCCAGCTCTCCGACTCCTTCCGCCCCTTGCCGACTTCTTTGAAGCGCATTTTGAAGATGTATTCCGCCCCTGCTTTGCATTAGAGCCTCAACAGCCTCAGAATGCTTTGTCCTCGCACTCAAAATGGACAATTCTGATGACACATTACATCTTTGGCTCTGGATTACGAAAATGTTGCTGTAGTCCGGTCCGTTCAGAGAAACCTGGATTGTGACAGAGCGAGATGGCTCTAGGCAAGAGGAACGGCGAGCCTAGCCTGTCCAGAAGAGATGCTGAGCTCCCAGATCGATCGGGCATCTGTCTTTGGAGGTGTCGAGGCAAGCGATCTTGCTAATCTCTCTCGACGCAAAACCAAAAGGATTACGTGTTGCTACACGAAACGTGATGAAAGAAGACAAGATGTGTACTCTTGGATGATATCACGGAAGAGGACTTCGCGCCAGCCTCAGAAGCGAATGGTGGTTGGAAGAGCAGCTTTGTCGTCTTACCTCCGCTACAGTTTCCTAGTTCGCTCACTCACTTTCGTTCACTTCACTATGCCTTTTGCATTTCATTCGTGATCAAGCATTCACAAGGCATCCAGTGCCTTTTGGCTCCTCAAAATATGCTTACCTACCACTTTCGCTCTCTCGATGAGAAAGTCAACAACTCCACATGTTTGAACCCTCCTTAATCCACGTCCACCCTTCAGGCTCAACTTCCGGCTTGAACACCATGTGCCGGTTCAAGCTACAAATTTGTCCCTATCCTCACCAAGACCCAATCTCTGCTCTGATCTTCAACCCTAACAAGGCCGATCACTGGGAGCGCTGTGGCAGACCACAACCCTGGGGCCACCTTAGTTGCGGCAATCTCATCGTCGAGCACCCGAAAAGCCGCTCACAATCCGAAACATGTCTGGCACATGAACATGCCCTCGCTACCCTCTCCAACGCCCCAGCTAGTACCAAACTTTACAAGCCAATAGGATCTACGCTCCTTCAGCGACGATCTTCAACCGACAGTACCATTGTCCCAATTGACGCAGGCGAGATCAGACCCGAAGGTATACCATGCTTATGGTGTTCTACAGTTCTCAAGATGGTCGCTACAAAGTCCAAGGAAATTCAGAAGGAGGCAAGCAAAACAATCGTCCATTTGGAGAACAAAATGGATGGCAATGCGGAGTTGAGAAATATACAACGAAAGATCATGGACAAGGAAACAGAGCTTGATATTTTGAGGCGTGATGCGTGGAGAAGAGCAAGTACCTTGATGGGTGGAACACTGGGCGAGTGAGACAGTACGGAGTAAGGCTGACAACTTACCGCGCGGGATCTGATTCGTTGCACAAGGCTTGACACTGGAATCTCATATCTTTGGTATCGTGACGGTGTGGACGAGATAGGAGGAAGCTCCAAGACTATCAATAGGCAGAGGTCATCAGTTTTCTACCCCCTTCCCCAAAATATCTGTTGCTCATGCCCAAGACTTCTACCATCATCCTGCCGTGCCATGGGATCTACTTCGCAGAAATAATATGATTGCTCAAGGGTCCTCGAGCCCAATCCTCCACTATTTCTTAGACTTGCTTTTCAAAGCGCCAGGGCAAATGGACCTATCTCCACCCTTCCTACTCATGAAGAGTTTCCTCTCCCTCGCTGGCGAGCTGTAGCCAACCTGAGTCTAGATCTCTGCATGAGGGAGGGCCAATGAAATTTTACGGTGGAGTATACACGTCAATGCACAAGCCGCTCGAGGCCATGTACTTGCAAATGTCATGCTTTACTGTTTAGGAGCTCGCGAGACGTTTTAGTCCAAATAACCTCCCCAGATATTAGTTCTCCCTCCTAATCCAACCTCGTCACTTTCACAACCATGCCGCTGAAACCTCTTACATTTAAAGGCGACAAAAAGCCCAAGAAGCGGAAACACCGATCTTATGAAGACGACGAAAGCAAAGTCACCACAGCTGCTGACGGCAGTGCTGAGGCTGTCGATCCTTCACAAGACGACTCATGGACAGTGCCAGACCTCCCATCGGACCTCGCAGGACCAGTCATTCTTGTCCTCCCAACTATGCCACACACCTGCCTTGCCTCTGACGCTCATGGCAACATCTTCGCCTCACCACTCGAGAACATGGTAGAGAACTACGCAGAGACGGCCGAGCCACATGATGTAAGACAAGTGTGGGTGGCGAGCACGGTTGTGGGAACGGGCCAGTTGAGTTTCAAGGGCAGCCACGGCGGATATCTGTCTTGTGATTCGATCGGAGTGCTAGGAGCCAGGAGAGAAGCAAGAGGAGTTGAAGAGGGCTTCGTGGTAGAAGCAACCGAGAACATCGACGGCAAACCACGCTGGAGGATCTGTACGGCCGCAACAAAGACCGCAGAAGGAGACAAGGGGAAAAGATACATCTCTGCTGAAACAGAGACATCTACTTCAAAAGGGGACGAACCGAAAAGGAAAGTATCCGTCTCCCTCCGCGGCGACGGCGAGGCGGACTCTGACACCACACAGATCATACTCAAGATGCAAGCACGTTTCAAGCCCCGCGTGCAGCAGAATAAGGAGACCAAGGCGAAAGAGAAGGTCAGCCGCCGTGAGCTCGAACAAGCCGTGGGAAGAAGGCTGGAGGACGATGAAGTCAAAAGACTCAAGAGGGCAAAGAAAGAAGGCACCTTTTACGAAGAAGTCCTCGATGTGAGGGTCAAGGGGAAGCATGATAAATTTGCGAGCTAATGCGCCAAAAAAACCAACGTCTCATGAGGATACCATCAAACTTTAAGGGGAAACAGATCCTCAACGAAAGACACCAATCTTCAAATTCGACTCACGACAACCTCTGCGTATTGAAGTTTTTCACAACGCTTAAAAAACACCCTGCGAGGCCGGCTGCTATAACATACTCCAACCCAACGGGATATTTTCATCAGTTTTCCCAACATCACGTCATATATCCAGGCATATATTCTGTACAGCCCGAATTCCGTCTGACAACGCCTACGCTATGCAAATATCCATCCAAATAGGTGCCCTCCGGATCCTTTTTATTCGAGGCTGGGGATCACACGACCAGCTATCCGGCGCCCTGAAAGACAGTCAGCGATGTCTCAGAAAATTTTTGGAATCGGTTCCACTTTACAGAGAGGCCTCGAAACATCCACAGCACGGGCTTCGTCAGCTCTTTCGTCATAACTGCGCTCTTGTTGCCGGGCAAATCGCTCTCGCAGCCATGCCCTTCGAGCGGACACGCCTTGTGCTCGAACCTCGGCGGGTATTTCTTCCTCCGCTCGAGTGTCGCTGTGGCCCTCCGTTGACCGCATTTCCGACCCTGTTGCGCGCCCGCCTTCCGGACTCGGATAGGTAGGATGTCTCGACATGTTCCGAACAGTGCGATTCAATGCCACTATCGGAGCAGAGAGTCTATGTGAGCTTGAATTTGGGAGTGCTCCCGGTACAGCGCGCTGCGCCACCCTCCGCATCAATCTTTCCCTCCGGACCATAATGTTTGTGACTTCCACAGGACAGTATCCGATTGGAAGCGCTGATTTCTTGCACATGGGACACAATGAACTGTTGTCTCGAAGGAAAGGATCGATGCACTCGGGATGGAAAATATGGTTACAAGGAAGTTCCCGTACTGTTGTTTCACCGTGCACGAAGTCGTCTAGACAAATCGGACACGTTGATTGAGTGAATAGAATTTCGCGGACTTCGGAGTTGGATACATCTTCATTGTTACTCTCCTTCGATTCTGGCCTCGTAACTTTGTCCGCATCGTCTTCCGCGGTGGTGTTGTTCGGTTCCGTTTTGGAAATGTAAGTATACTGTGGCATCTTGTCCAAAAGTTCTTGGGGCACTTTGAGCCTTTTGATCCCCAATGCTTCAAGATCAACCTCACCATTAACAACCCGACGCTGGAGTTGTCGTCGCTGTCTCCGCTGCACCAAGTGCATGATGACGGATGTAGTCAGAACCACGGCAAGGAGGATGGCCAGAACAATGATCAAGAACACCCACAGGGAGGGTATTCCATTTGAAGAATCAACATCCATTCTGGCATAGAGCCTGACGGTGTCGTGTAAATCGTATATCTGCTCCAATTCATTGCCGTATGGTACTTGGGATATATTCCCGGAATACTGCGCAAGTTCGTCGAGAAGGAAGGCTCCCACCATCCCGGGTATAGCGTAGACTGGATAATCGTTGGCCGACTTCCATTGACCGCCATCCTGGAGACTCCAGGATGGATCACTGACAGGAGGCGGCTGCGCACTGTCATTGTTGGGATGGAAGAAAACGGCCCCGCGAACCTCGTCGGAGCGCATTACAGACAGGTAGGAAAGCACGCAGGCTGGATCTGTCCATGGTGCTATAGCAATTAACGGATAATCTCCTGGAGGTATATCCGCTCGTGTGGTCACATTCGCAGGTATCAAGGAGGATGTTGAGTTATCGCAGGGAGTAGACAGCGGAAGTTCAGGAACGTAGAGGAGGCCCTGGATAGTGTCGTAGTGACGAGGGTTGTTCGGCGAAAGAGTGCGGATGAGGCCCGAGGCCCTCAATGCGAAGCCAAAGGACTCCTTTCCAATATCAGAAGTGTTCTTGCTAGAAAAGAGAATGATATTCTGTGCTCTTCATACATTGACAATCCGAGCACCATTGGAAGGGTCGTACTGAGGATTGGGGAGGACAATCGTTACCACGCCAAAGTCCTGTGCGGCTAGAGCGGATCAATATACAGTCAGAGAAACAACGAATGACATTGAACTCACACATCACGATTCGAGGCTCCTCTAGACACACAATGCTCAAGATTGATTCAGCCGGTCAGTTGGAGGAGGGCATTATATAGAGTTGTGCAACCGGAATGAAACGGATATGTCATGGAGATCGGACAGGCCCCTATTAGAAAAGGAAAGCTCACATAGAGACAAAAAGCATCGAGCCAGAAGAAGGCCACCTTTCGAGGGCAGTGACGACGTCGATACAAAGAAGGGAGGGACTGAGACAGGCCTGTGGAAATGCGCAAGACTTGCCAGTGGAATGGTGGCGGGCTACCGGGGCATCCAACCCCCCCCATCAATTCGAGTCTGTCCCAGCTTCAAAATGCGGGTGTCAGATCCGCCTTTTCCTGAAATATGAGTGGCACGCTAGGCCGATTCGAGCAGGAGGGGTGGCTGAGCTGTTCAGCCTTAATTACAACAGGCATCTTAGCCGAGACGCTGCTTGGCGTCAACGTCTGATGACTGCAAATTGCACCTGCAACTTTCGGTTCGCGCGACAACGAGAACGTGAATAAACGTATATCCTCAGTTCAACCCTCCTTGACGTTGACAAGCCGAGGTGGTGATATACTTCCCCCCGACTCCCTATTCTAAGGCTCTCGATCGAGATCTCCAGCAAAAGACATGAGGCTAGTTTTGCCTTTTTGAGCGACGCCCTTCCTCCTCCTCATTGACGACGACTCCCTTTTAGAGCCTTGTACCATGCCGGCCCTCGGGAGTGCCAGCAAGAGCAAGGGTAAGAGCAAGGATAGCCGTCAGTCACGAAGTCGTAACACTACCCCGAGTTCAGTCATCAGTGCTGGCGCGGCTGCTACCGGCCCCACGATCACTCCTCTCTTGGAGTTGGAGACGAGTAAACTTCTGGTCTCTGCAAAGCCGACCTATTCAGAGATCATCGAGTATCTGGAGAGCCATGGCAGCAGACTGGAGCCCAAGTCTCTCCATGATATTATAGACCAGTTGAAGCATCTGAGCGAGTCGGCGGAGAAACGCGCCGAGTCTTGCGAAAAGGCCATTCGTCTAATTCATGAGCAGAAGAAAGAACTGGAGTCAGATCAACAAGATCGTGAGCGGCAAGCGGAACAGGCCCGGCGAGCAAAGGCCCGAAAGGAAGAGTCGCACTCGCAAAAGAACCCGAAGGCGAAGAAGCGCAAGGATAGACCTGAAACCTTTGACAGTGTGGAAATCAAACGGGAAGGTATGTTGGTTCATAAGGGCTGTTTTCAAGGATGGCTGGCATTCAAATCTTGCCTTTTGTGCCTGTCTTGGCGAGGAATGGCTCGATTTGCTGGTATCCTATTTTGGCTTTTCCGATGGCTTCATGATGTTAACGCGATGTTCAATATTCACTGACAACAGACACAGATGAACCTACGAAGACCAAATTAAGCCGTGCCACAGGCACCCCAGGGCCTGTAGATAGCCCTTCTCCATCAAAGAAAACGAAACTCAGTCCCGGCACGTCATCACTGTCAGAACCCGCCGAATCACCAGACCCTGCGGCGGCGAGTGCCCACGCTTCCCCGACCAAATCCGATGTGTCCATGTCTGATGCTGAAGACAATCGTGTCATTCATGGACAGCCCCCGATTCCTCAACAAGGCTTCTTTCCAGACCCGCTGGCGCCTGATCCGGTGATATATCACATCCGGGAAGTGACTCCGGGAATGTCGGATGCAGAGAAGAGAGAAATTTACAGCGTCACTGCATATCCTGCCAAAGACCTGAGCGATCAAATCGCAGGAACGCCTCCTGACAAAGACTTCAGCAATACCAAACCGACGAACCAAGTCGCTGCCAACACTTTCCTCACCTATGTAGAACCGTACGTTCGACCTCTCACGGAAGAGGACATGGCATTTTTGAGAGAGCGAGTAAGTGCACCGGTTTTACATTCAACGCAACCTGGCTAATTCAGAATAGGGCGACCGAACCACTCCCTTCCTGACAGTACCTCGCGGCAAACGCTCATATCAGGAAATTTGGGCTGAGGAAGATGGAACAGTGCTAGTGGATTCGGGCAATGACAAGCTTGCACTGAACCATCCGCGAGGCGGTGTGGAACAAATTAATGATGATAATGTCGCAACAGATCAAATCTCGACCGGACCATTGGCCAGCCGCCTCCTTTCCCTGCTCAAGTTTGAGCACCGGTCCCCGCCAAATGACATGAATGGCACGAATGATCTAAATTCGTTCATGGCGACTGACGGGAACGACACGATGGACCTAGACGGGCTGACAAATGGCCATGACGGATCGGAAAAGCCACTGGCACCCGCATCGGCCGTTGCAGAGCTGGCAGGTTCCAAATCTTCCAATTCTCAGCGCCTTGATTATATCCAGAGCGACGAACGAATTAAGGGTGAACTCCGTCACCTTGGTCTTCTCGGACAAGATGAGAATCCTGACTATGATGCTCACCATGATGATGATATCAGTGAGAGGCTGCGACTCCTTCAAGCCGAGCTTCGTCGTGTTATCATTATCAACGGGGCTCGCAAAGCTCGCCTACTCGATCTGGCGAAAGAACGCCTTGCATATCAAGAGTACAGCACTATTCATGAAGATCTTGACAGCCAAGTTCAACAAGCTTATCTCAAACGGACCAGAACGTTAGGCAAGACCAAGAAAGGTGGCCCTGGAGCCAACAAACCTCGACCTGGCGGCCATGGTCTCGCGGGCCCTGGGACAGCATTAAGCATCAACAGAGCCAGGGACATTGGGGACAATGCCAGAATGCTGATGGATAGGAGAAAACGTTGGGAGAGTTGCATCGGACCGGTGTTCAAGGATATGAAGCATGGAATTCCGGACAAGGACACGACTTTATGGGATCCGAAAATCATGGAATTGTATGAAAAAACCGAGATGGAATCCCTGGAGGAAGAAGCCGAGTAAATTGGAGCCATCAAGGAGTCTCTTTGGAACAATGCCGGAGGCGGAGGACGGTGTTGGCAAATCCCAGTCACGTGAGAAAGACCACGTGACGTCACACATCCAACAAAAGCCACTCAATTGTCGACCCCTCCTCCTCGGAGCCACAAGCTTCAAACAATATCGAGAGCATTGACCACAGTGTCAATGTTTGTCGAGTTCACAAAGCCGGCATGGCTTGCAGAATGAACAGGTCGTCACTCAATCGAGTTGGGGTCTTAGCGACAATGAACTGGATATGCCCCGGCTCCGGCATGAAGTCACAATGTATTCTCACTCGAACTGCTCAGACCAAGAATACTGAGTCTGCTTATTCTGAGTTTTTAATTACGTTTTCCCTTCTGCGGTCGGGCATCATTTTGGCTTCCCTGCCTGCTGATCGGTGTTTAGTTTTGCCAATCCCAAGGTTTTGCTGAATGACACAAGCTACGATAATATGGTCCAAGGTGGTTTAGATGATGTTAAGGTCGATTGGGACGCATCCGATCGGTAGTCATTCACCGTTAAACACGACAGTCTGTTGCCTATTCTCCCATTAAACATTTTTCGACTGGACAGAGCATGACGCAAGAAGAAATATACGCCCGGTTGGGACGAAGTTCCGACACCACTTTTTCTCGAAAATCGATTTACCCGACGACGATGAATGACGGTTCGAGAGGGTGCTCGGTAAGGGTCCTTATGGCGCCGCGGTATTGTATTCCAAGGTGAATGCGACCCCTGAAGGTGGAAGACATGAGTGCTGCTGTCATGATTCATCTCCTTTCGTCTCTTAACGAACACAGGCATTCGCTCTGAAAATCACCAATGTCAGGCCAGAACTCGCCCTTCACAAGAACAAAGTTGACCTAACCCTGGATGCTGCGATCATGGTTCAGACAAATAGGCCGAATCAGACAGCATCATGCGTTTATGCTAGAACAAAGTCGGTGAAGGATTTTGCTTGCACTCAATTCATGAAGGACTACAGAAACTATTACTTCCGACAAGACGTCCCAGCATCGCCGAGCACACTACCCCGAGACCTCGACAGAATTCGGCCAGAGGCAAACTTATGGGGTATTGGCGCAATCATGTGGAGCCTAACGACTCCAGAAGAAGTTGAGATCCTTAGACAGAGAGTGAATGACATTCTACCTGGGACTCGTCCAGCGTATCGTACTTTCAACGGCCACGATGTCATTGAGCGAGCCCTTGCCAAGTCAAAGATCGTTATAGCCCTGAGCCCGACAATCTTACCCGACTATGCACGAGATCGGAACTAGAGGACCGGCCATCGCCGATCGACCTTCTTAGGGCCCGTTCTACATAACCTCCAAGCACGCCAACAGCGTGAGATGGAGAATTTGCAAAGAACGCCAGGCCGACCATTGTGTTGCCACCAATTTCCTAGGCTTTCCGGGGGGGCTGAGATATTGTCTTACGTCGAGCGCATTGAATCCTAGTCTGGACTATTCTATAGAGACCTCCCCATGGTGGTGTTATCGAGGTGATAAATGCAATGCTATCATCGAGAATCAGAGAAAGCCATTTGCGGAGCCACACGGTCTGTACTGTAGCACAGAGAGATGCTAACACAGCGACAGAGAAGCGGAGGCCAAGCAATGCGAATCACTCTTATGGCTTGTCTTCTGGGAAGCCGCTTTCTTTCAGAACCAAATTGGACTATCAGGTCTCCTGTCCTGGACCCAATTCACCCTGGTGTTATGATCGCGGTAGAGAATAGCCATAACGAGACTGTCGAGTATGCTATTAGAAAATGGACAGAGTCCGGGCAATATCTCTACAGAACGATAAGGAACGCCCAAGAAAAGAACAAGGTAATGAATGAGATATGTGAGAAACACCAGGGCGTCATCCAAAATTCCGGGCATGCTACCGGAAGACTCTGACGTCAGCCGTTTTGATGGCATTAATTGGTAGGGAGCAAGGTCGATCTTTTTGGATTCTCAGATTGGTCCTATCCTCAGAATTCATGATAGAAATATTACAGTTTTCAATTTTTCCCAGCCTCGTCACATGACTAGCAGCCTTGCTTACGTCACATCATTGAGGTGCAACTTCGTCTTCTCCCCATTGTTTTGATCTGATATTCAAGTTCATCATCAACTATATCATCTCCACAAACCATGACCTAAATTTACAATCTCATCCACGAGAACAGGTCCCATTAATCCTCCTCACCGCTCAACATGCTCTCTATTTCCCAAAAGTTGTACCAAATCCCCTTCCTCTCCTCGCTCCTGAATCTCACTCCCTCACTCCATCATCACACGAACCACCACAACCACTGTCCCAATCCTCCAACGCTCTCCTGCCCCTTCCCCCTCCCTCGCAGCATAGATACATGCTGCTTCAATCATCCATCAGGACACTTTCTCCAGACGCAATTCTGGGACACCTCACCAGCCCTCGGCCCCAATGACTCCTGGACGATCCACGGACTCTGGCCGGATCTATGCACCGGTGGCTTTGACGCGTACTGCGACTCGTCACGCTCACACCACGACATCCGACGTATCCTGCACGCGCTGGGGCCCGAGCTGACAGACGACCTTCTCGCGTTTATGGACAAGTACTGGCTCTCGTTGTACGGAGGGAATGTGCACCTCTGGACTCACGAGTGGAATAAACATGGAACGTGCATTTCGACTCTGGAGCCGGCGTGCTATGGCTCTAACTCCGACGACAAGTCAGACACCACTAATCTCGACGTGCTTGACTACTTCGTACACACGACATCGTTGTTCAAGACGCTCGACACCTATGCCATACTCGCGGACGCCGGCATCCTGCCGAGTGAACACACGACGTATACGCTGCGCGAGCTTGAAGATGCCGTGGAGTCATCCACGCACGGCTTTCCCGTCACGTTCCGTTGCAATCGTTTCGGCGAACTTGATGAGGTGTGGTACCATTTCAGCGTGATGGGTTCGATGCGGCGACGGTACGGCGACTCGAAGACGGGGATGGGAGCAGACAACTACGGCTCACCGACCCTCAATGCTTCAACCGTCCGTGAAATCTTCATCCCCACGGCTCCAGACGGCGCACTGTCCAACTGTCCCCGCCGCAGCATCACGTATAGGCCGAAAACGAGTTTTTCCGATCCCAACCCGTCCCCGACGAGCAGCAGCACAGCCACGTCGACATCTACATCCGCGCTATTCGCGGGGAAAGGCCATTTGGAGATTCACATTGTCAACAGGGACGACATATCCGCTCCGTCAAAGAAGGGCTGCCTCACACGCATGGGTGACTGGTACGCGTCAGGGACTTGTGCGACGTTCAGAGCTCAGCCCGATGTAGCTGACCCGGCACATTCGCCACTCTTCTCGCTGTCTTCCAGCTATAGTCCGTGCTTGATCAATCCGACGACGGAGAAGTTTGAATGCACAAAATCCAGCGCCGTCCAGGGGATATTCTCTTCTGACGCAGTGCATCCGAGTATACTGGCATACCAGAACAGGAGCACGTTCTATGCCGATCACATACCGGGTCGGTTTGAGAAAGTTGAGGTCTATGCTAACAATGGGGATGGGAAGAGGGAAGTTGAGTTGGACATTCGTTGGGTATCTATATAAACCCGACTATATACTCTGTACCTTTCTCTAGAGTCGGCCAATTATGCCGGTCGTTGTTGCCAAAGACTGAATACGGCCTTGTTCGATATGACAACCGGGCGCCCATGTATCGAGCAGTCAGCCGTTCCCGACTTATTCCCTAGCGATACTCGAGCTCTCGCTACGTCCCAAGCCCATCCCGCCAACTCGCCGCCCCATCTTCTTCATCTCTCGCATTCCGGCACCAAAGAAACTCTTTAACATTTCCCTACTAATTTGCCGCTCTGTCCCCGCGACGGGTCTTGATCACCTTCTCCTTTCCTTTCCCAGGCATCTTTTCAAACCCCACCCTAGGAGAGACCGACTCCTGACCGGAGGCGGAGGTACGACAAGCCCGCTCTCAAGCATATCAGTCTAGTGACCCAACCGCGCTTTTGTATGCCTTCGCCTCGAAATCGGTGGTTTCAAGTGTGTTCCGACTCAGCATGGAAGCAACGTTGGGAGATGACAGCGGCATTTGGATGTCGGTTTTTACCACACTGAGAGACAACAAACACAGACTCGATCGCCGATGAGGCTCTGCTCCCCTCCAGGCGGCGCAATCATCCCGTTCTTTCATGATCTTGGCCCAAGTTTCACGTGAACACTCAAAATATGAAGTCTTACGCCTGCACGACGACGGTTCACTAGCATTGGGTTTGGAGGCAGAGTTGGCGGGAAAAATATGTTGCTTCTTTGGTAACGAAGGAATGAGCGACGCCAGATCACCGGTTGCCTTACTTTCCGCCAAACTACCTTCCCCATAGAATGCTTTGGGACCACTCGTCATCACAGCTTCGGCATTCACGCTTGAAATTCTGCTCGTTGTCGTTGAAGCATTTCCTGAGGATTGTGACATATTCCATCCAGTCATCAGCTTCAAGCTGCCACAGCTAGAGAGTCTGAACTTTTTTTTTAATGCCCACCCCTGCCTTCAAGTGCGAAACTGCCGGCACGGTGAAGACCTTGACAAGACATTTCCAGTTTCTTCAAAGATGGTATTCGAGTTCCTCAAAGCTTTTCGAAGCTTTGGTTGTTTTGCAAACTGTTTCAGTTCGATGAGTGCAGCTTCCATTCGGGCGTTCTCACTGGCTTCAAATACAGGCTGGGGTCTTGTGTCCGCCAACTCTTTCATTCAAAGCCGATCACTCAACTGATATGACGACCAACCCAGTATGGAAGACTCCCAACGATATATACCTGCTTAGTGCTTAGTATTCTCAAATTCTGGCGGATATTTATGAATTCCTTGGGAACATCCTACCTGCTGGTTATTGTCGTTGCCCAGGCGGGTCTTCGCCAGCGCCGTTCTTATTTGCGAGAGTTGAATTAACGAACAAGAGTCAGTCTGAAGGGGAGTTTCTTTGAGTTTCTCAAGGTGACATGTATTGATAATATCATTCTCTGACAATTTGGTGGCTGATGCAGATTCATTCTTTATCAGAGACGAGGGTATGACCGTACTCGGTTCCTGCAGATTTCTACGAGCTGGATATAATGGTCTTGCAATCGAGGGGCGCCAATGGAAGTTGGCTTTTCTGGTTGAAAGTGTCTGACTTGGCAGGCCGAAACATGATATATGGCCTAGTGTCTGAATTTTGAATAATGGTGGCCCAAGAGGTTGCAGAAAGTGTCTTCTAGGCCTGATGTCGCGAGGGATGATAGGAGGTTGCTCATGGTTTTTAACTTGGGGATGGAGGGGGGATGTCTGGGGATTGGCCGAGGGAGGCGAAGTAATGGCATTGGGACTGCCGAAAGATTGTGTGGAGAATTTTTGAATGTACAGTTGTTGTTGGATGTCCCGAAAGATCTCTCCCCGGACGTTCGTCGTATGAGAGAGAGACCATTCCGAACTTGTCGATAAGAGTCGAGCCATACGACATGATGACGGATGACATGACTTCTGTGCCTATGAAACTTCTTGGAAGTCGGTGACCCCGATACGGAATCTCTCCCACCTCTTGGTACACCCGTTAGTGTGCATAGTATGATGTACCAGGAGTAGGACGTAGGATCGCAGATATAGATGAGCGGCGACTTCTAGCGCTGAGGAAAGCAGGATCATAGTAGTTGACTGATTAGGGCATTACCTTTCGGTATGTAGGATTGACGAGACAGAACAAAAATGAAGACTGTTCTGTACGTATTGGAGATCGCAGTTAAGTCAAACAAGCACAATGAGGGCGCAGGTTGAAGAAGTGTTGGGGAAGAACAGCGCGCGCTCTAATGGGCGTCCTACATTTGGATAGCGTGTCTTCCATTTCCAATTGGGAGCAGCAAAGAGAATAGATTCATTGGGGCCACAAAGTCAGTAGAACCGGCATCTGTTCTCGGAGACGGTCCTCTATTCTCATGGCAGTCCATGTTCAAGCTATGTACCAGATCGTTATTCGTTCGTCAGCCATTCTCCCGCTGAAAGCCTGACAGCGTGAGAGGGAGTCCAGCTGATCTGCATCTTAGTCGCAGTCAGCCTCACGCAGCCTTGTACCGCCCAAATTGGTTAGCATATGCACCAAATCGGATATAGATACCGTCTTGGCATGACGTTAGCCAATGACATCACGACATCTCTATTTGAATGGACTGTGGTGGACGCTGAGATACTTGGGAATTTTTTCAAGGCCACAAGCGAATTCCACTGCACGAATTAATGAACCTCAGAAGAAAATCGAACCATGTCTCAAGAATACAAAGGCCAAGACCTTCTCAACATCGCGGTCCAAGCGCAACAAGACCTCGCGGATCCTAAGAAGAAGCATGGCGCTCAAGATAGTGGCTTTGGAGGCAAAACCGTCCATGGAGGCAGTGTCAGTAGTATGTTCACTCCATGCAATATCCTCAAATCTGGATTATTCGACTAAGCAACTCAACAGCGACCGAGTCCGGCATCGATCAATCTGTAACGAACCAATTCCCCGGAAGCACGGCCAACTACGGTAGCAAGGTGTCTGGAACTGGAAACAACCGCGAAATTCCTTTTGAAGAAGGAGGAGATATTCAAAAAGGAACAGGAAGAATGACCAAGGCGGGAGACTTTGACCAAGGTACCCTGGTGAGGGACCGGAGCACATTGCAACAAAATATGCCGAGCAACATGGAGGGGAAGATCATGTGAGGAGGAACATCAAGAACAGAGCGGATTGAGAAAGGCCTGATTTAAAATGGAACAGATGGCCTTTTAAGTCCATCCTCGATAGGATACAACTCGCCCTATTACCCTAGCAATGAGGATATTGTACAATGTCTAACACAGTCACCCCAGCTCAGGCACACAGCCTGAACCTGGCCCGTTTGCACCTTACAATGCCTGAACGGTTTGGAAAAATCGGTTATTCACCAACCTCTCGTCACTCTTGACCATGTCCCTCATCAACCTAAGCTTCTCCTCTTTGGTAAAGTTCTGACCTTCCACCTGTTCTTTCCATTTTTTCAACATTTCTTTCAATAATATGCTGCCCTCTTCTGCGTCCTCCTTGGAGTATTCGTGTTTCTTTTCGTCACCTATCACGCTGGTGAAATCTTCCAATTCTTCGGCTTTTCGCCGGGCCATGTTGATCACTTTCTCCGGAAATCTCACGAGTTCAGCCACATGAATCCCGAAGCTTTGGTCGCTGACACCAGGTTCGACTCGGTATAGCAGCGTGACTTCTCTCCGTTTGTTCGGTCCGTCGCTGTCGCCGTTGGTCATGGCATCTTTCTGGTCACCAACAAAAGCCACCACGTGGAGATTTTTGACGGCATTGGGGAATTTATCTGCCAGTGCCGTCAATTCGTGGAAATGGGTGGCAAAACAGCCAAATGCACCAATCTGAGCCACGATCTCTTCGCTAATGGCCCAGGCCAGACCGAATCCGTCGTAGGTGCTTGTGCCTCGACCGAGCTCGTCAATGATGATCAAGGAATCTCTGGTGGCACTCTTCAAGATGTTGGCGGTTTCCAGCATTTCAGCCATGAACGTGGAAACCCCTTTGAGTTGTGAGTCGGAAGCTCCGACACGAGCAAGGATACAGTCAAAAATTGTCAACTCGGCTTCGGTGCATGGTACGAAACAGCCAATTTGAGCCATCAACGCAATGCACCCGATGGTCCGAATGTAAGTGGACTTGCCTCCCATATTGGGCCCGGTAATGATCAAAAATCGCGAACGGTCTCGTTTTAGTTCGACATCATTCGTGATGAAATTGACGTCGTCTTGGGCTTCCATGCACGGGTGACGAGCTTCTTTCAAAATCGTGTCTCCCGTTCCACGTTCATGCATCTTTGGGCGCACGTACGCAGTAGGGGCATGCACAGAGACGTGAGCCAGGCTGACCACCACGTCAAGGTGAGATATAATGGCAGCCAGTTGCTCGATAATTGGAGTGTATGACGCAGCGACCGAAACGACTTCAGACACGAGGGAGGACTGTTTTCGATTGTAAGAGCTCGATAGCTGGTCGTGCTCGCGCCTCAACGCTTGGAGTGTCTGTGTCGTGAAATAGACACCATTCTTTTGGGTTGAAATCTCCTGATAGTGGTGTTTGTTTCGGATACAACTCGCTTCATTGCGGGTGAGTCTGAAGCAGTACCCGTGCACTCTGTGATTCTCCAGGAAAAGCTTCTTGTCCAAGTCCTGGTTGAGGTCTTTTCCGGCGCGACGATGCTCAACGTCCATGTCGTGTTTGACCTTGTCGAGCTTAGCTCGGATCACCCGGAGATGGTCGTCAAATTCTGGCTTAATGATGAATTCGTGTCGGTCCAGAGCATCCAGGTCGACCGTCGTTTCAACCATTTCAGCCAATTTACCCAGAAAGCTGGATAAGTCTTTCAACTTGGACGTGTATTGTTCCTCCAGCGGGATTTGATACCGCTCGTCGACGACAGTTTCCAAGGCTTCAATGAAGCCAGGCAGCCGGATGACAACCTGATAGGCACGGACCACGTCCTCTAGATTGGCCAGTTTGCGCTGGAACTTCTTAGCTAGACGATAAAGATCCGGTATCGAGCGAAGATGCTCTTCTTGCATGGTTTGGCGGAGTTCTGTGTCGGTCACGAAAGCCTCCACCAGGTGCTGTCTCTTCTCGATCTCCGACAGGCTCATCAGGGGTTGCTTGAGCCATTGGGCCAGTAATCGACCTCCTATAGGAGTCTTGCAATGGTTAAGGAGACCAAATAGGCTCATACTTTTCGACCCATCCCTTGGGCCCGGCATCAGATTGAGAGCTCTGAGCGCAGCAGCATCCAATTTCATGAACTGGCTTAAATCATGCTGGTACAGCTGGAATTGACCAAAGTTGCTCGGATCTGTCAGCACGCCCAAGTATTTGACCAGAGCAGCGGCACTGCCCATTGCGAGCTTGAGATCTGTCTGAGGCAGCAGTCCGATGGCGTTCTCCCCTTTGAGAAGTCGTGCCAGATCTTGCTCGATGTCTCTGGTTCCAAAGTCGGCCGCAGATCTCTCAGAGATGGCAATGCCACACGACTCCGCAATTTGTCGTATCTTGGCGAGCTCAACATCCTTTTTCTGGCCATCACTGGCCACGACACACTCTTTGGCGCCGAGCTGAATGAGGAGACTCTCGAAGTTGGAGTAAAGGTCGTTGTCCGGAAATTCGCTGACACCAAGTTCTCTGGCACTCGCGTCGGCAAAACAGACGCCCACATTTCTTGCCTCGCTGGCTTTGGCGCTGACCTTGACAGCGAGAATGATGGGTGCACTATCGCCTTGACTGTCCAAGCCGGTACCCAACTCTTCCTCGACCGCCTGCAAATTTCCTGGGCTGGCCTGACGCACCAGTTTCCATTGGCCCTTCCCACTTGCCTCCCAGATTTCTACTCTCTTCCCAAGTTTGAAGAGTGCTTCTCGAAGGAGATTTCGGAAAACCGTGGTCGACATTGTCACACTGGCCAAGGCGTTGTCGCTGCGACCGAGATTCCTGATGACCGCGGTCGTCTTATAGACTGTTCGGGCGATGAATTCCGCATCTTCTCCGTGTGCCGAGTACCAGTCGGTTCGATCGAAGACGCGAATAGTGTTGCTACCATCTGGCTTGGGAGGTAAGGAACGAAAGGTGTGGATGAAGCCACCCTCATCATCGACCTGTTTTTGAAGAAGCCCGTCAGTGTGGCGGGATGGTGTCGAGGAACGGTCTTACCTTGAGTTCTGGTCGGGACGACATCTTGAACTGAGTTGATGGTGCGGCAAAAGGTCGTCGTGAGTGATGGCGGACGATTTCATGGAACGCGGGACGCGATTCTCACGCGTAAAGTGGCTAAGACGCGATGTCTTGGCCGAGGTTGCGGGGCCGGAGGGGACTCGTAGGCAAGGACCTTTGAGGCTCATACAAAAGGGGCTTCCGGCATCCAGGCTCTAAGTTAGGCCCCCCCGGGCTGCCCAATTCGATGCATGTACGGAGGGCTGCCAGATCACTGCCATCATAACCGATTACATGAGCATCTCAGGCGCTATCAGCCTCCTCTCATCGTCTCTTCAAAGCGATGGTGAATTTCAGTGATCATCTATTATCACGGCACTCTCATCCAGATCATTTGCCCCAGACCCGTCCCAGCATGCTTGATCTTTTCTCTTTTCATGAGTCATTGTCGCCTCAGGCTCGCTCTTTTCTCACTTCTCGTGTGCTCTCGTGCCTGCTGACAACATGACAAGCCTCGTGCCTTCCAACCATTTCGTATAGTACCTGCTGTGTGATCAGCTACTATGATACCTCCTGCTTCAGTTTCGATCATCTCTCTCATTTCCTCCCCTTCTCCCCCAACATCCATCTCTCATCACATGCCCATCAAATCCTCTCATTTCGTATCTGGCACGCTATCATTACTGTTTCCCCCAGTCACAAGATCGACCCATCCCCAAATCCTTTGAACTTTCCTGCTGTCGCAGATCTTTATTCATCATGACCAGGTCAAGAGGAAGGCGGCGCTCCTCGACCGCGTCGATCAAAAGGCCCATGAATTCCCTCTCGAAGCTGGATCCCGCAGAGAAGGAAATTTCTATGACATTGAAGAGAGATTGCCAAAACGCTACACTAGGTCCGAGATGGGCTTCATCGGCAAGGGCACCGGTATGTCGTAGACCGCATGCCTAGATGATAAGGTACTGATCTACAAACAGGTCTTTTGAGCTTGCGCAATCCATTTGGCAAGAAAGCAACCCCGACGGAGAACATCGTATGGCTCTTGGATAACACCGCCTATAGGCCTACCAAACCTGGGAAAGATTCGGCTCAACCTTGGGAGGCCGAATTTGTGGCTTGCTTTTTCCGTTCTGGGCGAAAGGACTTGACAAAATATGTCGGCAGCATCGCTGATCTGCTTGGTCTAGATGGGAAAGTGGGTGGCGATCCAGCAGCTCGAAAGCGAATCGAAGAACGTCTCAAGCCTTTCATCATGGCTGTAGCGTCTAGGCGTACGATTGAAATCCAGATACCTTGTCCAAACCCCGATGGCAGTCCTCACAGAAGGCTCCTTGGGCCCTCCAAGCCCAACGGAATCAGCAGCCAGACGATGCTCACGGGGGGATCTGACGATGCCGATGGCAAAACAGTTGTCTGCACCAGTGGCGGTCATATGTTTCCCGACCTGAAATGTAATACTCGCTTTGCTGGTCCTGAAGGTTGGGCAGTCATCTCCGACATTGACGACACCATCAAAGTGACCATGACATCGACACCTACTGGAATCCTGCAATCCACCTTCGCCGACATTCCCAAAACCATCCCCGGAATGCCAGAATTCTACAAGATTCTGGATGATTCATTCCGATCTCCCGCCTGGTTTTTTATCTCTGCGTCACCTTACAATCTGTATCCATTCCTCCGTCAATTCGTCAATTGTTACTATCCCCAAGGGACCATCATCCTTCGTGACGCCTCGTGGATGAACTTCGGATGCCCGCTTCAATCCTTCACCCAGGGTATCCAAGAATACAAGACTAACCGTATCGAAAAGATACAATCCTGGTTTCCGAAACGGAAGTTCATCTGTATTGGCGACTCCACCCAGTCAGACCCAGAGGTGTACGCACAGATGTATAAGAAATATCCCGATTGGATCAAAGCAATCTACATCCGCAAGGTGACGGATATTCCCCATATGGAGAATAAGAACAAAAACGAACGTTTCATCGACGCCTTCAAGGACGTGCCGGATCACATCTGGCGAGTGTTTGTCCAACCACAGGACCTGGCTGATCATGTCAAGCATCTGGCCGGTGAGGCGCATTTGGACATGATTGACCACTTGCTGGGTTTGTAGTGCCCAATCGAACGTGAGATGAAAGCCCAATCCTCCGAGTCGAATATCAACCTCCCGGGGAAGCTCGTACACCTGAGGCAGGGACTCGACGATCACCGGGTCTAGCACCAACAAAGGAATGGAACGCAGTGAGCCAGGATTTAGGAGCGGTGAGAAAAGGATATGTCGGCCCGTACACAAAGGCATGTCATCACGGGGGGAGGGAATTTGGGATCCGGAGCGAAAAGCCGTCGATACTCAATCAGGTTACCACATCTCCTCAGTGATGGGATCTATGATCGAAGTACTTGTAACCTACATGAAGGGCGGGATGAGCATAACACTGACGCGAGGTGCTCTTTATCTCCAAGAGAACGGTTGTGGCGTTCGACGGATACTTTGTTGACTGTCGATCTTGTCAAAGGCATGGACGAGAGTGATAGGGTTCCTCAGTAGCTTCCTAAAGAAGCAAGACTAAGTCTAAGTTGTATCTGGTCCCTTTGGAACAAGGCTGAACCGTGAACCAGTAGCCAAGCCATCTCTCCAAGTTGGTAATTCGTGCCGAGCCGGAGTTTTTTTGGCAGCCTCGCCACAACATGCCGCAGGAACTTGGGAGCGCGCACTGGCCCTGCGAAATTCATTTCTTGAAGACTTGAACGCCAACCCCCGCGGTACACCCCAACAAGCGATCTGCGTGTGTGAAATCCGTCCAAGATGCCTCAGGGCTTCGACAAATGCAAGGAACGACCTGCGCACATTGACGAAATCCTTAATGGTCTGAATCGATACAACCCTGAGACCACCACCACTTTTCAAGAATATGTCAACCAACAGTGTGAAGAAAAATTCTTCGATGCATACGCCTGCCTGGCGCTGCTCAAATTGTAAGAATTCCCCTTTGCAAGATCGCCGAACTTGTCTGTTTCGATGATGAAGAGATTTTTCATACCACGTTTCCTATTACCTGACTGGTCCTTCGGGAATTATGGAGAGTCGAATTATTAGCTCTATCTGACCTTTTATGTCCCCGATTACTTTGTTGTGTCGAATTTTGAATGACAGGAGAAATGCTGACCTGCCACGAATCAGATATCAATTCAACCCACAACTCCTCCACCCGGAGACGGTCACCAACATCCTCGTGAAAGCCTTGACTGTGTTTCCCTCACCCGCCTTCTCGCTGTCCCTCGCGCTCCTCCCTCCTTCAACAATCCCATACAACCCTGGCAATACCTCAATGCCCACCACCGATCTCACAGAGTCGATACAAAAACTCACGCGTTTAAATACGTTGCTTGAATCGGCACAGTATGATGCATTTTGGTCCACGCTGGAATCAGACGACTTGTACTCAGATCTCTACGCCGACGTGGCCGGATTTGAGGATCTGGTCCGAATACGAATTGCAGGTGAAGTGGGGAAGACCTTTCGATCAATCGACCTGGGAGTGCTGAGTGGGTGGCTTGATTTGCGAGGAGACGCGTTGACCAAATTTGCTCAGGGTGCTTGTGGCTGGAAAGTCAGAGGACAACAAGTGGAAATACCATCGAACGCCGAGAACGAGGCAAAGAGCGAGGTCAAGAGCGAAAGAGTAGGTGTGGAAATGTTTGGTCGGGTTTTCAGGAGAGGGTATGAAGCACCGGCGTGAGAAACATAATGGGGGTCCCTCATGTTTAGTGGAAAATGGAATCTCCGATGAGATGGAATGATCTGGGGAGAACATGATGCAGAAGCCAGGAATCGGCCGAATTTCGGTAGCCTGGAAGAGTGATCAGGCATCACATGGCTTGAGAGGAAGCTGCGGGTTGAAAAGAGGATCTCTGGCCTCCTATTGAGTCTTTTTTAGGAGGGGAGAAAATTCACGAGCCAGTCGAGGGCATGGTTCAAGCCTCTTGTTATTGTTGGCTTCCAGGTGGATGTCGTTCCGCCACCGTTGATATGTAAGACATGATCAATGGGTAGATGTTGATCGAAGCAAAGGTGCTTGAGAAGACCAACCCTCAAAAGGTGTCTCTTTAAGAACTTTGCTCTCTCGTTCAAGCCGTTTCGCTGCGTTGTCACGTGCCAACTGCGTCCTGCCGTTGAAAGTTGGCCAACTCGCTTGACATCAGGTGACATGGCCATCTCGTGTCGCTCAGCTGCCTTTTGCCTCCATTACCCCCTTCTATTCAACTTCATCACATCGCCAAAAAGCTACTTCGCCGTCTCTGTGTCTTATTTATTATCTTGTACCTCTGTTCTGATCTTTACATCTCTCTTCCCTCGCACCGGACCACGGGACCCCACTTCCACATGCAAACCCCTTAGACGACCCGACCGACCACTTGAAAGTCTCCCATCTTCCTGTTCCTGCCCATCATGATTGCGCCGACGCCAAAATCTCTGCTTTTGCTTCATCTTCCGGACGAGGTTCTTATTACAATATTCAGTTTTCTCGACTTTCGGACCCTGTGTGACGCTATTCTTGTGTGCAAACACTTTGATGATCTTGCCGAACCCTTCTTGTATCACACTGTCCAAGTGCTCAGTGGACGTCAGGCCGAGGCCCTATCTGCTGGTTTGCACGCAAATGCTCGCCGTGCTACTTGGATTCGTTCTCTGCTCGTCTCCACTAAGTTTGGAGAGGACCCAGGCTTGGGCACTTTACCGCCTCACATTGGCCGAATGCGGAACCTTCAGCATTTATGTCTCGAAACGCCCGACTGCAATGCCAAGTTTCCGGAAGAGAGGGTGGTTTGGGTCAACCTGCAGGACCGATATGAGCGAATTTTTGAAAGTGCCTCTGCTGTCGTGCCCAGAGCTGATGAGAGGGCTTTGCCCAATCTGAAAACTTGTCTGTTCATCCCACTAGCACGTTGCCATGGTTTCCTTAGCTAATGGTCCTGTTTCAGGCACGTTACACTTTGTCGATGGACAAAAGGAACTCTATTCAATGACGAAATATGCCATGCTCTTCTTGCATCCCAAGTTAAGGTCGCTGACCATGTCTTGTGCGAGTACCGACTTTCCCGACAGATTGCTCACAGCCTTCCAAGACGATGAAACTCTGGCCAAATCCACCAACCTGGAATACTTGCACCTCGAAGAATGTGACATCTTCTCTCCGTCCCTGGCGGTCCTCCTGAGCTTCCCCCGCGCGCTGAAGTCCCTCAAAATCAGCGAGGGGATTCGCTACGATGGCATATTCAATGCCAGAAACACTCGCATGCATGGAAATGTTTCTCCAGGCCCCTTTGTGGACGCCATAGCCCAGCACTGCAGCGATTCGCTCGAATTTCTGTCCTTGAGTTTGGGATACTTGAGGCAGGGGTTTCAGCACATCAATCAGCCCAGCCAGCATCTCAATTTGACCGGGTTTCGTGCAATCAAACAACTAGATCTTGATGTTCGGACGGTCAATCTAGTCAGGGTCAGGGCCGGCTGCGACCACGCTACTTGGCGCAGACTTCCCCCCAATCTAGAAACCCTCAAGGTTTTTGGGATTCCGCTAGGTGACCGACCTCCGTTCCAGGCTCGGAGGAGGGTCTGGTTTCCCTTTGAAATTTGCATAGCCACCGATAAAGCAAAACATGGAGTTCGGCTGCTGAAAAATCTCATCTATTCGTATGAATATTACCGAGAAGACGACGAGATCCCGAGATTGAGCATATCTGACGACGGTGATACTGTGGAAGGGATCAGCGAAGTTCTTATCGCCCATCGACGAATGACCGAAAAGTGTCGAGAGTTGCAACCTACCCTTAAGAAAGCCGGCGTGAGATTGGAGATCGAAATGGTTGCTTTACCTAACGGGTTCATACCCCCATATTTGTTCCAGGAGGACAAGCCGAAGTATTTCACTCTCTGGGAATCCACTCCGCGATCAGCGTGATATCGATAACGGACGTGTACTGCGACAGCAATTTTTCATGGGTTGTCACGAATATTACGAGCGTTAATGGCACGGACATGATTGCGGCCGCAGAGCGGAACAACTACACGAAAACAGACGTACGGTTTTGCGCCAAGTGGTGGCTTTGAATGAGCACACCAGAAAGCAGCCTTGTCCACACGGACGTATTTGTCGACGAAAGTCGGCTAGAAGTTACGCCCGGGGGTTACGTAAGATTAGTAACCACTAGAATCCGGTTTGACTGGCCCAGCGAAAGAAATCCATTACTACCACTGCCGAAACAGGGTTCCCGGCCCTTCCGACAGCTTCGGTTTCCACCTGTCTGCAGTCGACGGCGATTTCTGTCGTATCTGATCTGTAAGTTGACTCATCTACACGCCCTAACAGAGGCAACTTACCGAATAGCCTCGCAGGAGGGAGTCACGTGACATGTCCATGTTCAGGCGCACTGGTTGAGTCTTTTCCCACCAGACGGTTTTACAAAGCGAGCTCCCCAGCTGCTGACAAAGTCGCCAGATTTTGGGTTTTATCAGAGTTTACGGCCCTAAAGCCACATCAAGGTCGTGTCCGATGAATTCGTATCCATTCTCATCGCAATCATTGGTCTGCCAACAACTGGAACACCACGTGACGAGGAAATGCCTTTCCCAGAAGGATTAATAACCGCCATTGCGTGAGAAGTGGCTGGTTTTTCATATATTAAAAGGGAGACGTCGGGTCATCACTTTTTTGTTTGGTATCTTCACTCGTATTTCTCCCTTTCTCCGGCCGTGTTCTTCCAACCCTACATAAGAACCCTTCAAGATGGGCAGCTCCGTGGCCGATATGATCCAAGACTCCGCTTTGGGACAGGCCATTAGATTCATCACGCGGAACAAAGCATTCGCCTTCCCTGAAGATGATCCTAATTTCAAAATTCCTTGGGAAGAAGCTCCCGCATCAGTGAAGGAAAAGGAGATCGACGTTGGCCCAGACGCAAGCCGAATCACCAGCAATGATACTACTCCAGCGACTCTTTCGCACCAGAATTCCTTCCTCCATCATGAGGATGTCGAAGCCCCACCAGCTCTGAGCACAATTCCTACAGCTCGTTCGTTGGCTCGCAGCCAAGTGGGCACGGTCACAACCAGAACCAGGACCAGAGAGCAAACACTGCCTTATTCACGAGAACGTTTTGAAGTCGAGCAGGAAGAAGCTATCGAACGTCAACAGAGCAGCGTGATTGCCCCTCAAAGAACCGCCGACGGCGTCATTCTCGTGGACTGGTACACTACCGATGATCCTGCCAATCCGCAGAACTGGAACAGTTGGAAAAAAGCATGGGTAACTTTTGTGATTTGGCTGTATACCTTCGTTGTCTACGCCGCAAGTGCCATCTACACTTCGGCGGAACCACAGGTCATGGAGAAATTTGGCGTCGGCACGAGCAAGGCTGCACTGGGCTTGAGCATCTATGTACTCGGATACGGAACTGGACCGATGGTATGTCTCACTAAAATCTCACCCGGTTCAGCGCATGTGAGATCCAGATAGCTAACGTCATTGTGTGTTATTAGTTATTCTCTCCACTCTCAGAAATCCCCGCCATCGGCCGAAATATTCCCTACGTCGTATCATTTGGCCTGTTCGTTATCCTGTGCGTCCCGACTGCGTTGGCCAACAGCTACGCCAGTCTGCTTGTTCTGCGATTTCTGACCGGTTTCATGGGAAGTCCCTGTCTGGCGACTGGCGGTGCTACAATGGGAGATATGGTATGTCCGGATCACACCCCCTTCGGAATTTTCTGTTTCAGAGCCTCCCAACTTTCTGTCTCGCCGATGACGTGCTCGAATATCTGCAATGACACGCGCTAACGGACCTCCAGTACGGCCTCCTCAAACTCCCCTATGCCCTGACTGCCTGGGTTGCGGCCGCCTTCTGCGCTCCCGCCGTGGGCCCACTGTTATCCGGCTTCAGTGTGGCGGTCGAAGGCTGGCGCTGGGCACTCTGGGAAGTCCTCTGGGGTGCGGCACCGGTCTTTGTGATTATGTTCGCTTCCATGCCTGAGACGAGCGCGAGCAATATTCTCCTCCGCCGTGCGCGGCGCCTGCGCAACCTTACCGGTAATCCGAACATCAAGTCTCAAGGCGAGATTGATCAGGGAACCATGAGCTTGAGCAAAGTTGCAGCAGACCAGATGTGGAAGCCTATTGAGATCTTCCTCAAGGATCCCGCTGTGTTCTTCACCAATATATACACAAGTCTGATTTACGGTGAGTTTCACCCCTCGTCTTTCTTCCGTCCGGGAGACCTCAAGACTAATCTGCCCTGGGTCAGGTATCTACTATTCTTTCTTCGAGGCTTTCCCGCTCGTGTATATCGGAATCTACGGGTTCAACATCGGCGAACTAGGGATCGTGTTCACGTGCATCATTGTAGGCTGCATCATCGGCATCGTCATCTACTGCTCCTATGTCTACTGGTACCTGGAGCCAGACATCAAGAAGAATGGTCTACGTGCCCAAGAACACCGGCTCGTTCCAGCCCTGTTTGCCGTCACCCTGATGCCCGCCGGTATTTTCTGGTTCGGTTGGACCTCCAAGGCCGATATTCATTGGATCGTCAGCATCATCGGCATCACCTTCTATGCCATTGGTGCTTTTGTCCTGTATGTCCCCTCTCCCTCTCCTGTCTCTTTTTGGAACTAAACTAACATCCTCGTCTCCTGTAGCTTCCAATGTATCTTCATGTACCTGCCGCTCACATACCCGCAATACGCAGCGAGTCTGTTCGCGGCAAACGATCTGTGTCGGTCCGCGCTGGCAGCCGGCGCCGTCATCTTCGCACACCCGTTATATGTCAATCTGGGCGTTGGCCGCGGCATCTCTATTCTCGGCGGTCTTCTCGGCGGTGGCGTAATTGGAATCTGGCTTCTCTGGTATTTTGGTGCCAGTCTCCGGGCTAGGAGCAAGTTTGCCATATCTTAGACATTGCAATGCAGCGCTTGAGATTCCATCAGAGCGGAAATATCGCTCGAAGATCATCTCCCTAGGGAAAAGAAACTGTGCCAGGAAAGAGAATGAGATATGTTGAGTGTATGGGTTTTGAATGCGAATCAGTGAAGAAACGAGAAGTGAGCATTTGTCCACAAACCATGGAGGGGTCGGCTTCAAGCAGAGGACGAAGCAACGAGGGCTGGGAGGGACCAGAGAGTTTCAATAATCACTTCGGCGACTATTTTACACTCGATATTACTAGACAATCACAAATCTTTGTTCTCCTCACCCTTCCACATCAATCCACTCTCCGGGGTCATACACAGCACGACGCTTTTGAGCCTGATCACCTCTAGCATGTCAAGCGGCTGACTTCCGGTGTACTCTACCCTTGAGAATGCTTCAAAGCCATGGCGTCTGCAGCACGAGCGACTCGAGCCATCCAATCCGCCTCTTGCAACAGAAAAAGCCTGGTCTCCTCATCCGATGGCCAGCCAAGAGGTTCACAGAGGGCCCTTGCTTCTTCGACCGTTCTTGGCGTCACGGCTAAGGGCGTCTCGAACCAGAGAGTTTCCTGGTCATTTGGTTCGTCTGCCACGTTTCCTTCGAGGAAGAGACGTAAAGCACACAAGACAGTGCGGATCCCGGCGGGAGTTCGATCCTGATCCTGTGCTAAATCAATCTCGACTCTGACCTCGCCATCATGTTCGGAATGATGACTTAGTGACCCGAATACTCCAGCGTGTTCGTTCATCCATCTCAACAAAGCTAATAAGCCGTCAACATCGTGAACAGACACCAGGATTCTGACCATCAATCGCAAGTCGGCAGCTTCAGGCACAGCGACAAAAGGCGTGCTGGCCGAAGGGAGGAAAGTTTTGGTCGCTCGCCCATAAACCGCACGGAGAAACGTAAATTTGGCCAATGAACCAAATCTCTCGGTCGATACCTGAAGACGCACTTCCCTGACTAGTACTATCAGGGTCCTTGCCAAGTATCGGAAACTGTTTAGGTCCGGGTGGATGTCGAGGTCTGTCGCAGTTTCCGAAAAGGTCCTCCATAAACGGCGCCATACTCCGAGGCTCAAGGCCAAATAATCAGCGGCAGCGAGTTTTCCTTCTCTGCATCTCACCCTGGCGTCGCTCAAACAGCGGGAAGCTCCTCTCAGAAATGCATTCCAAGCGCGAATGTCATGAGCATCTCCGGCATACAGTAGTTGCCAGGCGTAGCTCAGGGGAGCGATGACCTGTCTCTCTCGCGACAGCTGGTCGTTGGCAACATCCACGCCTAGCTCATAAAGGGGCGGCTGGCTGTCATAGCCGTACTTACACAACAGCCAAATGAAAGCGGCTAATGAATGGCCTGGGATTCGATTGAGAGTATCTCGGATGATTGCGGGAGGGTATTTTTCAGCGTGGCAGAGAACATCTTTGGTGACTTCGTCCCATCGACTGTCCTGAACGTAGGAGAAACCGGCCTCGATGTCCAATGCATGGTTTAACAGACCACTAAGGATACTGCCTGCCGGTTTGATGCCCTCGCGTAACATGTTCTCGTAGAATTCATCGGCGGAAGGAATTTCTTTTTCCAAATAAAGAAGATCCCTGGGATTTGTCGGGTCCTCAAACACTTCTTTAACGTCACCTGGGACGTGTGCTGATCCGAGGGGCGACGAAGCGTCGGCGGTCTGAGCGAGCAACTTGTCCAACATGGCGAAGTACGGTAAATATCGTGTCTTGGAGTGTGTTGCAGATTTCTCGTAGGCACAGAAAGCAGCCCAAGCCTCTCTTCTGCTCCTTGTAGCTCGGATGCGTGCCGCCCACAATTCTGGTTCGTCATCAGAACGGCGGTCGAGGAGGTCACGGCCCGGTTGTGGCTTGAGCCAGGGTTGGCGTTGGCGCATTAATATCGCTCGAGTCTGTATCGTCGGGCTTTTATCGGTATCCCACCCGGCCAAAACTGCAGCGCTCTTCTCCCAGACACCGTGAGTATACCCCGCCTCATTCATTCGTCGCAGGAGTCTCATGGCACGGCTCTCTTTGCCCGGGTATTGGAGGTCTTGTTCTATCCCTGATTTTATCCGCCTCCATGGTGGCCAGGAAGGAGATTTGGCCTCTGCCCACGTCCGTTCATGCCTACTTTTGCGGTGCAACAATTGAACAGAAATGAGAGCTCGGTAGCCTTCGCGATTGAGCGGAAGCTGGGGTTGAAAGCCCACCATTAGGCGGACAAGAGATAATTGCGCATTTTGTTGGAGAAGATAGGCATTGAATGGTGTCGTGAAGGGGGCTAAGGCAATCAGGGTCAAGAATCGGTTGAAAATGTGAGACAAGCGCTTTAATTCCGGTGACTCCAACGAACGAGGATGGACCATGTAGTAATCAGAGAAAAGATGTTTGACAATCCGGGTGATATCATCAAGGCAATTCGGATCAACCCGGCGAGCATGTCGAAGAAGTCGAACGACCAAGCAGACTCGTGTTGTCCAGCTCCAGCCAAAGTATCGCTTCGTGTCCTGACAGATTCGCAAGTCGGTCAACATGCTGTTGATCAGCTCTTTCAAGGCGAAAGCGCTGAGATTTCCTGCACGGAGGAGCTGTAGTGGAACAAATTTCGGAATCCGGCCAGCTTTTGATCGACGGAGATCTTCAGCCAACGCCGTGTACCGGGCGACAGCCAGATCAACACTCTGAGAAGAGAATATCCAGGACCAGCTTGCGACGTCAGTGGCATCGAAACCAATTTGACCAAGAACATCGAGAGAGTTCCCACCAAATGTGGATCGCAAAGCATCCGCGAGCTTGTCCTCCACTTCGGGAGAATCAACGTTGATGCTAGGGTCGTGAAGAACTGGCTCGACATGGCGGAGATAGTCGAAAAGAAGTTTGCGTAAAGGAGTGGAAGTCCTGAACGACAGCGTGGCTGGCTGTTCAAGTGCGCGGGCATTTTCTTCCCACTCAACCGGATTAACGTAGGACAGGTCAGCTTTCTTTCGTCGGATATGGGAAGGCATAAACATTGACATCAGCGGATCAAATCGTTTGCGGATGAATGATTGTTGCTTGAGACGAGCCACGTCACCATTATCCAACGCATTGAGGTCGAGATGTACTTCTGTTGTCGCATCTTCCTGCTCTTCACTCTCGAGACCTGTCACACCAGACAAAACATCTTCCTGGCTCGCTTCTGGTCCTTCAGCTATAGATGGAGACGATTCGCAGCCTAAAGATTCGATTGTGTGCGACTCTTTATCGGTCTTGCTACCAGAGTCGCTCGACGCGATAGCCTCTAGCTTCGAGGTGCCGAAGGGAGTAAAGAGAGTTGAGGGCTTTGACGTGATGGATTTACGTCGGACTCCATGTGGACAATGTCTTAATGATTCCTTGGATCCGTAATGTACGAGGAATGCCTCCAAGGTGTCAACCAGTGATCGTCAGAAGGAGCTTGAGATCTTACAAGACGCTTCCCAACAGTGCCACGCGGATGCGCACGAGTCGGAGAAAAGAAGAGAACACGGTGCACGCTGATCATCCATTGATGCTCCAACGCAGAAGCAGTGGCGTTGTAAGAGTAGAAGACCTCAGATTTCAGGAGTGCCAGCCAGAACGTCAATTAGAGTAGAAGAACTGCTAGTTCCCATGCAATGCTGGACTGCGCAGGTGAAAAAGTCATGTTCCGATGCATTCTGGAGTTCCGGCGTCTTTCATAGAGTCGCGCTTGTCTACTTTAGATCTAGCTTGCTTTCTAGCAGCACAACACTAACCGCCAAAATACTAACCCAAAATAGCTCCGTCACAGTTATTAACACCCCAACGGGGAAGTCTTTCCAGCCTTGTGAGAGAAAGGTCTCGATGTGATGTGCCGAACACATCAAGGGATTTTCCCAGTTCCATTTTCAACCGTAACGCGCATTTTCAATCTCATCGTCGAACCACGTGGGAGGCACCCGGTAATTTATGACCGTGCTCTTGACCTTGGTGTAGCTCTCGAAAGCTTCAAGTCCATTCTCCTTCCCTATGCCACTCTCTTTAAATCCACCCCATGGTGAGGAAGGGTCGTTCAGATGATGTCCGTTAATCCAAACGATCCCGGCCTCAATTTTATCCGCAACCCGATGAGCCTGGGCGAAATCGTTGGTCCAGACCGAAGCTCCCAGTGCCAAAGAAGTGCCATTGGCAACGCCTATCATGTGTTCCTCCGATTCACATTTGATGAGTGCAATAACGGGGCCAAAGACCTCGTGGCATGATAAATCAGATCCGGGGTGAGTTTCGATGATCGTTGGTTGAAAGAAGAATCCCTTACCAGCAACATTGGTAGCATTGCCCCCGCAGATGACTTTGCCGCCCTCTTCCACAGCACGCTCCACAAAGGCAGCACATCTGTCGACGGCCGTCTTCGAAATCACGGCTCCAATCTGCGTTCGGACATCCGTAGGGGGACCTACCCGGAGGACTTTGACTCTTCTCTCTAGAACTTCCACAAATCGATCATAAATGTCCGCATGCACCAACAGTCTGCTTCCAGTGACACAAGTCTGTCCACTCGCGATAAAACTGGCAAAAAGCGCTGCCTTGACTGCAGTTTCGATATCTAAACTGGGAAGAAGGCAAACTTAATCGGGACCATGTTCTTGCCGGCTATTGGCGCAATAGCTTGGTACGTTGTCAATCCTCCTGTTAAATCAATTTTAGCCAAAAATGGGTTCTCGCAGAGAAATTTCCCGGTGTCGCGCCCGTAGCCACAGACAATTTGCAACGTCCCATCAGGCAGGCCCGCCTCCTGGAATAAAGCCCCGAGCTTGAGGACGGATAAAGGGGCCAGCTCAGATGGTTTGACCACCACGACATTCCCTGCAGCGAGGGCAGCCGCAATCTTCTTTGTTGCAATCAGGAGCGGATGGTTCCAAGGGGTAATCTGAGCGACCACACCTAGTGGAAGGCGAGTAAGAGTATTAACGACAGGACCCTTGAACGGAGTAACTCGACCTTCGTGGACTCGGGCCAGCGACGCAAAATATTCTAGCCATTCTGGTATACGAGCTAATTGAGCACGCATCTCTCGAATCGGGCGACCTGTCTGTGCCGTTTCCAGTTCAACAATTTCGGGGATGCGTGACCGTAACAGCGACGCTGCCTTAGAGAGCACAGCATATCGCTCGGACGCATCCGCGCGAGACCATGGCCCCTTCTGGAAGTTGACAAGAGACTGTGAGACGATGTTGTTGATGGTTTCGCGAGATGTCGCGTCGATAGTAGCAAGCGTAGACTCAGTCGCCGGGTTTATGACTTTTATGCGTTTTGCAACCGGAGCAGCATGAGCACCGTTGACCCAGTTCGAAATATGAGGCAGCTCTAACATCTTTGACGCTTGCTTGTGAGAGAAGCAAGAGGCGATTTTGTCGCCAGCCTACCCAATGAGGTTTAATGTCGCACGTGACTATCATTCTGTCGTCGAGCCAAGCCACTGTAGCCGTTTATATCGTCTGATAGTTGACCCCAATTATAAAAGAAGCTAACGCTTCAATCACATCGTCATTGCCATGACCAGGAGAGAACATTGCCCACGAAGGTGATGCTGAAAGTACCCATTGGGCGCTGAGGCCTGCTAGTGTATAAAAGTATGTTGAGAAGAATGACTGAATTGTCCATCCCACAAGCACCTGTCTGCCTCGTGGCGCACACACTTTCAGTCCGTCGGCGATCTGGGGCCTCGTCTGACGCAGTCCCAACAAGATGTCCCAGCGTTCAGATCAGGTTCAAGTTGCGTTGTATGAACCGTCCAAGCCAACATATCTTTGGTTTCGTCTCTGTTTCTGTCGAAGATTCGGCGTTACTGGAATAGAGGTGACGAATAGGTTTTTCTGCCTTCTGCAATCGGTTTTTGCGAACCAGTTACCAGGGCGATGGTGGCACAAATAATAAAATAACGAACAATGGGACAGGCCAGATTCATTGCCCATCAAATGGAATGCTTTGAGAGTTTTGTTAGATGATAAATTGCACGGAAAAAGGGGGCAGATCGAGCAATACGGGTAAGACCATTGACTGGGATCGTCAACTAAACTCTGCAGCACTCCAGCCGCAATGAGGGGACCAATAGCCCAGCTCAAGCTGATGTACGAGGTAAGATAGCCTCTCAGGGCTGTTGGACAAACTTCTGAGGTATATGATGGCGCGATTGTGTTGAAAACCTTCCATTGCAGCCCCCTGAGAATCTCACCCATCAAGAGCACCGGGTTATTTGGTCCCAACATGGTATAAAGATAAAACCATTCAATAACATAAGAGCAACGAGCAGAACTCTTTGGTATCCTCAAGTGTCCACCATCCAGCCATTGACGAAGATTCCAATGACAATTCCAGCATTCGGGCCAACACTGAAACCGACCTACACGGTGCCGGGATACTGTACGAGGAGTCCAGGAGCCGCTCGTCGTATTTCTTCGCGAATGATGGAGAGGCACAGACGGGATTTGATGAGTTGCAGACCACAACGTTCCATGATCACGACCATAGCCATGATGACCGACCACATGACAGCTTCCCAATGCTTGAGGATCGCTCGACGGACTGATCTCCTTGTTCTACGTCTGCATTTGGACAGACTGCGTCTGAGGGCTGCCCATGGTTGCTGGAAGTGCAGAATGAGTATCAAGTGATCTGGTATTCTCTCCCCTGCCACAATGCTCTCCCATCTGAAGTCAAGCTTCTTCGCCGAGTTGCTTGGAGTCTCTTCTGCGTCCTATCCATCGGCCCAATCTGGGAGAAACCGCCATTCTGGCTCACGGCGGTGGTCTAATATCCTGACTGGTTCGTCCCTCGATTAATAGTCGTCCGCCGTAGGCCCCGCAGTCACGACAACATTCTGGATCGAGGACTTATTTAAATTTTCATCTAGCTAACATTTTCTCTCTTCCATTCATTTTACCTTCAACTCTTGCACTTTTTTAACACGGCTACAACATGTCTGAGACCTCCCTTTCGGTCCACTCTGGGCCACCGCATAGTGAAGACCCCCGAACTCCACCACCTGCGCACCGTTGCGACAGTCCTCCGCCTTTCGTTGATCATGGCCAAGGTGCAGTGAACCTGCCCGGTTTTCGCACTGAAGCTCGATACAATACCTTACTCCAGGCTATCTATGGTCTGGATGCCATGGATAGGAAAGACAAGTCGGTCGTCATCGTCGGTTTCTTTAGTCCCAAGGCGCTCAAAGACAACCATCCAGATACAAAACAGTACATCATCGCTTCAGAAAGCTCACAACTTGTGGTGAAGAGCATGCTCGAAACTCAAGATCTTTCCCGAAAAGTCATTCAGCTGGCAAAAGATTTCAAACAAGACAGCCCAGACAGAGTAAAGCACATAGACAAGTACCTGCGAACCATCATTACCCTGCACCACATGTTGTCTCTTGAGGCCCTGAAGGTTCACCAAGTTCTCTATGAGATACAAGAGAAACGTGCAGAGATGGATCGGATAGAATTGACAGACGTGAGACCCGAGATCAGAGAAAGCATTCGGACCGGTTAGTTTGAGTTGATTCTTCCCTTCATAGGATACATTTCTAACGTTCTGTGACTAGGCAAGAAACGAAAGGCTAGCTCAACGTTTCCTTCTGGTAACTTTATCGAGTTTAACGAAGACGATCTCGAGATGCTCCAGGACAAATACAACTCCCATAGCCGTCTCATGGAGCATGCCGAGACATGGCGGAATGAGATTCTCAATGCTGTCACCGATGGTGCGCCTTTGAATGCGATTGCAATGATGTTCTCCCTAGATACCGTTGCCAGTTGTCTGGGTGCGGCCGGAATTGCAGAGACCGGGAACGCCAGAGCTGATCTCAGAAAACAAAGTATTGCATACTATGACGCTAAGTATAAGCGAGAGGACCGAGAAGAGCAAGAAGAGGAAGAAGAGGACACAGAAAACCGACACTGCCTTCTATGGTGTCCAGTTACAAAAAGATGGTGGCCTCGCGAAGTGATCAAGAACGCCCATATAATCCCAGCCAACACACCCGAGGGTACAATCCGATACTGCTTTGGAGAGCTCAACGCTAAGGCGATGCTCAATAGCTCACGCAATTTCATCCTTCTGCACGCACGAATCGAGGAGGCTTTCGACAGAGGACAGATTTCGATCGTTCCTGTCTCCGATGCGGCAGAAGAAACTTCGCAGCAACCATCGGAGTTCCGAATCTTTTTCATTGACCGTTCTCTCGTGCTCCGACGCAAGGCGGCTGTGGTATCGAGCAAGAACGAAATCCTATTCTGGGGTGATCTCGCGAGGGACCCTCAGTTGAAGTTCCAAAACAACAATAGGCCGGGACATCGAAACTTGTTTTGGCATTGTCTGACAAGCTTAGCAAAGGCAAAGAGTCGCGCGCACATCGGTCTCACAGCGGCTTTGACAGAATTCGAAAGAAAAGAGGTGTGGAACAAGCCAGGAAAATGGATCGAAAAGGGTATGTTGAGGGACATGGCACACCAACATATGATGCCACAAATCTACCGAGAAGATGCCACATTTGTCGACGACGGAACACTTGAGAAAATGGAAAAAGACATTGCTATTACCGCCTTGTTCAGACTGTCTTCGCCCCGAGTACAGTCAGACCTCGACGTGGAGGAGTCAAATCTCGAGGCTTTGACCCATCCGAACTTTGCGCCGGAAGAATATTTCTCGCCACAAGCGCTGCTTCCTCTCAGTCCAGGCACGGAGGGTTTCTTAGCAATTCCTGTACCCAGCCCGACGCCACGCTGGGAACGTGCTAGATTTGAGGGCCCAGAGAGTCCTACTCCTGGCGCTCGTTTGTTCGACACGTTCAGAGGCCAAGCGTCCCGAGCTTTTGTCACTACAACACATGGAGCTTCCAAAACCTATAATCGGGTTTCCAAGCTTTCTCTACGATTGAGAAAGGATTAATCGTCAAGAATTCTGCATGGCGATACTCTTTCCTGCCACTATTGTCCGGTAAGACATTACCCAATTGATAGACTATTGCTTACCATCCGTCCTGGATGCATCAAGACGAAACCCACAATGCTTACGCTCGCTTCAACGATACAAGCATATCTACTGTCCCAGCAAGGGGCTCTGGGCTGGATGGCACTAGCGGTGGAGGAGAAAGAGAAAGAGTGGGAGCTGTTTTGTTGTGGGGAAGATCCATCCATTGGAGGGAGATAGCCGAGCAGAATGACGGCACTGCATTGCGGGCACAACGGAAAAATCATCCATTAAGTTGTAAGGAATAGAAGAAATATACTTAGTGTGCGCTAGGTCAGACAGTACTGGGTCGGGGATAGCGAGATCAACGAATCAAAGGCGAAAAGCCCGCATAAACAGGCCGGGGTACCGTTTATTGAAGCCCAGAGTCCATACCAAGTTTTCGTCAAGTCTTATATTACTACACACATAGATATCGAATGAAGCGGGGTTCAATCATTTCTATATGCTTCCACAACTTTATACCCTGGTCAATCGACGCAGAAGCTGGAAGGACACAATAAATACAGCATCAGTCGCGGGGGGGGGGCCGCAGCTGGTGCAGTTATCGCACGAGTTCTGAGCACATGGGAGGACCGCAGCCCGAACGATGATCGTCAAGTATCGACGGTTCCTTTTTTTCCAATCCGCATATTGCGATCCTTCGAAATTGATTCGGGAATCTGTTACGCCTATTAACCGCCGTCGAACATGAGTGGGCTTCCCGTTCGGCCCGTGCAGCTTAGCCTGAGCGAGCGATTTCGTAAACGCTTCAAGTCCAGAAGCCCAGCGTCGCCCTCGATTCAAAGCCGTGGGTAATGTCGCTGTCAATGCTGACCCTGTACATGGCAAACCGACTAAACTCGTATATGGACTTCCTGCACGAGCTGCCAGCGACGCTGACACGATTCTCGATTTATGGTCCCGGCTGCCCCAGATCAAGCCTATTCGTCTCAGACTCTTTCTGACCAGCCGACCCGATCTACCTATTCAGCTGGGATTCAAGAACATGTCCGTCGATGCTCATCAGGACCTGGTTCTCCACGATGAAGTTCCCCCAACGACGATTCAGCATGACATCTCCGCTTTTTTGAAAGACGCATTTTCGAAGATCCGAGAGAATTACAATGCTGACCTGCCTTCGAGTACACCACTAGAGGATGACTGGCCGGGCGACAAGGTCCTTCAAGCTTTAGTCGATATGGCCGTTCCACTATTTATCGTTGCCGCGACTGTGTGTCGCTACGTGGGTGATCTTAACTGGAATCCTCAAGAGCCACTTGAAGACATCTTAAAGTCTCAAGGGACCGGTCGTTTGGACCAGATGGAACAGACATACCTTCCCGTGCTCACGCAACTGACAACGACATTAAGCAACTCACATGACAAGGAGAAGCTGTATCAGGAATTCCGATTGACACTCTTGCTGAACCGCTTTCCGTGGCGTCCTTGGCAGCCCTTCTGAAAGTGTCTTCGGACACCATTGTACGCCGCTTGCGCCCGCTGCATTCCGTTTTGCGGGTTCCCAAGGACCCTGACATGCCGGTCTGGCCCCTTCATCTGTCTTTCAGCGAGTTTCTGTTAAGTGGCAAACTTCAAGATAGACCTTTTGGAGTGGACAGCCGGACCACACATAAAATACTGCTGACGAGGTGTCTAGAATTGCTGTCAGGCTCTAATGGTCTACGAGAAAACTTATGCGACCTTGACTATCCAGGCCAGCCACGACGAGAGCTTGACTCGATCATAATTAACGAACGTCTCTCACCCGCATTTCAGTATGCGTGTCGATATTGGGTACACCATGTCCAGCGTAGCATGGTTCCTATTCATGACGATGACGAAGTGCACAAATTCTTGCGGAAACACTTCCTGCACTGGCTCGAAGCTCTCAGTCTAATAAACAGGATCGCTGAAGTCATTGTGTACATTAGCGCATGGCAATCATCTGTGTCGGTAAATGAACTCCAAGAAGAACATCGAGACAGTGGATTGGCTCTAATACTTGACGGCGTAGGAAAATGATTCGACTCAGTTGTTCTCCTTTCTTGAAGATGCGCGACGGTTTGTTTTTGCTAATCGATATATAGCCGACCCTGCACCCCTGCAGGTTTACTCGTCGGCAGTGATGCAGAAGAGTATAGTGAGGAACGTTTGTGGCCAAATTCGGGCGTGGATCCAAACGTATCCGATCACTCCAACGATGTGGAGTCCGGAGCTACAGAAGCTGGAGGGACACACTGACTTGGTGCGCGCGGTGGCCTTCTCGCCCGACGGCTCGTTGCTGGCGTCTGGCTCGGACAATTACACCGTCAGGCTGTGGAATCCGACCACGGGCCAGGAGCTACGGAAATTCGAGAACGTACCAGAAACCTCCACTATCAGTCTCACAATCGACAATAGCATTGTGCTTACTAATCGAGGGGCTATATCTGTCGACAGTGGATCTTGTCCTCATCTGGCGCTCGAATCTTCGACTCGTAATACTATCACGATCAACAAAGAATGGGTTCAATGGAATAACCGAAATCTTCTTTGGCTACCACAGGAGTATTGCAGTGATTGTTTAGCATTTTATGGCAATATGTTTGCCATTGGCCGACACTCTGGCCAGGTTAACTTCATCCAAGTCGATGTTGCTTGAATGGCTTCATTGCCAGTCCGGGCAATTGGTCGCCTCAAGAGTGTCAGTGTGACCCCGGTTTGGAAATCCTTAAACGCAGCCCCGGGATGGATCATGTCTACTCTGTGAGTCATGATGCAAAATAGCATCTAGTGGCGACTGAAGAAAAGTCGACAGTGGGGTGTAAATCTCGGTCCCTTGACCAATCGAGTCAGTGGATTCCAACTCGGTGTCTCTGGTGTTGGGGGCTGTCGTTCGTAAATGGGAGTCCGAGATCAACTGAAATCCATGGTGAAATTGGCTGCGAAGCGCTTCTCCTGTTACTCGAGCGGCTAGTGGTCCATCTAGCCAAAACGGATACAAAAGCATGATGGCTGGCTAATATGAAATGGAAACAGATAGTAGCCACATCTTGGCTAAGTAAGATGAAGCCTCGTCCCGATGCAGTCGGGTTACGGTCGATTGGGAGGACTGAACACACGCAATGAGCGATTCTGCAAATTACGGCTCGGAGGGGTGAAAAGAAAGTGCAGGACGATGGGTAAGTAGTCGTCCCAGGTCGGCCAGAACCGATAGTCTGAGCAGCGCAATCCGGACGGGATGACTGTTTTCCAGGTTGACGGCTTCGTCAGACCTGGATGCGTCTTTCCACAAACGGAGTTTATGTTCGAGATGTGCAATCCTAGCCGCCCCGTCCCTCCTGTTCCAAGTCGGGTAAGCCAAATCCAGAATTTCAGAGAATATCTGATAGATGAAAATTTGTTGTCGAAACAAGCTTAGTGCATTTCCTTCGCCCGGAATCAAGACTAGGAGCTGTTGGACTCTCGTGTCGGGAGAATCAACATTCATTGAGCAGTCCACATCGACATTGGTGGGATGAATGAGTCTGGGAAGGCCTTGATGGAGGCTGGTATTGCTGCGGAAATGCCGTTAATCGGGCAAGAAATTTGACTGGTCCATGGATCCAAGAGACTGAGCAGCGAGGACGACAATGCCGCTGGCTTGGACGACTAGGTGATACCGATCTTCCATCTGTAGGATTATAGTGCAGAGAAAGAGACCACAAAGGCGAGGAAAGAGAGTGGCCAAGAGAATGTCACCACAATCAAGGTGAGGATGTTGATTGCCATGATGGCATAGAGTTGGAAAACAACGCTGAAAGTGGTCTGGAACCGCTCCTCGGACCGTCAATCTCGGACCGCGTATCTCTTACGGCTTTTCCGAAGCCCGCGCAGTCGACAATGGGGCATATAGCTGACCAGTCGAGGCAAAAGAAGTCGATCTCGTTCGCATAGAATCCTGTAGGCTTGCTCCGGAATTCGGCCCTGTAGTTTGTAGTCGGCATCCAAGGACGAAACAGTGGTTGAACCATGGATGAATAATTCAGCCCAGAGACCCATTCAGGAAAAGTGAGGCCTCTCGGTACGCACAACGAAGAAAATGAATTCCCGTATGCGCTCCGAGAAATAGTTCTGCACCTGTCTCGGCTTGGAGCATGAAACCGATGTGTCTGATAATAGGGGCAGGTCGATGACTCTGGCTGCGAAAAGTGTCGTCAGGCCGAACGTTTGAACTGATATGCTCCTGAAAGTTGGTTTGCGGAGCCCATTGCGGTAGATGGTCTTTCCGAAGAGTAAGTTCCTCCTCTTTTTGAAGGTGTATTTTCAAGTCTTCCTCTCTTTTAGAGTAGAGTCGCAATTGTTCCTGTAGAGGCTTATTTTGGCTTGGCGGGTGATCAAGAAGAGCCTCTTGGTGAGACACGTAACTTAAAACTGGGGATCAGTAAAGAGCAGTCTTACGGATGGAAGAATATCAAACCCTCTTGACTTGGTGTTCCGAAACAAAGTGGCAGACACTGTGCAATCGGCGTGGGCAGTCGGTGGTGAACCTCTGGGAGTCGTGGTCATGAGACGAACTTGAGGTCGGCGTCCATCGCACCTAATCTTTCGTCTCGACAAGGGTAAGCAAAGACGTCGGAATGGATAGAAATGAAGCAGGAGCCAACCTTCTATGTCGGTCGCTTTCCTGTTGGTCAGTATTTGTTGGCGGTGGTATCAGAAATGCTTTTGATTGAGGTGTCGCACCATACTTGGCCGTCCATTTCCCAGCATGATGTTGTATCTTTCTGGCTGATAAATGGGACAATGAGAAGATTGTGGAGTACCGAGATGCCGTTAAAAGCAGCATAGACGAAAACACACTATAACGACTAGTTCTCGCTAATTGCACTAGCGCCATACTAGCGGATCCTCGCCTAACATGCGCCAAGCCAACGGCTGCTGGGTACCGAATTGAACCTGGTGTGCAGGAAAAACCGCAAGCACCACCTTTTCACGGATGACTCTTGTCGACGCGGTGCGCATTAACTTCGTTCCAATCAATTATCAAGGTGAAGAAAATTGGCCGACAGAAGCGCGAATCCCTCAACACGTCCTGCCCTCATTTGGGAAAATCCTTTCGAGTTGTGCCGCAGTCCACAGCACGCGTGGAACAACGACCTGCCGATCACCCACCCTTGCAAACTCCCGTCACTCTTCTCACCAATCTGGCATTGCGACAACAGCTTCTCGACGGTTTACGAATAACTCAAACATTGCGCGCCCTAGTCGCAAGGTGAACTCCAGGTCACATCAAATGTATTAGATTAAGCTAGTTCCCATATCTACATGTGGTCAAGCCGGCCCTGATATCCTGCCGACCCTTCAAAGTTATCCGCATCAGCTTCTGCGCAACGGGGGGGAGGCCACGCTCTCGGCGCCCATCATGGCCGAAGTCAACGGCATATCCAAGCACGAAGACACCGTTTCAGTGTCCACCACGCATTTAGGAAAACGAAAACGCCGCACCGTATCTCCCGACCCTTCAATCTCACCCTCTAACCTTGCCACGTCTCCATTGCAAGCAGCCCTTCAAGATGTCCTGCGACTCCTCCGCAAGTACGCACCCGGCTCAGGACAACCACACTATTCAGCTAACGCTTTGAAACAGACATGATCCGACGCCCTCACTCCTCAAATATCCTCTCTCTTCCACATCTGTAGACACCCCTGATGCGAAACGAGCACGCCTTTCCAGACGTGAACCCGGATCCGAGACGATTGAAGACCGAATCACATCAGGCAATTACGCTTCCTTCCAAGCACTGAAAGAAGATGTCAACAGCGTCAAAGTTGCCATTCTCGACAGCTTGTCAGACCTGAGCGTCAATGCGAAGTCTCGATCCTCAACTCTTTCGGAGTCCGAAGCGCAGGAAAAATTGTCGAAACTGGTCAATGTGCTGGAAACATATGATGTCGGAGCATCGAAGACCCTTGAAACGGGTGGTGCAGACGCTTGTGAAGAAAATTTGGCCAAGGCGAGCACTGCGGACCTGCCCTCTGGAGAGGTCCTCTCACTTCGCAGTCAGGTCAATGGAAACCCTTCCGTCATATTCTCTGGACTCCAAACATCGGAACGACTCGAGAACGATGGTGATGATGCAGCACCCGATTCAGACGAACCCGGTCTGCCGAATGGATTTGAATTTATGACCTTTGCGCCTGTCGAAGGCGAGCACCCGAACCAGAAGCAAGAGAAGAGGACTTTCGAAAAAGTATTTCCTCCGCCTAGTCGATCCAAACCTTTGGAATTCCCACGGCCGGCAAGGGATCAGGCGAGAAGCAGCGTTTTACAATACGGGCCGCAGTCAACTCGAACGGAAAGCAATCCTCGGAACAAGCATGATTACAAGTATGAGAGATTACCCACGGGTTTGTGGCTCACCTATGGAGTGGCGGGCATCCACAGTGACCAGGATCGTTGGCGAACCCATCATGGTTCTGGTGTCAGTGACTTCAAAACAGCTCTGGGGGTCAATGGGGTGCCAACCAAAAATCCATTCAACGAAGAGGCGGCATTTACCTCGGCCTATTCGTCTTTTGCTCCGACGTCGGATAATTCGCACTCACTGGTATCTGATGAGGAGAGAAGTCGGCTGTGGTTGCACAAATATGGCGAGCAGAAGCTATCTCAGATTTTCCGAACGAAGAAATCCGAGGACACTGACCCCGAAGCAACCGATGAGCCCAATGACGAAGATTTTGCAGATGCTGTTGCACACTGGGAGCCCACCAAACTCGAAGATGTCTACGAAGATATTTTCGGTCCTAAACAAGAGGATAAGGATGTTGACCACTTACTTGCAGAGGTTTCAGAGATGATCGCGACCTTGAGTGCCTATAAAATGAATCGCGACCTCCCGCCTCTCGACAAACGCCCCGTTACCGAGCCCAGCTCAGCCGAGATGGAAGTTTTCGAGATGCTCAGGGCACAATTAAGCGTATTAGTGTCGACGTTACCGCCTTTTGCAGTGGCAAAACTCAACGGAGACCAATTAGAAAAGTTGAATATTTCGACCAAGATACTTGTCGAAGCACCCGATTATCCAGGAACCGGACAAGTAGATGACTACACTCTGCAGCGGCAAAGGATGGCTCAACAAGCTACCTCGGCGGCGAGTCGTACTGCAACTACCCCTCAAGTTCGCCCTGGCTATGGTCAATCTCCAGCGACCTACAGTTCACAAGTTCGGGGCTACAATTCTTCGGTCCCAGCCACGGCGGCTTACGGTATGAGAACATCAAATTACCAAACACCTACGGCATCACGACCAAGCTACTCGCAGACTCCATATCAACCTCCCAACAATCTCTATGGGTCTCGTCCTTCCGTACAACAATTCCAGCGACCCACTCAAAATGGCTATGGCAATTACGGCGGTACACCCGCACAGACACAAACTCCAAGCTTTGCTCAACGTCCAAGTCAACCAGGATATCAGCAGCGTGCACAAGATACCGCTGTTGCCAATGCAGGCCGGTCCGTCTCTCCTCAGAAGCCATTGGTCAATGGCCAAACGTATTCACCAAGACCGTATCAAACTCAACAAGCGCAGACACCGTATGCATATCAGAGACAAGGATCCGGAACTCCGGCGACACCTATCGCTAGCGCCGCCACTCCTGTCGGATCCGGATACGGACGAGATGAAGGCAATCGAATTCAAGCGGGAACAGAAAAGAGTAGTTCTGCTGCACTAACGCAGACGCAATCAGCTCAGACAGTGGAGGTTTCTCGATAAAAGGAAAAAAAAAATTCTGCAAAAGTTTTCTCATTGAAGAAAACACTGCCTGAATCTGTCTGATACTCCCTGGGCGGTTGGCTGGGCTTGACGGGGTGTTTGATCTTGTACGAGTACTCCGATACGGTTTCTTTCTTTACACAATGATAAAGTCCTGATATGTGGTGGTAGGTGTGGCTGAACCTGATCCGAAAACTCGTCGATTGATTGATCGATGGGCAGTGTACGAGTCTTTACTTTCTTAGACCAAGAAGAGACCAGTGATTATTACTGTAGGCCGACTGAATTTAATTCATTTCAATTCCCAAAAAGAGAACCCTGAATTAATTTCCCTGATCATTCCTTTCTCTCGTTCGCTACGATAGCGTGACCTAGTCACCCACGATACCAAAATCTTCCATACTGGGGTTCTCGGTCATTGGTCAGAGACCGAAAAGGAATCAGCAATCAATTTCCCTCAAGGCTTCGCAACTTCTTGACATTGATGGGAGTGAAATTTCACGGTATCACCCCTGAGAGGCAGACACTGAAAGTGGAGGGAATCGAGAAAAAGGAGAAAACAGAAAAGGTTGTTCTATATGCGGTACTGGTATGGAAATGTTCTGATTGACAACTTGAACAACCTACTTATTCATGTTCTTCATGTCTCATGTTATCCTTCCATTCACTGACTCACTCACTCGCTTCTTGGCTCAGAGTCAATACCTCGTGCCTCGTGCTCAACCAAGCAATTGCAGATCTATGTGAACTATGCAGACTATACCAGTATCTACCGTCTACCGAGACGGGAAAATAGACTCAAGAAAAGAGAGTGCAACTCCATGCTAATGGCCAATTGATGGCTGAGGGCATCCGTGATTGTTCCAACGTGGATAAAACTAAGAGCTCCTCCACCCCACCGCCAAAAGCTATTTCGATGTAAAACTGCGGGTGAACATTCCAAAGGTTGCTAGGTCTAGAGAAACAACGTGTGGATGCATGAATGTATGCCTGCCAATTCAAAAGGATTCGTGAAGTCCGTTCAGAGATGGTCAATCCAGATAACATATCCAACTTGATTCACGGTTCCGGAGACAGAACACAAAAGTTTCAACTGTGCTCGACACAATCAAAGGCCAAGATTTTGATGTCATGTCTATGATTTTAAGGAGTAATAGCAGGTGATCCGGAATCACCCTTACACCCTGACGTAACGGGACTGAGAGAATCCGAATCGCTGACCTCGTCCACACGAGCACGCTCGGCGGCTTCGGAGGGAGTCATTTGCGATCCGGCTCTTTTACGCGCAGCCTCGCGCTGGGCAAGCACGGCGTTCCAAGCCTCGTTCGCTTCGTCAAGGCCTGCCCGGGCAGGTGCGGTGCTCGTGACTGTTGCAGCGTGGATCGCCGTGCTGATAGTCCCGTTCTCCGCGTCCGCTTCCATCTCAGGGATCGGGGTGGCGCCCATGCTGCGACGGGCTTCGTGCTTGGCGACACGGAGCTCAGCTTGAGCAGTGAATTCGGCGTGGTGCTTCGCGAATAGAGGGACGTGTTTGTCGAGGAATTGTGTTGTCGAGGCCAATGGGTGAGGGGTCGCGATGTGGACGTGGTGATGGTGCCGGGAAGATTTCTGCGACGATGACGGTGGCATAGGGATGTGCATGTTAGATTTGGTCGAGGAGCGTGTTGTGCTCAGGGACAGGGAGTCTGAAGAAGAAGAAGAAGCCATTGTTCTGGTTTTCAGAAATGGTAAATGGTTGATATTTGAGTATTTGAGACGCGGAGGGTGGGTTATTGGAGATATAACTGTCTTGTTTAACCCCTCCCGATAGAAAACTGGTATTATGCGCGAAAGAGTCCCAAAAGACAGGAGAAGACAACTCTTTGATCGCCGCTGGTATACTTCCGGGCCGTTGAGGAGTGTCGGATACAATCGTATTAACCCCACCGTCTTTCGCCCGTCGGCTCGAGAGCGCCCCGCAGCCAAAGGGGTCTGTCTCGGAAAGGAGAGCTAAAATCTTGGGTTACTGACGAGGTCGATTTTGGGAGAGACGGACTGAGCAGTGGTAAGTGAATGACGGAATGGTAAACCAATGGATTGCGAGAGCGGTTGCTGACACAGCATGCAAGTTATGCATCATCATGGGTTAGACTTTTCTCTTGCCTGTCGCAACCAGGAAGTTGATTCATCTCTTTCTGTTCGGTAAAACAGTGGCCCTCGGGTCGAAAAATGTTGAGTAACAGTCTCATTTCTTGTTAAGGATAGAAGCGGGCTAGATTGACTCAGCAAATTGGAAGAGCGAAAGGACGAATATCGAGCCATAACCAGCAACTGCAGTCCCGATGCCGTTCTTGTCGAAGTTGGAGGGCATCGGCGAGGCGAGGCAGGGGGAAAACAATTGGCTGGATGAATTGCTGACTGCTGACTCACTGCAGAAAAGATTTCCAACTTGCTGCGTTGGGAATGGCGTAATGAGGGTCAGCAAACCCCAACTTTGGTCGAGGCCAATATCGATCTCTGTCGAAATGCATGATGCAAATCTGTTAGAGCGCCTCATGGAGAAGTCGTAATGACATGAATGATCTGAACGACAGCGAGGCAGTCCATATAACATCGACTAATCGCGCCTTGAGGAGGCATGAAGGCAACATGCTCCTCGCAGGTATGTTCGTCTTATGTCCAGGGGGAAAGGTTTCATGGCGAAATCTTAATCTGAAATAAACGACAATGGCGAAGGGGGAAATTGATCATGTCGTCGGCCGTCTTTGTCTTTCTCCCTCCTCCGAGACTTGCTGGACCTGTGTCATCGGATTCGATTGGATAGGAACAATCTGTAAACAAGACATGAAAGGAGAAGACGGATGAAAAATCAAAAACTCCTGTCTTACCAAGCCTTTGGAATGACTATTTGCCATAGTCACCACCCTGGACTTCGTCATACACCAGACAGAACACAGATCGACTGGCTGTTTGCCAACTAACCACGAAATCATATTCATGACTTTCCTCTTTTACTCTACTGATCCCCAAACTTCTTGCGTCATTGTCACGAGGAATCCAGTTCGGCTCTCTAGGAATTTCTTTGGCGGTGGAACATCTCGGTGGCAGGAACTGTGGATTGGAGAGACCCATTTTTCACCTATGGCCAAGACGCAGACTTGCAACACGGCGGAAGGTGCATCCGGAGTTAGATGTGGGCGCTTTGAGAGTAGACAAGTTTCCTGTCCCGACTCATGGAAAATATCCAAATGTGAGATTCCTGCTGGCCGCACTCCGAGTGCCCCCGACCTGAGCAAGAATCTGCTGTTGGCGTTGGCTGTTCTCGCCCATCGATCACTCGACAGACTTTTGAGCAGGTCAAGAGATTGTCAAGGATACCGATCCTTCACCGGGAGGATCACTAACTTTGGCGCATTGGGATGGGGAAGCTCACCTTAATATACTCAAATGGGAATGATTCGATGAATCGAAATCTGGAGGATTGGTACCGTGTGTCCTCGGTATGTGATTCCTCGACGGTTCAAAATGAATATCAACACAACATTCTGTTGAGCCCTTGGGTTCTCCAAACGACGTCTTCGTCTGTTGAAAACACAAGAAATGTTGAATGGAGAAATTTGCTCAAGACACAGAACGTTCGCCCCACTGCTGGTCGGTGAAAGGTACTTAGAAGGGAGGGTTGAGCTCGCGAAATGTTCTTGAAGCAGCTCAGCATCATTTTCCAAGAAATCCAAGGGGTGCGTCTGAGTCCATAAAATACCGAAACACCTCTTCATGGACCTTGGTAGGGCATAGACCATTTGGGAAGTGCATATAGCTCTTGCTTAGAGGTCCCCATGGGCAACACCTCTCTCACATATGTGTGAGCATCGTCCTTTCGACGAGGATAAACCTTGATACTGTCGGGGAGCTGATTTCCTTCTGGAAAGAAAAAAATTTTCATTTAGTTCAGTCGTCTTCTCGACGGAAATCTGTGTTGCATAGCGTACTCCATCACGTCATCATCACTCGCTTCTCGAAACGGCGTTATTCCAAGCGGAGCGTGCAGATTGTGAGACAGAATGGCAGGTCACTCTACTCTGTAATGCGGACAGTGATTGAAGAAGCCAGAATCCCGTTGCAAAGCTGCTCAAGGAGCTTCATCGTGGAATTTTCCAGCTTTAGAAATTTTGCGAACAAAAAAGGGTAATTGGGAATGTAGATCTGATCTCGCAACGGTTCAGGCGCAATACCATCGTGTCACTCATGGGATCCACAGCGGCACGCATTGAAAAGAGCCTGGAGTCCCGTGGCGTAATTAGATGATTTGCGCAAGGATCGGTGGGATTACATCCCTATGGGTCTGCGGCAGTTTCAGGCGCCCCGTCCCCCCTTAAGCGACGTTGCTCGTTGGTCCTCGCCCGATAGGGGAAAGGCGAGTTCGGTGCTTCAGGGCTTTGCAGTCTTGTTTTCCCCCTACGTTTCAGATTCGAGGAGCCATACGTGCGCATCGCCGTCGGACTGGACAGTTCGGATGTGATGGAGGAATGACTACGATGTTAGTCAGGCTGGGTCCGGTGGGTCAGTGGAAGAGAGAAAAAGAAACGGGGTCGACTGCAGTTGTCAATGGATAGGATTCAGAAAAAGGCAGTCGGACTAACGTAGCTGTGAGCATTTGGGCTATAGGTGTGGTCCCTGAACTGCTGTCTTTATTACCTGTGTGCTATTTCTATTTGGAAGGAAGGGTTATGCGAAAGCCAGTGGAGCGGTTACATAGCCAGTCAGATATGAATGAGCGAAACACTAACTCACCCGCTGCGGAGGGCGAATATGTATGACACACCGGCAGCAGTGATGATAATTCATACAGTAGAGTGCTCTAGCAGTGAGACATGCATGCTTTGGGTGCTTGGGACAAGGAAGACGTCAACCTTCTCGAAGGCTCTGGTGATCGGGGGGATTGCTTTGTATCAGTCAGGTAGACGAAGTCGCATCGTGGCTGAGGCGAGGCTCAGGCCCGCAAATCTCTGCCCAAATTTAGCAATGGGGGCATCTCGTCTAATTCGTCCACTCTCCACAAATCATCCCCGTGACCATTGATGACGGTCGCCTCTATTGGGGCGCTGGTCCTTGCATCGGCCTTCATTTCCGGTCGGAAGGTCAACGCGAGGGCCCGCTTGAAATTTGGAAACTTTGTCAACGGATTGGAATTGGAAGGGAAATGACCAGCTCACCGGTCATCAAAAATGATCCATCGTGCTTTGGAAGTGGATGTAGATATAGAGTGGTGGATACCATTCACCAATTTCGCAAATCTGTCTGGACTCTGTTTCGCTCGGATTTTCCCAGCTCTGGTACATGCTGTTCTTCGTTTGGACTCTGGATTCCCTGTACCATATATGCACCCCCGGAATCAGCCAGCCATACTCCGTAAATCAAACTGGAACCTAAAAGCCCACATGCGCTAAATATCGTCTTGAAACGCCATATCTCTTATCTCCATCCCGTCCGTGCATCGCCGAGAAAACCAAAAAATGTTGGTATCAAACACATCGCAATCAATCGATCGTCAATATCGTAACGTGCCATCATGTCGTTGACGTTGTACCTCCCAAACCAAAGAGCCATCAAACCACCTCCCCAACTCCGCTTTAGAAATGTGATAGTCGACTGCGTCCCTCCACGAGTCGATAGAGTACCCGCTCCGCTTCATTCATGAGTCCGCCCAAGAAGAGTCCAATTTTATTGAGCCGGACGATTTCGAGAAGTCCATGCGTCCGGCCAAAGATCTGTGGATCCAATCGTAAAAGTTCCTCCACCGTTTCCACGTTCGTAGCTTGCAAATATTCTCGGGTCGCATATGCCGCCTCGTGCGAGTCTAGTAGTGCCGGATGCGCCGAAGACAAGCTAGAGCTGCGTGACAGATTGGAATTGGGCTCGCTCACGGTTGATGCAGCCCCTGACCCTTGACCACTGCTTTCTAGCACGGTCGATGCGGTGAACCCATACGCCCAGCAAACCAGTGCTGCTAGGTAGAGTGCCCATGGCTCGTGGAGCATGTGGGTGTCGTGAAAAGAGACAACGAATTCAGTGTTTGTAGAATCAGACGGGGTGAATTTAGCCGTCGTCCGGATCAACTGCGTGGCATGCCATAGAGCGACCCGGCTTTCGTAATTCGAGTCAATCCAGGCTCTGAGATTACGTTTGGCGTCTTGAAATTCCGCTTCATTCTCCAGCTTCTTGCCCATGATCCAGGACTCGCCACTGACCACCAGCAACTGGCGGATGGGCGTGTTTTTGGCCATTTCCCGCATATGACGATTGAAAGTCAGGCGAGTGGCCGATTCGTCGGGCGGATCTTTCTGGAGCAAGGTTTGATTACCGGCGAGTGATGGATTGGCCGCTAGGATGACTTGAATCTGGAAATAGTCCAGAGGCGCCGGAGACGGTTGATCATGGCCCACCGGTCGCGGCTTAGATGCTTCACATTTGGAGGCCATTTCGACCCATGCTTCGATTGGACTGACTTCCCACAGCTCCTCCGGACAGGGCATAGAGACATTGCAACGTAATGTCGGAGTTGCTCGTCGAGGTCGCTCGTGATGAACAATGGTTGCCGGCTGCTCGAAGAGAATGACCTGTTGGAGGTCGAGAACTGTCGAGGCCTGAAGAATCCGTCGTCGTGTTTCGTACTCCAGCCAGAATTTGTGCGCTCGGGCGATGTCCTCAGAGGTCCGGTCTTTGCGAAGAGTGCGAAAGACGGCTAGCGGATCCGTGGCCAAAGTTCGACGCGCCTGATCCAGGCTGGCAAAGAGCGAGCGGAATCTCGCCGACATCTCGACTTCGACCCTCCTGGCACAATACTTGCTCAGAACTTCCAGCAAGAAAACGGTTTGAAGGTCGACCAGCCTCGACCGACTCGTAATGCTATCTCGTCGTCTCAGGAGTTTCGTGGCAATCTCCAAAAGCGTCAGAGAGTATGTTTTGGCGTCGGGTCGGTCGTCATATTGCGATCCAATGGCCGCCATGGCACTCGCCAGGAGAGGACTCGGTTTGGTCGGCAGAAACGTCGGTCTGTGAACAACGGGAAAATGAGGGTGAAAATATTGCCAGTAATAATCGAGACAATGCCATCTTATAGTGTCGGATATACCGGCTGAGGCATTTCCGGGCAGTAATCCAGAGGCACTTGATAATTCTCGTCGAATGACAGACCATTCGTATCCATCCAGGTCGGAGAGGGGTATTGGTAGGGTAGAGTCTGCGGGAGACTGATCAGCCTCAGTATACGCGTTAAACCAATGAAAAGGAGGACATACAGGAAGATAGGCACCTTCATCAAGCATGTTTGATGGAAGGATGTTGGGAGGAGCAGATGATGGAGCCCAAGCGCCTGGTATATTCCCGCCGATCAAAGGAGATGTTCCGTTATTGGGATCAAAAGCAGCAACGGAAGAAGAGGAAGAAATGCTCTGACGATGGGGGTATCGGCCGTAGTATTCTGAAACAGGAGACTGGCTGCTCTCAGGAGTGTACATGAACTCGTCGGAAGAGTTGAAGCCTGGAACATAATGCATCGACTGCCGTGGTGCAAAACCGTTGAAATCGGGCGTTCCCAGATTGTATCGATACTCCGTTTGAGGGTGGACGAGGGAACCGATGGAGAGACCCCCTGAAGAGGATCTGGGAGCACTTCGGTCCGCTTGAGGGCTGCTCATAGTCGTCGAAGGCATCATCGAGGGTGGTTCTGAAGCAACCGTCATCTGCCCCATCTGGCCCATTTGTCCAGAGGGAGCCTCAGCTGCGCTCTCGAGGTCACTGCACCGAGGATTAGAACCCCTCTTCCTGGTGAGAGTTCGAAGGAAATAACTCACTGTCTCTCTTGGTGCCTTTGAAGAAGATCAACACGATGAAATGCTTTTCGACAACCGGGACGAGTGCAAGGAAACAATGCTTCAGGATTGTGATTGAGTTCATGTCTCCTGTTGACGGTTAGAAGAAGAAGGGAAAGAAGATCTCCCGCAGCTTCCTGTCAGACTGACCTTCTGTGTTCTGCCCGGGTGAAGACCTGAATGACGACGTCAGTGAGGCGTTCTTCCCGGGGGGTCCAAATCCTGACGGCCAGGAATCAATTGGCTTTTTGGGGAGGGCCGGGAGGGACCTTGACCGCTCATTGACAGTACTTACCTTTCCGCAACCTGGAAACTCACAGGCGTGCACTCGTTTCCCTTTCTTTGCCTTGCTGATACGCCCGGTCGGCGTACACGTGGGCGGGCCTTCGATCGAGATAGATGAAGTCCTCATGGTGGAGGTGCTTTCGCGACGCGAGTTGGAACCTTGGGCAAGACCTTCGACCGGTGAGCGGGGAGAGTCTGGTACTATAGGCGATGGATTTGAGGCAACCGTGTCCTGGGTCGGCGAGTGGGTTGAGAATATGGTTCGCGGGCTGTTTCTCGGCCGGCGATGTCGATCTTTGTTGGACGTATCTGAAAGGAGTGTGGTGGTGGTGGTGGTGGTGGTGAGGGAAGGGATTGGCGTAGAAGGTTCGGCGACGCCAGAGTGTCGAGGAGTTTGAGAGCGCTTCTTTGGGGCCATGATGAGGATATTGTATAGAAGATATAAGAGTAATACGAAGCGACCAAGAAGGTCTGCGCCAAACGTTTCACGGTGGAGTCTTTGAATGCTTGGAAGCCTCCGCCCCCTTCTGAGCCTCAAGGAAAGATTAAGCTCGTTTGAGCAAATGGGGAACAGGGCATGGGTTGAGGAAGGGAAGTGTGATGAGGGAAATGACGACTTGATGCTGAAAGAAGGGGAGGCTCGGAGACTAGAGAGTTTCCGGCACCTATTGGCAGGGCTGAGTTTCTAGGAGGCGGGACGGACTTGGGACGGGTTTTGGGAGGCCGGAGGCACGTGGCGGGGCGAGCGAAGAGGTTCCAAGTTGTGTACGACGGCGAAAATAGTTATTCTTGTCCGCCGCGACGGAGGCGAGACTGGGAGGTGAGTTGGAGTGAGTTTAGAATAGTGGTTTGTGCTTTGGGAGTGGCAGCATGGAAATGAATGGGGGACCCAGCATACAGGAGCAGGGGTGAAATTAGGTCCAGTAGCAACGCAGCATGCGGCCATCTAACATTAGAGGGCGGGTGTAAGAGAGGCAAGCGAGGTATATGGCATCACGGACCAATCGAAATAGAGCGGCTGTGTCGTGAACATGAGACTTTTGGGCCAAGTGTGGCCGGTTCAGGTCAAAATATAGACTGTCTGATTAAGGGACGTTGGCGATGTGATTGGGCAGGAGGTCAAAATTTGTGGATATATGCTTACTCGGTTGGTGAACATGCCTTACCCTATTACCTATTTTCCCAAGTGTATCCAGGGGGGAGGGGGGTGGATGGTCGACGGAGGAGCATGAGAGACCCATTTCCACGAGGGAACTTTTGAGAGAGCAGATCAGTTGCGAAAAGCAGACAGCCGATTCTCTAACAGACAAAGGTCGATGGGACCGAGTGAGTGGATCGAGAGCAACGGCAGACCAACTGCTATGAAGCCACCCCCCCTCTTTGGCAGGAATATTAACCACTCATCAGTCAACCACGCCGTCATCTTCGTCGATTTAGGCATCAGGCGAGTGCAGCATGTCGTGAGATGGCTGTCAGAATGCTGGTCATGGTGTGTGAGCATGCGTGGAAATCATGTATGAGTTCCTGAGGCCATCCACCAGTGATTGGGCCTGATTCCCGGTCGCCTGCGAATGGCAGGGGGAGGGGGAGGAAGCGTTTTCTATCGTGAGTGCGGCGCAGGCCGATTAGACTCAACTAGTTCACGTACTAATATGGTTGATTCTATTTGGAGATTCAGCTATGCCTAATCCAGATGAGCTTGAAACGCTGGTTAACCAAACCCGCATCAAGTCTAAAGAAGAGTCTAACTATACACAGTATAGTCTAATGTCTGTTTAAACCGACACGGCGAGTCTGCCTTACCTGAGCACTAACTCTCCAGCCCTTTGCCCCCCATGAACCCCAGTTGATTACCCTGCGATCATAAGTCATCTCTATTTCCTGTAACGAACCATCTCGCCATCCGTTTGGCTTCCCTCGTAGCTCGATCGCAAGCTCAATTCTCCGTCGTCCGATCTGTCCATACACTGTTGACTCCCGTCACCCCGTACAGCAACCGGCCTTCCGTCACACCACTTCACAACAAGGTACCTCTCCAGCAGATGCTTTAGAGGTTCGCGAATGGTCGATCTGATGTATCAATCTACGACTGAAAGAGCATAACCGCTGGTGGGCGACACAAGCCAAGCCAGCCACAAGGAAGGTGGCTAGAAATTGCATTCAGAACATCGAGGACACGCAATCTGCAAACAAGACGACCGAGGCAGGGGATTCTCTTAGCAAACGGTTTTCTTTACGAGCGGTCGCAAAACTTTTTTCAACAAAGAGGATGAACTTTTGTGCTATTTACCCACTTGTGGGCTCTTGGGTTGCTGCCCTGTCAAGCTGAGGTACACACTGCAGGGTCGAGAAGGGGGGTCTCTTCCACCCGGTGTGTTGGGTGTGTTGGTGCGCTCGCAACTCGAGCTAATTATGCTCATTGAAATCCTTCCGAAAGTAATCCATGTCGGATACTGGGGTGTGGGCTGCAGATACGAAGGAGAGCTTTTCCTTCTTCCACTATCTCGACGCGATCACGCCGCTTACAATTCCTAGCATTCGGTTCCATCAGCCACTTGTGGCTTGAAAGATATGCTGGAAATCGTACACAATCCTCGGCCCTTGTACAGCGGTCTTTCGGCGATCATCTGACCAAAAGTGGCTGAGAAACTGTGGCGCTTCCGTCCCGTTTGAATCACTCTCGAGAACTCAAGGCCCCGAAGGATGGTCGATCCCTGCTTACGGCTGAAGCATGAAAGACGCAAAAGAAAGGGACCTCTAGGGAGTAGTAATCATTACCTTGGACCAAAGTTAAACAAAAGTCCCGGAACTCTTTTTTTGGAGCTGGCCAGTGAACTCCAGGCTCTTCCGCAGAATCTTCGGTAAATCTTCAAAGCCAAGCGGGGAAAGTTGTTCCTTTTTCTTTTCCTCCGTCTTCGAACCGGGCCGCTTCTTCGATTATCACCTGTATCTGAGTTGCTTCTCTGGCCAGGAAAATGATCCTCAACAAATTGTTCCCTAGCATCCCCCCTGCAATGCTATACGACATGCAGAATCCTGGAGAGCGAAAAAATTTAGCGGGCAAAGTTTCGAACGAAGGATTCCATATGCATTCGGCACTCTTGCACCGCGCTTGGAAATGTGAAAAAGAAACAACTTCCCACCACTGACGGGCACTGTGAGTTTTGTGGCGGACTCTCCCTATCCAATCTCTATTCCCTCCCATGCCGCTCTTCCAACAACGCATGTACCCCTTTCTCCTGCAGCTGGTAAAGGATCTTTATCGCGGCACTTAGAGTCGCAGCACGATACCGTGCTCCGAACTATTTTCTCCCCCGAAACCCTCGTGGTACGGGGGACGTCATGTTGACCACAGCAACCGTCACGTGACCTCGTCCGAATTTTTCAAACCAGAAACCCCCCCTTACCCCCTTGATTGCGTTAGTGTTTCAAAACACGCCCATTTCAACCTTAGCGACCGTTTCAAATTTCTATAGGATGGACCCCCCCCCTTTTTGCGGCAACGCCCATATTTCCAAACGCATTCCAGACTCCATCCTGCCGGTTCCCGACAAGACAAGGTAATTCAATGCGCGTACCCCAGGCCCGAACCGTTCCGTCCAATTGATCCCTTGTACCCTACTACTCAAAGGAGTACAATGTTGTGTCTCATCAAACCCGTATTATAACGTGGACCATCTGCGTGTACAAAGTCCGCCAAATCTTGCCAGTCTAGACTTCCTCCTAGCCAGGCTCATCACCTGTTTCAGAACCCATGATTTACAGCGGTCTAGACCTGTGACCGGAACAGTGATAGGGGGGAAGCGCGAAACGAGATACTGTCCCCGGCTGGTGTCGTTACCTCTGTTCATTCCTGAGACGCAATTAACAGTCGTATGTTAGCCAAGGAACGGACTCACGAAGTATCAACACACGCCTGACAGCAGTGAGCGCCAAATGTGACTCGAGTCAGAAGAAAAACAGGACTTGCGCATGGGCAGTACGGAGTATGGGCTTCCTTTGTCCTCACGTCTTCCCTCCCCGAGTGTCACGCGCCATGTTCCCCGCAATGAGAACGCTTTGGTCAAGAAATTCGGAGCTTTACAAAAAAAAGGTCATGCTCCGTGATACACCAACTTCAGCCGGGCAACAATCCGGTGCGCTATCTCGGTGGGGATAGGTTCTGCGAGCAGGCAAAGAACTCTCAAGACGCTCTCTTTTCAAATTGCAGATATTGTGAGACTCATAGAGGCAAGTTCGATCGTTTCTGCGTCACCCCCCCCCGACTCGCTTGCCATCCATCTCATCTTGGCTGATGCTTCATTTTACCTTATCACGCTTATATCGTTCGATACCATTGCGGTTAACGGGTAACAACTAAAAATGTATCGACCAGCCATCAACGCCCGGTAGGGAGGTCGGCATGGAAACAGGATGACTCTGAGCATCGACATAAAAAGAGCTATCACTATGAAGCGCGACCCAAGTCGATTTATTTATATGATCATATGACCTCTATATTATTCGACAAGGACGGACCCCCCCAATGCTCCAGTTCCCAGTGTAAATGCCAACGGAGCAGCAGCAGAACTCCATAGCACCATAGCTTAGTCTATCGTCTTAATGTCATATTCCATCACAGGTCTATCCATCAGGGGCGCAAGCAGTTGTGCTCGCTTAGTCTTACCAAGCCCGTGGCTGGCCTCGCCTTCGTCTTTGTCTTTGCCTCCGCCTGTGTCTCGGCTTCGGTCTCGTCCTCGTGCGATCAATTCATATCATGTATACATTTTGGCCCCCATAAAAGAATCCTGGTCCCATCAATCAACCCCCACCATATCCGTTTTAGCATCTTGAAAGTATATTAATTCCCGTCGGCCCATGGTTGTGGAATCGGGACATGACATGAGGTTCTCCCACAAATGCACACAGAAGGGACCCGAGGGCAGCGCATTCGATCCCACCCTCACACGTTGGCTTCTATTTGAACAATGGACTCTTTGCTCGTCTATACATCAATGCCAGGTTCGGGGATAGGATCAAGGCGGAATTCCCTCTTATCCATACCCTCCAGTGTGTTTTTGCCATATTGGGTCAGCTCAGGCCTGCCACTGGGCTCCGTGTTAGCGGTGAAAAAGCGAGGTTTGTACTCGGTATTCATCTCCCTGCGCTTCGCGGCCTTGTCACGCTGAGCCTGCTCGAGGTCTTGCTTCAGCCTAGTGGCGTCGGAGTATCGCTTTTCTAGGATTGCCGACGTCACCTCTTTCCAGAATTCGCGCGACTCGTTGGGCAGCTGATCCGTTGTGGGGGGCACGGTCTTCGGTACCGGCATCAAGGGTTGCAGGTCAATGAGCAGCTGTTTCTCAGATGTCGGCTCTAAATTATTGGCCTCCTTGACCGCCGCACTGTTGGGGATGATGTACGTGATCTGCTCTTGCCAGCAGCCTTCGATTTTAACCAGAATGTCCTTCTCTGGTACGTCTTTGACCCGGGTGTACTTGTCATCGTCCGGGTCGTAACGAAAAATGAGCCCGTGCACACGGTTTTGGGCCTTACCAAACCAACTCTCCTCCACGTAGGTCAATATACATTTTAGCTTGGTCTTGGTGCACGTCACGTAACATGAGTCTGCCACTGAAACATACAGGGACCCTCGCAGAAGACCACCCAGCGACGCAGCCGGGTGTTGAAGTTGGTATTCCTCATGGTCCCGCTGGGTCAGTGTGAGGAATATGCCCCGATTAAAATTGCCGGGAATTACACGGACAGAGGTGCCCGTGAAGCGCGCAGAGAGCTGGTCATAGCCTCGTGCATAGATCCCCCTTTCGGGGCAATTATACCAGTAAGCTGAGACGGGTGGATGATGGGAGGTCTGTTCTGTAAGGAAGGATATCCGGATGGGTTTCTCCCTACCGTTCGGCTGAAGGGGATCTTTGGACGGTTGGGGTGGTGCTTTGGAAGGCTGTGTTATTGGAGGAGCGGCTTCATTGATCTCCCAGTTGCACTACATGGGCGTATACCTCGTTAGTTTTGTTCCCTCATCGAGACCTCGCAAGCACCGAGAACATATGGGGAGGGAAGAACGTGGGAAACATTACGAACCCTGAAAAATTCCCCCAATGTCGAGTTGTATGGTTTGCAAGGCTTTCCCTTGACGTATTTCTGCACTCTTGCTTAGCATTGATACTCGTCCGTGCCCATGATCGGAAGTTAACGAACTAGGTCTTTCGTGAACCAAAACCTGAGCACTTCTAGCATACGTCCGAGAGAGTCATCTGATGTCCCAATACTAGTAGCCATGTCAGTAAGACGTTACATGACACGATCGTGCTCGGCCCGAGTCGGCCATACCTTGCGAATGTCTCGGGTCTGTCGAGGTAGTGCCAGTATTCTGTCTCGTATTAGCTCTGTCCCTGTTCAAGAGGTCCGACAAAGGTCACTCGTACCTAGGTTGGGTATAGGTTCTATTAATTGAGATGGTAAGGAAAAGCGAACGTTGGCAATATCTGCAACTCCGATAAACCTGCCAGATTGTCCGTGAGTCAGCAAAGACAGCTGAAAGTGTCCCACAGCCTTGTGTCGAGCAGCCAACGGATAGTTCTCGACTCTTTATCCAGAGCGACGTACTTTCTCAACAAGCTCAGAAATGTTCTGAGCTTGGAGGTCTCATCTTGCAACTGATTGTCTGCAGGGACGCCAATAGGAGTAGCAGCAGGACTGGGAGTGGTGGGTCTCGAATTCGGTGTAGAGGCAGCAGGCGTTGCGAAAGGAGTATTCGAGGTCGATGTCATGATATTGGGTTGGACTTTGGCCCCGGGGGAGAGCGCGGCGGCGCAAGAGACTGCAGTGAGGTCGTGCGAAGGCTAGATTTCAGGTGCAATGGTAGAGACAGTAGTGGATAGGAATGAGAGGGTTCGGTGTCGAGGAGGAAATTCGGACGCGTATGGGAAGTAATCAAAATGAGATAAGTTACTGGCACCGCCGAGGGCAGCTGTTGCGAGAAATATCCAACCAGGTGCGGTAGATTGTGATCGTGGTATGGGAAATGCAAGATGGACGAAGCGCATTGGGCTCTGTAAGCAGTCGTGGCGGCAAGGGGGGTTGCCAAATGACGTGCACACTGCAGCCCGCTCGGGGTACCGTGGCTGATGGAGGTACATGTATCAGCGTCAAAGATGCCTGGAAAATAGGTACTAAGGCGTCACAGATGTTGAGAGAGACGATCCACGTACCTCTGTGTTAATGATAACTCGATCGCCCCCGGAACGGGGGAATTAATTACCCTACCCACCCTGACATCCGGATGTCCAGTACTTATACAAGGAAATAATTTTCAATTTGTGCCCGCGCACTCGCTCGCTTTGCTTCCCCATAGAATCATCCATCCTCTCATTTGCCGGCCATCAACGGCCCCCTCGCTCCAATCAGCATTCTGAGCGCCAGATAAACACCAGCCACCAGCGCTGCTCTCAACGCGCCTTTCGACGCACTCCCAGCGCCCATCGTAAGAAAAGTCCAGAGAAGGCTCATTTTTGGATTGCCCTCTCTGTCGAAGTCCGGTTCGAGATTTCCCATTTTGCTAAACTGCTCGAGCTTGCCCGTGCCGACATATGGCGGATATCTCACGGCCATGAGCTTTTCCATCCAGTTTGGAGTATTCGTAATTGATCGATGATGTGTAAAGGTGTCAAATGAAGCTTTTCCTCGGTATGATCCGGTGCCAGAGTCACCCACGCCTCCAAACGGGAGAGTCGGGATGATGCCGTGGAAAAAACCGTCGTTGATACTGGCACCACCGGAACGAGTTCCGGCGAGAACTCTATCCGTCTCAGCCTTGGACCCGAATGCGTAGACTCCCAAGGGCGTCTCGTGAATTTCATTGGCGATGCTGATTGCTTGATCCAGGTTGTCTACCGGCAAGACGGGGATCAGAGGACCGAAAGACTCATCCACCAGCAGCGAGTCTTTGGGATCGGAAACTTCAATGACCGTGGGCTCGATGAAGAGCTGTTCGGCATCCATGGTTCCTCCGATGACAATCTGGCCCGACGTGTTATCCAACATCTTCTTGATGCGATTGAATGCACCAATGTTGATAATTCGACCAAAGTCCGCACTCTTCTTGGGGCCATCGGGGAAGAATTCTTTCATGGCGATCCTTAGTTCTTCAATTAGAGTTGGCATCACTTCTCGGTCGACCAGGATGCAGTTTTGACTGATGCATATTTGGCCGGCATTCATAGTCTTTGCCCACAGTAAGCGTCGCGCTACCAATCGCATATCTGCCTTCTTGGTGACGATGGCTGGGTTTCGACCTCCGAGTTCCAGGTCGACGGGGGTGAGATTCTTCGCAGCCGCTTGAGCAATGATTTTGGCCGTTCGCACTGAGCCGGTGAAGAAGATCTTGTCCCATTTCTGTTCCAGCAGCGCCGACGTCTCTGGGATGCCACCCTGCACGCAGGCATAGCAATCTGGATCCAGAGCGGCCTCCATGATCTTTTGCATCACTGCTGCACAGCGGTAGGACTGTTCCGACGGTTTCAACACCACCGTATTGCCTGCCGAGATGGCTCCGATCATAGGGCTGAAGGATAGATTGATTGGGACATTGAAAGCACTTGATGCGATGTCAGTTTTCAGCGGAGGGAGTGTGCGACCACAGGCTTCCTACCCAATAACGAGAACAACACCCAGAGGATCCTTTCTGATCCTTGGGTTCACGAGCCTATTGCTCCACGCGATGTCGGCCGGCTTCTCATCTTTCATCCATTTCTCTAGATTTCGAGTCATGAAGACGATATCATTTTTCACCCAGTTGATCTCGGCCGTGGAGGCTTCGAAGAGGCCCTTGCCCAAGTCCCGTTGACATGCTTCCACGAGCTCTTTTTCATGATCAACAATGGCCCAGTAGAGCTTGCGCAATTGTTTGAGGCGAAATTCGGCCGGTCGAGTCCTTTGGGAGTGGAAGGTCTTTCGAAGACGAGAGACAATGGAAGGAATCTGTTCGACAGGTGTTGTAGTGAATGTTGGCAACTGAATCGAAGTCATTTTTGGCTGGTTCGTGACACCCCTACTTCTGGCTCGTGAGGCCGTTGAATTCGCATTCAGTTCGAGGAAGAATTTTCAGGAAAGAACAAGGCCTTCAACAAGCGCGAATCTTGCATCTGCCTTTGCTTTCGCCAGTGCCGCTGCTGAGGAGATGGGTGCTCTTTGGTAAAACTTTAGAGCTTGAAAGCGAAAAGAGAGCTGAACAAATAGCTACACACCTACTTACTTGGTACATCCCCAGCCAAACTTGAACATTGTCTGTCCACCCCGGTGCGGGGTCTTTTTCTTCCTCAGCCTCAGTGGTTAGAAATCGTCGCCCCGTGCCTCGTTCTTAGTGGGGTTGCTGTACATGACGATGTGGCTCAGCACCATATGGCCCCTTCCCCTCCATCCGTCAGTCTCAACCATTCTCTTTCAACTCGTTCCCGTAAAACTGTGCTCCTGGATGCTTCCAGTCTTCTTTCATTCTTCTCAACTCCTTTGGTTTCGCATTCGTCCTTGAATCGGCCTTCGCTTTGTGTATGAATTTTCCCGTTTTCTCCTCACTTGGTCGGCTTCAAATGGCACCATGGCGGTGTTTCTCAACCTTGATGAGGACGACTGCGAATCCCACAATCGATCGGCCGCGCCTGGGATCCGTGATTCGGCTCACCAAGATCGGCTGAAAGCTGCTGGCCAGGGAGGATCAGCTACGGTGGAAGGGATGAACACGACGAAGAATGTCCTGGCGGAGTCACGGAGCACCAACAAAGTGGCTGCTATTTTGACCTGCTATCCGTATGCTTTGAAAGTGGTCATTTTGACCGAGGTTTCTCACTGATCGGTCATATCTAGCGTGGCCTTGTCTATATCCTCCAAGCTCGATCTCAATGATCTGGATGCTCTAGCAGCCACATGCCGCAGCGTCCACACCAGCTTGACACAATATGCGCGCCAGCTGAAGGCTCATTCGTTGCGATGCACCCACGATGCGAGACCGGTGCTGGCGGAAGTGCTTGCTGCACCAACAGAAAGATCACACCGGGAGGGGTCATACAACAATACACTCTTTTCCGGAGGGCCAGCAGCCTTGCATCTGCCGGTACAGGTCGAGGCCGCCGTAAGACCACGGCCAGCCTCGCAACCGGAAGGACTTTATTCCTCCGCGGGTGTATCAAGTAAAATCAGTTCTTGTGCCCGAGACTTGGTGGCTCCATGCCGTCGATGCGGGACTGCCGTCTGTCGCAATTGCGCGGCAAAATCTCCCAGTAATGCCAGCTTGAAGGACCGATATCGAAGGTTGTGCAAGACCTGCCTGGATGCCCCAATAGGGGCACATCTACAACCCCTCACTCCGGCCCACGACACGGTCGACGGACCACCAACGTCGAGTGCCAGCTCCATCCGGTCGGAGAGGTCATGCTCCGGGTCGTCAACCTCGAGTTCCACGTGTGCTCTCGAGGACCATGAGCCCGAAATTGACTATCGGCGTTCTTTTACCTGGCCAGCCCTCCTCCGTGGTCCATGCACTTGTGCGTCTCGCGGAGTCTTCCTGTGCGCTCCGTGTGGACAAAATCTCGGAGCGGCGGACACCACCTATAAGAGGGTGTGGACCTGGCGATCTCGCTACTCGACCCATATCGGCGGAGGCCTGGGGACGGGTTTAGGAGAAGGAAATCAGGGACAGAAATGCGGCCGGGGTGAAGATTGCCTCGAAACCAGTGGCAAAGCTGTGTGTTGGGTGGAGATTGATTGCTCGGAAGGCAAGGCACACGACAGTCTACGTGAGAACGAGGGAGGCGGGCCCAGTGGAATAGGTACACCGGATTATAGCAACAACAAGCCCGGATATCTGCAGCAAGAGATTGAAGGCATTGGCGGGGTGGTCAAGAAGAAAGTGAAAAAGCGGGTCAAGGTTGGGGCCACGGTGTGGGAGTACGAGGATGAGAGAGAAAGCGGCAAGTATTTGGAACGAGAAGCCCAAGGCACTGTACGAAGCTGGTGCGGCTGGTGCGGGCGGGTGTGCCCGGGAGAAAGGGATAAACAAGTCCTTGGATGGACATGTGCAGAAAAGTAAATGACACTGTGGGAGTGGTACTTATAGTGAACCGCAAGGCGGGTGGTGTGACTGGATTGGTGGAGGAGTAGGCGAGCAATGATAAGCACCGACCAGATACGGAGGATAAAGAGTGACAAAGATTTCAGTCGGATGTGCCATTAGTGTTTGGTTCCGGTTCAATCGCAGTTAGACTCTGGAACCCAGATCTCGGATGTGCCATGGCCATGTGTGTGCCTTGCAGGACGGGACGCAGTTGTAGAGCGAGAGCACGGGGCAGAAGATGGTGGCTTCGGAAGCGGAAGCGAATGGTGAAATCCGGGGGGGGGGGATGCGGAGAAGGCACAGCATTGGGCACGATGGCTATGATTTGATTTCATCCTCTTCAGCCAAGTATATATATATATATATATATGGCTCTCTGGTACGACTCTTGTTAGTACAGATACTTGGGTCGGCGCTGGTAGCCGATTGTAGTACAAAAGCCCACAGCGGATTTGGTCGTTTACCCGGGTCACTTTTTGATGCTGCACGGACTCCGAGCGCCCTCTACTGGGGTGAAGAGGCTCTTCTCAAAGCGGGACGATTTCCACATTGGATGATCGCGCCACGAAATGAATCATGTCCTGGCAGAAACAGAAATCGAAACCGAGACAGAGTCCAGTGCCAATGGCACAACAGATGCAGAGATTTCCCTTGGAACAATCTCACTTTCTCCCCGTCCATTTTCATCTTCAGGGCGCAGACTCTGTCCGTCGAATAAGAGACTCAGCAACTTCAACTTCGAGAATACCTGAGGCTGCCGTTCCACTTATTTACTTATTCCTTGTTGCGTTGTCCACCTGACCGCTCTTTTTAAATCCATCTTGCTTTTTCTTCTGGTCGCAACTACTTCTTTTCTGCAGTGCTCGTTCCTATATCATTGACTCTTTGGCTTGCTCATCGCCCCGAACAACGATATCTACAAACACCGCTATAGCCACTACACCTTTGTGTCATTCACCAGCAAATACCTCCTCATCTCGTCGGCCATTCCACCGTTCGCATTGTCTGCTTAAATCCGTCCAAACTCGTGGTCGTGTGCTCTACGATCATCTCGGCAATAACGGACCCTCCTCCTATGCCAGTTGGTGTTCGGCGCGCCGACTTCAAACCCCCGGCTTCTTTTAAACCTGTCAAAGCGGGTCCGAACGACATCATCGCCCTCTCGGACCTTATCTTGGTGGCCTCTTCACTCCCACCGGCTTTTCGGCCCCCAAACCCTAAATACCTTCAACCCCAAGTACCGGGCAACGTCCTAACACAGTTACAGCCTTCTCCTCCCTCTGTTCTCCGTTGGACCTTTCTTGAGAGATTTGGTTAGGTATGACCTTGCCACATGGGCTTAACCGCAGGCGGAGCTCATCTCTAGAACGTCGTGATCCCTATTCTTCTCCTTCAGAATATTACGACGAGGAGGCGGTTAGACGCCAATTATTGGGAGCGCGCAATAGATCCATTTCGTCTGTCCGTCTCCCCTTTCGGTCCTACGCTCGCACATTTGCTAACATACACTCTATCCTTAGTATATTAAGCCTGCTCGAGACACTCAGTTCGACGCTACCAAGGGCACCTATCCTGCTCGTCGAACCAGCCACGGTCCGTTCCTGCCCTCCTCCCTGATCCTTGCTGACCGACCATCCTTCCAGACGAATACTACCAGCAACATCAAGAACTCTTGGTGGACGTCGATCGGACTCTGAAGGATCTCATTGACCGTGAGGACATTGATCGAAATCAGCAGATCACGATCGAGGACAATGGACCCAAGGTACCTATATCCTGCAGGCATCTCCGAACCGTCGGGAGACTGATCGTGTCACAGCACATCAATTTGGGCACCTTGGCCTCTGCGGGTTACCGATCAGCCGAAATCCGCGGGAATTACATGATCAGTAATCTCCTTCAGGAACTGACACTGGCACAAGACCTGGGAAAGAAGGTGGTCAAGATACATCGGTCCCGTCTGAGTGAAAATCCCGTCGATCGACTGTCACGACGCATTAGAGATGAGTTTTGGAGCAATCTGACCCGGTCCCTGGATGCGGCCACCATCGAAAAGGCGGGCCGTGATCCCAAAGACTGGACACCGGATCCGCGACCTCGCATTTACATCCCACGTGCCTGTCCCGAACAATTTGAGTACTATACCCGGGTGGCTAAGGACCGCTCTGAAATGCGATTGGATGTTTGTTGGTTACCCGAGGGCCCCATCACCGCCGAATATGTTCGGAGTCTGAACCACGCGCCCGGCATTTTGGCCCTGGCGATGAAGAAGGACGTGATCAATGGACAGGAGACCCTGAAAGGACTCCCATTCATAGTTCCGGGTGGTCGATTCAATGAGTTGTATGGCTGGGATAGTTATATGGAATCCATCGGTCTGATCGAAAATGGGAAGGTGGAAATGGCCAAGTCAATGGTCATCAACTTTGCCTTCTGTATCCAGCATTATGGCAAGATCTTGAATGCCAATCGCTCCTATTACCTCACTCGATCTCAGCCACCGTTCTTGACGGACATGGCCCTCAAGGTCTATGACAAGATTAAGCACGAAGCCGGTGCCTTGGACTTTTTGCGGTTGGCCATTAGGGCTGCGATCAAGGAGTACTATAACGTGTGGATGTCGACCCCTCGTTATGACCCGGCAACCGGGCTGTCACGTTACCGGCCTGATGGTCTCGGGGTTCCTCCGGAGACGGAAGCGTCTCACTTTGTGCATATCCTGACCCCCTATGCGAAGAAGCATGGGATGACGTTCCATGAGTTTGTCCGGGCTTACAATACCGATCAAGTGGTGGAACCGGAGCTTGACGAGTACTTCCTGCATGATCGCGCGGTGCGAGAATCAGGCCACGACACCTCGTACCGTCTTGAAGGGTGTGCCGCAAATTTGGCCACCATCGATCTGAACTCATTGCTGTACAAGTATGAAATTGATATCTCATGGTGCATCCGGCAATATTTCAAAGACCGACTGACCATCCCCGCGGAGTTCCAGACCGAGGCCAATCGGAAGGGCGGATTCGAGACTTCGGCGACGTGGGATCGGAGAGCCAGACTGCGCAAGGCTCGCATTGACAAGTATATGTGGAACGAGGCCAAGGGTATGTACTTCGACTATGACACGGTCAACAAGAAGCGTACGGCCTATGAGACCGCCACCACATTCTGGGCGATGTGGGCAGGATGTGCATCACCCCGTCAGGCGGCGGCGTTGGTACTCAACGCCCTGCCCAAGTTCGATTGCTTCGGAGGGCTGGTGTCGGGAACGGAGACGTCTCGCGGAGAGGTTGGACTGGATCGTCCCAACCGACAATGGGACTATCCGTTCGGTTGGGCCCCTCAGCAAATGTTGGCGTGGGGGGGCTTCATCAAATACGGATATATCGAAGAGGCACAACGACTGGCATACAAATGGTTGTACATGGTGACCAAGGCGTTTGTCGACTTCAACGGCGTTGTGGTGGAAAAGTACAATGTCACCCGGGAACTGGACCCTCACAAGGTGGAGGCCGAGTATGGCAACCAAGGCTCCGACTTTAAAGGTGTCCCTAAAGAAGGGTAAGTTTTTTTTGAACGGGGAGGAGGGGGTGGGCCTTTTTTGAATCCACGGTGATGCTGATGTCAATGCGAACAGATTTGGTTGGGTCAACGCCAGCTATGTGTACGGACTGTCTTTCATTCCCATGCACATGAAACGAGCTCTGGGAACTCTCACGCCATACGAGACCTTTGCCAAGGCCACTGAGATCAAGTTAGGCGGGCTGGACGATACCATCCAGGAAGGCTCGGATGAATCCCGACAAGACTCAGCAGACGAGGCTGAAACTGCGATCAGCACAAGCCCAGAGGAATAGATTATGCGTTGCTGATGACGTGTAGATTTGAGATTCTTTCAGATGCAGCATTTGGCGAGACAGACTGACAGCGAGAAACAGCTTTGAGACGCCGATTGGCGCAATGGTTACATGAGCAGGCGTGTAGATAGCATTCAAGTACGGTTGGAGGCATTTGTTCCCAGCGCTCATTTTGGGCGGCGTCAAATTCGAAACTTGCTCCGGTTCTTTTTCGCGAGGCCAACCGGGGAAGACACCCCGGTACACTTCCGCTTCCGGAATATAGGTCACGTGATGTTGAACCGAGGCACTACGGAGCAATCAACACTGTTGCGAATAAGGTCGATGACAACGACCCTTGCATCATCCTGGAACCGGGTGCCGAAAAGACTGCAACAGACAGAGAGATTAAGATCCTGGAAAGTGTGCCAGCTTGTGCTCGTTATGATGTGGAAAATATACGAAGAAATGCTCCCCTGTTGCGGTCGAACGGAGGGAGTCAAACACAAAAACGTCATGCCAGGCGCAGGTGAGGAGCCACAAGGGCACATGTTTGAAAACTCATTTCCCCACAAAGCCGATCCTCTACCGAAGACCTCACCAGAGATGGCATGGTGTCGATGCCTCTCTTCTTTGCCTCCCTTCGAAAACTCATCCTCCAGCCCGGCTTTTTCCCCAGTCCGCACCTCTCTTCCACCAATCTCTGGTCGCCGCTGTTCCTCCCTCGCTCCTCTAACCCGGCGCCCAAAGCCCAAAGCTTGGCCAGAATGGTCGACCATGACCATGAGCCGGACCGTGCTCGGTGTCATGTCCTCTCATGCATCCTCAGCCCATCGGAGATGGAGGGATTCATCATGGACCACTCCCAGTCCTCAGCCGATCCGCCTTCTGGCGTGTGCATTTTTACTTAACTATCCTGCATACTCCTCTTTCTTTCCCATGACTGTTTGTTCCTCGGGCTTAGTTTTCCGACTGTTTTTGATACGACCCCTCTCCTCTCCTATCGCTGTCTGTGCCTTCAATTTCACTGTGTGAGTCGCGTGAGCCGCACTGAATACTTTGAATAGCCCTGTAATACTCGTGACACCTCAAGATGGCTTCAATTGAGCAAGAAGAACAGCAATACCTTCAAGAGATCGAAGCTGTCAAGAAGTGGTGGACTGATTCCAGATGGAGATATACTCGACGACCATTCACGGCTGAGCAGATTGTGCAAAAGCGAGGCACTATCAAAATTGAATATCCCAGCAACATCCAGGCCAAAAAGCTATGGAAACTGGTCGAGAATCGATTTGCCGTATGTCAGTCCCCCCCCATTTTTTATGTGCACGGAGATGCTGACTCACTGGTTCTCCAGACGAAAACCGCTTCGGCCACGTACGGATGTCTCGAGCCAACCATGCTTACCCAAATGAATAAATATCTCGATACCGTCTACGTCTCTGGCTGGCAGTCCTCTTCCACCGCTTCCTCTACCGACGAACCCTCTCCTGATTTGGCCGATTATCCCATGAACACCGTGCCCAACAAGGTCCAGCACCTGTTTATGGCCCAATTGTTCCACGATCGTAAACAGAGAGAGGAGCGTCTCACCACTCCTAAAGAGAAACGAGGATCCGTGGCCAATGTGGACTATATGCGGCCCATCATTGCCGATGCTGATACGGGCCACGGCGGTTTGACAGCGGTCATGAAGCTCACCAAGTTGTTCGTGGAGAAGGGCGCGGCTGGTATTCACATTGAAGATCAAGCTCCCGGCACCAAGAAGTGTGGACACATGGCCGGAAAGGTTCTGGTCCCTATTTCTGAGCACATCAACCGCTTGGTGGCTATTCGAGCCCAGGCGGACATTATGGGGGTGGACTTGTTGGCCGTTGCCCGAACAGACTCGGAAGCGGCAACTCTCATCACCACCACCATCGACTACCGGGACCATGCATTCATTCTGGGATCCACCAATGCCAACCTACAACCCCTCAATGATCTCATGGTTGCCGCCGAGCAAGCTGGAAAGAACGGCGATGAACTCCAGGCCATCGAAGACAACTGGATTCAACAATCCGGGTTGAAATTGTTTGACGAGGCCGTCGTCGATACCATCAATGCCGGCGTTCACGTGAACAAGCCAGCCTTGATCGCCAAATACAAGCAAGCAGCCAAAGGCAAATCCAACAGCGAATGCCGCGCAATCGCAAAGGGTCTGACCGGGGTGGATATTCACTGGGACTGGGACGCCCCGAGAACTCGAGAAGGCTTCTACAGATACCAAGGCGGTTGCCAATGTGCCGTCAACCGGGCCATTGCCTACGCTCCCTACGCCGATATGATTTGGATGGAAAGCAAATTGCCCGATTACGCCCAAGCCAAGGAATTTGCCGACGGAGTCCACGCCGTCTGGCCCGAGCAGAAGTAAGTGAATCATTCGCATCGACGAGGTTCAGGAGTGAAGAGTATCATGCTAACAATTCTTTTTTTGTTCTCCCTCTCTCAGACTTGCTTACAACCTGTCTCCATCCTTCAACTGGAAAACCGCCATGACGGCCCGGGACCAAGAAACATATATCCAACGCCTCGCTGAGTTGGGTTACTGCTGGCAATTCATCACGCTGGCAGGGCTGCACTCGACAGCTTTGATTTCCGACACTTTTGCCAAGGAGTTCGCGCGGCGCGGCATGCGTGCCTACGGCGAGCTGATCCAGGAACCTGAGATGAACAATAAAATCGATGTCGTCACGCATCAGAAGTGGAGTGGTGCCAATTATGTGGATAATCTGCTCAAGATGGTCACGGGTGGTGTGAGCAGTACTAGTGCCATGGGCAAGGGTGTGACAGAGACACAATTTCATTGAAATCTGAATTTAAATTCAAAAATTGAGACGCGGGGATAGAGACATGGAAAAGAGGCCAGGATGTGAAAGAGAAGGAAAAATCGCGAAGCATTCGGTATGGCTATGTACCTGATCGGCGTGGTTTCGCAGGTCAGATTTGAACGAGCACTTTTGTATATGTTTGATAGATCCATTCTCGTTACTTAGCTGCCATGAAAATAATCCGAAGACACCATCTTGCCCTCTAACTTGGCTCTCAGCCCGCCCCCCGAGCCAGGCCCTTGTTGGGAGGGGGCCCGGGTTCGTTTGGAATCACGTGACGAGGCTGAAACCTGGACGACCAATATTCCACTTTGCTTCTTCATGAGCTCACTGCGCTTTATCTTATCTTCCCGAGTGAGGGCGTGTATACCACGGTCATCGAGGATTGAAAAGCCCTAATCAGTGGAAGAGAACCATATAATAGAAACGAGCGAATAAGATACATCGCCGATAGATTACAATTTACCCACTTACGCTCTCATCTCTGCTCGTCACACTACTTCGTATGCTGACCAGCCACATCCTTCTCCGCTGTTTGAGTCGCCGGATGCAGGGTCGCTCGCTGCGTCAACGCAACCCAATCCGGCAAAAACCTCAGCAACGTCCCCATCCACATCCATTGGGGGAAGAAAACACTCCCGCTCCTCCCGCTCAAGACTTGGCGCACAGCTCCACCCGCGACATCGCGCGCCGTCAATACGTGCTGTCCCGACTTATTCAGCTCCTTTTCCCAGGACCCGATCAGCGGCGTACGCGCCCATATCGGATGCACGATCGACGCCTGGATACAGTGTCCTCCATGGTCTGCATAGCGGTGTGCGAGTTCTTGAACCAGACCCTCATGCATGCCAAGAACCGCAGCTTTGGTCGCGGAGTAGTCAACCAGACTGGCGACGCCGACGTAACTGGCCATGCTGGCGAGAGAAACGATGTGGCCTTTGCGTTGGGACATCATGACTGGCAAGAGGAGGCGGATCAGTGTAAAATGTGAGAGGACGTTAACGCGGAAGATCTTCTCCAGGTAGGCGTCGGTGGTGTTGAGGATGGTATGCGCTTGGGCGATGCCCGCGTTGTTGATTAGGACGGTCGGCGGAGGGTGGGAGGTGTTGAGGATTGTGGTAATGGTGGAGGTGATGGAGGATGGGGACGTGAGGTCCGTTTGGTAGTACGTGAGACGGGAGACTGGTGGAAGGAGAGAGTGTTCATTAGTATTGCTCGCAATATTTGTTCGGGAGAAAAACAAGGAGCAAGTGAATAGGGTATCTGTCTGGTGGGATGGCCTGTAAACAAGGTGGTCATGGAGGTGTAGTATCCCATTTCAGAAAGCCCATCACTTTCTGTGTGGAGGACTTTGAATGAAGAGCAGAAGCCGAAGCCAAGTCCTAGGAGGTCAAAGGAAAAACTGAATACGTACTATCCTTCATGTCGGCAGGTAGATCCTGAATGTCCAATACCAAGATATTCGCCCTGGTCTGTTCGGCGAACATTTGGACCATCTCACGTCCAAACCCGGAACAGCCACCAGTGATCAAAATGGTCTCCTTGCCCTCGGCTTGGAAGTCCCACGGCACTCCTTGTTTTTGGAGGTGCCAGTAATTCAAAGCCAGACGGTTGAGGAAGCGATTCACGTACAGAACCAGGCCGAGGCCGAAGAGAAATTTGAGCGTCTTGAGAGGCGGTGAGGCGTGGAGAGTCACAGAGTTGCGAATGTTCAAGGGGAGTCGGAATGGGAGGGTTAGTGTCAGGTCCGGAAACCATGGGAGCTTGTCCAAGGCGGAGGGGTTGCGTTTGATGTAGAACAATAGAGCGCCAGTGATGAATGGTGAGAGGAGGGTGTTGTCGATGATGGTTCGGGTGGAGGGAAGGATGGACAAGGTGGATAAGACAGCCATAATTGATGGCGATGGGACGATGTTTTGGTTTAGCAATGGATCCGGAAAGGGTCTGCTGGGATTCAAATCGAACCACGCTGCGTGCTAGAAGATGATCAAGACAAGACGATGATGCTCAGAGCTGTCTGGTCTTTCCAGGGCCTTCTGATGATTAAAATATTGCCGTTCAATGTCAAAATTCGGGCCAAAGAGGAGGGGGGGGGCAGGACCCTTGCCAGGGAGAATCCAAGTCTGGTTGGCAAGACAAGATAGGAATATCACGAACTTCTTCTTGTGAAGGGTGAACTTGAGAGCAAAGGCAAAGAATGAAGCAGCCAAAAGAGGAGGAGTGAGAAGGTATGCGGGTAATTAAGAAGCCGACCCTGTCACTCATCTCCTCCTCACGTACAGTACTCGGTATGAACACGACAGGAGTAAGAGCAAACACGAGAAGCGATACGAGTGACGCCGTAACCTCGTATGATAATAGTTTTAGCCATTCCGTTCCCAGATCAAGGCTGGCGAGAACGAGTTTTCTTCTGTAAACTTTAATAGGCTGTCTGGCCTCGGTTCTTGATCCCTGAACGACAAAAGAGGGAGCCTGGATGAAGAAAGTGGAGCAAGAATCAAACTTATATTCATGTGGGGGTGGGCCTTAAATGTCCCTTTCTTACGTAAGATGATAAATGCGAACCCCCGGGGAGGGGTTGATATAAACCAACGGGAAATAGAGTCAGTCGAGCCATGTCTCAAGAATCATCAATCATTCAACAACAAATGGTATCTAATGTCCTAACATCGAGACACCTCCTGCTGAGAAGGTTGGTCGTAAGAACGCCCTCCAAAATTACCGCACTGGAGAAACCCTCGTCCTCTCTCCGGTCCCAAAATGCATCCCGGTGCCATCCATCATGAAATGCGCCCGCGTAGATCATGTGTCTCGTCTTATATCCACCCCCAACCGTCACGCTTTCCGTTCACTTATCTAAAGGGTCGGTCATAAGTTCCATCATCGTTTCCTACGGCACTGACCGGAGCACTACGGAAATGGCTGAGATCTCCACTTCCTGTCTTTCGGAGCGCCTGTCTCATGGTTTCGATGTTGATTTCACTGGCGCCGGTCAATGGCGAGCTTTGCCCGGGTAAAGGACTTGCCGCCCCTCTTTGGGCTCGGTTGGGAGACGTTTCGAACCCCTTGACCGATGCCGTTATGCTCGTAGGTGGTGACGTGCCAAAGGCGGCCGAGGATGTAGGAGAACGAATAGGAGACGGCGATCGAGGAGGGATCAGGGATGGATGGCCCGATAGATGGGCGGAATCACGTCGGACATCGCCCAATTCCTGTTCGCCGTGGACAACATCGGCGAAGGAGATAAAGCTCAATCGACGCACATCGGTCGAATCCAAAGGCCCGTAGGTGGACGCATTATCCGTATCTTGTCGATGCACCGAAGCCGGGGCGGGAGGAAATTCATCCTGCATCGAAGACGCCATGGACTGGTCGGCTCCGAGGCCAGTAATGGTCACGACGGCCGGCTGATGGGTGGCGTGAGTGACGATTTCAACCGTATCCGGGTCCAACTTCTCGTTCGTGATCGCCTCCGCCGACGCGTCCAACGCCGGTGCAATATGGTTCTCCATAATAACATGAGAAGGTAAGTGTGGAGAGGCCTCGGGAAGAACGACTTCCTCCTGAACATTGCGTTCGAAAATCATCGAAGACGCGGGGGATTGTGGCCGCGGAGACGTATTGTGCATTCCATAACTGGGTGAACCAGGAACACCATATGACTGAGTCAAAGAACCCCGGTGAGGTGATACAGATCCGCCGAGGGCATCGGGTGATTTAATGGGAGATGCCGGGCTCAGTCCCACCAATGGACTGGCTTTGGAAGCGGCGGGTTTGGAGGAAACAGGAACTTTGCCCTTGACCGGTGGTTTGTCTTCATCCTGCTTTTTACCCAGCTTCCAAAAGTCTCTCTTGCGTGGCTTTGATGATGTTTCTCCCCCCCCAATTTCGTCGCCCGCGGTGGGGGCGGAGGGATCCTTCAGTAACGGCGAAGCCGAGTCCTTGGATTCGGTGCTTGGAGCGCTGATTTTATCATTGATGGACGGTTCCTTCAGGGACATGTTGGTGAGTCCCGCGCGAGGTGCACGGTCGAGGTCTGGTTGACCGGGAGAAAATGCTCGGGGTTGGACGTGTGTGCGGTCAATCAACAAGAACTCGTGGAGTGGTCGAGAAAGGCAAGGAGATTCGGATTCAAAGAGGACGCCGAATGCACAACATGGCGTACCGGATGAAGCAAAAGGGTGAAATTCAATGTCGGAGTATCAACAGAGGTCGACTGAGGAGTATGGAGTCGGTCGCAGGATATATAATGGAGAGTGTTGTCGGGGGACGATCGTTCTGGTTCTCAGGACAACAAGCGATTCGGGAATGACAAACGATGGCCTGTGCAACAGGTCGATATATGAAGGTGAAGTGGTAAAGTGTGAGTGTGAGGATGCGGTGTTTGTGTTGGATCGAGGGAAACGTGAAGAAACTCTCGACGGTATGGAACCGAGTTCCTCAAAGTGGGTGAAATAGCAGGGGATTGGGCAGAAAAAGCGAGCAGAAAGAGGTAGAGAGATCGAGCCTAAAAGCGTCACAAGCAGGGCACCGGGAGGAGGCACAGGGGCCCATAGGCATGTCTTGTGACAGTCCGAGTTGGCTGTACCGTGCGCTAGCATCGGCACGAAATTAATTCGACCCTCTTCTATTCGTGGCTTGCCTTTGGCAAAGGAAACTCTTCCGAATGCCAAGTTGAGATGGACAGGCTGTGTCGGCCGTTGATCTTTCGTGGCTCATCTTCTCCATTGACGATTGTCCTTTTTCAGCACAGGAGCTCCCGTCCATCCTCTTCGCCGCTGTACGCTCTCCGCGAACTGAATACGATATCTGGCACCATGCTGATCTGCCGGTAATTCCGCCCACGTCTCCGAACGGCAACCAATTCTTTTCCGGGTGAACGCGTTCAGAGTCGCCGACCATGCAGCCCACAACGGTCTTCACATCCCCTTTGTCGGCATCGTCACGCTTCTACAAGATTTGCGCCCAAATTCTCCCACCATCATTCTGTCGGCATCAATCATCCTACCGACGAACAAGATCTAGGCTCAACATCAAACCCGATCCCTCTTTCCTCCCATCGAAAACTGAGCAACATGACCATATCATCTTCAATCCTCCTCCGAGCATGCCCAGTGTTTACCACACTCCCAACATCTTCCTCCCGAAGAATGACCGACGAAAAGTCTCACCCGACCCCGAAACCCGTACGCTACAAGTGGAGGTCGCTCAGCAGATGCCTGCCGCGAAACGCCCATACGAGAAGAAATATCATTTGACAGAAAAAGACGTGGAGGAAATGAGGGCGTTGAGAATAGCCGACCCAACCCAATGGACCATCAATCGCTTGGCGAAGAAATTCGACTGCTCTCCCGTGTTTGCCATGTATGTGTCTCAAGGACTGGCCAAGGAGAAGGGGGAACAGCAGAAATTGGTGGGCCAAATCGTCAAATCGAGATGGGGTACAAAGCGAAGAGAGGCACGTGAGGACCGTGAACTACGAACAGAACGTTGGAATCGAGATGAATGATCCATCCAGGAGAGGATCGTGATGCTGTAGATGATAAAGAGGCATCGGTGATTGTACCGCTATGGGTTAGGGAACTAGCGGATTGTAATCCTGTATATTTTTAAAAATCCAAGATGGTCTACTCGGATTTACTCCATTTTCGCCCAGGCCCCGAGTTACCCGTGCTTAACCAGTCTGATAACACATGTCCCTCTTGTTCTGTGTCCGTCGCTTCTCTCTGGCAGGATCAAATATTCGGTACAAAAGATTGTCGGTGTCCAATACGCTATTTCAATCCAGGTTCTCACGTCTGCACGCTTTCCAAACACCAGGGTCCATTCGAACCTTCTACGGCCATATCTCCGACGACAAAATGGCACCACAGCTCCAGCCATATTTCAAGAAGTGTGACAAGTGAGTACCATTGCCTCAATACATCCACTAACGGCCTGCAGGGTCGACGAGTTGGCCGACTCCTTCATTGAACGTGAGCATGTCTATCAAGATCCAACGGCGGGGTACTGACGGAAGGACCGCCAGGTTTACGAAAGGCTGTTGCCATCCCATCGGTGTCTGCGGACGAAGATAAAAGAAAGGAGGTGGTTCGAGTACGTGGCCGGAGACCGGGTGGGGGATGTCAGCATGACTGAAGAATTCACAGATGGGACAGTTTCTGGCCGGCGAGCTCGAAGCATTAGGCGCAGAGGTCCAACAAAGACCCCTCGGGAAACAACCGGGCAAAGAACACCTTGATTTACCACCGGTGGTCATCGCGCGCTATGGAAATGACAAGAACAAGCGCACCATCCTCGTGTACGGGCACTACGACGTTCAACCCGCCCTCATCGAAGATGGCTGGGCGACCCAGCCCTTCCAACTGACCATCGACGATCAAGGTCGCATGTACGGCCGCGGCAGCACCGATGATAAAGGACCTGTCCTGGGTTGGCTCAACGCCATTGAAGCGCATCAAAAGGCGGGTGTCGAGTTCCCCGTCAATCTCCTCTGCTGCTTCGAAGGGATGGAAGAGTATGGCTCGGAAGGTCTCGACGCTTTTATCCAAGAGGAAGCGAAGAAATTCTTCAAGGACGCCGACGCCGTCTGCATCTCCGATAATTACTGGCTGGGCACAGAGAAGCCGTGTCTCACGTACGGCCTCCGAGGATGTAATTACTACTCCGTTTCGGTCTCGGGACCCGGCCAGGACTTGCACTCGGGGGTCTTTGGCGGAACGGCCCAAGAACCCATGACGGACCTGATGGCCGTCCTCAGCAAACTGGTCGACACCAACGGAAAGATTCTGATTCCCGGCATCAACGAGATGGTCGCGCCACTGACCGAGGAGGAAGAGAGCCTTTATGGCGGGATCGCATTCACCATGGACAATCTGTACGAGTCCCTCGGGAGCAAGACGGGCATTTTCCCCGACAAAGAACGCACGCTCATGGCACGCTGGCGGTACCCATCTCTCTCGATCCACGGCGTCGAGGGCGCCTTTTCTGCCCCCGGGGCCAAAACCGTCATCCCCGCCAAAGTCATTGGCAAATTCTCCATTCGGACCGTGCCCAACATGGAATCCGCCCAAGTCAACGAGCTCGTGTTCAAATACGTCAAGGACGAATTCGCCAAGTTGGGCTCCAAGAACACATTGGACGTCTACTGCCAACACGACGGCAAATGGTGGGTTGCCAGCCCGAAACACTGGAACTTCACCGCCGCCAGTAAAGCGTGCAAGGAAGTTTTTGGCGTCAAGCCCGATTTCACGAGGGAAGGAGGCAGTATCCCCATCACGATAACGTTCGAGGAGGCTACCGGCAAGAATGTGTTGTTGCTACCGATGGGCAGTTCCACGGATGCGGCGCACAGTATCAATGAGAAACTCGACCGGAGGAATTACATTGAGGGAACCAAACTCTTGGGTGCGTATCTGCATTATGTTGCCGAAGAGCCGATGAATGAGGCATGAATGACGGAGGACGTCCGGGGGATTACAGAACAGAACAGAACGGGAACAGAATGTAGCTACCCTCTCCTTCTGGAGGCTGAATGAGTGGAACGAGATGGATCAGAGGCGGTCACGGCGAGAAGAGTGTGATAGAATGTCTTACTCCGAGTCATATATAGCTATGAACACGAATCTCCCAAGTCAAGTCCCTGACCCAGCAAAAGTCTTCGAATTTCTCTTTCGAATGCTGGGTACCATGTTAAGTCCAGCCGGATAGTGGTTCGTGGTGTATTCCCGTTCACCCTCAGCTTCTCGGCTTCAGCTCCAGCTCCAGGTTGCTTTTCCATGCGTCGATGTCACCATATCAGCCCCATTCATTCCTTCGTTGCCCTCATCTCCATCCATTCTGGAATGACTCCGTCATTGATTGGTAAGGTAGATTCTCCCCTTTTTATGTCCGGAAGTCCTAGGACAGGGTAAATTGTGCCGACTTTGCTCCAACGCCATGCCGCTGTTGTTCAGAGCCTGTCGATCGATTCGACTCGACGACAACGAAAGTTCAGCTTTCCTTCATTTCGCATAACGACCCTTTTCCCCCTGAGATCAGATTCCGCCGCCCACGCGGACAGAGGTCATCTTTCGTCATATCATGATTGGTCTTGGTCTTGGTCCTTTTTGTTCATCCCATTCCAACTGCTATGCCTCCACCACTCGCTCCATTTCTTTCTCCGTTTCTGTGGTTGTCACTTCGGAGGATCCGTCAACGGCACATATCTAACGCCCATGTCCTTCCTCTTGGTCACCTTTCCATTCTTGTCCTTATCCACGACCCAAATCCACTGGCTTCCCCACCCATCCCTATCCTCCACCGGTATAAACATCCTTCCCGGACTCTTCAACTGATCCACTAAGTCTTGATGCAACTCGCTCGCCGCCGCACCGACGTGTATCGCATCATACGGCGCGGCAGCCGCATACCCCTTGCGTCCGTCCCCTGTGACCAATTCGACTTTTCCCGTGTCGAGAAGTCGACGCCCCTCTTCGCTCCGCCGCATGTTCTCGCGCGACAATTCCACAAGGCCCTCAATGTGGTCGATTCCCACGACTTTGCCGGCGCCAGTCCCCTCGGGGCCGCAGACGATGTTGGCCAGGACGTGAGTCAGGTAGCCGGAGCCGGAGCCGATGTCCAGGACCCTCGCGCCGGCGTTCTCGGGCATGAAAGGGAGTAATGACTCGCACGCCGAGGCATGCATGTGGGGTGCCGAAATGGTGGCGCCGAAACCGATGGGTTGGGGGGAGTCTTCGTAGGCGGCGAGGGGAAAGGATGGACAGTAGTGTGCGCGGTCAACGGAGGACATGGCGTTGCGGACACGGGCGGAGGAGATTAGACCGGAGGAGATGAGGTTGGCGACGAGTTCGCTGTTTGTGCGACCACTGCAGCGCCACGCCATGGCGGTGGAATGCGAGTGCTGAGATTGGTTTCTGAGGAATGGGAAAGGGAGTGGGAAAGGAAGGCCGTTCGAGGCCGGTACGAGTTGATAGAGAAGAGTGGCTAGTATAAGAACTAAGAACGAGATGGTGATGCACTGAATGTTGAACGTGAGAGTCAACGGACGCGGAAAGGGCATGCAATGGAACGGCGAGTCCAGCCTTGAAATAGGTTAACCAGGTACTGTGAATCAAGTTCGTGAATCGACATTCCACATCATATGACGTTGGTATGACTTGAGGACTGAGGGGTGGAAATTCCCCGAGCGGAGCGGACGCTTTCACACCACCAACAAGTCACGCGGCCTTTTCCGACCATGGACATGCAAGTTTCGTTCATTTTCTGAGCCTGTATATCTCTACTTGTCCTTTTTTTTCTCCTCGTTTTACATGATCCTGTGGAGAAAATACCCATCCCAAGGACGACCCTCCTCCTTCCATAGCTAGATCAGATCGTTGAGTTGAACAGCGAAATATCTGCCCTTCGCCCTCCCTTCCCAACTACAAAAGTCCATCAAGTCAAGACACAATCTGATGCTCTCATCTATTCTCGTTCATGTCTGAAGCATTCACCCTTTCGGCAGCCTTCAATGCACGATCTATCCTCTCCGACAAATCCTCAGGCTCTTCCAGTCCAACGCTCAGCCGAACCAAATCCGGCTCCACGCCCCACTGCGCCGCCCATTCCAGCTCAACGTAATGCGCCAGGACCGTGTACGGGCACGCGAGCGTGAAATTCGTGCCCAAACTTGGACCCTTTTGGACCTCTAGCGCGTCGAAGAATGCTACCGCTTGCTCGGGTTGCTCGAACGTCACAGACAGTAATCCGCCATATCCGCCGTTCGGGGTGCGGCAGGCATCGTAGTTGGGTCGTGACGGGCTGTAGCGCGGGTAATAGACTTGTTTGACGAAGGGGCAGGACCGCAGTCTGGACGCAATGGTCTCGGCGTTGATGTTGATCCGGTCGATCCTCGAAATGAAGTCGCGGGAGTTCCGCTCCATAAACACGGCGTCTTCGGCCCAGTAGTTGTCCTCGTACTCTCTGCTCAAGGTCTGCTTGAGCTCCGTGTACCATCGACTCTGTGGATTGAGCACGGCGCTGCCGCCCATGACGTTGCTGTCGCCGCTGAAGACTTTGGTCAAGCTGCTCACCACGACGTCCGCGTGGGCCAGTACGTCGATGTTGATGAAATTGCCCACGGTCTCGTCGACGACGACTGCAAAGTCGTATTGGTCGGCTAATGTGCGGATGCGGAGCAGGTCGGGCGAGTTGAGGAGAGGATTGCTGGGGAATTCGGTGAAGAGGGCAAGATACCGTTCGCCGGCTTCGAGGCGGCGTTCCAAGTCGTCTAGGCAGGCTGAGCTGCCCAGGCCGTAGAAAAGGCACCCTGGTCCCCATTTCTCGAGGATCTTTAGGGTGTCGATGTACGGGAAGCCAAAGCAGATGCTCTTTCGGGGTTCTCGGCCGTGAGAAGCCGCGTTGGCTAGGAGGATGCGGTGCGTGTTGAAGATCGAGGACATTCCGCATGGATAGAGATAGACATCATCTTCTGAGAGTCCTCTTTGCCGGCCCTCACGGTTTGGGGGTGAGTTGGCTAGAGCCTGATCCAGGTCTGAGTCGTCGATAAGACAGCCGCTAATTCTGCGTCGAATGGCGAGTTTAGCCTTCGAAGCTAGCTTAATGTTGAGGTTTCTGCCGAATCGCTCCTCCACGAATTGGGCATAGTCTTTGTCCTCCACTCCATCTGTCGTGGCTGCGTCGTGTTGTACTGTCACCTCCCCAGGGCCCGCATGGGAGTGAATGATGCCGCTTTGAGATGTTGGCCGCTGATATCGCCGCGGTCCCTTGGTGTATAACTCGTCGTGTTTCGGCTTCATGGGCTCTACGACCGGTTTGAGAATGCCATCTTTCAAAGCCTTGAGGCAGAACTCGCCTCGTCGGCTCGAAATTCCATCCCCCGAGTGCTGCCACACTTGTTTGGCCACGCTGAAATAGTCCTGGGGGAAGAAAACACAAGCCAGGCCGGAAAACGTGGTCTCGTGGCTCTTGTTTCGGTTGATGACCGGTTCGAGGAACAATATGTGCACGGCACCGACTCCGAGACCTTCAATTTTGTCGTAGAAGAATTTCTGACATCTCTTCGCGGTCGCGAGAGACGGGAAGAGCATGACATTCTCTCCAGCACTGCCGTAAAGACTCAAAATTTCCTTTTGCAGTTCCTGGATGGTTAGATGGATGAAGAATCTTGGGTATCCAGTTTGCATCTTGGATACAACCCACTCTTCCCCTTCTTCGTAACCCACCGTGGCTTTCCATGACGGTAGTGAGACACTGACCGCATGCTCGGTGTTGGGCACCGGCTGCCCGACAGCTGCGAGCATGGTGGAAGGATGAGGCTGGGGGATATAAGTACTGGTTATGCCCAAAAATGCCTTTATTGTCAAGACGGATCAGATGATTAGTGGCGAGACGATTCAATCAAGAGTCACAAATGCACACCTCATTCGCAGATTTTTCCCGATCTCGGAGTTGACTTTGGGGTTTTAGGATACTTTTGCATTCCGTGATACAATACAATACATAGATCAACCTCCAGTGACATTTGGTGGTTCGGGAAATCTATGCATGTGGTGCCGGGTTCCATCTCGTTTCTGTGGGATTTAAAGTCCCTTTTCACCCTCCGGCGTCTTTTGAGAGAGAATTCATAGAGAGAGAAGTGTATCCAGACTCTCACAGCGACAGATGTGGAGATCTTGGCGTCAAAAGATCAGTAATAAGATCTTTAGGTATGTGCTCACGTGGAAATGTAGGGGGAATGTACCAGAAATATCTGCCGAGTGGCCGCTTTTACTTGTATTTGTTCCGTAAACGAGCGTAATCTAGCATGTGCTCGAGTCCTTGACAGAGATCCACACGTTGATCTGTTGTTGCTCTGCGTCTTGTTCCTCCCGTCTATCTAATCATGCTTGTAGTAGCAGAGAGACTTCGTGGTCAACCCCGTTCTTATTGCAAGCCCAACAAGCTGAGTAATAGTTTCGCTCAAGAACATTGACTCGCTCTAGACTCATGCTCTCTTGCTGTGATATTTTGTCCTCCTCCCGCCCGTCAGGAAACTCGTTGACTCGTGACACATCATGTGGAGCGGATTCAGAACACTCCGCACATAATTAGTAATTGCTCGGCTGAGCTCCTTCCCACAAGACGATTGAGCTGGAGTAAAATTGTATGTTCCCGGCCGGCGGGGATCTCTTTTTGCCCCAGGTTCTTCTTGGTTGCATGGCGAGGACTCTCCGGGTTGTCCAATTCAGGCACCGACCAACATGTGATGGGCATATGTAGGAAGACGAAAATCCTGTAGCTTGTGTAGTTTGTCGATCTAAGAAGTGTAAGGTAAGCTTTGCCCTCATACTCACGGCTGCATGCGTGCTGCCATTTCAATCGACTGAGTCTTATTCTGCACGCTCAGTACCATCGCAAGCTGTTTGTGCAAGGATTTCCTTCTCTGGAACTAGTTCGTAAAGCTGACAGTTTAACAGACCATCGTGCTCCCCATGTGAATCTACAGGCTCAAAATCCCCATACCCACAGAGCAATACGGTAAGTACTCGCTAGAGAAGATTCGAGGAGCCGAAATAGATGTATGAAGCGATAAATTTGCTGCCGGCAGGGGCATTCGCACAGAACATATATCGAGCCTCGAACCGCGGCTGTTGGAGACTGAAACCGCACTCTTTCGACCGCTATCGGCAATTCACAATACACCGGAATCTCAAGATGACATGGAACTGCTGAAGTCAAGTTTCCACTGCTGTTTGCCGAACACCATCCCACGCAGTCGAAAGCTGCCAAAGGGGAAGAATGGAAGCGATTTCGTCTGGATTCAAAACCCCTGCTGTACGCCGGCGCTAGAGATAAACTTCGAATCCTCAAGGCATCGAGACAACACAGTGAGCAGCAGTTCAAAAGATGCCAGGCCCTGTTGAGAATCATGGGCGGCTGCAATCCGACCAAGAATCTCCTGCAAATGGCCTGGGTATGACAGTATGGCACCTTCCCGGCGTGCTCAGCAATATGAAAGCTCAACATCTCGCGTCCACGAGCGCAGTCGCCAGAACCATCAAAGAATCTCCCGGCTCCGGCACCCATACAGCGGCATGAGTCCTGTCTGCCGGTGAACCTTGGTTCTCTGACTACAATGATCTCGCCCAATCAGGAGCCGTGGCTGCTTCAACCGACAATGTCATATCTGGAGCAGGAGAGGGAAGAAAAGAGGGAAGAATGGAATGCCACAATGGCAAATGTTGATTGAAGTAGTCAGTATTATTTGTCTACACGTACATGGTTCTTGAGAGGGTTGCGTGAGGTGGCAGGAGTCGAAGAAATAGTCACGTTGCTATAGCGGGCTAGTCCCAACCAGGACTGGTGTGTGTCATGTGACAGACAAATTGCCAAGGCTTGGAGTTGGTGGAACTGGTTGTCAGTCCGAAAATGACGACACACGCAGTCCTGGAAGAGGGTGGCCTGGATACGATGTATAGCATACAATCACGCGATTTGGCCATCGAATAGCAGGCAGCCACACGGCCGGGTTTTCCACGGCCGCGTGCTGCTTCCAGAGCGATCTGAACAAAGCAGATCATAGCGTTAAGAAAATCGCATCTGTCTGGCATGTACTCGGAGAGATATTTCCAGCGAGTGAGAGACAAGTGTCTTTTGGATCGACGTGGGCGGGTTTGCTTTTCGTCCAACGTCATCGGCCTCCGTGATCGAGTTCTCGACACAGGATAGTCAGGAAATGACAGGCACATATTTGTCCCACATACGACCATTTCAACCGATTACCTCCCTTAGAGTATTCCCCGTTGATCATCATCCATCCAGAAAAGGAGCCACCAGGCCGTAGAAAAGATCCACAGTGCCGCTGTTGTTGAAGATGGGAATCATTACTGGGATCGTGCTAGCCGAGGCCAGGTAGATTCTACCACCATCGTGCTTCGGGAGATTGAGATGCTTCCGAAAAGCGCCCAAACTTCGTCTCCTTTTCAGTGCAGTGGCAGGTCCAATGCCAATGTATCCTCTCTCCGAAATGAAAAAGTTTTGGTTTACGATCATACTGTGTAGTGACTCGCATATCTCACTCCAGCCTCCGTCAAAGGCCTTCCGATAGGAATGTGGAAACTATCAAGGGTTGATCGACATAGTCGAAACTGAATTGGGAGGTTTCTGACCGTACACGACAATCCTACGTCGGTGTCAACTTCGAACTCCAAGACCGAGGAGGGACTCCAAATACGAACACGTTCCAGTAAGCATGAATATGACGATTCTTGACGTCCTGCTTTGCCTTGGCTAGGAGAACCTGGACATCGTCGAAGCTCATCCCCAGGATTTCCATGAATGGACGGAGGGTAAATCCCTCCAGACCATCGAGAATGTTGACCAGGTTCCACGCCCCCATCTCTTTGAGAAAACTGTCTTTGGGCCACGGATTTTGTGGCCATTTGTATGAAAGGCGTGCAACGTCCTGAAACCCTACTTCTCTCATCCATTGGTCGTACTTACCAACATCTTCAGGATCGCGGCCGATTTTCCTCGTGGCTTCGAAGAATAGATCTTGCCACTGGGCGAAGGAAGAGCCTTTCATGCTATCGTCATCTGAAGTAACGGGCATGAGGACATCTTGGATCTCCAGCCAACCTCCTGGCTTGAGCGAGTCGTAGGCTTGTTGGATAAGCCTCTTTCCGTCACGGAAGCTAGTTAATAACATCCTTCCATGGACAAGGTCGAAATTGTCGGTCCAGGACCATTGATCCTCAAAGTCATCAACAATAAACCTGCAGTTGGGAGGCGTCAATGTTGGCTGCATCGGGCTGAGATCGGTCCCGATCACATTGCTCTCTGGATGCTCATCCGCGAAATCAATGGCCCTAAGGATCCGGTCAGTAGACGTACACAGGATCTGGCCTTGGTTCTCGTTTTCACCAGATCCCGGTGCCTGTGCCAATATCCAGGACGTTGTTGATGCTATGGTTTTCAATTGGAGCCAATATCAGCTTCCGGCCAAACGTGCGAAGACACATTTCATGCTGCATGTCGAGCCGGTCGCGTTCTCTCTCATCGTCGGGGAGGATGTAGTGTCCATCACGATATCGATGGTAGGCTCGGCCGTTTTCCCGCACACTTTGGAGGAGGCTGGATCGTAAGGACTCTGTGTACGTCGACTCATCACTACCGAGAGTCGAATCACTTATATCAAGAGAGGCCTCTGCTTCCTGTGCCATGAGGACGTCCTGGGCAGTTTGTATATCAGAAAACGGGCAATCTGTCGCAGGTGGGAGACCATGTGGTGGTCTTAAAAGCTCCTCACGTTGTAAATACAGCATTGCAACTGGCAGAGCGAAAGACAAGCCAATGAAGAAAAGTTCGGGGCGTCCGGAGGCCCGGAACCATCCGTCAACCCATCAACCTTGTCTGACACGGTTACAGCAAGTTAAAGAAAGACTTGCGAGGAGCATTGCCTACGTTTCGAACGCTGATAAGGCGCAACATGGACTCGCGTGGACACTAAGGAACGCTGGCCGCTAGGTGGCGCCTGTGGCTAAAGGTGATCCCGCGCATCCCCGAGGCACTTGTTGATGTATGTTTATCGTATGTCGCGAAGCATTTCTTTTGTCCTGTATTGACTCCAGGCCAAATGTGAGGTGCATGATCCCACTCTTTAAAGTGTTGTGATCGATCTCAGTACACGCCCGTGATCCCATTGCTCAATGTCGTCTTCTTCTTTTCGCATTTCCGCCCTGGCAGAGGCGAACAGATTCCCGAAGAAGCTCCCCGAATGGCTCTTTCAATCTTCTTTTCGATGCCACTGTTTCTGATGTCGGGTGGATTGTTGTTGATCTGCTACCTTGTCGTCTCCTTTATCTCATATCGTCGTCTCAGCCACATCCCCGGCCCCCGCCTCTGGGGTTGGTCAATTCTGCCCCTCTTTCACCTCCATGGAACGGGTCAAATCTACAACAAGTTTGGCGAATTGGCGACCAAATATGGACCTCTGGTTCGAATTGGGCCAAATTATCTTCTGGCATCGGATCCCGAAGTCCATCGGAGAATGGCCGCTCCCAGGTCACCTTACACCCGTTCTCTCTGGTACCGTGCGGCGAGGCTGACTCCTGGAGTCGACAATGTCTTGTCGGAGATTGACGAAAGTCGACACAACGAACTGCGTAAGCGGATGGCCGCAGGGTATTCGGGCAAGGAGAATCCCCATCTGGAATCTGATATTGATGAATGCATCCTGGATTTGATGAATCTCATCAACCGGAAGTATGTCTCCGCCGACGGATCAGTCCGAATGGAGTTTGCTCGAAAGGTTCAGTACTTTACAAGTGACATCATGAGCAAGCTATCGTTCGATGCCAAATTTCACGACCTGCGCGATGACAATGATAACTATGGATACATCCACGAAGTGGAGACAATATATCCAAACATCTTCGTGGTCAGCGTCATCCCGGCTGTTATTGACTTTTTCACCAAGCTGGGTGTGCTCGATTGGGTGACTCCAAGCGAAGACAGCAAGCTCGGTGTGGGCAAAATCCAAGCTATAACCCGTGCGCAGATCGCATCGCGGTTTGATTCCGAAGAACAACCAAAGGATGGACAGCATGATATGCTCGGAAGTTTCATTCGACACGGATTGACGAGAAAGGAGCTTGAACAAGAAAGCATGCTGCAACTGTAAGTCACCTAGTTTTGCGGAAATATGGGTCACTCTAAACTCTCGTTAGAGCTGCGGGTTCCGACACCTCAGCAACGGCCATACGAGCGACAATGCTGTGTATCCTGAGAGACCCTAGAGTTCATAAGAAACTCGTGGCAGAAATCGACGAAGCTGTGAAAGAGCATAAGATTTCGTCCAGTGAGACAGAAGTTATCCCCGATGCCCAAGCCCGGACACTTCCTTATCTCCAAGCCGTGATCAAAGAGGTCGGTCCATGCTATCATGGCAGAACGACTCTGAGTTCGTCGATTGACTGAATACAGGGAATGAGATGGTTCCCACCAATTGCGGGACTGCTAGCTAAACAGGTAACAAGAAGCCGTGATTATCTGCGTGGCATGCCCGGTCTGAATTTTATGAGATAGGTTCCTCTGGGTGGCGATACAATATGTGGTCGTTTTGTGCCCGAGGGCACAGCTATTGCGTAAGTTCCCATTGGAAACCAGGAAGAGAGCACCTCATTAATACCGGCCGTTTAGGTATTCCGCAAATGCGATTCATCATTCCGCGTCACTGTTCGGTCCAGATGAGTATACCTTTCGGCCAGAGCGTTGGATTCATACCTCTCAAGGAGGTGACGAGCCGTCTGCAGCGAAACTCTCTGAAATGGAGCGAAATAATGAACTTCTCTTTGGCTATGGCAAGTATCAGTGTTTGGGCAAAGGCATAGCCCTTATGGAATTGAACAAGATTTATGTGGAGTTGCTGCGAAGATTCGAGTTTACACTCCTCCACCCCGATGATCCCTGGAAGACACGTTGCTTTGGCATCCACTTGCAGGAGGGTCTCTGGGTGACTGTTAAGAGAAGAAACACGGCATGAACTGCGAGGTGAATCAGCGTGGATGGCTTAGCGTGTTAATTCAAATGAGAGATCTACTTCAGTCCAATCTCTAGCACCACACGCCCAACTTCCTGAAACACACTGAAACTTTCTAGCGATGTCTAGAAGTTTATGGGAATATCTCTCAATGCGTCCTGGGACGGCCAGGACGAGTGGTTCAGGCCACCTCGATCTCGCAGATTCGACGAAAGTCGGTGCACAGAGTGCGAGTGAACTTGTGGAGGGGAGAACAATGGAGCATTTCCTTTTTGATTCCTCAACAGCACCTGATCAACTCTCGGTTAGAGTGCCTCATTGTGGAATCGTAGTGATACGAAGGCGTGGGAGCTAGGTATAGATCGAAATCGCAGCGAGGCTGTCCATATGACATCAACTAATCGCGCTTTGAAGAGGCGTGAAGACAACATTCTTCTCGCAGGCGATTCGAGAGGTGCCAGATTGCTGGCCGGGCAATGTTTATCTTCACGCCCCGTCACAACTGGATCAAAATGATCTCCAAAAAGATTGATAGCGACTTGCAAGGCCTCACCCCATCCCCAGTTACTCCATTCAACCTCGACGGTGGTGTCGACTATGCCGCCATCCAACGCCTGGGTTCACGGCTGGACAGTATTGAAAGTGTCAAGCACATCGTCATCCTCGGCCAACGCCCGGTGAGGGCACCTTTTTGACCCAGGAAGAGCAAGTCTCCGTCATCACCGACATCACTGCTGAAGGCACGGAGGTCGCTGCTTTGGAAGCTAAGTTTGCCGAAGCAGTGGGCGATTCCGCTGGTCTCCCTATATCCCTCTACGGCTAGCTTCGATTCGGGTATCACTCCACCAGATCGATACAAGCGTGTATAAGAAGCCAGCGGCCTACCATTGATCCAGGTTCAATATCTAGACCACACCAACGCTACCTCTAGCCCGGAAACGATGCTAGACATCACTGCACAACTAGGTGTATTCGCCATGAAAAAACGCGTACGCAACATGTGCCGCTGGGACGTTGATATTCCCATCATTCGCCAAAAACGCACCCCGTGATGAGTATCTGTTGCACACTGCCTTTGATGTGGATGGTTTTCTTGTCGGTTATGGCAACATTGCCTCCGAGGCTCTGCTCGAGCTTCTGAAGGCTGGTCAGGAGAAGAATTACCCCAAGGCTCGCGAGGTGCATGATAGCCTCTTGTTCGTCACACGTTGCGTGTATCACAGAGGCTCGCATACGGAGGGAACTTGTGGTCTTGAAGCACGCTCTTGCGACCAGAGGAATATACAACGATCCGATCATCATTGCTGCTCCTGGAGGGAGGTACCGCCGAAGAGATCATTGCCGCGGTACAGGTGCTAAGTTGAGCAGGGTCTTATGAATGATCAAATGACTTGTTTGTGGGTTTTGGGGGATGCATGTACAAGAAACTTGAGGTTGGTTGGGCATTCTGGCTCCAATCTTGACATAAGATTCTTCTTTACTGATCAATAAATTTCGTGGATTGCTTAGGCTCTTTGCAATGTACCATATCCGTCCTTCAGATTGGATAAAGGTTGATGCGCGTAGTAACCAGAACTTCGGCACTAAAACCGTTAAAGAAGTTGTGTTAATTGCGCAGCAAGTCCTAAAGAGGTTAGCTCAGAATACGTCTAACAGCAGCGTCAGACGAGGCGAAGTCTTGGCGTCAAGGAAAAATGTTTCTGAGACTCTCAAGATGGAACCGGACTTTTTATATTTTTGATATGGGTCTATCCGGAACGCGTCTGCATTGAGAAAAATTGCTGGAAAATACCTGTTCAAACATGAAAGTGTACCTGAGGGAAAAAAAAGGCCCATCACCTTGAGCATGTCCATCAAAGGTATCATGCCTGAAGACCGTTCTTCGAAACGACGGAAACTCAGTCATGGCATGGACAATGACGATTTCGATATCTTGGAGAATTCGATTAGTGCTGACGACACCCCAGAAGCTTCTCAAGAGGTCAATGAAATTATATCACCACCGAAAAACCAACCTTCCAGAACCGGTCCCAAACCTAAAAGGATTTCTGCAGCAAATCCCACTGTTTTGCCCACTGGTGGAATCAGCAAGTCAGCCGTTCTTGCTCTACAGGTTGCGGATTTAGTTGCCGAGGCTACACCAAACTACGCAAGACTTCAACCGAAATGGACCAAATTTTCAAATCAGCTGGTCGCCATTATCACTCAGATACCGGAACATTCCCCGGCCACGGCTGTTGATGCGTTGAAATCCTTCCGCAAGCAAGGAATCCAAATCCCCTTCCCACCCCCTCAGCCATCAAAAGACACAAACTACAAATTCGAATTCAAGCCTCCAAAGCAAGTCATGGTCGGTGGACCACTGCCTTGGGAACTGAGTCTCCAGGGCGAAAAAAGGATTGAAATCACAGCCGTTATGCCCGAAGACATTCTTCAGGAAAAGGACTATCTCAACAACAGAGCATTTCACAAAGCCGCTTTCTATCTCGCGTGCATTGCAGCCACGATCAAGGAAGGTGAGGGTGACAACTTCGATTTGGCCTTTGCACAGCTCTTCGACGTGGATCTCTTGCCTATCATTGAAATTGTCCCAAGAGAAGAGCCTTTGGCAGGGTTCAAGTTTAAAATTGGCGTTGGTTTCCCAGGACAGTCTATACCAATGGCAAAGACCTTGCCGAACAAGAATTGCCTCCGGCAAGGAATGTCAGGTGATTCAACTCCAAGCGACCAGCCTACCCCTTTTTACAACAGCTGTCTCCGATATGCAGCATCGATCCCCATTGTTGACGATATCATCCAGTCGACAAAAAGCCCGGCATTTAATGATGCATGCCGCCTTGGGCAACTCTGGCTAAGACAGCGAGGGTTCTCCAGTTCAACCCGGTTTGGAGGCTTTGGCTTTCTGGAATGGTCACTGACGTGTGCGTTGTTGCTTCGCGGAGGCGGTCACCGAGACCATCCGCTGTTCTCAAAGCAATATAGCGGCCTTCAACTTTTCAAGGCCATGCTTCAAGTCCTCGCTGGGCGAGATTTGCGGGATCCGATGGTCCTTAATGGCTCAAGTCTCGATATCCCGCGTTCAGAGCTGCCAGTGCTGTTCGATGGAAAGACGGGGGTGAATATCTTATACAAAATGTCTCCTTGGTCATATCAATCGCTCCGTCATTACGCGCAAGTGTCTCTGGCTGCGGTCAACTCTCGAAACCATGACAGCTTTGACTCAACCTTCATACTCAACGTGTCAACACCGTTATTGGAATACGATGAGCTGTTTACTGTCAGCGTCCCTACCGGAATCTTTAACACGGCAGCAGAGCAACGGCAGCTCCTTCACCAAATGCACCGCACATTAGTGCGAGGCCTAGGAGACAGGGTCACTCTAATTGTTTTCAAGCTACCCCAGCAGGAGAGTTGGTCTTTTAACCACTACCCAAGTCTCAGCGAAGCGCATTTTGAATTTGTGATATCATTACTCATCAATCCCGAGACTGTCGCACGTCTGGTGGACCATGGTCCGTCCGCAGACCAACCAGAAGAAGCAGCAGAATTCCAAAAGTTTTGGGGAGAGAAAGCGGAGCTACGCCGATTCAAGGATGGAAGCATATCTGAAAGCTTGGTGTGGGCTTCAGGAACTCCCGTCACTCTGCAAATTATCTCTCATCTTACTATGCGACATTTCAAATTGCCACCCGGCTCCATCCAAAGGCAGGAATGGGATTTCATATCTGACATCCTGGAGGAGGACATCTCTGTGAGTGCCAAAGACGGCTTCCGAATCGTCAACTCGGCCTTTCAGACATTGTCTTCGACCTTGCACAGTCTTGAAGGCCTTCCGTTGCCGATCAGATCAATCTCTCCAGCCGGACCGGCTCTCCGTTCGTCCTCCACTGGTCATCCACTTCGCCCGCCCACAACATCTCCAATAGACATCCTCATCCAATTTGACACTTCTACGAGATGGCCAGACTCTCTCCCGGCGATCCAACATACCAAAATAGCGTTTCTCCTCAAGTTGGCCGACCTTCTCACAGCATCAAATTCAGACCTCAACACCCGCGTCGGTCTTGAGAATACCGACTCTGCCAAGGAGGGATACTTCAACACCTCATTCCTTGATATTATCTACCCTTCTCCGGCCCCAGGCCTGAGCTCCATCTGTTTCCGAGCGCGAATCCATCACGACCGGGAAGTCCATCTCCTCCAAACGGCCCTCGCCGACAAATCCCTGCACGGCGCCGTCCGAGACACCCTCACCACGGCCCTGGCAGCCGACAAGCGCGATTTTCTCGCCCAACCCACCCACACAACTGCAATCCGGAACCTCAGTACGCGCTTTCCGCCCCTGTCAAACACGATCCGCCTTCTCAAGAAATGGGTCTCGTCCCATCTTCTTCTCGCGCACATTCCAGAAGAAATCCTCGAGATGGTCGCCGCACACATCTTCCTCCATCCGTCACCATGGTCCATCCCGGGCTCATCAACAACCGCCTTCCTCCGCTGCTTGCACCTGCTTTCCCGTTGGGACTGGGCCTTTACGGCTCTGATCATCGACCTGAGCCTCTCGCAGGACATGAGCGCATCGCAAGTCTCGGAAATTGAAACCCGGTTCCAAGCCTGGCGCAAACTCGATCCCAACATGAACAACGTCGTCTGGCTCGTCGGCACCAACCTCGACACAACAGGCACAGTGTGGACGCAAGGCAGCCGTCCACCTCGCGTCGTGGCAGGACGGCTCGCAGCCCTCGCGCGCGCGGCCGTGCAAGTTATCGAAACCCAAGGTTCGAAGATGGATGACTCGGACTGGCGCCGTCTTTTCATCAGCCCGCTCTCGGACTTTGACTTCCTGATCCACATCAAACCGTCCGTGCTGAGGTCGTACAGGCCCCGGTCGAAGTCGAAATCAAAGTCTGATAAAATTAACGGCGGTTCTGAATTCAAGAACCTCCAGATCCACGACGCCCTGGATTCTGCGTCCATCGGCTACGACCCGGTCGTATCGTTTCTGCGCGATCTCAAAACGGCGTTCGGCTCGGCGGCTCTGTTCTTCCACGAGACTTCTGGCGGAAGCGTGGTCGCCGGGCTGTGGAAACCTAGTGTCCTTGGGAAGAAAGAGTGGCGCATTAGATTGGGTTGGTCGAGCGTCCCGGTCTCGGCAGAGAAGGGTCGTCGTGAAAAGGATGAGGATGAGGACCAGGGAGAACGTAAAGATATGTGTGTGTTAAATAAAGATGGCATGCTGGCGGAGATTGCGATGCTGGGGGATGGTATTGTAAAAGAGATTACGGTGAAGGCGTGATTACCCAGGGAGAGAAAAGGTTGAACGTTGAATATATTGACACTGGGTATCAGTCGGCCCTGGAATTCCTCCCAGCTCCACTTTCTTTCGTTTCAATCCCCTGCAGATCATACAGTTACAGAGATGGCCTCCCCCGTCATGCATCCCATTGAACAGGTCTAATCCGGCCGAACCTATTACTTTTGGTTGCTGCTGTTGTCGGTGAGTTTTGGTCTGATCTATCTTGATCAAAAGTATTGTGCGCTAGATAACGTGGACTGCCTGGCCATCGGTTCCCGTCGGCGTCGTCGAATTAACGTATTCGCTGAGTTTCAAATGAGCGTTCTCTGCGGATCTACCAGGTCTAACAGCTCCATCGTTTTTTCGTACCTAAACAAGACGGTCAGAATATTCGTGGCACGACAAGACTAGAAGAGGCACTCACATTGTAAAAACAATACCGCCACTCAATGTTAGACGGCCGAGTCGAGGTAATGCACCAGACCAAAATGTCAGGATTCCTTCGTTCTTGTAAATGGTCGCCGCACAGCGGAAGCTGTTCTTGTAATTTGTCTTTGCTTCTAAGCTTTGCATTCGTGTCTTGATAGTATCGAGGGGCATGGTGGCATATACCGTCACGATACCAGCGATGCCGCCGAGTCCAAAAGTGGTGATCGATCCCAGTTTTTCTCCCGGCGCGACATAACCTTCGGCGAACTGTTTGAGACTGGTGTATGTGCTGAATCGGACCGCGCTGTTCGCGGCTTGTCTGGCCGTTGTCGGGACAAACCCTTGGAAGAAACCTCTCACACCTTTCTCCCTAGCAATGACCACGGACCCATGAAGGAACCCTCGCATTCGTGGTTGTGCTCTCTTGCGGTCGTCCACCAGTTGTGTCTTGACGGATTCTGACGGCGTTACCGCCAGTAAAGATTCTGTGATACCTGCTCCAAATCCAGCGGCCACGGTTCGAGGTCCAGTTATGTGTCCATCCTCGTCTGACAAGAGATGTTTGTACGTATCAAAGGCGACGAAACGCACCCCTGCCTTGACCGCATTTCCTACAATTGCCGTGGTGCATCCAGTGTACCATTCTCTCGACGGAAACGGAGGCCACGGTAGTTTCTGCGAGTCCGGTAATCGGCGGTTTAGTTGTGATCGGGTCTTGAGGAGATCAAAAGGATAAGTTATAGCTGTAGAATCAAGACGTGAGCGAGTGAAAAGAGAATCGATGTGAAATATATGCCACTGAGCGAAGCGCGACCGCCGATATCGTCACATTATTGACGTACATGAATGAGAGACTGACCGATTTCAATTGCCCCAGCTGTCGAACCAGCTATAATGGACCGCAGTGCGCTGGGCTGTCAGGGAAATCAGCATGAAGCTGACTGGCCAACCATGTATAGGGTTTGAGCGAACCTTGGGCTTTTGCGTGTCTCCATTTGCGACGGCCGAGGCCATCGTTCGAGACAGAATAAAGACTCGTTCTCGACGTGCTACCGAAGTGTGCAGTTGAGCATGCTGCAGGCAGTGCTAGCGGACATTGGTACCCTGCAAATTCACCACTTGCTGCGCTCAGGGAAATTTATGCCGTACAACTCTGCATCCTGCCCTCCAATCGGTGGATTTTTGAAAATTCCCAATTCCATGTCACGTGATGTGTTCCACACGCGATTGCTCACGCTCGAGACATCACGTGATTGAGCCGGCCACATTGATCTTGGCAATTCTTGGTGGCGCACACACGCGGCCCGATTCACGTGATTGGCCAACTCCTCGGGATCCGGAAAATCTATAATCCGGAAACTACCAAATCCTTTGCTCTGATTGGCTTAACCCATCGGATCCAGTCCGTGGGGCCAACCCCCGGGCACTCTCGTATCACGTGATTAGCCACCCTCGGCAATCCGGAAAATCTATAATCCAAGCATTACGTAATCATGTGCTCTGATTGGCTGGGCCCATCGGATCCAATCCACGGCCCATCCAGGAGTGGGTAGAGTGCGCCGTAGCCCGGAAAATCTATAATCCGACACACAATCACGTGCACTAATTCGCTGACCCCATCGGATCCAATCCACGGCCCACCCAGGAATGGGCAGAATGCCGCCTTTGTCTGCCAGACCCCCTGATCGGATCCAGTCCATGGATCATATATAGACGATGTTGATCACGGTGTCCTTCATCGGATCCAGTCCATGGACCATGAAATAGACGACGGTATCTTATGGCTTTTTATGCTCCATCAGGTCCGGTCAGAGTTGGCCGATGCGACGTGTTTACGATAGTTCGCTTTTCACCAATGCACGCTGGGCTAACACGGAAAGTGTTCATGGCACAGATTTGCTCGTTAGATTGAGTGAGAGGTATCCGCTGGGCAGATTTGCTCGTTGGACAGAGGGAGCTGTTTATCAGTAGATTGGCTCGCTGGGTTAGTGAGTAAAATTATCCACTAACAATGCTTAAAAAGGGTCACCATCCGCCGAAGATCTACAGTGTACAAATACTCGCACTCTGCTCCAATCACCGACCCTTTCTATCAAGCCAGAGGCAATAGCTCAGTCAAACCTTCGGCGCAACCTAGTCGAAGTCGTGGTCTTCTTTCTCCGAGCGTTTCCGAAACGCGAGGTCCACATCCTTTCCCTTCGATCGGGTATTGCTTGCTTCCCCTTCCTGCACTTCGGTATCAACCACTCCGCCTTCTTTTCTAGCCTCGTCCACCCTCTGTTCCTGCACACTGGCCTCACTCCCTTCCGCACTGGTTTCCCCTTCTTGCTTAAATCCTTCATATCTGTAGTCTACCTCAAGCTGAGAGAACATTCTATTTCTCCGAGAGAGTTGGTCAGCCAGAGTTTCGTTCGTTTGTACCGAAGCAAAGAACCGGTCGCTCGAATCTGTAGCCTTCATATGCTCTAAGCAGCCAAAGATGGTGTGGTCGTGTCCTCGCGAATGAATCGCCCACAAATCAGGTTGCTGTCCACTTTCGCTCTGCATCACTTGGACAAGTGGAGCGTAAGCCCTACCGCTTCTGACTACCCCTAGATCGAAGAGGAGGCACAGGATAGGGTACTTCATCTGGTTGAATACAAATTTCGTCGGCTCGCGCTTAGAACCTTTCTCGTCGCGCTTAGAGTCTTTCTTCTCGCGCTCGGAATCTTCCTCGTCGCTCTCAGAATATTTCTCGTCGCGTCCAGAATCTTTCCTTTCGCGATTAGAGCTTTCTGTCTTCGATTTGCCCGAATTCGACTTCTGGTCAACATTAACAAAGTCCTCTCGAAAGATCTCTCTCACTGTTGTAGCATTCTTCTTGTTCTTCACCTGTACTACGATGACTCCACAATTCGATGGATCGAACTCCTCATCCTCCGCGCCATAGTACACGGGAATGAGCAGATCGTATGTTTCCTGGCACCAAGATAGCTGCATCGCAGCGCTCCGGCGTAACAGGTCGCGACATAGTTCAGGGATGACCTCGGGGGTAAGTGCTGAATCGGTTGGTAGAAAATGAGTAAAGTTCATTCTGGCTTCGAGTATCCGCTTAGGCATCTTTTCAATTAAATCGTGATGATCCTTAGCATACAATGCTAGGAGAAAGTCGGAAACCGTGAAGGTTGGTGCAAATTCTGGCGTATGACCTTGTCGAGCCCATCGAACCCAGTCGTGTGCCAGAATTAACATTAACCGAGCATAGAGTTCCCCTTTGCGCCCTTTTTCTATCAATCCTTTCTCAAGAAGCTCCTTGCAGAGTGTTTGAATACTACCCGGCCAGTTGACGTTGCTGCAGAGATGTTCCATAGCCGCTCTAACTAAGACTGGCTCTGATGGCGTCATTGTGTCCATCACTCCGGTCTCGTGATCCATGGATATGACCACCCTCATGAAAGAATTCACCGCAGTCCTTGTGAGAGAGATGGTGACAGGGTTCTGCAAGCAGACATCCAAAGAGAGACGGAAGGACAGCGCAGCAAATACGTGGTTCGGGTCGTCAGAGTTATAATACCCCTGTTGCTGGCCGCCAATGAGCTTCAATTTGGCCAATTCGATCATCCCCTGGCCCTCATTTGCATATGCATACCAGAGAGGCCTGCCGAATTGGGCCATGTGATCTAGATTTGCAAATTCCTTTAACGACTTGCGGAGCTCCTTTTTCCTTAGTTTTGGATTCTGCATCTTTCGTCGGTCCTCGACGTCGAGCTGAAGACTCACAAATGGGGGAAATCGCATTAGTTCGGTTTTGGTCTCTTTAAAGCTGATACGAGCGGAGGGGTCCAGAAGATAATCGCCAGTTCGAATGATATTGCTCGGCGGTACAAGGTATCCGATGAGAGATTCTGTTGAGAGGAAGAAAGACCACGCACGAAACTTCTTCAAACAACTGATGACTCGATTGAGCGCTACATAGAGTCCGATGTTGGGTTGGTCAGACGGCCGCATTCTCATTAAGCTTGACGCCTCGTCGAACACGATCACCAAGAGTGGGCCCGTGTCGCTGGTGTCTCGACATTGTTGAAGAATTTTCATCAGGTTTGTGATAGCATTGAGAAGGCCGTTTAAGGGATTAGAGTGAGCTTCACTGTCCGCCTCTTCGAGATGATGGTGAACCTTAGACGGTCCGTCATCGTCGAACTTCTCCATCCAATTTGGGCTGGAAATTAATTCTTGAGCAATCACTCGAGCTCTCTTCGCTACCGAATCGCAGAACTCGATGCGCATCTTGGACCGTTGGCTCTTAGCGTCCTGAGCATCGGTAGCTGGTTCAAGTGTTGCCATCTTTGTATGTCTGCTATCCGCAAGCTCTTCTAGAGTCATCGTGGTAAAGGGCTGACTCTCCACCCAAGTATAGACTAATAAGGTTAAATTAAGGAGGATTTCGGCAAAAGAGTATCGGCAACTTACATGTCTCGAAACTAGCTTGGAGCAATGCAGTAGCGAGAGTATGATTCCACGCTACGACTGCTCTCCTCTTCAGAAAATTAGTAGATCTCTCTTGTCGATTGATAGGCTCGGGGATGTTGGTGGGCGGCGGGTCGCGCAGGAATAATAGTATCTCTTCATCAGGAGGTGGAAAGCCGGAAGTCCCAGGCTCGCGAAGAATGAAGTTGATCATCGGACAGCGTTGGCCGAAAGCATCTGCTAATCTTGATTTACCCATACCACTGCTCTGAACGAATACCAAGGTATTTGAGTAATACTTGCTCACATCGAGTAGCTGGTATCGCCGAATGAGGTCCTGTAGCGCAACTAAGGAGTGCGGAAAATAGGCGTTGTTCCAGTCTTTTTGCAGAGCGCGAAGGACAGCACTTGTCTGAGAGGGGGAACGTACGTGGAAGGCGGCATTGGTTGTCCTCTTTTTGACTCGACTCGGCAACATCTTTTTGAACTCTTCTGGGTGATTTTCCTCCAACCACTGATGTATTTCGTCGGAAGAAGTCATATGTTTTAGCTTCTCTTCGAACTCTTTCGGAAACGTTTTCTCCAGCCAGTGAAGCAGCTCGAACATACTTATATCTTTTGGCTCTTCTTCCGTTGTGACGGGTTTGGCCTGGACTGCTTGAGAGCCTGACCCGGGGAGTCCCGTGTTCGGTTCTGAAAAAGTGCTCATCGTGACGCTACCAAGAATGGCCGGGGACGTAATGGGAAGAGAGGCAGGGAGCGGAGGGGGTGATGAATCGGGTAACAAGAGAAGATAAAGATGAGTATGACGGCGGAGGAAGAGTACGTGAGGGCAAAGCGTTGATGCTGATGGACTGTTCAGTCCCTTAAATGATTGGTTCGGTTCATCTCTCTCAGAGCACGCAAATGAGTAGAAAGGTTTGAGGGTGCGAGTTGTCTCAAAATGACACGGCAGGCGAACGCGACACGCCAAGCCGGCTGCCTATTTCGACGTGTGTTCAACAAAGACGATGGTGAAGTAGGTTTGGCTAGTCACGTGATCACATTCACTGACCCGGGAAGAGACTCTTGGCAGAGTGTAGCGTGCTAGAGAGAGTTGCCTAAACACCGATTGAGCCCAGTAAAACCGCACAAATCGAAGTACCCAAACCCCCAAAATTGACGTGCTCACACACCCTGACCATTTTGCGAGCTCTTGTCGCTCGATCCGCACTTTGTATAAACCTGATTTTCTTTTTTTTCTTTTTTTTCAATTTTGGAATCGCCTGGTTAGGGCTTGGCGTTGTGTGGTGACGCCAAGAGCGACGTGCTGGCCAATCACGTAAGCCTATCTATGGCTTGGCGGTTTCACGTGGGCACTCCCCTTGCCGCACCGTCATCGGATCCAATCCGTGGGACAAGACAAGCTCTTACTGATCACACTCGAAATGGCTCGCAACGGAGCGTTAACGGACGAGCCTCGATATCGAGATGATCTATGGATCGGATCTGATGAAAGACTACCGCCATCGGATCCAATCCGTGGACCATATGGCCGGGGGGCATCCTACTCGATAGAGGTCGACGTT